GCTGAGTTTCTTTGGAGTATCTTTCATTTGTTTTTTTGTGTTTTGAAACTATTTGTTGATCTCGGCATGTTTAAAGTATTGAAAATTCACCTCTCATACATTCCAAAGACTTGTTTTGGATTTTCAACATGGCACAATTTTGGAAATGAAATTAAAATATAAACCATTCGAATTAGTTTCGTATCTGACACTACCCCAATCAGGAGTTCTCATTTATTTACAAAATTTCAACTTATTGTAAACATCCAAACAATCAACAATGTTGAAACTAAAAAACAATTTTGAGTAAAATTAAAAAACATAAAAAAATGAGTAACAATTCAACTTGGTGGAACGTATTGGAAAATGTCTTTGAGAATCAGGCAAAACTCATCAATTTATTATTGTATGGTCTCGGATTGAATGCATTGGATGGTCAACAACAACAACAAGTACCACCAACTTCAAGAGGTGGTAATGCTGGAAACTTTCCGACTACAAAGAATGTTGTTCAAGAATTTATAAATTCCAACTTTGATTTTGATATATTATTTAAATATGGACGTCAAGGATGGGATCAATTTAAATCGGATACCTCTGCATTTGTCAATGGTGTTTATTGGAGAGATGAGGTTTGGTTACAAGGACTTATTGCTATGCATATTGTACTTTTTATTTGTATTATAATGTCTAGAAGAAATATGAATATTCAAGCTGTTTTATTTGCCATTATTTGTAAGTTTATTATTGTGGAATAGGAGGAGTATTTATCAGAATATTTGTCGTGTCAAATAGGCTTTATGACATACATGTCAGAAACTTTGAATAGATGGTGTGGAATGAATTGGAAATCCTTCTCAACACTTAATTATTTCGATTCACGCGGTTTCTTTGCTGCAGTTGTGTATGCCTTCCCTCTATTATTCTTATTGGTGATCATTGTGGTAGGTTTACAAAAATATTCGCACCATTTAATATTTAACAATTTTTGAACCAGATCAACATGTTGATAACCTCTGCTTCAATGGTTGTACAAGTGAAGAGAAGACAATTGAACATTCAAGCAGAAAAGAAAGCCAAGACAGCTACATCCAAAAAGAATGATTGAAAAATTTCACATTAATTTATTATTAAAATTTTAACAACCCACAATGCCATTCCTAAACATTATACATTTATATATTGTGAACAGCATTTACCATTTATCGGTATTACCTGTTCTTCCTTAACCAGTGATAAGAATCCCATTAATTCTTAATCCGTCCACGGCGGAAGAAATAGTAGTATTGGAGATTTAGTAACTGTCCAACTTTGGTTGACATTATCATTGTTGGTGTACTGTCTCGAGCATATCTTTTTACAAAGATAATAGAATTGGTTTCATTCAACTTAATCAAGTTTTTTAATAACATTCAAAGATTTTGATCTCTGTCTACTAGCTCTAGGTATTGGGCTGTAAGATGTTGTAGTTGTTGGAGACAACATATTTACACTGCTTTTAGATTGTGTCATTCCACTTCTGATTTGACTTGTTGGAGTTCCAGGAGTTGTGGTAAGGGTCATTCCACTACCTGCTGATGGTGAGCCAGTTGGTGACGAGTTGATGAGAGGTAAGGAATCTCTCCTTCCACTACCACCAACTGGTGTTGATAAGCTATCCCTACGTGCTGGAGGAATTGCATTTACATTTTCCATGGCCTTCTTCATTAATTTCATATTATCCTCAACCTTTTTCTTCTTATCAGAAAAGTCGAGAACTGCATTTGAGTTTTCATGAACACTATGGAAACGATCTCTCCAATCACACATCATTTGAATGGTTTTTGGACCAAGAGTTCTAATGTAGCTCTCCAATTCCTTACTTCTAATCTTACTCAAAACATTTGGATCAACTTCATCGTTTCCCTTTCTATCATCACGAAGAAATTCCTCAATTTCCTGTTGGTTTAGGACAACTCCCTTAATTTGGAATTGACGAACGAGTGAAGAGAATTCTTTCAAGTGTTCTTCAAATTCTGGAATTCGCTTAACATCTTTTTTCTGTCTTTGAATACTAGAAAAGTTTGAAACTAAACGATCAAATGAAGAATCTTGACCTGAGGTGTCTTCTTTCTCTTGATGTCTTCTTCTGCCCTGGTTTTCAGCATGTGGTTCAGTTGTTAACATTTCAGATGTCAATTGTATTGATAAGAGTGATTTAAGTAAGCTATTATCCTCTGATCCAGGTGTTTGAGCTCTGTTTGGAGTATTCTCATTCAACATGTTACAAGAGGAAGAAGAAGCTACCGACTTGGAAGGAGTTGATGGTGTAGTAATAATTTTAGGTGACGATTCATTCTGTTGTTCATCAGCATATATTTTACAAGGAGTTGCAGGAGATTTTTCCTCTAATTGGGGCAATGCTGTTTGAGGAAGTACTGTTTGATGATGGACTTGCTACAACTGTTAGGTTGGAGCTTTTTGATGGAACTCTTTGCAGCTCTCTAACTTGTTCCAGAGAAGATACACTGTCCTTCCTTTGGAAAGTTGGAATGAGAGATGGTACTTCATGATCTCCCACAACAGATGGCGATGATGGATTTCTCTTGAAACTCCTTCTTCTCTCCAACACTGGTTGTGCAGGAACTGCAGGTTGAAGGAATTGGGGTGAAATGTAATTAAGCAATCCCCCCATGTCATCAATGATATTATTACTTGATGAGTCGTTATTATTATTGTTGTTATTACTCGATGAATTGTTATATGAATTATAGTCCATTTGTTCATCAAGTTCCATCGATTTAATTTCCCTCAAACGATTATTCATTGGTTTTTCATTAATGTTTGGAAAGGCAAAAGCTTCAGAGACCTTCCTCTCCAATGAATTTCTTCTACTATTACCTCCAGTAGGTGTGGAAGAACCATTTGATGAAGAACTTAGTGGGGGAGGAGTGGCAAATCCAACAGCAGGCATTATTGAATATCTTCGTGGTGAGTAATTTCTAGGGCTTGAAGATCCAGCTGCATCATTAATGAATAGAGAATTAGAAGGAGAGGAGGAGAGACTTGAAGGAGATGTTGAACTTGGTGGGGAAGGGGATTGATTAAAAGTACCTGGAACATAAGTTCCCCCACTTGTTGCTTGTTGTACAGTTGTGGAGGGATTCATTGTTAGGGGTGAAGGTGTTGGTGAAGAGGAGAGTGGAGTAGAATTCATATTCTGCATACTACTCAATCCTAGTGAGAGTTTTCTTCTTCTTGGAGTTGAAGTACTTGGAGAGGGTGTGGTTGGACTGTGAGGTGTAAAGAAGGTGGTCGTTCCACCATTCAACGCTGAGGAAAAGGATGATGGATTAGATGATGGTGAAGAGGAATTTGATCCTACAGTAGGTGAGTTATCCCTTAATGAAATGGAGAGTGTTTTTGGCTCGGTTCCAACATCTTCCTCCACAAGTGATTGAGTAGTTCTGAAGGATTGCAATATTGGACTCGTGGGAGAGAATTGTCTTCCCTCCCTAGTACTAGTTGGTGAGTTTGTATTACTCCCACTATTATTACTAGTAGTATTATTGTGAGGTATGAAATCGGTGAACAAGCTCCTACTTCTTGTTCTCATCTCTGTTTTTTGAGAATCAATGTTAAAGTGTGAATATTATTATAATAAAGTGATATAATAATAATTTCTCAGAGGATTTAACGAAAGAATTATTATAATAGAGGAGTGATAGTAATACAAAAGGTGGATATTCCTTGCTGTGAAAATTAATTGATTTTCCCTTCTCTCGGTTATATAATGTACAATAACTTCACACTCAAGCAAATGTGAAATTTATTTGCTTAGATATCTCTATTGAAAATGTGAGAGTTTTTTTAAGAAGCTATTTGGCTTCATTTGGCATTAATTCAGTTCTTTGGCAAAGATTACACGTGCTATTAAGGAAGTGAGTGGCCTATTAAAGAAATTTAATAATTGGGAAAGTGGCTTTCCATTAATGTGATTGCATTTGTCCCTTTTCCTTGATGATTTATTTTGATTTTATGAAAGAAAATCCTTTATCATTAACAATTTAATAATTTAAAATAACCTCTTAGTCAATGGTTTATTCATCATATTTATTACAGCATCAGGAAAATCTCTCTTAACAAAATCGAAATACTGTAAGGTGCATTACACATCACCATTTAATCATTCATTTAAAAAATGCAAGAGTCAAAACAAACCAACAATGGAAGCGTATTAAATAGACAGCAAGACAACAAGAATGAAAAACAATTCCTCTCGGAGACAAATACCCACGAGACCGATAATGATAAACAAATCAATAACAAAATAGAAGATGGAGAACAAAATATGAATACTACTACTACGGCGCAACCGACATTGAATAATTATCAACAGGTTCATCATCGATCACAAGTAAAAACCTACACTCCACCAGTATTGGGTTCACCATCGGGATCATCAGGTGGTATTGGGACAACTCCTGTTGTGAGCATTTACACGAAACCACACTTGATGAAAAGGTTGAAACAATTTTTGGATCATTTTGATAGGGCTCCACAGCAAATGTTTATTGATTTTGCTTTTGTTGAAGTTGAAGAGAATGATGTGTCACAATTCAGATACAAGTTGCAACATCCAATATTGCAATCAATTTATGGACCAACAGTGGATGAACAATTACCACTCTATCAGAATGAATCAACCTCTTCATCAGCTAGATTACCATCCTCATTGACACCTAGATTGTAAAAACATTGTAAAAATTGCAGCAAAATTAATGCAGTTTTTAGCTGTATAAAGTGATGTTAAGGCTATAAATATTTCCCTAATCGATGGTGAGTTGGTCGAGTGGTCTAAGACGACACGTTAAGGTATTATTAATACCGTGTTCCGCAAGGGCGTGGGTTCAAATCCCACACTCATCAAATTTTTCATACAAGAATAAAATCAAACGTAATGTCAAACAAAAAAATGACAGAAACCAAACAAACATTTTATGGATGTGGACAAGGTTTTTGGTCGACATTGTCTGCCCTTCCATGGACAAAGGATATAGTACGTTAATAGCAATGTATAATGTACATTAAAATCTATAATATAGCAACCAGATCAATCAACCTTTTCAAAAATTGATTTTCTAGAATATTATTCCTTCCATGATCCGATCATACAATTTGAAATAACTTCCACCTACTCGTATGAATTTTGTTGTTTCCTAACAAAAAGTGGTAAGGTGTACACTCTCGGAACACGAAATGATTGTGGATGGCTGGGTGTAGGAGATTTAGACTCACGACAAATTCCCACCCCAATAGAATTTGAGGATTTAAATAATGATGATCAGATTGTACAGATTAGACTCGGAGAGAAACATGCCTTATTCTTGTCCAGGTTGGGAAGAGTTTTTTCATGTGGAAGTAATAGTACAGGTCAATTGGGTAATCCTTTGAGAAAGGAATGCAACAAACCTGTGGAAATATTACAGAGCTTGTTTGATTCACCAATTAGAAAGATTTTCACAGGCCCTTCCCAATCCTTTTTTGTTTCTGAAAAGACAACCGTTTATGCATGTGGAAATAATAATATTGAACAATGTTTCCTCATTGATGACGGTGATTTTAAGATGACTTTTCAAGTCAATACACCAACAAGCATTTTCTGTAATTTATGTCTACACACTTCTAGATCCTTTCCAATAGCAGATGATATTGTTGGAGGAGAAACTCGAAGTGTTTTTCTAGAAAAAGGACAAAAGGCCACCTTTTCGAATTCAGATTATATGATAGTTGAATATGCCAATAATAGACCTCAACATGATCCATGTTATGTAAAACCAGCAGCTCAATTGGTTGCAGAGGGTGTCAAAAAGATAGTTCTGGGAAAGTCAAATATCATTTCTCTTCATTCGAATGGAGAATGCTTTGTGAGTGGAGCTGGAACCTTATTGGGTATTGGAACACGTGAGCAGGTTTACCCATTTGAGAAAATTCCTCTCAATGATGAATATATTGATGATGTTTGGAGTGGGCCCTATCATGTGATTTTAAAAACATCTAGCAGAAAATTATATGCATTTGGCTCTAATCGATTTGGAGAGCTTGGTAAGAACTCAAAGACTGTCTCATTTAGGGAGCCACAACTTATCAATCTACCTTTTGAATGGAAGGAAGGAGAGGATGTGAGAGTAATATGTGGCAATAATAGTACTCTTGTAATGCATGAAACTCCATTACTATCCACTCAAGAATTAATTGCAACCAATACCGTAATGCTTATCGATGAATTGAGAGACTGTAGTCAATTCTTCCATGTAGAAAATTCAAAGATTCATGTCTTTTTACCTTTAATCAAAAGGATATCCAAAGATTTGCATTCGTTACTTATCAATAGAGAGTTTACTGAGAGGCTTAAAGCTGAAGAAGGCGAAATTTTATTTAGAATTTGTAAATTTATCAGTTGTGAGCTATCTTTGGCGACTGAGGAAGAATTCACCAACAATTTTCAATCAAATGAGGCAACATCCAATACAACAAAAGAGGAAGAATCATACTCTGACAGATTATTCATTTATTTCGATAGATTCTTATCCAAATTATCTGAAGAAAATATTGAAAAGGATTTAGTCACTTGTTTATTTATACTTAATGACATTTCAGATGTTGGAATTTATTTCAAGACATTTTTATTCAATGAGTTAGCAAACAGAATAACTGTTGAGAATGTAATGGATATTCTTACATGGACCTCCAATTATCTATCATGGAAAGTTTTAAAAAATTCAGAAACTAGTATCTTGCTCCTACTTGTCAAGAAATGTTTTGCTTTTATTAAGGCCAACTATAATGAATGTCACAATAGGTATGGATCATTGGATTCCTTTTTGAAAATCAAACCAAAAATAGATCAAACTAAAAAGACATTCTTTGCTGTTCAGGTTCAATGGAAGGAAGACAATATCTTAATGAATTTGGAACAATCTTTGGTCACCTTAATAGAAGATACATCTAGTGATTTGAAGGTAATTATTGATTCCAACTCTGAGCAAGTTATGAATCTTCACAAATGTGTCCTAGCTGTGAACAGCCCAGTTCTTTCAACAATGATATCCAATCTATCAGAAGATTCCACCATTAATTTGCTCGAGTTTATTTTAATGATGTCAGACAATTTGAATGAGATGTTTTTCGAGCATTGCAAAAAATCTAGATGTGAAATTCTAAGAATTGTCTTGGAAATGTGTTATGGTAAATTTGAAGAGTATGACCTAAATGAATGGATTTGTATTCTCTTCATTTCTCATCAATTCCAAATGGAGTTTATTGTAAAACATTGTTGTACCGAGCTGATCAAGCATTTATCTGTTGGAAACAAGAGTAATATTCATTTATTCTTTTATCTTGCTACGGTAAGTATTTTATTTCAAAAATTTGAATCTAATAGGTTTGTTTAGGTACTGGAAGTTGATTCATTGTGCAAGGACTTTGTGGAAACATTTGTAATTCACTGTGCAAGATTGTTCACACCAGAGGATTTACAAAATATTCTCAAAATGTATAGCGAAGAAAGATTTACTCCAACCTTTGTAAAAAGAGTCAGATTATTGCAAGATTTAATTTATAAAAAGCATGTTGAAAAGTAAATAAGAATTAACAGGCTTACTTCTCAAAGTTGGAAAAACGTTGAAAATTGAGGGCAAAATTTGATGAGTGTGGGATTTGAACCCACGCCCTTGCGGAACACGGTATTAATCATACCTTAACGTGTCGTCTTAGACCACTCGACCAACTCACCATCAATTTCTACTCCCATATATTTATTTATATTCCAACCAGCTTTCAAGCTGATGTTTATTAAGGTTTCTTGTAGAATCCTACTTGGTCCATAATTTCACGAAGTGCCACTTGTGTTACATGATTAGCATAATCAGCACCATCTTGAACAACTTGATGAATGAATTCCGGGTTATTCAAGTAGTGTTTGTAATTTTCTCTGATTGGCCTAATAGATTCGATAACAACCTCTGCCAATTCCTTTTTGAATTTAGAATTAGCTTGTTCAGTAATGTGGGAATAGGATTGAACAACTTGTTCTGCTGTCATTCCTCTCAATGCTGCATAAATATCTATCAAATTTGTAACCTCAGGTCTTGTATCCTTATTATAGTAAATAGGCCCATCCAATGTGTCAGTCTTGGCCTTCTTAATCTTTTGAAGAATGACATCATCTTCATCAACTAAATTAATTCTAGACATGTCACTTGTATCACTCTTACTCATCTTTTTAGTGCCATCTCTCAAACTCATAACACGATAGGCATGAGGTGGATAAATTCCTCTAGGAACATCAAACAATCCATCAAATTTGAAATTCATTTGTTGAGCAACTTCTTGTGCCAATTCCAAATGTTGTCTTTGATCGTCACCAACTGGAATGTACAATTCATTTCCCTTTAAACTATACAGTAAAATATCAGCACTCATTAATACAGGATAACTCACTAAACCAATTGAACTGAGATCATTCTTTTTATCCTTATAGTGATGCATTCTCTTTAATCTATTTTCTGTAATAAAACATCCAAGAATCCAAGAAAGTTGAGAGTGAGCTGGAATTTGAGATTGGAAAAAGAGTGAACACTTTTTAGGATCTAATCCACAGGCAAGCAACATGGCAATTAAATTAAATGATGACTCTTTGAGGGTTTTAGGATCTTGAGGAACTGTGATGGCATGTAAATCAACAACACAAAAGAATTTCTTGTGAAATAATGGACCACTTCCATCGAGTGGAATTGTTGATGGTTTTTGTGTTTCCTTATCCTTTGGATGGATCAGGGTTTCAATTTGTTGAATGTTATCATCATTACATAATGTAACCCAATTTTTAACAGCTCCTAAATAATTTCCGAGGTGAAGATTTCCTGTTGGTTGAATTCCCGAAAAAACAACTCTATTAATTGATGATGTGTTATTATTGCATAAATTAGTAGTGGTGGAAAAGAGTCTTTGGGATAATGAAGACTTGGTGTATTGTTGAAAGACTGATGCTGACTTTCTGTTGAAAAGTGTTTTTGAAAGCATTTTTTTGATTTTTTAAATTGTGAGAATTGTCCAGAAAGCTATTCTCAGAATTAATTTGTTTTATTGTTCAGTAACTCCTTGAATACTCCTCAAACACTCCAGCTTATTAATACTATTTGTGGTCTCTCAGGTTTATTTATTAATACTATTTCAATAAATAAGATTGTATCAATGTCTGAGGTTTAATTAAAAAAACTAGATTTATTTACAAAATTAATGGTTGACAACACGACAAATTTCCTTCAAAAGTTTAGTAGAAAGTGAGGACATCTTTTCATCGTAGGTTGAGTTGGAGAATTGTTCTTCATCTACCATTTCATCAGATTCTTCTTCCTTCTTAACCAAAATAGACTTTGGGAAGGAGAGAGAAATCTTGTCAGTATCAAAAACAACATTGATACGGGAAGCCAAATCATCAATAGTTGGCTTTTCAGATTCTTCAGAATTTTCAGAAGCTTCAGATCTGACTTGTTGGAATGTTTGATAAATTTCAGCAACATTCTTCTTAAAGTCCTCATCAACAAACGGTTTTTGGGACGCATCTATAGAAACATCTACCATTGTATCCTTTTGATCTGTTGATGCAAGCTTTCTGGAAGCTGGACTCAATCTACTAGTAACAGATTCAGTTTGTTCAGTTGTTGTAGTAGTAGTAGTTTGACTATCAAACTTGATATCAGAAGAATGTGGTAAAACCAAAAACATAGCAACACAGAACAACATAATAAACATGACAACTCTTCTAGATGATGAGGCAGCTCTTGGATTGAGTTGAGCCATGTCAGGAGCAGCTTGTTGTGTTTGTTGCAATTGTTGTTGCATACCAAAGAGACTCCAAAAATCTAACATGAATGGATTGGCAAATGATCTGGAATCCATTGGAATTGGTACCTTCATTTGTCCAGAAGATGTCATTGGAGCCATCTTTCTCTTCTTATTGCTTGGTTCTTCAACATGTTCACCTAGCATCTTTAAACGTTGTCTGAGAATTTCATTTTCTTCTTCCAAAGATACAACGTGTCCTTGTAATTCATTGAATTCTTGGGCAAGACCATCAACCTTCTTTTCCAGACCTTGAATATAAATCTTTTTACGTTCTCTAGAAGCTTGAGCAGACTCACGATTCTTGATGAGACGACGTTGTCTCTTTAATTCCTTTTCTTCTTCAGGAGTCAAAGCTTTACCATCTTTACCATCCTTCTTGGATTTTCTCTTTCTCTTCTTTTCTTCAGATTTCTTTTCAGATGAAGATGAAGAAGAGTCAATTTCTTCCTTTTCAGAGGATTGATTAGAGTTATCAGAGTCTGTTGGTTCTGGTGTAGAGGCCTTTGTCGATTTTTGTTCATCTGAAGTGGTTGTAGAAGGACTAGTTGTTGTAGTTGTTTCTTCATTCTTGGATGTTGTTGAAGAAGTAGTTGTTGTAGTAGTTGCTGTGGTTGTTGTTGATTTAGTATTCTTCTTTGCTGATTTTCTTCTGGAGGCCTTTGTTTTAGATTCAGCTGGTTGTGTAGTGGCTGCTGAAGTAGTAGTAGCAGTTGTACTATTTGATGTATTCGATGAAGGTGTAACACCATTACTATTATTCGAGTTTGGACTTGTTGCAAGACCAATTGGTGATGTATTTGGTGATGTATAGATAAGATTATTGTTTGGGAATGGGAATGGTTGATTACCGAATTGTGGGAATACATTAGGGAAGGTGTGTGGGAAGTACATTCCAAGTTGTCCCATCAATTGTGGATTTTGATATCCCATAAAACCTGGTTTTTGGTTTTGATTATACATAAAGTTATTCAGTGGATTAAGTGAGGAGAATTGATTATTAGCATTTGGAGTATTAGTTTGATTATAGAATGGATTAGCAGCAGCCAAATCTTCTTGTTTTAAACCCTTTTGCTTTTGAGCATTCATATCAAAGTCGTTACCAAAAACATAACCATCACTGATAACATCATAGGTAATTTGTTGTTGTTGTTCATTAGAAGAATTGGTATGATCGGTACCACTGCTACTAGTTGATAATAAACTTTCAGTTGGACTTTGATAAAAGTTGAGTGGTACTTCCTGTTCTTCTTCTAAGAAGAGGGATTCAAAGTCAAAGTTATTTGTTGGGGAGGCGTAACTCATCTTTTTAAATGTATGTACACAAGTGTTGTTATTGGTGCTAGTGATAGAATAGTTGAACAATCAATAGTGGTTGGATTAATAAACAACAGTAAATAGTTGGAAGAGGATGAGGAGGAATAAAAAGACTGAACGTGGTCAGGACCTCTCTTGTTTGCAAAATTTTTTTAGCTAATGTAGTTATTAAAATTATCTTAACCGTTGAGTCACTCCTCAAAGACACTTTGCCTCAGAGAGAAAATAGGCAGAGGGCAAGAAAGGAGTTTGTTGATGCGTGGTGGGAGTAAAACAGCTGTTTGTTGTTACACACAACAGTTGGTAACGTGAACTGTGAAACTTAAAATAGGCAAGGATGAAGAAATGAAATGGAACCAATGACGCAAATCAAGGTGATTACAATACTGAAAGTTCGGTTTGTTACGGAAGCAAACAAAAAACGATTGGATGTATGGTGTTGGCAGCTCAACGTTGAGAGTCAAACACGTGTTAGTTGAAGGGATGATGTTTTTGTTAGAATCACTTTTTCTGACACTTTTTATTGAAAAGATGAAAGTATTTAAAAGTAATAATAGATAATTGTTCAATCGGGCCAAGTTTTCCTGATGTATTTGGATTACAAAGTTTGATTATGGTGTGAAAGCTGGCATGTTACTTTTAGGTACTCTCCAGTAATTTCAAATTACTATTATACGCAAAGCGAGACAATTCTAGATCTTGTAGTATGTTTTATTCTACAGTTGTATTTAATTATTGCTAGTAACATAGTTTAATAGATTACTCTTCAATATTGTAACCACGGACGAGTTAATCAATTATTATAAAAAAGATTTAAAATTATTATAATAATTAAATTAGAATCTTTTCGGATTTTTAACACAGATAATTATCAAGTAATCAATTTTAAAAAGAGGGAGTAATTTATTGTTTGGAGAGAAGTTCTTTCTTTGTATTGATAAGATTCTTCATATTCTCTAAGGCTTTGTTGAACCTCTTCACAATAGGATTGTAAACATTCAATTCCTTCTCGTAGGAACTCTTTGAAACCTCAAATGTAAATTTAGAAGACAAGTATTGAGTGGAGACTTTTCCATAAAGATCAGCCAATACTTGAAGAGTTATTTGATTGGCTAACAAATTAGATGCAGCCCTACCAACACAGTAGGCAACTGGATTGTTTTCATTATTCAATATTTGTGTCACTGGAGTAACAATATCCAAGTATCGGGTTGCATTATCACTATTTGGATTTTTCTTATCAAATGTTAATTCTAATTTCAATGGTGGTAATTTAGTGTCGTTGTTACTGTTGGTCATTAAGGATTGAGTTGTTTTGGAAAAATCTTCAATTTGATACACAGTTCCGAATGGATCAGCATGTAGGAATGATTCCCTTACATTGGTGATTTTGGATAATTGTTTTGAAACCATCTCTCCAACCTGAATAGAGAGGTCTGTCTTGGTAAGATTACTAGCCACTTCTTCTGTGAGAGAGTGTTCCACATTCATGAATTGTATATCTCCAAAGTTATCAATAGAAATGTTTGGAATACCTTCCTTAATAGCTGTTGTTGTTGAGGTTTTTGTTGTTTTGGAGGTTTTTAATGTCTTTGCTGAGTGAACACTCCCAGTTGCAAATAATAAAACAATTGCACAGAGCATTACAATTGTGATGACGAATCCAACACGATCCTTTCTGGAAGACTCCACAACAACTCTCATCCTTAATTTAAATAATTTATTTAACTGATGGTGATGTTGATTAAGAGGAAACAACCAAGATGAGGAGAGTTGTTTGCGTTTAAATTTTTTACTGATGATAAACAACAACTATTTACGAGTAATAATTTGTTGGTTGTATTAGATGAATGTAATGTCATGTTCTCTTCCTTTCTAGAAATAATTAATCACTAATACTAAATGTAAGTTAACAGTAGCAAGGTAAGATTAAAAATCCTTTTATAAAATCTTGAATAGAAACAATGTTTACAAAAAAATCCAATAAATATCAAACTCCTCAAAACTCCTTGAAACCTTCCACTTTGGTACTGAGAGAGTAGAGAATATCAATTAGATTTATTAGATTTTCATTCTAAACCATTAAATTGTCAACTAGTATTCTTCACCAAATAATTTCGGCGATCACATGGTTTCTCGCTCCATTGAAATCTCGTTTGTGTTCAAAAAAATGTCGTTCAGAAATCATCAAGGAGGAGAGGTTTCCAAACCACTCATTAATAATAATGCAGCACTCTATTCATCTCCCTATTCAACAATACCAAACTCTTCATCACTTCCGTCATCATCATTGGAAGAAAAATCATCATCTTGCACTAAATGGAAGGAACAAGTGAAAGGGTGGAGAAGAATTACATCACACATTTTGGCAATTATTATTATTCTTTCCGTGTTGGGATTTGCAGGAGCATATTTTGGAGAACATGATTTGAAAGGAGCTCCAACATGGAAACTTGGTTTACTCATGTTGGTTTCTGTTAGTTTTGGATTTGTTTTGATTCAAGGAGCTTTTGGATTTGGAGCTCACTTTAGAGTTTTATATAAACAACAATATGAACCAGTCATGATTGAATTGAGGGAGGAAAGTGAGGATGAGGAAAAGAAAATGAAGAATATCTTACCACCTTCAAAAGTATTACCACAATTTTCAACAATGCAAGCTCATGCAGTAATGATTGCAATTGCTACCTTCCTCTTTTCAATGTTATACATTATCGATAAGGCTGCTGGATGGAAAATGTACGCCCCAGAAGCTTCACCAATGACTATCTCAATCATTTTGGGAGGTTTCTTGTTCGGTTTTGGTATGGTAAGTAATCACGATGTGAAATATTTCACTAACTTGACAAACAGCAATTGGGTGATGCTTGTGCAAGTGGTACCTTATTTACCATTGGTATGTTCACTGATTAATTCAATTTTCTATAATATTTAAATTATAGGTGCTGGTAGTTTATGGAGTGTATATTTGTTGGTTTTCTTTGTTGCTGGAAGTGTTATTGCTACTGCTTTGCAAAGTGCAGGAGATTGGAACATTTCATTCCCAAATCATGTCGGTCTCTCATTGCTCTTCCCAGGAGCTTTCTTAAAGAAGGGTTATGGAATTGCCTTTTTACAAAAACATGCTTGGTTGGAATATTTGATTGCAGTTTTTGCCATGTGTACACAAATTACTATTTTACTTGCTTTTGCTATTGGAGTTCATTTCTATAATAAGAGAAAGCAAAAAGAAGCTTCTAGAGAAGGATTAATTAATCAAGTAGAGAATGAAGAAGTTCAACTTTCTACATCTCAAAAGATCAAGGAATTCTTTTCAAATATTATCTTTAAATTAATTTATGGACCTTGGGATATTATGAGCACTGGTATTGCTTTGGCCTTTTTCAACTTTTTCTTCCTTCTCATCACTCAACATCCTATGGGACTTACTGGTCCATTTGCAATTATTGGTTGTAAGATTTTGGATGCCATTGCTCCAAATTTAAATGTTCCTGGCTGGTCTGCTTGGAAGGGTACTGATCTTAGAAAGGCTAACATGCTTTTCAATCCAAACTTTATTCTTGATTTTGGTATTGTTTATGGTGCCATTATTGCCACTTTATTGAAGGGTAAATTCCCAAGTTTCCTAGATGGAATGTCTTTGAAGAGTTTTGCTCCAAAGAGAACTGACGAAAATGGAGATAGAGCTTCTGTGTTTTTCACCATTTCTAATTATATTTCAAGATTTGTTGATTGGATTAAGGATAACTTTGGAATTGCTATTGCAAAGATTATTGGAGGTATTGCTATGGGTATTGGTGCTAAATTCGGTTATGGTTGCAACATTGGAGCTTACTTTTCAGGCGTTAGTTGCATGTCCATTCATGGTTACACTTGGATTATTATGGCCTTGTTTGGTGGTTATCTTGGAGCAGTTGCTAGACCATACTTTGGGTACAAGAAGAGAAAAGTTGCTTGTGGAGTCTGTGAAAGTACTCTTGCTATCCATTAAATTTGATTTTTTAAATTGTTTCTGAAAAACTTGACTTTGCTGCTTGGAACGTGTAAAAAGAACTGAAAAAAATGCCCACTTTCTCACTTGGCAGAGATTTCAATGCAACACCATCATCAAACCAATCAACACAAAAACTGATCACTCCTCGAAAATTATTGGTGGGAATTTTAGGAGTGTGTTTTGTGTTTCTGGTGATTTATCAATTTGGATTTTTTATAAAGAAAAAGAAACCAATACAGTTGGAAGGTAATGAAGGAACAAAACCTAATAACCCTGCAGTTTTACCTCTCTTGGTAAAACCAAATAATAATAATAATATTGAAAAAAACAATGAAAATCGCCAAAAAGGTTCAGGAAGGATTGCTAAAAATCCAACGGAAATAGAGTTGGAAAATTATGAAGGAATTTCTGATTACCTGAACAAGGATTTGAAAACTCTTCCTTACTTGGGTATTGTTATGCCTACAATACCAAGAGGTCCAAAGCAACAATTAAAAGTTGATTATTTCACACCAACTTTGGCCTCATATCATGCAGAATTTCAAAAACATCCAATTCTTGGCAAGTTAATCTCCATGTATGTTATGAACATGAGAGGAAATGAAAAACATGAACTTTTTGAAAAATTACACGATCAATATAAGGAAACAACTTATGGAAATGAGGAAAGAAAGGTTTGGAATTTTAACAAATTGGATACTAGTGAGGTATATCAAGCTCCTGATGGAAAATCTATTATTCCTCCAACTGCACACAGACAAACCTCAGATGTTATACATTTTCTCTCTTCTGTTGACAAAAAGACCAAATATTTACTAATTGTGGAAGATGATTTTCTTGTTTGTGAACTTGCTCTCACTACAATCTTACACTTGATTGAAAAATCAAATGCTAGATATGGAGAAAATGGATGGGCTGCCATTCGTATTGCAAGTGGACTCAACGGTATCATTATGAGAAATGAAAATGGAGATGTTGCAGCTTATGCCGAGCATTTGATTAAGAGAATTGGAAAGAGACCTCCAGATCACTTATTTACTGAATTTGCTGCAAGAGAAACACCAAGTTCACTAGCCTATTTTGGAAATAGATATATGGTTGCCTATAAGTATAACTTGTTATTTCATCTTGGTAAAGTTAGTACCATCAGAGCAACTGAACACTACGATATGCCAAAATGTTGGGAAACTTTGATTTATCCAGTTTCATTTGAAGTTGAAGCTTTTGATCCAAAACAATGTCCAACAGACGATTTGTGGCCATGTACCAAATATACAAGAATTCAATCGCAAGTAGTTGCAGATATCCCAATCGTAGATGTCACAAATACATTCCCGACAATGAGGCCAATGAAACTAGGTAGTTCCAATACTGAACCAAAAGGTGTTGCTATATAAAATGTTCTAATTTTGAAAATATATTTACAATGTTATTTACATTATTGATCACTTAATCCCTTTCCAAACATTCCCATCATCATTTTCTTTTCCTTGACCTTGTATTGTTTCTTCAATTCTTCCAATTTTGAGTAAGCTTGTTTGACAAGTGGGTCATTTGGAATTTCTTTTGAAACCAATTCCAATTCTCTTTCACTATTGTCAATATCTCCAAGTCCAACATGGGCTAAAGCTTTACGTAAATGACCTTTAGTATTTGATGGTTCCAATTTCAAGGCTCTTTGAGCATAATCAAGAGCTTGTTCATATTTGTTCAATTTCAAATAGCATTGTGAAAGGTTCAAACTGGCAAGAACTTGGAGTTGCTCAGTTTCTGAGAGACTTTGACCAGAAGAGGCTCCCTTCATCATGTTTCCGCCCATAACAGACATTAAATTCGAATCAAGTCCAGTTACATAGAGAAAGATTGTCTTGTATTGTTTGATGGCCTTCAAATATTCGCCCTTCTTGAAATGTTCATTTCCTTCTTCCTTTAATTTTTTAGCAAAATTAATCTTTTCTTCATTGCTATCTGGAATTTCGTTGCTGCTCATGATGATCTAAAAAATCTGGTGATTCCGATGATGTAGTAGTGCAGGTGACCTCGAAGATTGATTCCTGTTCTTTTGATCAATTTTTTTTTAAATTTATTTTTAAGTTTCTTACTTTTCGGAAATTTTGCTTCCGAAGAATTATTTACAAATAAATCAACCAAGTTATTTAATAAATGAATGAAAATGATAATTATTTTACTGTGTGTGGCCACAGTACGTTTTTATGTCAAATCTCAAATTTTAATCTGCCCAAATTAATTGTACCAGCAAGTCATTGACCTCTTCAAATGAATATCCACATTGTTCCAGAATTACTTGAGCTTCATCAGATCCCATTAATCTTCCTTTTATCATTGTCTTTAATTGTGAGAATAGCTTTTGCTCGAAAATATTTTTCAAATGTGGAAGAGAAAGTGAAATGGTGAGGGAAATGACTTGAACCAATTCAAAATCAAAGAAATCCATCTCAGGAACTGATTTTTCACATAGTTCAGTTAAATCATCAAGTCCTAATTTTTGAGAGAGTAACAAGAGTTCAAATACATTACTCTTGTTAATTGAAATTCTATTACTATAAATGTATCGAATAATATCTGTCAATATTTGAAAGTTGGAGCATTCTACATGTATGACCGGTATTTCATTCTTTGATTCAGTTTCTCTAATTTGGAATGCCTCTTGAAAATCACTATTAATTAAAACATCAATGAATGGACAGTGTTTCATTAAGAATGATTTGTGTCCAAAAATTTGCTCCTCTGAGTGTTCTGGCAATTCAGTAAATTCATCGACATGATCATCAGTAGCTTCTGGAGGTTGTTGCTCAATAATTAAATTGCACATAAATTTTTTGAGAGTTTCCAAGGGATTATTTGGTGGTTGAGTTGTTGTGAAGAAAATTCCATCAGCTAATTGTTCCTTTAGCATTCCAAAGAGAGTGTCATAGATTTTTGCCTTTCTAATTTCACTCTCACTTTCAAAATTATTGAGAGAGGCTGAATCCTTATATAGAAGGGAATTGATTGGTTGAATACCAAGAGAGTTCAACAGGGTTAATATTTCTTGGAAATATTCCTTATCCTTTCCTAATATTAAATCTTCTAATGATCTAACAGGTGGAAGGAGTGTGCTCTCAGTTGGATCATTATCTAAATTAACAAATTTTGAAGTATATAAATAAAAGACAATCTCATCGAAAGCTTGTTTGTGAAAATCAATATTTCCTAAATGAATATTCCACAATTGACTTGTTGGAAGAAGGAGAGATTTTAAACCTGTTTCATCAAATTGTTTCAAACATTCATGAAGATTTTGAATCTTCTTTTCATGCTTTACAAATATTGAGGAATGTTGTTCAATATTACTCTTTGCTTTTGCAATTTCAAGTTTCAATTGTCTAATTTGATTTCTAAATTCCAATTGATCCAATACTTTATCATTAATACTTCCAAAATACTTTTCAATTTGCTTGTTTGTATTTAAAGTAGCAAGGAATAAATCATTTTCAGTGACAATAGCCAGTTCCTCTCTTTTAATTTCTCCTTTCAATTCTGAATTGAGTGCATATCCAAGTAACATTGGCCATCTTTGCCAAATTACTAACGGATGAAAATAATAAGTTGAATCGACATCTTGATCTCTGAATCTGCATTGAACACTAATTAATCTATCACAAGCACCATACACCAGAGAATCAAAACTATCATTTAAATCACAATGTTCCCACAGATGAAATTCATCCTCTCCCTTCTTCATCAAATTGTGGATGGTATCAAGTCCGAGAGATCGATGTGCTAATGAACATAAATAACGAAAGAGAGTACCTGATTCCATACCAACATCATTAAAAGACGATGATTGGAAATCTTCCGACGAGTACTCCTCTACAAGTTTACTTTTGAATGGTTTATATTGGTGTGATGACATTTTTTTAGAACTTGTAAACGAAATGTTTGACAGAATCATTTCTGAAATTGAAAACAAGTTGGAAGTTTACTGAGAAAGAGTTTTTGTGTTTTTACAACGTTATAGGTTTATTTAGAGATGAAAGCTTTGAGTAATTTAACAAATGATTGAATACCAATAGCTCCAGAAGTTGAAGTCTTTTTTCCAGCATGGGTAAATGTGAAATAAGGAACTCCACTTGTGACACGTTGTGTTTTTTTGGCTTCTTCCTTGACAGCTTTTAATTGTTCATCTGTGTAGGCAGAGACTGAATGAACATCCTCCAAAAAGAAGGTTTCAGAAATTTGATCTTGTAATTTCAAATCCTTAACAATATCATTCATAACTGAAACTTGAGAGACATCCCTTCCTTCCTCAAAATAAGCTCTAAAAACTCTATCAGCTACCTTATTTTGCATATCAGAAGTTTGATGTGGATATAATTGTTCAACATATCGAATCAATCTGTGTCCATTTAATGTATTACTGATTGGTACTTTCATATTGGCAACATTCATTGTTTTAATTCCCAATTCCAATCCACTATTTTCAATATGGTTGAGCATTGGCATGGATTTGAGTAATAATTTTGGATCATTTTTCATATCTTCACTCAAATTCATTCCAAATTTCATTTTGAAAAATTGATCACGTGACATTCCTCCAGCTGGTACATTTGGATTCAACAAGAATGGTTTCCAATAAATGGTATATTTTAAATCGGATGATGAATCGGATCCAATTGGTTTAATATTTAATTGTTCCAATGCTTTTTCCAATTGCAATTTACCAAGGAAACAGAATGGACAAGCAATATCCGAAATGATTTCTACATTTAAAACAGATGATGATTCATTATTTACAGAATTGGTTGTTGATGTGCTGCTGCTGGTTGTGGTCGTTCTTTGACAAGAATCTTCTCCACAAATGTATGCTTCTTGATGTTGACTCATTTTTTTGAATTTGTTATTTGAGGATTGGTTGGATACGCTGACCTCTTTAATGAGGTGAGAAAATTAGAACGCACGCTTTAAAGATTACCGACACCCAATGTCCAACGGAATGGATTTTTGAAATTTGGCAAATAAGGTGATGAATTAGTACATCCTTTCTTCAAATGCATTCAAACTTCACAAGAAGAGATCAGATGAAAACTGTGAATTACAGAGATTTCAAATGATATAGCTGTGAATAATTTCAATATTCTTTTGAATTAAAAAAATCAAGTTTAATTAAATTTGAAAGTTTACAAATACTTCTTCAAAACACCACCAAAAGCATGATAACTGGTAATACCTAACAAGCCAACAAGAGACAAAAAGAAGATTCCAAATCCAGCAGATCTCTTAGCTGGATATCCAATACCATACAAAACTCTTCCAACAGCATAGGTCAATCCCAATCCACCAACCAAGGCATCATTTTGAGAGGTCAAAGCAGCAATCCACAAAGATGACATGGTAACTGGCAAATATTCAAGACCATTTGAACTCTATAAGCATTTTCAAATTCCAAATGACCTAAATTTAATTCCGATCAAAATTAATAATCAAAATATCAAACTCTACATACCGGTAACAGCAGGAGCTTTAACACCATACTTGATTCTAGCATTACCAACTCTCAAGGCAGTATAAATATAATACAAAAGATTAACAGCAGAGGCAGAGAGAACGAGTGGATACTTTTCAACGAGAGACATTTTTTTTGATTGTGTTTATTCCTAGAAAGATGTTAAGCAATTTAATGTCCAGGTGGTGCGTGCGTACTTTGAATAAATAAGCGTCGCACTGGTGTTTACAATTCCCTATCAATATTGAACTTTGAAGTAGAGCTCTGATTGTTGTTTCACAAAAAACAAAGTGTTACTTTTCTTTATTGTTAGGATTGAGTGGTTGCTTGGATCGATATTTTGTGCTTGATTCTCTTAATCTCTTCTCAGCTGAGTAAGAATCTGTAAAGAATTCATCCTTGTAATTGATAATATCTCGATATTGTTTTCTCTTCTTTGTGGAAGTTCCAATAAATTCCATAAACAGTCCACTATTCATTATATTGTTGGACTGTGTTGGATTTGAAACATTTTGTGAGGAATTATCTGTTGAGATTGATGGACCATTGGTAGTACCATTCTGAAAGGGATAAGATCCTGTTGAACTGTAATCTGAATCGTTAGTACTTTCTGATTGATTTACAATGGGAGAAAGTTTCGAGTTTTTTGATTGAAAAATTCCCTTTCGTTTCTTTTTAGGTTGGGATTGCTTTTCCATAGAGAATGTTACATTGGTTACCTCTACATCATCAGCATCAACTGAAGGAGGTCTTGGTAGCTGAGGTTGAGAGGATGAATTCAATGATTTGAAATTGTTATTTGGCATAAACTTGATTTGCTTTTTCTTTTCCTTCTTATTCTGTTGTGATTCAATGAGCGCATCTGTATTAGGTGTTATTGGAGGTGAATTATTTCTTCGCCTACTCCTTATAGGACTATTGTTAAGCTGTGGTTGTTGATTCATGTTTGAAGGTGATGAAAGGAGTGTGTTGTTTTGAGTGGTGAGGTATTGTTGTTGAGGAGGTGATGTTGGAGAGAGCAATAACGAGGTTGCTGAAATGATTGGTGTAACATGTTGATATTGTGTTTGGTTATGAGAGGAATTGTACAATGGGGTAAATGGATTGTGGCAGTAGTGAGGTGGAAAAGGCGAAGACAATTGAGAATCTTGAGTGGAATGATAATTGAATGGACATGTTGGAAAACTCACTGAAGGTGAATCTATTATACATGTTCCAATATTGCCATTATTATAATTACATTCTAAGGTAGTTTGTTCTAACGATGACTGTAATGAGGGAAGAGATGGATTAATGCAACTCGTTGATGGTTGTTGTCTATCCCAAGTACTTGTGTTGATGTTGATGGAAGGTAAAGTTGAATCATTTGAAACACCCAATGTTGATATCAATGAATGAAAACTTGGTAAAACAGTTTCTTGTTGCTTCTGGCCATTATTTTGTTGCATGATTGAAGTATTGCGCAGTACTTGAAGCAAATGCCAACTGTCAATTAGGGCAATTTTTATTGATAATTTTCATTTGATGTTTTGTGCATCCCACAGTAATGCAACTTGTCTAAAAATGATACTGTACCAAACCCTTTCCAGTCACAAATCAAAATTAGAATTTTTTTGGGCAAGAGAAAAATGCCAAAATCAATTTGCCAAAGGCTTTTCTGCTTCAATCCCATTCTGCAATAATCTGCAATAGGTGAAATTTTTCAGTTGCTTACTCGTTGTATTTTCTACAAAAAGGGAAATATTGAGCATGGATACTTTCTAATTAGCCATGAAGCTCATTTTCTGTTTGGAAATAGCTGGAGAACTTCATTTGTTCTGATAATTCTACTAATTAGATTTGACTCTTCCTCTCCAATTACATTCCATGTCTTGATAATTTGAAGCAAGGCATCATCATTTTCCTTGCTAATGATGTCATGTTGTTGGGAAGTAGAGTTGTTGGATGAAGGTGATTCGGAATGTTTGGATGGTGATTGAGAAGTATGATTATCGGAAGAATTAATTAATAATTGTGTGAGGTAATACTCTTTGTAAAAATCACGTAAATCCTCTCTTCTGTCTCTACTTGAAGACATGAGTATGGCTTGTCTAATTTCCTTTTGTTTATCCTTTTCAATTTGTCTCTTCTCCCAGTACGGGTGCTCATAAATATATCGGTAGATGAATTTACATGGATAATAATTGCATACAATAAATGCTGCATAGAAGAGGAAGATTTTCATGCCAGGTCTTTTAGCATTGGTATAATATCTATCATAAAAGTACCCAAATCCGATACGATCATTGTTAGCAATTTTTGAAGGAAAGAGTTTTTTTAACATTTTTTTAATATTATTTTTAGTATTATTATCTATTTTCAATCCCTTTTATAATAAATTCATAATATATTATAGAAACAATTTGTGTGATTTGAAATTCTCATTATTATTTCAATAAAATTTATTTGAATCAAATGATGGCTTTTGAGGAATGTTAACTCTTTGAGGAAGAGGATCACCAGTGATTGGATTACAACCTGTACTTGATCCTCTCTGGTACAGTAAATCTGCTCTGACAGCTCCTCTATATTGTCTCATTTGATCTTCATAGGTTTGTAATTTTCGGTGTTCAGCATCTAAGGGTTGTTTTGTAATGATATTATAACCTGCCAATCCTTGATTCTTCTTTTCAGTTCCAACCCTATTCTCGAATGTCTTTTGTTGTTTTTCAAATTCCTCCTTTCTCTTTTCAAGACGTTCCTGCTCTCTCTGAGTAAATTCATTTCTCTTTCTCTCAGTAATATTCTTGACTCGATTTACTTCCATATCCCTCTTTGCCTTCTCCTCTCCTGCACTATCTCCGTGAAATCGTTTAGCATCAGAAACAAAACCAACTGCTGATTCCATCATTTCGAGAGGATTTGTTGAGGGTGAGTGTCTTTGAAAACCCTCTTTCCTATTTGCAAGTCGTCCTCTTTCTAGAGAATGTTTATCCCGTTCTGCTTTTCTCTGATCTCTACTATTTTGAAGAGTTACTTGATTAAATTGTCTTTCCGTTGATGAAGATTGTTTGTTACTATTATTCATGTTGCTTATTTGATGGTGGTTTTTTTCTGTACTTTTTTTAAAATTGGTTTTGGCGCCAATCTTAATGGCGCTCATGTCACAAGACACAATCAAATATTAAGAAAGCAATTACGAACCGTAGAAATGATCAGTTTAAACATTAGATAAATTACATTAATTTTACAATTGTTTTATTTAATTAGAAAAGAAAATTATTGAGAGAGCAAACCATTTTGTTCGAGGTATTCTTCAATTTGCAACAATCTATTGTACTTGGAAACACGTTCACCTCTAGCAGTAGCACCAGTCTTAATGTGAGTAGCACCAATACCAACAACCAAATCAGCAATCAAATTAGTGGCAGTTTCACCAGATCTGTGGGAAACAATGACCTTTTGGTTGACATTGAAAATCATTCTAGCAGCATTCATAGCTTCAGTGATAGAACCAATTTGGTTAACCTTCAACAACAAAGAGTTAGCCCACTTTTCTTCAATACCTTGCTTAATCAATCTGGTGTTAGTAGTGTACAAGTCATCACCAACCAACATGATCTTTGAGCCCAATCTTTCGGTCAACTTCTTCCATCCTTCATAGTCCTTTTCTTCCAAACCATCTTCAATAGAAACGATAGCAGGGTGTCTTTCGACTAATTGGGCATAATATTCAACCATTTCTTCGGAAGTATAATAATCCTTTCCTTGAGTAATTTCGTACTTTTTAGTTTCAGAATCATAGAATTCGCTTGAAGCAGCATCCAAAGCCAAAAAGACGTCTTCACCAACCTTATAACCAGCCTTAACAATGGCTTGTTCAATATAGTTCAAAGCTTCATCAGCAGTTTCCAAGTTTGGAGCAAAACCACCTTCGTCACCAACATTCTTAGCACTTGGACCAGCAGCTTCAACGAGAATCTTACCCAAATGTTGATAAACTTCAGCAACACATCTGAGCTTTTCACGGAATGATTGATTTTCCTTTGGCAAAATCATGAATTCTTGAATTTGAAGACGACCACCAGCGTGCTTACCACCATTCAAAATATTGACCATAGGAGTTGGAAGATGATACTTTAAACCTTCAGTCTTTCCATTGTGGAAAGCATTGGCCAAATACAAGAATAATTCTTCATTCTTAACAGCAGCACCAGCAGTAGCAAGAGCAAATGAAGCAGCAGTAATGGAATTACCACCCAAATTGCTCTTCAATTCATCACCATCAGCATCAATCAAAGCTTGATCAACTTCAGCAAGACTATCAAGTGATTTACCTTCAACAGCCTTTGAGAGAGTTTCATTAACATTCTTAACAGCCTTCAAAACACCCTTTCCGAGGAATCTTGACTTATCACCATCACGAAGTTCGTGGGCTTCATTACTACCAGTTGAAGCACCAGATGGAGCAGAAGCAGTGGCAATTGGTCTCTTTTGACCATTAACATAAACGTCAACTTCAACAGTTGGATTACCTCTAGAGTCCAAAATTTCTCTACCAACAATCTTATCAATTTGACCAGATGACTTCTTACCACGAGACAAGAAGAAGTTTCCGAGGAAGGAATGAACATCTGAAGCATTAGCATTGTAGCATTCATTTAAAGCATCTTCTACCAACTTTTGGAGATTGTTGTTTTGAAGATATTCGCTAATCTGTATTTGATTAATAAATAATTTTGATTGGTATGTACCGACTGAAAATCTTTAAAAAAACTTACTGGTTGTCTGTCCATGGTTATTGTTGTTGTATTTTTTGTGGCTTAAAAAAAATTGATCAAGAGAAAAATGCTTTTTTGCTTGGCAAGGTCCTTTTTGGTTCGTTTTACGAATTTGTGTTGCTCTCTTTCAAATGACCAAGTTGATTAAAAAAGAAAATATTCTGTTTGTGCTAAGTGTGCTATTTGAAGTAGATGGAGAGTAACTAAACCGAATTGTTTAATACTATTTCTTCAATTAAGAAAGTTATCCTCCATGAAAAAGTTTCATACAAGAAAGTAGTATCATTGTAAACTTCAAATTAATTTGAAGGGATATGAAATGAAATTAAGCTTTATTCCTTTTAGGATATATTGGAGAGACATCTTCAACAATGGTATCCATAAATCTAAAATTCATTGTTGGAACTTTAAAATACAAGTCATTTGACAATATTGCAGGTCCAAATTCATTATCCTTTTCAATCATTTCTCTCAGTTTTGAGTTTTTCACTATTCCAATTACCTTGATGACGTTATTCTTGTGCACTTGATTGAATTGGGTGCACTCCTTGAAAATGTCAGAAAATTCCTCCAAACTCATATCTAAATTAATGAACGGTATTGATGAGTATCCACACTGAATTTTAATATGATCCACTTGGATATTCATCATTTGTTTATGATGTGCATCTGGAAAGATTAAAATTTCAATATCATTGCAATTTTTTGATAATTTCTCCACAATACTATTTACATCTAAAATAATGTCCAATTCATTAATATTATCCTTGATTCTTTCAAAATTCCAATAAATTCCACCAATTTAAATTACATACATATTTGTGACCTTTTTCTGTTGTTCCGATGACAGAATTTTGAATTTGTATTCATACGGGTTAGCCATGGTTTTTTTCACCTTTTTTACATTCTTCTTTTTCTGTTGTTGTTGCTGTTGTTGTTTTAATTTTGCTTGTTCTTGTTTATTGGTCTTTGCGTTATTATTATTGTTAACCTTGTCCTGCTTCTGTTGTGTTTGATTGGCCTTGCTCATTTTTTATTATTAGAATTTTAAATGCAATTATTAAATTGAATTTAATAGTATATTATTTATTTTTTTTTACAATAAACAGTGACAGCCAATTTAATGGTGTCACTGCGAATTAAAAAGCTTAGCGGGAATCTGTTTTCAATTCCTTAATATAATCTTTAGCGAGACTGATATATCTTTGAGCTTCTGGAGCAGTGGAATCTTCATGAATGTACTCCTTCTCTCCCTTAGTGTTTGTAAAGATGGCAACATGTGAGCTGTTTGCGAGCAAAACTTCTGCACTGTCTTGGAACCTCACTTGAATAACCATATTGCTCAATCTGTAGGCAGTAGCTTGTTTGGTTGAGTGATACTTCTTCACATAAACATTAGAGTCCTCTCCAGAGATTTCCAATAACTCTGGTTTTCCAGTCTTTTTAATTTCTTGATCCAAGACACCTTTGAAGAATTTAATGAGAGTAATCTTCTTCTTTAATTCTTCTGGGTGTTGAACCAGAGAAAAAGTGGATTGCTTGTCAAATGGTTGCACTTGATCCTTTTGGAATTCGTAATAGTCAACTCGTTTCTTATCAGCAGAGAGAACCATCTTGGACCAATCATTAAAGAAGGCACCTGTGGATCCATTGCTGAGACGATAAGCAAGACCATAATCTGGATAGTCAATTGAGTGGACGACCTTTGTTCTTGGCACTGGAGATCGTGAAGACAACCTTGTTGGTTTCAACTTTGGAGAGGCAGAGTTGGAAGGTGATCCTCTTGTTGAGGTTGGGACTGGCGATTTGGATTTGGCTGAAAGTGGAGGCTGAGTAGATCTACTTGAGCATGGTCTGCTATTTTCATCACTTTCCCTCTTCTTTGGCAAGACTTTTTTGAATAACTTGTCGAGAACTCCATTTTCCTTTCCTCTTGCACTGAGAATGTTTGGATCAATTGATTTGAGTGGAGCTCTTTCCTCAGAAGATCTAGTGCTTCCTTCTTCAGCATCTTGTTGCTTTCTCTTCAGTGCTTCTTCTCTTTCTCTTTGAAGGACTTCTAGGTTCTTCTTGACGTCTTGACCACAGTAGCTTTGAGCATACTTCATCAGTGAGGATGGGCATCCAGTAGATTTCATAGTTTTAAAGAATTCATCATTGATTGATTGTTCTACATTTGGTCTGCTCTTTGGATCTGAACTCAAGAGTCTCTTGATGAGTTTCTTGGCTGGCTCGCTAATCTTAATATCAGGAGGGAATGAATACCTGTTCTCTTGAATCTTTCTATATGTTGATTTTACATCACTAGTTTCGAATGGTGGTGTACCAATAAGGAGAGTATACAGAATGACACCACATGACCACATATCAACCTCGTATGAGTGGCCTCTGTTCTCTAAAATTTCTGGGGCGATATAATTTGGAGTACCACACAGAGTTGTCTTTCTCTCTTGGCCATTTACTTCAGTGGCAAGACCAAAGTCACCAATCTTGACTCTCATATATTTATCCAGGAAAATGTTACCCAACTTTAAATCTCTATGAATTACTCTGCAAGAGTGCATATACCTCACAGCAGAGAGTACTTGGTAGAAAATATATTGAGCTTCTGACTCGGCGAGTCTTCTCTTCTTTTCCATGAGTTCCATCAATGATTTACAATGACACATTTCTAGCATAATGTAAGCGTTTTGGGAATCTTCAAAAAACCTTTCAAAACCAACAACGTATTTGTGGTTCATCTTCTTGTGAATCTTAATTTCAGTCATTAGTTTCTCCTTTGTCTTTTCCTTTACAAGGGAAGTCTTTGGGATTACCTTTGCTGCTAATGAAGCTCCAGAACTACAGTCTGTTACTTCGTAACACTTGGCAAAACCTCCTTCTCCCAACATTTCACCTTGCTTATATGTAGTGAGGACAGTTTTTACTCCACCCTTATCAGCAACTTCCTGTATTATTGGATTCTTTCTGCTAGAGAGAGGAAAACTTGCTGAAGAAGAGACAGGTATATTTGACCTTTTGGTTAGGGCTGCTGTCGATGTTGTTGGTTTGGACGTAGTGGGGCCTACTCCTAATCCCAAATTTCGGTTTCTGTTTATCATCTTGTTGATGTAAATTAATAATTATATTGTATAGAAGGATTAGTATTGATGATGACGATGATTGTACGATGATCTCTCTTGAATTGTTGTAGATGGTATATTAATATATTATTAATAAATTAATAAGGGAGTGATGTTGTTTGAGGTGCTTTCGAGACTTTTTCTTTCGATTGTTTTCAAAAAATAAGGTTGTTAAAACGGATAGGTTTTTACTTGTAAATAAAATGGCGGGAGAAATATGTAACAGCCATCGTTAAATAATCGATTGAAATTGAAATTGTGTAACGGCAAAAAACGACGAACACTAGTCAATCTCTATCTCCTTCTGTTCTATGTAACAATTATGAGAACAAACTAATGCAGTAACAGGAACATGACTTCATTATACCTATCGAGAAATGCCAACTAGTTGGTACCTCAATTGTAGTCATTAAGACCATAACACAATGATAAAGTAAAGTTTTTAGATTTTTCAAAATTGTTTATTTACATTAAAGAGCTCTTTGATATTTGTAATTACAAATATCTATTTATCCACAACATGTCTTATCTTCATAAACACCAAGTTCCAAATACATGAAAGCTTCAGCATTGCTTGGGTGAATACCAATCACATCATCGAATTCCTCCTTAGTACACCCCTTCTTTAAAGCCAAAGCAAAACCTTGGGTGACCTCAGCAGCATTTGGACCCAAATAGTGCAAGCCAACAACTCTTTCATTTTGATTCTTGACGCAAATCAATTTGACGAAACCCTTCTCTCCAATTTCTGCAATCTTGTGTTCCAAAATATTGAACTTTTTCTTGTAGATTACCAAATTATTTTCACCAAATACCTTCTTGGCCTTCTCTTCACTGTAACCAACAAGGCCATACTCTGTTGGGGTAAAGACTGTAGTTGGGACGAAATCATAGTCAACCTTCTTATTGATTTCTTCTGGCTTGAATAAACGATAGGCCAAATATTTACCTTGTTGAATGGCGACAGGTGTCAATTCATAATTGTGACCATTCTCAATAACATCACCAATGGCATAAATACTCTCAACACTAGTTCTTTCTTCGTCATTGACAATAATTTTACCTTCCTTAGTATGTTGAACTCCTATAGCAGCCAAATTCAAACCTTGAACATCAGCATATCTACCTGTTGCAAACATGACAGTATCAAAGTCTTGCGTATATTCCTTATTTTCAGTAGCATTCAAAAATGTAACTCTCTTTTGATTATTTTCCAATTTTTCAATCTTGACGGGAATACATGGTTCCAAGAATTTGACATGATGATGAAGTTCCATAGATTCACGCAAAATTGAAGCAATTTCAGCATCAAAAGCTTCACTTCTCAAAATTCTTGAACGAACCATAACAGAAACATCAAATCCTAATCCAGATAAGAAACCAGCACATTCCAATGCAATATATGACCCACCAACAACGAGAGTTTTACCTGGAGCTTGTTGGAGTGAGAATAAATCATCACTGGTAATGGCATATTCATAGGCACCTGGGATGTCTCTTGGAACGTTTGGTCTTCCACCTGGAGCTAGCAAAATATACTTGGCAGTCAATCTTTCAACTCTTCCAACAAGTTCAACAGTGTGAGAGTCAACAAGTCTACCAAGAGCTTCATAGAAATCAATCTTTCTCTTTCTCAATTCTCCCTTGTAAACAAAGTTAGATCCAGATCTTGTATTTAAAACACCTTGAACGAGAGTTGTCCAATCAAAGAATTCACCTCTCTTATTGTGAGGGAAATTGTTGAACATGTCTTCCTCTGGAGCTTCACCAAGACCAAGTGGCAATTTCCATCCATAGTTAATGGCCTCTCTGATCTTGTTACCCATCTCTGAAGCAAAGTGCATTTGTTTCTTTGGAATACATCCAACTGATCATTTCAATTATGAACAAACATGCATGTACAAAATATTAAAATCATTAGTTGACCATCTCAATTAATCAATCCACTACATACCATTAACACAAGTACCACCAATCTTCCAAGTACTTCCTTGGGAGGATGGTTTAACATAATCCAACAAGGCAACTTTGGCACCAAGATCAGCAGCCAATTTAGAACATTTTAATCCACCACTTCCACCACCTACTACAATTAAATCATACATGTATTGAGAAGACATTTTCTATTGTTGTCTTTTTTTTTCACTTTGTTATTTTGGTTATTGTCAGTAATGCTTGGCTTGAGGTTTTTAAATGGAGTATCCTCAGAGTATTTTTAGCGGGAAACTTTTGGACGTGGAAGTGAAAATATTTAATGCTTAGCATCGTGCGCATTATTGAAATATTTATGCGCACGCTCTGAATTTTTCATTTTCAAAAAATTGAGATGATGAATTACTCATTTGAATACTGCAATGCTGATCTGAAGAAGAGAAAATAAATAATTTACTTTTGCATTAACAAGCCAGTTGTACAAATTAATTTATTTTTGTTGCTTTCTCTTCTTCTTTTGATTACCTGGTCCACTACTAGCCATGGATGATCCTTTACCACTTGACTTGGCACCAGCTCTCTTAGCTGAAAGAGATCTAATGGCATTGTTCAAAACTTCTTCTTCTTCGGTAAATTCATCAGATTTGACAGCCATATCACCCTTTTCCATGTCAGACATCTTCTTCTTGGCCAATTTCAATGCTTGTGAAACAGTATTTGTTAAGAGCATTGCATTTTCCTTATTAACATTACAGACATCCATCTTCTTTTCAATGAGAGCTTCAATCTTTTGGAAATATTGTAAATCGTATTGAGTAACAAAAGTGACAGCAAGACCTTGATTACCAATTCTAGCAGTTCTACCTACACGGTGAACGTATTCCTTAGAGTGAACTGGAATATCAAAATTAATAACAATATCTACGAGAGGAATATCCAAACCTCTAGCAGCAATATCAGTAGCAACAAGAATTGGTCTATCACCAGATACGAATTTTCTAAGACAATGTTGTCTGTGAGTTTCGTCCATATGTCCAGAAAGTGGAACTGTAGGGAATTTGAGAGATCTCAATAAAATACTCAATAAGATACATGTTGAGTTTTGTCCAGCAAAAACTAATATTCTCTTTCCAGGATTTTCATTGAGTAAATATACTAAATATTGTTCCTTATACTTTTCAGGTAAGAGTAGGTATTGTTGAGTGAGTGTATCGACAGTGTGGTATTTTGAGCTTGTGACTTGAATTTTTACAGGATTAGTCATTTGATGCAATTTTAAGAGTTTGTCAATCTTGGTAGTCATGGTTGCACTGAACAAGTAGACTGTACATTGTTTTCTTCTCAATTTTTCAGAAATGGTAGTGAGCCACTTGTCAAATTCAGATCCCAACATTTTGTCAGCTTCATCCAAAACTAAAAATCTAGTATGATTCAAATTGAAATTACTCTTTCCGAATTCTAACAAGTCACAAACTCTTCCAGGAGTACCAACAACTACGTGATATCTATTCTTCTTGAAACGCAAAGAATCATTGGCAATGCTTGTACCACCTGTTAAGGTTGTTGAAGTGATACCAATCTTACTACCTAATGCATTTACGTGTCCTTGAATTTGTACAGCCAATTCTCTTGTTGGTGCTAAAATAAGAGCACTACATGGTGATGGATCACCTTTCAATTGTAAAAGTCTTTCCAGAACTGGTAAAACATAGGAAGCAGTCTTACCAGAACCTGTTTCAGAAATACCAATAATATCATTATATTTAGTAAATCCAGTTTCATCGTCATGGAATGCTTCCTTGATGGCAACTGGAATAACTTCTCTTTGAATTTTGGTTGGGTGTTTATATCCAATTTCCTTCAATGTATCACATAAAACCTGTGAAAGTCCAAGAGAAGCAAATGAAATTGATGTATCAATAACAGATGAGTCAGCCTTGTTATCACCAACAGTATTGATATCATCAACAGTGGTGGTTTTTGTTGATTCTTGTTGTTCTATTGTTGTTGATTCTTTTTCGAGATCAGTTTCGGAAAACTTTCTCTTTGTTGCCGATTGTTTTTGTTCTGTTTGTTTACGTTTCTCCTTTGGTGTGGTGGTGTTAGTTGATGGAGTGGTTTTTTCTACTACATTATCGGATTGTTCCTTCTTTTTTGGGGTTTGTTTTGCTGGTGTAGATTTTGCTAGTATTGTTGTTTGTTTTGCTGGTGTGGATTTGGTTGATGAAGATGGTGTTTTCTTTGGTGTATTTATTGATGAAGATGGTTCATCCGAAGAAGATGGAGCAGTGGCCAATGACTTGAAGGCTTTTGGGGTTCTTTTCACTTCACTCATTTTTTAATTCAATTTTTTTTACTTTCAAGCAAATTTTTGAATAGCAGGTGTAAAGTTAATTTTCACTTTTACTTTAGGGATGAAAAGTTTTGAATATAAAGAGAATGTAAAATGGGTTCAAATATGATCAACATTTAAGAGGTATTATTTGACAATTTTTTTATTATTATTTTAATAAATTTGTTGATTCATGCTCTGATTTCATTAAGGTTTCACAAGAATACAAGTGTAAGAGATTGAGACATTTTTTCTAACATAATTGCAGCCAGATAATTACCACTTATCTTTGTTGATTCCATATCTAACAATCCTCAAATAGTATACAATCGCACATCAAGTTTTATGTCCAATTCACAGGAAAATTCAAAGTGTCTGTACAAAATTGGGTTGTCACACAGGTTCAGGCACAGAATAAAGAATGCATTGAAATGGTGGGCTGTATTCTATGCTTTCGAAAATTTAAAGTTGAATAGTGTGATTATCTTTTATTATTATCGGAACGCAATAGAAAATTACAATAAATTTCTATACAATAAGCATGATTTGTATTGGCTTCTAGGATTGGAATTTAATCTATAAAAGAAACGTGGACGTTGAGAGGACATTGAATGATTAATAATCATGAATATTATGCTTTCTGATGATGAGGTGTTGCTGGATGAAGAACCTTTCAATCATATGAAGCTTCAAGAGAACCATCAATATGAAAGTTCTGCCCTATATTCCTTTGCAGTGTACCAATGGCTGTAAAAACAACTTGAAGCATCAGCGCTTACTGTTTAGTATTAATGCAATATGAGCCAATATATGATCTGTCTTGTTATCTGTTAATATGAATGGGAGGAAGGATATTAAGTTCCTTAAATTATCTTTTCAATCGACTAGTAGTAACTCTATCGATTACTCCTTATTGCAATGACCCACTGCACACTTCATTAAGAAACACATTGAAAATGCAATTCAAACTTACAGTAAGGTATTAAGAAGCAAAATACAGCTTGAAAAATTTAGAAATTTGATCGTAACCCAATTGCTGATTTGGAATTTCAAACATTCCAGCAATTTGGAACTATCAAATACTCGATAGAAATGGCCTACATGTACGGTGAATTTATTCCAAAGTGTCCGTTGATTTCTGGAAAATGCCGAGAAGAAGTGCCTTCTTTCACTCAAAAGTTAACATTTGATTCCTCAAACTTTCTTTTAACCAAGTGGATGGTTGTTGGCAAAAGATCTTTTCAGATTCTTCATGAATATCATCAACAGCAATGTTGTTGATTCCTCAAGAGAGAGCACTCTACTTTCTGTGTGCTGGTGATGTAAGAAAGGAGAGAGATGTTGAATGTTGATTCGAAGAGAGAGGACTCTCCACAACAACAGCTAGTTTCAATTTTTGTGTCACAATAGCACACTTCAGCATAGTACTCAAATTTGAACCTTTAAGAGAACTGCAAGGCCACCTTAGACAAATTGCAAGTCTGAAAAAAAGACACAAAATCAACCCAAAACATTATATAGAGAATCTATATACAACAACACAAACACTTTGATCAATTAATCAATTGTATAGTCACGATAACAACCATATAGATCAAAGAATGTCTACAACTACAAATAATCACAATCATATCACTGCTGACAGTTATGCCATTGTTGGTCTTTCCTGTCGTTTACCTGGAGCTAAAGATAAGCACGAATTTTGGAAGCTCCTCACTGAATGCCAAGAACACATTACCGATACACCTGAATGGAGATGGAAATCTCAAAATTGGGAATCTACTGATGCTTCCAATGTTCCTGGATTAATGTCTTCATCTCGTGGTGCTTACATACCCGAGGATCAAATCAAGGCTTTCGATTGTAGTGTTTTGGGTGTTGGTCAAAAAGAAGTGGAAGTTATGGATCCACAACAACGTTTACTTTTAGAATTAACATGGGAATGTTTAGAAGATGCTGGTATTAGACCAAAGAAAGATAGCACAAATGGTCATTTGTTCGATGAAACTGGTGTCTTTATCGGTATTGGTCAATTGGACTTTTACACTGTTCAATTGGATAACAATAATTTTGAAAGAATTACTTCATACACTCACAATGGTAATACTTTGAGTATTGCCTCTAACCGTATTTCATTCCTCTATGATTTTAGAGGTCCATCTATGAGTATTGATACTGCTTGTTCATCTTCTCTCGTTGCAGTTCATCAAGCATGTATGAGCTTGAAGAATAATGAGTGTGAAATGGCTATTGCAGGTGGTGTCTCTTTAATCCTTTCTCCATCTCCTTATTGCGAGTTTAGTAAAGTTGGTGTTTTATCAAAGGATGGTAAGTGTAAACCATTCGATGAATCTGCCAACGGTTTCGTTAGAGGTGAAGGTGCTGGTTTAGTTGTTTTAAAGCCATTGAAGAAGGCTCTTGAAAGTGGTGACCGTATTTATGGTGTCATTCGTGGTTCAAGTGTCAATGTTGATGGTGCTGCTGAAGATTCTTTGATCACTCCTTCCTCAATTACTCAAGCTTTGAATATTAAGAAAGCTTATGATAGATTACCAGAAGAAACTGCTAGTATCTTGTCACCATTCGAAGTTGATTATGTTGAATGTCACGGTACTGGTACTGCTAAGGGTGACGTTGTTGAAACTGTTGCCATTGGTGAAGTTCTCTCCGGTCCAAATAGATCCAAACCAATCTATGTTGGTTCTGTTAAGGGTAATATTGGTCACTTGGAATGTGCATCTGGTGTCGCTGGTTTAATTAAGGCTGTTCTCATGATGGAAAAGAGACTCTTATGTCCAGTTGCCAATATTAAAAAGTTGAATCCAAAGATTCCATTGGATAAGTATAATATGAGAGTTGTTACTGAACCAATTCCATTGGTTAAGAAGAGAGGTTCCAAGCCATTGGTCTTTGGTATTAACTCTATGGGTATTGGTGGTGTCAATGCTCACGTCATTTTGGAAGAATTCGAGCAACCAAAGTTGGAAGCACCAAAATTGCCAGAAAAGGAAAGCGAAAAGGTCATGATGATGTTGTCTGCACAATCCATTCCATCCCTCCAAAGTCTTGCTCAAGATTTATCAAGCAAGGAATGTATCCATGATAAGGATTCTATGATTGATGTCTTTACTGTTCAAAATCAATTTAGATCTCATCACAAATTGAGAAGTACTATCATTACTAGCTCTGTTGAAGATTGTGTCAAACAATTGAAGACAATTGCATCCGAATCTGCTGATACTCTTAGATCTAAGGGTATTGTACATAATTCAAATAGAAGTGATAAGGGATTCGTCTTTGTCTTCCCAGGTCAAGGTCCACAAACTAAATCCATGGGTATCCAACTCTATAACAAGTATGAAATTTTCAGAAATTGTTTGGATGAATGTGATAGATTGTTCAGTCAATTGTCTGGATGGTCTCTTGTTGGAAAGTGGATTAAGGAACAATGTTTAACTGATGATGATATGGATCACCCACTCTATGCTCAACCAGCTATCTTCTTCCTCCAAGCTGGTTTATATGCCATGATGAAAGCTTGGAATATTCATCCATCTGTCGTTGTTGGTCACTCTGCTGGTGAAGTTGGTAGTGCCTATGCTGCTGGTGTCTATACTTTGGAAGAAGCCATTACCATCTTGTATTGGAGAAGTACCTTGCAAGAAAAGACCTGTGGATCTGGTAACATGTTGGCTGTTGGTGTCTCTCCAGCTCAATGTGAACTCTACTTGGATGAATATTTGAGTGGTGAAGATCGTTCTGCTGTTGTTGTTGCTGCTATCAATGGTCCTGGATCATGTACTTTGGCTGGTTCTCCTCAACTCATTAACAAGTTGGAACAAGATATTTCCAAGGGTAAGGGAGTCTTTTGTAGAAAGTTGAGAGGTTATTGTGCATTCCACTCTCAATATCAAGAACCAATTAAGGAAGAAATGTTGAATGCTTTGAAGAATTTCTCACCAGTCAGCCGTGGTAAACCAACCCTCATTCCACTCTACTCTACTGTTACTGGTAAATTGTATGATACCACTGTTGAAAATATGGATGAACACTATTTGTGGGGTAATGTTAGACAAGCTGTTCTCTTTGCTGATCCAATTACTGATTTGTTAAAACAAGGTTACAGAGGATTTGTTGAGTTGAGTCCTCATCCAGTTCTTGCTGCTTCCATTAAGGAATGTGCTTCTGAATTGGGTATTGAAGATACCAAGTGTTACTTTACTTTGAAGCGTTTCGTTGATGAACAAGAAACTATGCTCCAATGTGCTAGAGATTTATTCGTCAATGGATTCATTCACAATGTTACCTTCAGAGAAAATGTCAACTGGAATCACCTTTTCAATAAGGTTAAAGTTCCATTCTACCCATGGGATAGAAGTCAAATGATTTGGAATCAAACTGAAGAACAAGCTGCTGAATGGAGAAGAGGTTATCCATCTAATTTGGTTGGACACAAGAGTTTGAGATCTGGTAGTGTTACATTCCAAAATAGAATTTCATTGGATCACTTCCCTAACTTGAAGGATCACGTTATTCAAGGTGATATCATTTATCCAGGTGTTTCCTATGTTTTAATGTCTCTCCACGCTGCTGTTGCTCAAATCAGAGCTAATGAAAAGGACTCTGAACAAAAGGAACTTCCAAAGCAATTCATTTTGCAAGGATGTGACTTTAAGGGTGCTCTATCCTTATCTCAAACTGCACCAGGTGGTTTCATTGTTGAAACTGATGTTACTCCATTAGTTCACGGAACTCAAAATAGTCAAATGATTGAAATTAAGAGTAAGAGAGGTTTGGAAGATTGGCTCGATCACTATAAGTGTTTCTTGAGAATGTTGCCACCAACCAATTTAAAGACTCATCCAAACTTGGATGAAGTCAAGCCACGTTGCATGGAAGTCTCAATGTCAAAGAATGAACTCTACTCTAAATTGAGAAAGATGGGTCTTGAATATGGTCCAGTTTTCCAACAATTGGATAAGATTTATGTTGGTAAGAATGAAGGTGTCAGTGAATTGTCATTGAAGAAGAAATTCGATGAAGGACCAAAGAGTCTCTTGGATACTAAGAGACACAAGTCTGTTTTGGAAGTTGGTATTTTGGATTCTTGTTTGCAATCATTGATCGCTATTGCTGAAGAAGATGCTATCGTATACATTCCATCTTCAATTGATACTTGTGTTTTGAATACTGAAGTTTGTTTGAACCAATTGGTCCCAGACATGGATAGTATTTCAGTTTACTGCAAGATGACTAATCAATCTCAATATGAACTTGAAGGTGACGTCTTTATTTATGGCCACAAGCAAGGTTCTATTGTTCCAATTGCTTCATTCTTGTGCGTCAAGTGTAGAGCTATTACTCAAGCATCTTGTCCAACTGTCTTTACCATTACTTCTAATGATTGTATGTATGATGTTGCTTGGACTTCCGCCAATAAGGAAGAATTGACTGAAATGACTGCTCCAGTCGAACAAGAAGAACAATCTGTTGCTCAACAATGGATTGTTGTCTCTGATGTTGCTGAATCTGACATGACCAAGGCTGTTGTCTCTTCCTTGTCTGCTGTTTCTACTACAATTGTTTCTGCTGAACAAGCTGTTAACATGCTCGCTCAAAATCAAGAAATTTCTGGTATTGTGTTTGTTGCTAACGTTGCTGAAGATAATCAAGTCACTCAAGAATCCAACTCTTGGAGATTGATGCAAATTATTAAGGAAATGATCAAGATTGAACTTGACCATGAATCATGTGAAACTAAATTGTGGATTGTCACCAAGGGTGCTCAACTCACCTACTCTGTTCCATCATCTGCTCAATTTGTTGGTATTGGTAGAACTTTCAGAAGTGAACATCCAAACATTAAGAGTTTCTTGTTCGATTTCTCTGAAGGTATCAACATGGACATTGCTTCCCAAACTATTTCTAACCTCTTTGTAAATTGTGACAATTTGGAATATAACGAATTGGCTTTAGCTGCTTGTGGTGACTTGAAGTATTTGAAGGTTGTCAAATCAACATTGATTCAAAAGCCAAACGCTCCAGTTACCTTAAAGTCCAACTCAATTGGTTCAGTTAGTGAATTGTCATTCCATGAAGTTGAAGAATTTGTTCCACTTGAAGCTGATGAAGTTAGAATTTCAGTTAAGGCTTCTGCTTTGAGTTTCAAGGATTTAATGTTCTCATTGGGTAGAATTCCAGATAAGGCTTTTAGAAGAGGTGGTAAATGGAATCCACCATTCGGTTTGGAATGTTCTGGTGTCATTGTTGAAGTTGGCCCATCTGTTACTGACTTTAAGATTGGTGATAAGGTTGTCTGTATTGCTAGAAAATGTTTCTCATCCTATGTCAATGTCAAGTCAAGTCTCGCTATTAAGAAACCAGATTGGATGTCCTACGAACAAGCTTCAACTATTCCATCTGCCTTCTTGACTTCATGGTATGGTTTGGTTCATGTTGCCAGATTGAGAAAGGGAGAAACCTGTATGATTCACTCTGCAGCTGGTGCTGTTGGGTTGTCTGCTGTTCAAATTGCTAATCACTTTGGTGCCGTCACCATTGGTACAGCTGGTCGTGGTGAGAAGAGAACCTTCTTGGAACAAGATGAAACCTATAAGGTTCATTACACTACTGATTCTCGTTCAACTAGTTTCCGTGATGATGTTATGAAATTCACTAATGGAAAGGGTTGTGATGTTGTTTTGAACTCTTTGGCTGGTACTGATATGTTGTCTGCCAACTTTGAATCATTGGGTTCATATGGTAGATTTGTCGAAATTGGTATTAGAGATATCTATGATGGTACTTGTGTCAATTTGCAACAAATGCATCGTAACTTGACCTATGCCTCAGTTGATTTGGACAGAATGATGGACGAAAAGCCAGAACTTGTTCAACAAATGTTCAGAGAAGTTATGGATTTGATGGAGCAAAAGAGACTCTTCCCATTGCCATATGTTGTCTATGATAAGGAAAAGCTTCATGATGCTTTCAATTTTATGGCTCATGCCAAGCACATTGGTAAGATTGTCCTCAACATGACCAATGAAGATTTGGAAACCTCCATTCCAAGATATGAAAAATTGAAGGAAGAAATGCGTGGATTGACCTTCTCTTCTGACAAGACTCATTTGGTTGTTGGTGGTACTCGTGGTGTTGGTTTGTCCCTCGTTTTATGGCTCATTGAACAAAAGCAAGTTAAGAATTTAGTCATTCTCTCAAGAAGTGGTAAATTGACTGAAGGTCAATCAAAGGATAGAATTGAAGAATTGATCAAGACTGACTCTTCTTTGAATATTCAAGTTTTGCCATGTGATGTTTCTAACAGACAAAATGTTGAAAATATCATTACTCAAGTTCGTACCACTTTGAATATGCCACCATTGGAATCAGTTTTCCATCTTGCTACTGTATATGAAGATTGTTCCATCAATAACATGACTGAAACCAAGTTCAACAATGTCATTCAAGCTAAGGCTGTTTCTGCTTGGAATGTTCACCATGCTACTTTGAATGAAAACTCTATCAAATATTTTGTCATGTTCTCCAGCTTTGTTGCTATCAATGGTAATATGGAACAATCCAATTATGCTGCTGCCAATTGTATTTTGGATGCTCTTGCCCACTACAGAAAGTCAAAGAATTTACCAGCATTGAGTGTTAACTTTGGTGCCATTGATGATGGTTTTGTTTCAAGACAATACTCAACTAAGGTTATTTTGAGATCAAGAGGTTTCATTTCTATGCCAATTCCACTCTTGGTTAAATGTCTTGAAAAGGCATTGATTTCTCAACAAACTGATGCTCAACCACAAAAGATTATCAGTTGTATTGATTGGAAGGATCACTCTGATAACTTTAAGCATTTGAAGAAGATGTTCGGTGAATTGTTTATTGAAACTGCTCAAGATGCTGGTATGGATGCTTCTACTTCTCAATTAACTGTCGATCAAATGATTGCCACTCAATTGGCCAAGATTTTGGGTATTCCATTAGAAGCTATTGAAATTGCTGAACCACTCAGACAATACGGTATGGACTCTTTGATGGCTACTCAATTGAAGAACTGGTTGGATAAGATGTATCCTCGTGGTTCAATCACAACCATTGATATCTTGAAGAAGGACACAACTGTCAAGTCACTTGCTGCTAAGATTATGGACAAGATGGGAGCTGCTTCATCTGAAAAGAAGGAATCTAAGACTTCTAAAAAATCTGAACCAGCCAAGCAAACCAAGACTGCTACTCCAACTGCTGTTGCCTCTGCTGCTACTCCAGTTCAACCAAAACCAGTTGTTGCTGAACAACCAAAACCTGTTGTCGCTCAACAAACTCCAGTTGTTACTGCTACCACAACAGTCACTACTACCACCACTGATAACACTCCACTCACTAAGACTGTTGTTCCTGAAAGTGTTCCAGTTAAGGAATTTGCTGCTCATGCCAGAAAGGCCAACATGAAGAACCCAAGCAATGCTTACATTCTTGGTATTGGTGTTGCCAATCCTCCAAGAAAGACTCAAGAAGAACTCTTCGAAGGTATCATGAAGGATTACGGAACTGCTGACGAAAAGATCAAGGAAAGAATTCACAACTTGTTCAAGGGCTGTGAAATTAAGGAAAGATGTGTTGCTTTCGATTTTACCAAGAATTCTACCAATGATTTGAAGACTATTGAAAGTAGAAATGATATCTTCTTGAAGGTTGCCCCAGAATTGGCTTATCAAGCTGCTTCTAAGGCCATTGATGAATGGAAGGGTGATGTTAAGGAAATTACTCACCTCATTACTTGTACCTCAACTGGTATTGCTGTTCCAAATATTCACTTGAAGTTTATGGATAGACTTGGATTGTCTCACGCTGTTGAATATTTCCCAATCAACATGTCAGGATGTGCTGCTGGTTTGATTACTTTGAAGGCTGCTCGTGCTTTGACTTCTCTCAATCCAAAGAATAGAGTTTTGGTCATTTGTATTGAATTGTCATCTGTTCACTTTAGAATTTCCAATAATACTGATGAAAAGATTGTTAGTGCCATCTTTGGTGATGGTGTTGCCTCAATGGTTGTTGGTTCTCAACCACAAGCTCAAAAGGGTGAAAAACCTGTTTATGAATTATTCGATACTCACTCTTACACTACTCCAAATACTGATGAATGCATGACATGGAAAGTTTTCCATGATGGTTTCCACTTGAGCTTGTCACCTGAAGTTCCACAAATCATTACCAACTCACTCAAGGATTACATTAATACCTTGTTGAAGAAGTCTCAACACAAGGATGAAATTGTTTTGAAGGAAAATTGTAATGTTTTGGCTCACCCAGGTGGTAAGGCAATCTTGTATGCAGTTGAAAAGGCATTGACAATGAATCGTGAAGATTTGAAGGCCTCATGGGATATCATGACAAGATATGGTAACATGTCCTCTGTTACCATTATGTTTGTAATGGAATTATATAGAAGAACTCAACAATATCTCAATAATGAATGGTCTATTGCTGTTGCTTTCGGTCCAGGTGTTTCATCTGAATCAATTATTATGAGAAATACTTGTGGTGGTGCTTCAAATAGATTGTAAATTAATTAATAAGAATAATAAATAATAGTTTTTTAAAAATCATAATGCATAGAGATAGTTAATAGGAACTTCAAGCAAACGATTCTTCAGGAATTCTCTGGATATTTTTCTAAGATATTGAACAATTTGAACATGGAGAGATAGGGATAAGGAACTTGATAGATCAGCAAAAAAGCAATTAAAAAATGTCTCAAAATCTACCACTAAAACAACACTGTGAACAATTAATTTCTCTCTTCATTAAAGAGAGATTACATCAGGGAAGCTATTTTTCCTCGGAGAAGGAAATTGCCTATCATAAACCAAACTTTGTACCTATACAGGTGAACTTAAAGTTTATTAATTGGTACATTCATCAATATTTGTTAGGAAAGGATACTAATAAAGATAAGGATGTTATCATCAAGATTAGGGATCAATTGTTGCAGGGATTGAAAGAAATGAACATGCCAATTATTAATGACACCAACCAAGAATATAATGTTAAAAGATTTGTTGTACTATCTGATATTCATTCAAAAGGAGAAGCTCTCTTCCCCAAAATACCCAATGGAGATGTAATTTTATGTTGTGGAGACTTTTCAAATAGGGGGAGTTTGGATGAAATTTCTCAATTCAATGATTTTCTAGGAAGACTAAAAATAAGTGGAAATTGTAAAACAATAATCTGTATTTCAGGTAATCATGATTATGGAATGGATGCAAAATATAATAAGAATTTGGACCCTGAGAAAATTTTCAATACTAGACAAAATCCATTACTGCCAAACTGTGATTATTATTTACAGAATAATTCAATAATTTTAGATTCGAGTATTAAGATTTATGGATCACCAATTACCTCTCAGGGAATGGCCTTTCACTCATCAAATTCTTATTCTTATTGGAAGGAGATTGACAGTGATTCTGATATTGTCCTGAGTCATACTCCACCTTTCAACATTCTGGATTTAGCTTGGGTAAAGAATAATGAAAATCCAAAACAAGTTTGTAAAGTTTGTGGAAATATTCATGACTATTATGAGCATTGGGGAGATTATTGGTTGAAAAATCAATTAATTCATAGAGTTAAGCCAAATATTTCTGTATTTGGCCATGTGCACGACGACCAGAATTTTGTTAGAAAGAGCATTAAGGAATTGAAGGCTGAAGAAGAATATCAGCAAAAATTGTTCAATATTGAACAGCCATTCGATTCAAAGACAAGTACCTCTGATGATCATATAATTACATTTTTGAATGGAGCTTTGGATTTAACACATAAGGTTTACTTTTTCGATTATTTCTACATTCCAAATTCCAGATCATTATATCAGAAATAAGCAATAAAATCCAGATTTATTTAACTTCTAGGAATTATTCCAGCACACACGTATTAAATATTTAATAAATTTTAAAAACCGCAATTTTGCTGTTCAAAAAATATGAGAACAGGAAAAGGCCGGATGGTTAGGTTCAACAGCTAATATGATGAATCAAAAGTTAAGGACATCTAAGAAATGTAGCATAAGCAGTGATCAAGAAACGCTTTATTGTCTGACCTTGAATTTTACCACTCTTGTGTAATATTAAACTTCGCCTAATCTTTGACAATATTCTTAACGAGAAAACAAATAAATAGGGAAATTTACCGAGAATGAGAAAATGACAAAGATTCTTCTCAACAATATTCAAAATTATTAAACCAATTGACCAACCTCTTCATTGTTCCTAATACAAACCATGTATCGTAAACAACTTCCACTTCCATTCCTTATTTTCTTCTGTGAATATTTTGTATGGTTACCGTTGATGTTTTTTCGACACTGTTGGAAAACAACAGAAGCACTGACAATAAAAAAATGAGCGAACCAACACCAGTCGACATTACCCAAATTCCAATCCAAGAACACGACTCTAAAGTTGCCTTGATTACTGGTGTAACTGGTCAAGATGGATCCTACTTGGCTGAACTCTTGTTAGAAAAGGGATATACTGTCTATGGTATGATTAGACGTTCTTCATCATTCAACACTGGTAGAGTTGAACATTTGTATAAGGATATTCACATCACCAAGGCTAGTAAGTAATTTTTGTCGTGATTCACGCTAACAATTTTAATCCTTTGTGATGATAATTATTTTGATCTTTTTTGATGATTTAATTTATTTGATTAATAATAATAATTAATCAGAATTCAAACTTTTATATGGTGACTTGACTGATACCGGAAACTTGATTTCCATCATTTCCAAGATTAGACCAGATGAAATCTACAACTTGGGTGCTCAATCCCATGTTAAAGTCAGTTTTGAAATGCCTGAATACACTGCCAATGTTGATGGTATTGGTACTTTGCGTATTTTGGAAGCCATTCGTGCTTGTGGATTGGAAAAGAAGACTAGATTCTATCAAGCTAGTACTAGTGAATTGTATGGTTTAGTTCAAGAAATTCCACAAAAAGAAACCACTCCATTCTATCCACGTTCTCCATATGCTTGCGCCAAGTTGTACAGTTATTGGATTGTTATCAACTATAGAGAAGCTTACAATATGTTTGCTTTGAACGGAATTCTTTTCAATCATGAAAGTATTCGTCGTGGTCCAACCTTTGTTACAAGAAAGATTACTATGGCTGTTGCTCGTATTCATCTCGGATTGCAAGATTGCTTGTATTTGGGTAATTTGGATGCTGAAAGAGATTGGGGACATGCTAAGGACTATGTTGAAGCCATGTGGTTGATGCTCCAACAAGAAAAGCCAGCCGATTATTGTGTTGCCACTGGTGAAAAACACAAAGTTAGAGAATTTGTTGAAAAATCATTTGCTGTTCTCGGTAAGAAGGTTGAATGGAAGGGTACTCCAGGTACTGTTGATGAACATGGTGTTGTTGATGGTGTTGTCAGAGTTAAGGTTGACCCACGTTACTTTAGACCAACTGAAGTTGAACTCTTGATTGGTGACCCAACCAAGGCTGAAACTGAATTAGGATGGAAGAGAAATGTCAGCTTTGATGAATTAGTTAGAGGAATGGTGGAAGGTGATGTTGAACTTTTGAAACATGGTGATTCCCAAGTTGTTCAAAAGCAATATCAAGATTAAAATGTAATTTATTAAAAACTAAATTTTATTTAAACAAGTTGAAATTTATTTCAGATAAGGATAAGAGGATTGTGAAATTTTCAAAATGGTAAAGGCAGTCAATTTAGAAAATACTTCAATTAAATCATCCCTCTGCATGGCAACACATCCTGAAGTTGGTCCATAATTTTCAGATGCAATGTGGAAAAAGATTGCACTTCCCTTTCCTAATTGAATTGGATTATCATTATAACCTATTACTGCAAAAAGGTCATACAAATGATCTTGTCTCCACAATTTTTCACTCGATAATCCTTCCAATACAGGAAGCTGTATTAATCTATTGTAATGCAGTGAATCTAACATATCATCACACCAACCATAATTTTCTTTCAATTCAATAAGAGGAATTCCTTTAATTTTTGAAATAATTGATGGATCAACCCTATCTGATCTGTAAAAGGCCATTCTCAATGAATATTCTCCAATGGGTGTAATTCCATCGCCCTCACCAACCTTTTGATTGATTCCATTTCTTCCAACACTACATTTATATTGTTTTCCATTAAAAGTTAAAATTGCATGATATGGAATAGATTCCGATTGTTTAATTTCTTCTTCTTGAAAAGAATGATTATTGTTCTGGTATTGTTGTTGGTGATCATAATGAACGTGAATGATTAGGTTATTGGAAAAGGTCATTTTTTATTTGTGTGAATAAAGAATTATATTTAAATTTACAAGAGTTATTAAATTAGATTACAAGTCATCATCATAAAAATCATTAGAACGAGCTCTATGTCTATCAAGAACCTTTTGTGACAAACGATCATCAGGATCAACATCATCCTCATCTTCACTGACATAATAAGTGTCAGGTGGAACTTCTTGCATCTGCACCGAAGGTGCTCCTTTGATATGATTCAAATTATCCAAAATAATATTCTTATACTTTTCTAAATACTCTAGAGAATTCATATTTTCCATGTTTGAAGGTTGAAGATGTAAATTATAATCTGGGCCAAAATATTCAAAGTAGTCATTATATGGCATTTCACTTTCAATGTCAATACCTAGAAGAACTGAGGTTTCATATGTCCAACATCTAGCAACGTTACGAACAGTATAACCACCACCACCTAAAACAAGAAGAGGTAAGCCAAATGTTTTGACAAAGTCTACACAAGCAGCATGTCCTTTGGTTGTCAAGTTAAAACAACCCAATCTATCACCAGTTAAAGAATCAGCACCACATTGAAGAACAACAGCACCTGGTCTAAAAACTTGCATAACCTTTTCAATAACAGGTTTGAAAATTGAAAGATAGCTCTCATCATCAATACCATCCTTAAGTGGGAAGTTGAGTGCATAATACTTTCCAGCACCAGCACCAATGTCCTTGATATCACCTGTTCCTGGGAAATATTGTTCTCCAAATTTGTGGAAAGAAACTGTCATTACACGATCTGTGGTATAAAAAGCTTCCTCAACACCATCACCATGGTGAATGTCAATATCAATATAAAGAACACGTGCATGATATTTAAGTAATTCCAAAATAGCCAATACAATATCATTAATGTAACAAAAGCCACTGGCTTCATTCTTCTTAGCGTGGTGCAAACCACCAGCCCAGTTGATGGCAATATCTGATTGTTCATGGTTTAATTTTACTGCTGCTCCAATACTACCACCTGCAGAAAGTTTGCAAAATTCAAAAAGACCATCAAATACTGGACAATCTTCACCAACATTAAAAGCTTGTAATTGTTTTTGGAAATCATGCATATTATCAGGTGTAACTCTTTTCAAGAATTCAACATATTCATCCGCATGGAATTTACACATTTCAACTTCAGAAGCTGGATGAGGTCTCTGATCATCATACAAAATTTAATCTATTTTCAATCATAATAAAACCTACATATACTTCCAAATGTTTATAAAGTCCATAATTTAATAACAAATTGTGGGTCATCTTGATACGATGTGGCTTCATTGGATGGCCTTGGCCATAGTAATAATTACCAACATCTCCATCATAAAAGTAGGAGATGTTTTGGTGTTTTGGCATTTTTTTAAAGATGAAGAAATTAAAAATATAATAATGGATTTGCGTTTTTTATTCAAAATATTAAGTCCATCAGCAGTTAATTGAGTGTGATCAATTTGTCCTCTCCATTCAAGCTAGATAGGAATAAAAGTGTTATTTAGAATTCAAGTATTAGTTATGTAGGATAATGAGAATCCTTAAAGTTGGAATGAAAGATTGGATATTTATTCAAGATTACAATTGAATAAATATTGCTTGAACGTTCGATCTTCAATTTCATTTAAATGACAATTACAAAAGTATAGTATTAGTAATTGAAAATTTTCTACGGCTTAACATTGAAACTCAATCTTCAATTCAAGAACAGATTCTTTGAGAATTTTCAATTTTTAATTCGTTTCAAATTTTGTAACCCAACATCCACTCTGCATTGAAGAAGAACATTATCAAAGGATTGATGATGTATTGAACCATGCAATAATTATCTGAATTCCATCATGAAGAAACATTCAAGGCTTGCTCACAGTAAGTTCCAATCTAAAAAAAACTTCCTCTGGTTAACTTGAAAAAAATTGTTTGATCACAACGTTAGCCTAGACAACGAAGTTTTTAGCCAAAATTAATTTATTGACGTTGTTTTTTTCCAACATCATCTTCATCAACAGGCTAGTTTTAAAGTCTCACCTGGATAATCTAGTACATAACAAGATCTTTAGTACAATTTATACTTTCTCCCACCACTACTACTAACACAGAAAAGATACGGAAAAGATGGCTCAAGCTGATCAAGTCTCTGCACCACCTGCAGCCAGTGATGACAATAGAATGGAAGATGAAACAAACAATATATCAGGAGCTCCTGTTGCTGCTGCCTCTACAACAATGGACTCTGAACTTACATCATCTAGTGATGCCACTACACTTGATGAAAAAGTTAATCATATCAAGGAATTACTACTTAAACACCCTGGAGTACCTTCACAAGAAGGAGAAACATGGTATGTCATTGATGCTAAATGGGTAGCAGCGTTTTTCGATGAAGCAGCAAAAATCTCTCCAGGTACTATTGACAACACTCACCTTGTCGATGAAACATCGGATGGTATCTATAGAGTTAAAGACGAAGTACAAGAACAACAAGATTATGAAATTATACCTGAACATATTTGGAATCTTTTTCACTCATGGTATGTAATTCACATTCTATTTTATTTAATTTATTGTTAAAGGTTTGGAGGTGGTCCTGCTATTCCTAGAAAATCTGTTATACAAAACCCTGAAGCCTACAGAATTTCATACACTGTTGAAGTAAGACCTTGTGAAATTAGTGTTGCTCTACAAACAACATCAAATCAACTGGATTGGGTTGACTTTGAATTCTCCAAAAATGCCACCATCAAGCAAGTCATGGATCAAGTTAAAAGAGAGTTTAATATTCAAAGCAGAGAATGTAAATTATGGAAAACAATTTACAATTCTCCTCACGAGGAAGTTGATTTATCAGTTGTTGAGGATCAAACTTTGGAAAATGCTCTTGAACGAAAAACTGGTCAAAGATTTATTGTTGAAGTTGGTCCAAATTGGATTATTGAACCTCCAGTTGCTGAATCATATAATGCCATTAGATCCATGACAAATAACAAGGTTCAAATTAGTGGAACAACAGCACAACAAAAGAAGAGATACGATAGTGCACCTCCAGGAGTATGTGGTTTGAGTAATCTCGGTAATACTTGTTTCATGAACAGTGGTCTTCAATGTTTGACTCACTCACCTGTTCTCTATAGATACTTTTTGGAAAATGACTATTCAAAAGAAATCAACGAAACTAATCCATTAGGTATGGGTGGTGCTGTAGCTCTTGCATTTGGTGCTTTAATGAAAGAAATGTGGTCAGGAGAAAATTCATATTTCTCTCCAAATGATTTTAAACGTGTCATTGGTAAATATGCCCCTCAATTTGCAGGCTACCAACAACAAGATTCTCAAGAATTGATTTCATTCATTTTGGATGGTTTACATGAAGATTTGAATAGAATTCAAAAGAAACCAGCCACAAATCCAGTTGAAGCTAAGGGTAGAGAGGATTCTGTTGTTGCTCAAGAATCTTGGGATGTTCACAAATTACGTAATGATTCTATTATTGTTGACAAATTCCAAGGTCAATTGAAGTCAACACTTCATTGTCCAAAATGTGATAATTTTTCTATTATTTTTGATCCTTTCATGTATTTGTCATTACCAATCCCAATTGAAAAGAACAGATTGATTAATGTTATGGTATTTTCCAATTCTACCTTCCCTAATGAAGTTGAGTCAACTCTTGATTCTGATCTTTCAAAGCTTAGCAACATGCCAACCAGACTCACATGTAAAGTTTCCAAGACTGGTTCAGTCTCTCAACTCAGAGATAATGTTTTGGAACTTTTGGGCTTGAACACAAACGAAGATCATGATAGATGCGTATTGTACGAAATTTTCAGCAACAAGGTCTACAAGTATCTTTCTGATGGTGACTCTATTTCAGGTATTCTAGATGCAGACATTATTCACTGTCAAATTTTGCCAAAGGCATCCGAAGTAATCGTTTCCAACTTTGTAACATCTGGAAAGGCAGTTGAAAAATTGAATAATCTTCCTAAGAATGTTCACTCATTGTACAGACAAACCTATTCCAACACTCAACAACAATTGCCATTCTTGCAAGTCAGCTTGTCCTCTCACACTGCAAATCAATATGGTAGAAAGTCCTTCCAAATTATTGGTACACCTTTTGTTGTTCCTTTGGGACAAATTTTCGAGGAAAAGAAGGAAGATAAAGAAGTCAGTGTTCCAACTCATGAAGATCTCTACGAATATTGTTTCCAATACATGCTTAGATATGTTAAGGATGAATTTGCTGCAGAAATCGAACAAACTATGAAGGAACGTAATTTAACTTTCAAAGACTTCTTGCCATCTAAAGAAAAGCTTGAAGCCTTGAAGTCTGGAGAAAATGTTGAAGAAAATATCTCCATATTCTATTTATTCGACCAAGAAGGAGGCAGACTTGAGGTCAATGATCGTAGTTTTGATGGTGCCTTACTTTGTGATGAAACTGAATTCAAGCCTTACGCTCCAAAATATAGCAGTGCTAGAACTGAAAAGAAGTCGATCTTTATGCACATTCCAGCCTTCTTCCACGACAAGATGTTGGATTATGAAAAGCTTCCTAGATTCAAGGAACACCCATCAACCAAGCAAAAGATTTCTCAAAGTGAAGCCATCAATATTTATCAATGTTTGGATTTGTATACATCAAAGGAAAAGCTTGGAGCAAACGATACTTGGTACTGTCCAAGCTGCAAGGAACATGTAGAAGCAACTAAGAAATTTGATATTTGGAAAGCTCCTGATGTTTTGGTTGTTCATTTAAAGAGATTCTCCTTCTCTTCCTATAGTAGAGACAAGATTGATCGTTTTATTGATTATCCAATCCAAGATTTAGATATTAGTTCCTTTGTTCATTGTAAAGATTTGAATTTGAAGTATGATTTGTTTGCTGTCTCTGATCACTTTGGTGGTTTGGGTGGAGGTCACTATACTGCATGTGCTAAGAATCATATTGATGGAAAGTGGTACAAATTTGATGATTCTCGTTCTTCTGAAGTGCACAATCCAGAATCAATCAAAGCCTCTTCTAACTATGTTTTGTTCTACATTAGAAAGGAATAATTATATTAAACTTTTAAAATTGAATAATGACCATTTTTACTTTTTCTTCTTTTAACGTTTCAATCTTCAAGGAAAGAAAGGTGAAATGTATTGATATCAGAACATTCTGAACTCTAACCAAACAATAAAAAATGATGCAATCAAGTGATTCAGTTCCTGCCAGTAGCTTACCAATTTCTTCCCAAGAGTTTCTGCTAAACCCTCTCGATTCGAGTTGTGGAACAACTCAACCAAGTCAAAACCCATTTCTATTCTCATACGGAGTTGGTTCTTATTTTGATAATTCATTCAATAGTGGCAGCCAAAGAGATCGACCAAACAACAACTTTAGAATGACTATTGTTAATGATGAAGAACTGAAATATGGAAGAAGAGAAACATTGGGTCAACGTAGACACTCATTACCATCCAATCTCAATTTTGAAAACATTCAAATTATAGGAACCCAAGAAAAGTCAGAGGGAGCCAATTTTATCAAGGAGAATATTGAAAAAGAGAAGGAATTGCAAGAAAGAAAAATAGCAAAAGCACAATTTCCAAAAATGGTTGTAATATCTATAGTGCTTAGTTTATTTGGGCTGTTCTTTCTTTCGTGTCTTCCCTTCATTCGCTTGTTAAAATATGCTAATAAGAAGGATAAGAAGACACAAAGAGTTGGAAGGTATGCATGGATTGCATTCCTGATTACTCTTGTAGTTAATATAGTTTTTTCAATTGTTATAGTGAGTCTTGAAGTTGCTGCCATATCGGTTGGTGCATCAAAGAAATAAAGATCATCTCATTCTTTATTGACTTACTTGGTTTCAGAAAAGTGGAAATCTTCTTCATCCACAGTCTTTTTCAAGTTTCTAACAACATTATTAAGGAGTGATCGCAAGTGATCATTATTTTGTACAGGAAGTGCTTGAGATTGTTGTTGAGTTGTTTTTGGCTGCTCCAAAATTGGTTGAGATTGTCTGAGGAGATCGTCCTTGACTCTCTTTGAAAGAGCCTCTCTAATCATTCTCTTCTTTGAATCACTATCATCGGATGATGAATCACTCTTTGGTGTTTGAACTGGGCTTTCGGTGAAGGTGGTAGCAGAAACGACAATTGGAGAAACAATAGGCTTTGAGATTTTTGGAGTAGTAATGTCAACAGATGAAACTGGTGAGGAAGCAGAGCTTGAGAATGTTGGAGAAGCTGTGACTGATTTTGGACTATTGTCAGTTGTGTTAATCTTCTTCAAGGTGAGCTTCATCTTGAATTCTTTAAGTCTTTCTTCTCTTTCTTGCTTTTTCTTTTCAACAAGCCTCTCCTTACCCTCCTTGATTTCTTTCTTGATGGTTGCACTATTTGAAAAGTTTGAGATTAAATATGAACAAAAACGTACCTTTCAGGAGTAGTATTGTTAGCCAAAATCTTGGCAGCTGTTTCTTCTTTTTGCTTTTCCTTTTCAGCCATTAATTTTTGGAGAAGTTCTCTTTCCTTTTGAATTCTATCTAATTCTTCCTTAATTTCCTTTTCAGATTTACTGGTGGTTCTGAAATTAAAGTTGAAAGTTTCTGGTTTGACTTCAGGAACCTTTTTGGATTCTTCTTCTTGTTTCTTCAATTCCAAAAGCTTTTGCTCTTGTTCCTTTCTCTTGTTTTCTTCCTCGATTCTTCTAGCTTCTTCCAACTTTCTTTGTTCTTCTCTTCTCATTTCCTCTTCTCTCTTCAATTGTTCGAGTCTTAAACGTTCCTCTTCTCTCTTGATTCTTTCTTGTTCTTCTCTTTCCTTTCTTTCTCTTTCAAGTTGTTCTTGAAGCTTTCTTCTTTCTTCCTCCTCCATGACTTGTTGGAGAAGTTTCGTTTGTCTTTCTTCTTCCAATCTTCTTTCCTCTTGGCGTTTCTTTTCTTCTTCCTCATCTTGTCTTCTTCTTTCTTCTTCAATTTGTTGAACTCTGAGTGTTTCAGCTTCTTCTTCCATTTCTCTCTAAAGATCAATGATAAGAATGGTTACTGATATTCTGGAAAAACTTACTCTCTTTTGTTCTTCTTGGAGTGACAAGGAGATGGCAATAGCCATTTCAAGTTCAGCTTGTTCGAGTCTTCTTTGACTTTCTTGCAAGTACTTTTCTTGTTCTGATAATGAAGCTCCGACAGCCATTTCATACTCTTCTCTTTCAGAGACGGATTTTTCTCTTTTCAAATTTTCTTCATGCTCTTGCTTAGATAATTCCAACACTCTTTGAAGTTCTTCATCTTCATTAGACTCATCAGATGTTGTTGGCTCGGTACTCTTTTTCATTTCCCTTATTATTTTAGTAAGTATAATGCAAGATTGAATACATACTCTATTGTTTCATATTCCAATTGTAAATTTCTTCTCTCCATAATCTTTTTGAAACTCAAAAAGTCATCCATAGCCATAATGTGTTCAAGAGCTTGTCCGAGTGTTTCATCATTGGTTTCTGATTGAAGAGCCTTGATGAACTGTTTTCATCATTCAGTTTAAATAATGTTCTGTACAAATAATACACTTACATCTTCATGACTCAGATTCATCTCTCCGACAAGGAATTCGAGCAAGTTTTCAATTAATTCTCTAAACTTTTCATGAACACTTGTATGTTCTAAACAATTTTCGTCTTCACCTCCAAATACAAGACAATTTTCATCGATAAAACTTTGAATTGGGTTAATCCAGAATGGACTTTGCAAAAAATCGATCAAACCTTGAATCACTGGATGTCTTGCAACTTGTGATTGAGGTGGAGCTGTAGCTGTATAACCCATTTTTTTTAAATCTCTTTCATGAGATGGCGGGAAGTTTGTTTTGAGGACTTTTTAAGGGAACTAAGAAATTGGACATTTGTACGCACAACACTAACAACTATGAAAGGTGAGGCAAAGGAAAATTGCATCATTTTGAGCATAATCAAAAAATTCGCGGTCTACAGGATTCGAACCTGTGCGGGTCGCCCCAATTGATTTCTAGTCAATCACCTTAACCACTCGGTCAAGACCGCTCGTTGGGAGTACCATAACATTCCTTATTATTTGCACTCAAAACAATTCAACATATATATTTATGTTCATTATTGTTTTATTAACAATAATTAATAAAAATTGGAACCAATATCGTTTGTGAGCGTTATCCAATCAATTCAATAGGTGATTTCACATGACGTCATCCAATCTTCACAAAATAGCGGAAAAAAGTTGAACACAAATTTTGCAAAAGCGAACAAAAAATATCCTCATCATCACAATGGATCAATTAATCGACTTTTCCGATAAGAATTTGTTCATTTCAATTGGTGTGATCATTATCACTCCAATTATTTGGAACATTTTGGCTCGTATCGAATATTATACTCACTTGCTCACTAAATTGGCCTGTGGAAACAAGTATTTGGGATGTTATATTTTGGCTGTTTATGTTTTCGGCTTCTCCTTGTTCAGAGATTATATTTTCAATAAGGCTCTCGAAACTCAACCAATCTTTGCTTCCCAATATGCTACTGAAATTATGTATGGTGGTTATGCTTTGCAAGTTATCGGTTCTCTCCTTGTTATGGGTGCCTATTATCAATTGGGTATTACTGGTACTTATCTTGGTGGTATGTTTTATTTTCACTTGTTGTATTTATCTTCTTGTTGTTATCATGATGATAATATACTATTGTGGCAAATTTAATAATAATAATAATTAATAGACTACTTTGGTATTCTCATGGAAGATAGAATTACCTCTTTCCCATTCAATGTTACTGACAATCCAATGTACAATGGTTCTACTTTATGGTTCCTTGGTCACTCCTTGGTTAAGTCATCACCAGCTGGTATTTTAATGGCTATCTGTGTCTTTGTCATGTACAAGTTTGCTTGTTTGTTCGAAGAACCATTCACTGCAATGATCTATGCCAAGAGAGATGAAGAAAGAAAGGCTGGTAAGTCCTCCCCATCCACTTCTACTCCAAAGAAGAAGTCTAAGAAGATTGAATAAATCCAATAAAATTAAATTATTATTATTATTGCATGTTATTAAATATTATTTAACTAGTTTATTATTGTTACATGACTTTCATTGAACCCTTCTAATAATAAACAATAATAAACAATAATAATATTATTAATAATACAAAAAAAATGTTAGGAAAGAGATTATCCTCACGCCTTTGTTCTTCCTCTGCTTTTCGCTTTTTGAAGAGTGGTCAGCATCACGGAAGAGAGGCCTCATCAATTTTGATTGGATCCAATAATATCATCACTCAACAATATGGTGGCAAAGCAATTAAATTCATTCCTTCTTCAAATCAACTTTTCCAAACCAGAGCATTCCACACTTCAAAATTAGTATCCAATAATGTTGAATCTGAACAACCAAAGGAAGTTGTTTTTGGAGAATTTGAATTGGGAGAAGCAAAGAAAGAAGTTATTGAAGCAGTTTTTCGTTTATTCTCTAAACATGGAGATGTTGATAGTGCCAAACTTTATTTGAGATCATGGCATACACAAATTTTGCCAAGAGAAGAGAAGTTAGGACTCAAGAAGGCCTCTGTAAGAACTAAATATGACATGCTTATTGATTGCATTCTCTATGGATATTATGGACAAAGCTGTAAACCTGATGGACAAGATAGACAATTGTGTGTGGAATTATTATTGGAATCAACTAAATTATATAAGGAACTTTTCTTGAAGAGATTTAAATCATCTGAATATGTTAAGAACGCACTCGAACACTCACCTCATGGTAATAATAAGCTTTTAGCAAAGATTAAGGAAAGAATAGCCGAATTAATTGAAACTGATGAAGCCAAGAAGATTTTGGCTGAAAAATATGGAATTACGAATATTGCTGACCTTTCAGAACGTATTTTGAGAGTTGACTTTATTTCATCCATGTGTTTGGCCATGATTTATTTCCATGATGAAACTTTGAGAAATTTTGAACTCTCTGAATCATACGTCTTGCGTTCAATGGTCTCAAAGCCAAGTGATGAGAGAAGTATTTTAATGTTGGCAACTATTTATGAGTATACTGGAGATATTGAAATGGCAGAAAAGTGCTACTTACTCCTTGCTCAATACAATCCAAATGATCCTGATGTTATGGGTGATATTGCTGTCTTCTATAGAAATGTTAAACGTGACCTCTTGAGAGCTAAACAATTCTTTATTGATGCTATCGCTGCTAAACCAACTCATGTTAACAATTTGAGAAATTATGCCATGTATTTGTTTGAAGAAGAAGGAGATGTTGAGGAAGCTACTAAATTATTAGAACAAGCCATGTCAATTGTACCAAATGATTACATGTCCATGTCTAGTTATGGTATGGTGTCAATGGCTCAAGCAGTTAACGATCCAAAGAATTCTAGCGCCATATTTAAGAGAGCAAGAGACAATTTGAAGAGATCACTCCAACTCAATCCATTCCAATCCTGTGCCATCTTGATGAACTATGCTGTCTCTGAAAGAATGTGTGGAAATAACATTGATGCCAAGAAGGCTTTCGATGAAGCTGTTAAGGCCTATGATGAACACGAAAAGATTGCTCCAAATGACTCTCACGTTAATTTATTCAATAATTATGCTTCATTCTTATTCGAAGAAGGTAAATATGAGGAAGCTAAGAGCATGTATCAAAGAGCTTTGGAACTTGATTCAGATTCTTTGGAGGTTCACTCTAATTTGGCACTGACTCTTGTCAAACTTGAAAATTTCAAATTGGCTGAAACTCACTTTAAGAAAGCTTGTAATTTCGACTTGTCTGATGAATTCCACGAATTCACAGCTGTGAAGAATAGTCTTTATCAATATGCAAAATTCTCAATGAATACTTTGAAGAATACAACTCAAGCTAAGGAGTTATTTGAAAAACTCATTCAGGTTTGTGAACATAACGGAGGAAGAAAATATTCAGACAATACTCTTTACTATGAAAAGTATGAAAGATTTTTAAAGAATCAACAACAAGAATAAATTATTTCAGTTTCCATCATATTTCTTAGTTGATTTCAACAAAAATTTATAACTCCTCACCATGAAGAATTTCATTTGGATCCATTAACCCTTCCGAGACAACAATTGAATCGAGTGGTTCATATTCTGAGAAGAGGTCAATTTTCTTTGCAAGAGTCCATTCTACGAGAGTATTAAGAGCATTGGCTGCCTTGGCATCGGTTGGGTAAACTTTAAACTTGACATAAAAGTGAGCTCTGTAACCTCTTGGAAGAACCTTGTCTTCATTTAATGGAGTACCTTGATCCAAAAGTTTCCTCCTAATAATCATTTCTCTTTGTGCTTTTTCAATTGCTCTATTATTTGCTTTTTCAATTTCTTCTCTTGCTTGATTTTTAACCTTATCCTTTCCCTCCAGCCACTCATTTCCATAGTCCATAATTTCCTGAGCATACATATTCCAAGTTTCTTCCAAATAATCTTTATGCTTGCTAAGTATTTCTGGATAGAGAATGTTATTCTTGTAGGCAATTTGCTTTTCTCTACAATTATTCACGTACAACTTCTCAATAGCTTCATCGAGAAGGATTGTCCTTGTGTGGATAAGATGCTCCCCTGGTACTTTACTCAAGTAAATTTTTTGCCTCGTTTCGATGGCAAAGTCAACATATTCCTGATCCACAATTTCTGGAGCTATCAAGTTCAAAACACTACTGGAAATCATTTTTCTAATTTGATGCTGAAGGAATCCATTACCAGATATCTTGAATTTAATAACTGTATGAGTTGTTCCATCAATAGTAATTAGAGTTGGCTTGGCATAGCAGTGAAAAATCAATCTCTCAAATGTTTCATTATTTTCTCCCTTTACAGTAAAATTATGGAATGAGTGAGTGCCTTGATATTGATTCAAAATTGTATTCAACTTGTTGCAAATTATGGAAGCAAGATTGAGTTTTTCAGTGTCATTTAGAGTTGATAATGGCTTTTGTGGGGTCAATCCACTCAATTCCATCAAGTTACTGAGCTTAGTATTTGAGGTGTCAAACTTGGAAATAAGATTGGTAATAATTTCAAACGGCAAAACATATTCGTATCCTCTCACAAGAGCATTATGTCTTGGATTGAATCTTCTTGGTGTTATGGTCAAATGAAAAATATTCAATTTAGGATCTGCTGTATTTGGAGCTACCTCTGCAAAACTTTGATAAATATCCTTTCCTCTATCCTGATTTTTTTGAATTTGTTCTTCAGAGACTGCAAATTTTGCAATATCTTCCCTTATTGGATTTTTAGAGTTGAGAGCTTGTTTCACAAAATCTAAAAATGCTCCAGCTTCATATTCATCTCTTTTATCCACATCCGACTCGGCTTTAAATGAAATGAAATTGGCAACAGAGTGGACACCCTTGTCAGTTCTACTACTTCTCTCAAATCCCATGTTTGTTGGATTTAAAAAGTTAATTTCCTTGACCAATCCATTTTGAACAAGTCTTTTTGCCATCACACCCTCAACAGCTACATTCCGATAATATTCCGATATTCAAATTCAATGAAATTATTGAGTATATTTAAATAGGTTGAAACAACATACTGTAGGCATGAGAGTATGGTGTCTGTAATTGAGAACCTTTCAGTCCGAATCCACAATATCCGATACAAGCCAAAACTCTGAAATAATTTGAATTAAATATTCTCGTCTTGTTGATGGTACAAACCTTCTTTTCGTCATTTTTTTGTTCAATCAAAATTAATACCATTCATTGCTAATTAATTTTCTGGTTTTCTAATCAGTTGTTGTTGATGTGAATGGCCTCTTGTTAATCCTCACCATCACACTGCTTTATTATTTTCTACTTGTAAATATTTTTTTAAAAGGTAAGAAAATGTTAACCATAAATCATCTCGATTTAAACTTGTCATTTTTTATTTCCTTACCCAATTCAGTGAATTGATTATGATGACAACTTTCTGACTTCCCGCTGAGCTATTTCATGAGCGATAATGCTTCCTACCTACTATAAGCACCCAGCTGATAAATAATTTATTTGTGTTAGTTTTTACAAGATAAAACAAATTCCTTTTGGCGGGAAAAAATTTGGCGCTTTTTGAAAAATGTAATCATAAAGCGGGAAAAAATATTTAAAAAAAAAGAAACACTAAGAAGGCTTTGTTGGTGGCCTGATTTTAATCTAGCAAAAAAGCCTTTACTAAGAAGAAGAAGAAGAAGATATTTTCATCATGATGGTTCTCTCAAATTCATCATCACCCGCAAAGAAAAGGACCAGTAATCCTAACACACCAAATAACAATTCTGGTGCTAATTTTGCTTGTAGCAATCTTCCACCTCAACAACCCTCACCGAATAAGATTGAATTACTTGCAACAAATACATCTCAACAATCGACTGGAACTAGTCTCAATAGTTCCAAGGCAAAGGAACTTTCGCAATTGGATGAAAGTTTCAGCACTAATTACGATACTTCAATGCTCTCAGAGGAAGATGACACTGAATGGGATGACATGTTCGGAAGAGCCCAAAGAATAAGGAAGAGTGATGATAATGAACTTCTTGAATTTAAATACGACCTTAAAGAAATGAAACAAAGTATTGGAAAACTCTCATCTCATGAACTAATTTCTCATTTTGGAGAATATGACAACAAGACTTCAAGCAGTTCAGATTCCGAAAAATCAGATTCATTAATATCAGTGGTGACCACTCTTAAAAATTGGCAAAAGAATTCCAATCAAACAATAGATTCTCAGACTGGACAAAATATTCTAAACAGCCTTATGGTGATGGACGATGATGATGATTCTGCTACAGCCATAATGGCAAGTGATGGATTCAATGACATTCATGTGACCATTAGAAATCCTCTGAATCAACAAATAGCTTCTATGGAAAAAACAGATCTCTCTAAAACAGTTTCACCATCAAAAAATTTACTTAATAGGTTTGAATCAGTGGCAGCTTCTAATGGCTATGACGGTGACAATGAAGTTAAATCTTCAATTGACTTTGACGCTAAATGGAATGAGAAAGAAAAATGGGATTTAGAAAAGAAGAACAGAGATTTAGAAAGGAAATTAGCAATGCTCGAAAATGAACTTATGGAAAGTCAAAGAAGAGAGAAAATTGCTAACGAAGGTTTCAAAAACGAAAAGGCACTAAATGAACAATACTACAATCAACAACAAAGGATGGCCGAAGAGAATCAAAAGTTGTTGACCCTAAAGAAAACTTGGAAGGAGAGGTTAGACTCTCTTTCAGAAACATCGCAACAACTCGCCACTCAGATTGACAAGCTGCAAACCGAGAATAGAGGATTAAGCGAAAATGTAAATAATTTGGAAGGGGAGCTTTCAAGAGCCACAGAACAACTACGATCATCCAACGATAGGTGCTCTCAACAAGCAGAAACAATTGCAAGACTTGAGAAGAGAATAGAGGAACAAAATATGAGAATTTCAGAACTTGAAGCTCAAATTGGATCACAACAAAAGGAGCTTCATACCAAATCCAAAAAGATTAAGCATCAAGAAAAAGATTTGGTGAATTTTGTTAAGGAATTCGATCAAACCAAGCTTCAATTCTCAACCTTTGTTGAAAAGTATGAAAAGATGATTGAAAAGCTGGAAAGATACAAAAAGTTAAAACACAAATTAGTTGATAGAATTGAAAGTTTAAAGCAGGAGAATAATGTTTTGAAAGAAAACTCTCACATTGTTCAATCGCCAAACTCCAATGTTGACGAACCAGAGCAATCTTCAAGCAATAAGCATTCTAGAGATTGCTCTCCTCCAACAAGGAATACTGAAAAGTACCAAACTCCAAGCGCTACAAACAGCTCCCAGAAGAGAAGTCCATCAACAACTGGAAAGATTTCTAAGAGTGCATCTAATAGTACGCCAGCAGTGACCCCAAATGTTCCTACAAATATCAGTAACATGTCAACTCCTACTAGCATGCCTTCCAGTAACAAAAAGTCCCCTTCCAATGTTTCAACCATTTCGAATACCACTAAATCGACTACCAAATCGAATGGAATATCCAAGTCTCCTCCGCCTCAACCAGTCATGAATCTTGCTGAGATTCCAACTTCAGAAACAGAAGAAGAAGAATCAGAGCTTGTGCACGAACAAGGAATTCCATTTTTCAAAAACCCAACCTATCTGAGGAAGAAACTGGTTACTGAAAGAAAAAGAGTTGAATTGAAAAATTTTGAAATTGCTGGCCTGAAAGAGTTATTATATGTAGCAACACAACAAGGTATTAAAAATTAATTTATAATTAATAGAAAATACAATTGGTATTCCTTATTGAATCATTAATTTCCAAATAACTTTTCAATTTCATACAATTATCACCTAACTTCCTCATTGATACTTTCATGAACAAAGTAGTTCTTTCCTTTTGAGAAGAACAAATCTCAACAAAGAAAATGAGTACACGCGAATTTATTACAAAAAATAGGATTGTTTCCATTTGGTTTTAGTCATCCCAAAATGTATGCTCTTTTCAAAAAACATAAACATCATGCTAGCATCTACCTCTGAATCTTGATTCCATCAACTATTCAGAAAAAACAAACAAACATACAAAATACAAAATGGATCAGCTGACCTACAATGCCACCTACGTCAAGTATTATTTAAAAGAGGTTCCCTACGCTGCAGCTAGTATTGGAATCAGTTCATTCTTTCTCGTTGCATTCTTAACCTATTTGCTCTTATTCATTTCTTTCATCATTAGTGTCAAGTTGAGAAATACTTCCAAGTGGTGCGAAAAGGAAGAGGATCCAATGTCTCTATCCTCTATTCATAATCAACCAGCATCAGCCTCCTCATCGGATCATGTACAACACCAGCAATCATCAAAGCAAGCCTCTGGAAGTAATACTACTAATGGACCAACAGCAGTTTCGAATAGTAGAGGAGAAGTGAGTCAAAGTCACAGAAGTAGTTTCTCAGTACACTCTAACAATCATCAAAATAATCAGCAACAAACAAATGGAAAATCAAATTCTGGACAAGAAAAGAAGGAAGCAGTCATGAATAAGAATCAAAAAGTAATGTTTTGCATGGTTATTTGTTTGGTTGTCATTCAAATCTTGGCATTGTGTGTGAGAAGTGTGAGTGATATTCTCTCAATCACGTTGGATAATTCATTTAAACAATTGACTTCCATTACAATTACAGATGAGAGTTTGAGACATCAGATTGCAGCATTCTTTGTATTTGCCAGTGCAGAGTTGGGACTCACATTTGGAAATATGACAACTACCTTAGTTATTATGTGTTTTGTTTTGAATGTATTGTAAGTGTATTTTGGAAATTTAAATATGTTAATATATTGAGATAGTTTGACGACATGTCAGAAAATTGGAGCCATCTCACCCAAAGCTTTCAAGATTTTACAAATTTCGATCATTTCTGGAAATATTCTCTACTTTGTAATTGCTTCCTTGATTATGATTGTAATATCAGTTGGCTATTTATTGGCTAGACTGGCAATTGTGAAAGATTTCCTCTTAGCATTCTACATTTCCATCTTTTTAATTGATTGCTCAATGATTATTGCAGAAACAATACTGTTTAACATTTATGGATTTAAGGTTGTCTCAACAATCAACAAACAAGCTGTCAAGTCTCAGAGAGAACAAAAGAAGTTGTGTGTCAAGAGGAAAAGATTTGCCAAGATTATTGTGTTACAATTAGGTTTGTCTTTTTGTGCAATTCTGCAGGTGGTTGCTATGATTTTACAAACAATTACAAGAGTGAGTGGAAATGATATTTGGGAAACAGCTCATTATTTTGTCAATTCATTTGGAATTTTGAGCTTTGCAATTGTTGTACTCATGTTGTACAATCCATTATTTAATTATACAGAAAAGACATTCGATAGAAGAATGAAGAAGAAACACATCGAAGGTAAAAGTAATACAACAAGTGCAATGGTGGATACAGATAGTGTTTACAGTGGTGAGCCAACATCACCAATGACTCCATCATTTAGTATCGACCACTCTAAGGACAATGGGAATGTTACCGCTCCACAATTCAATCAATATTTGACAGTGCCTGGACAAAGTGAAACGCTTTCCAATTCTACTAGCTCACTAATTTCGGAGGATTGTCACACTCCAACTTCAATCATTTCAGAACCTTCTGCTCCCGTTACAAAACCAACAGATATTGAACTTGTAGAAAATAGTGTATTAACCACCACACCTAGTGACAATAATTAAAGTATTTTAACTAGATCATTCTTACAATACGTGAATGGTACAATTATCATTGGAACATGTATCATGTTGCTTAATAGAACCAACTGTCCATATTGAAATACCTAATCTCTTGAAATCAGAAATAATTTCCTCACTCTCATGTGGAGAAACACTAAATAAGAGACCACCAGAGGTTTGAGCATCACACAATAAAGTTCTTACAATTTGACTAACACTCTCATTGAATTTAGTGATCTTTTGAACAAAATTCATATTGTTAATTGTACCACCAGGAATGATATCTGAGAGAATCATTTCATAGGCCTTGTCCATGAATGGAACTTTTTCAGATTCAATTTGTGCATATAAATTATCTTGATTGTCTCCAGTAATCATTTCTCTTAAGTGACCCATTAATCCAAAACCTGTAATATCCGTGCAGGCATGTATTTCATATGGTGTGGAGGATGAATTTACTCTGTGCAAGCCTCTCAAAATTTCTGAGGCACTCTTATTAAGTGTGGACATCCATTCGATACACTTCTTGGAACAATCATCATTAGGTCCAATAAGTCCTTTCTTCATGGCTGTAGTGAGTACTCCTGTACCAATAGGTTTGGTCAATAAGAGTACATCTCCATTTCTGCATCCAACATTCTTCCAAATTCGTTCAGGATGAACCAAGCCACTGACACACATACCAAACTTTGGTTCATTATCTTCTATTGAGTGACCACCAATGATGGTAACACCAGCTTCACTGGCTTTTTCTTGTGCACCTTGCAGAATCAATTGTAAAATATCTAATGAGAGTCTCTTAACTGGGAAGGCCACAATATTGAGAGCAACTTTACACTCTCCTCCCATTGCATAAACATCACTTAAGGCGTTGGCGCATGCAATGGCTCCGAAATCTTTTGGAGAATCGACAATAGGTGTAAAAAAGTCAACAGTGGCGCACAGTGCAAGCTCAGAAGTAAGCTTGTACACACCACAATCGTCACTCGTCTCAGTTCCAACCAGAACATTAGGATCGAATGGTTGCTTTGGTATCTTGCTCAAAATACTTGAGAGTGTTTGTGCTCTAATCTTGCATCCACATCCCAATCCGTGAGTTGTGGAGGTGAGTTTCACATTGAATCCCTCATTCTCTGCAGAAAATGAAGGTTCAACCATATCTTCCACTACTCTTTTCATTGCCAAATCCAGTCCTGATTTGATAGATGGAACTTCTATTGGTGTGAATAAACTATTGCTTAATTGAGAAGTAATTGCAAAAGATGCATTTCCACCACTCAATTTGCTAATAGTATCAGTAACATGGTGAATAGCACTCTCAACCTCATCATTTGTCAATAATAAACCAGTTGAGAAACGTATAGTTCCCATAGCAATATTTACATCCACTCCCATTTCAGCCAATATTTGTGAAATTACAATTTTCTTCTCTGCGCCTTCCTCATGAGATGAAGAGTGGCAAGCTGAACCAGCACTTGCTGCAATGTGTTGGGAGAGATCATCTAAAATTGTATTAGCCTCAATTCCAGCAAAAGAAATATTCAAAGTGTTTGGAAGTCTCTTCTCTGGATGACCATTCAGTTTGATTTGTACAATATTTGACAAGTTGTTTAACAATCCATTGTAAAGTTTCTCCCTTGTTGTAAACATGTGTTCAACTCTGTCAACCATATGAATAAGGCATTGCTCACAGGCTTTACCTAATCCAACAACTAGAATAACATTCTCAGTACCACTTCTGTATCCTCTCTCATGAACAGAAGCTCCATGCACTTGTTTCTCTAATTGAATGCCACAATTTCTTCTGATAAATAAGGCACCAACACCCTTTGGACCATAGAATTTGTGTGTACATACAGAAAGTAGGTGAACCGGTGTGATATCCTCTTCCTCCGTATCACTACTCGTTCCAAAGAGATCACTTACAAAATTCTCATTGAGAGCCATCACCTTGTTCCTAATTTCATTTCTGTCCAAGTCAATTTTCTTTCCTTGTTCCTCATCATCAATGTAAGAGTATAATGGTTTCTCATATAATGAAATTAAAGTTTTTCCAATACTTTGAGCAGCATCTGTATGTAAAATGATTGAATTTCTCTCCATTTGATTCTCCTTTTCAAAACTTCTAATTAATTTTCCAATTTCTCTAATTGGTTGCAGTGTGCCAACTTCATTATTCGAATGCATGACACTAACCAAAAGAGTCTCCCTACTCAGTGCATTTTTAAATTCGTCCAATCTAATCGTGCCATTCTCATCAACACCACAATACGTTACTCTTACTCGACTATATCTTTGTTCTAGAAATTTGAAAACTTCCATCACTGAAGGATGTTCAACTCTAGATGTAATACAATGAATGATTCGATCACTTGAGTTTAACAGGGCATTCTCCACAATACCCTTTAATAATTCATTAAAATTCATTTAAATTAATTGATCAATTCCAATTTTTAGGTATTAATGTTAAAATTAGATGAATAAAATTATTATTATTATAAAATTGATTAAAACACACCTTGATTGCATAATTATTACTTTCTGTTCCTCCACTGTTTTACAGTGTGTCATTCATAATTTGCATTAAAAAACAAACCTCGTAAAAATCACCTCATCGGGATGACAATTCAACAATTGTGAAACTTGAATACGTGATCGTGTGACTGCCTTCTTAGTAATAGTGCCGTAGTGATGAGACGAAGATGGATTGCCAAAATGTTGGGTCATGTATGGAATCATTGCAGAGGAGACTGCAACATCTATTGGTGTGGTAGCATTATAGTCCAAGTAGATTAGCGACATTTTTTTAATTTGGTAAAATTGTTGATTATGTATTCAGTTGGAGAATTGAAACAGTTAAATAGTTGAGTGAGTCTTGTGTTTGAGAGCATTGTAACAATAATATTAGCCATTAAATATATTGGGGAGTTGGGAGAATTGACTCTAAATCTAAACCCATGAAATCTTTAAACGATTTGAAATTGAACTGATGGTTAAGTTTACTATCTTATATTAGCACAAATTTGAATCTATTAAGCAAGGGAGAATTCAAATTAATTAAGAAAGGGAATTTGTGCTAGGTTTTGCAAACAAGATACGATATATGGTTCAAGAATATGATTCTTCTTTGGATTATCTTTTGAAGGTTCCGTTTTATGTTTCTACTGCTGCCGAGTGAATTAATTCAATTTCGATAATTGTCGTAAAATATTCAACAATCTCAAACGATTTGTCACCAATGCCATTTACTTTTATTGAATTTTAGCTAAATTTGAGTTTCGAAAGATTAACAGTTATATTGGTCATACGTTCAAACAGAATGTTCGAAAGAATGGAAAGGTTTTGGCCCAACATTTATTTTGTTCTTGAAAGATTGAGTACTCAAAATTTCCCTTTTGTAAAGTTTATATGGTAAAGATTACCTTCACTGAAGTAAATAAGCTTCGAAGATAATCTCAATATTAAAATATTAATAATATTGCAATGAATACAAAGAATAATGGAATAAACATATTCACATGAGTTGAACATTTGGAAATTGCAACTATTGAGCTACCCACGTTTCTATTAGAGGAAGTAAAAGTATTTACACTTTTCGAAGGTGTAATAAAAGAAGCAGTACTTCCGCTCCAATAAGTCAAATCCAATACTCCATTCGGTAATCCAACATTGGTTGCAAAAATTTCATGATTTCCTTCTACAGTAATGATATTAATTCCATTTCTCCATAATTGAATATTTGGTTTTCCAGCTTGTAATGGAATAAAGAAAGAATTAATACCACTTGAATTAATCATAAATGTATAATTTGAATTCTCAATAATAATTGTTAAAATTGATTGATCTGTTGTAAAGGTCAATACTTCAATTTGATTTGAAACACTTTGTGAAATTCCCATTGTAAAATTACATCCCATATTAGGTGCATAGGCATTGGTGGCTTCCTTTCTATAAAAATAATAAACAACATCTCTAATAATAGTTGGTTGTAATCCAGTTCTCCACCAATGTGCATAATAAGCTGTTAAATCATAAAATCCGTTTCCTGTTGTATTTTGTAAATCAGTAATTGGTTGTAATTGACCACTTTCACTAAAATCATTCCAAGTTGCCACATGAACAATATCTGCATTTGTTTGTAAAGTAGACATCCATGCATTTCTATAAGCTAAACTGTTATACGAATCATAGAGTATGCAATCTTTTGGTTTATAAGTTTGTGGCATCATTCCCAGCCAAAATAATAAAGAATTATTAGATTTTGCATTCCTAACAGTTGAAGCATATGCAATAGATGAAGAACCTTGTGTTGGCACTCCAACAGTTGCCCAAACACCCATTCCAATACTAATATTAGCATACATTTCTACATTAATATATTTTGAAGAAATAGTTAAAAATGTTGGAAGTAAAAGTATTGGAAATCCATCACTTGTTAAATTTTGTAATAAACTTTGCCATTGAATTGGTGAAACACCTTCTGCATAAAATGGTGCAATGACAGGTTTTGAACCATTTCTATAAATGGCAGTGTCATTATATAAATATTTAACTATTGTTACAATATCTGATAGTGAAAGTGAAGAAGACATATCTGGCATTAAAACTACTTTAAATCTTGATTGAGAATCAACATTTTTAACAGCTTGCAACATGATTGACAATTCACATAAAGTCCCCTTATAAAAACAAGTTCCATTACCAATATCCTTAACACTCAAAATATCATAGGACCATCCATTAATACCTCTAGCAATTGCCATTCTCACTTCCTTTTCCATATTTGTTAATTTCCAATAAATATTTGAAGCATTTTGTGGTGCAAATATTGGAAGAGGTCTCACTCTCAAAAAACCACCTTGTTTTATAAATTTATTTCCCTCTCCTGATGGTTGTAAATAATTAACTGAATAATAATCTTGAGATGGATTCTTATTATCAATTGAAAGTGGAAAGGGTTTGAAATAATGAGCGAGAACAAACTTGTTGGAATTTAACACTTGATCAAAAGATGGCATTTCAAATGGTAATTGATTGGTAGATATTACAGAGTTGAATATTTCATCGTTCAATGTTGAGTGAACACAAATTTGGATTAAACAAATGGTAACGATGAGAAATTTAATGATGAACATCATTGCTGACATTTTTTTTAATGAAATGTGAATAATCAGCTTGATTACCTTTGGCGAACGGACAAGTTTACATTGTAAAACTTAAAAAAATGAGTTTACTGGTTCTTCCCAGTGAATTGGTAGAAATCATCCGATCTTTTCTTTTATCTTCGCTCCTCATACAACAGAAGGATGAAATTAATTTTTCTAATATTCAAACTACTAAACATCAATCCCTCATTATGGAAGTATTAAAATTGGAAAGCATTAGTAAACAATTTTCGGAATGGTTTCAACCAATCACATCTAATTTTTGGTTTAATTTATTAGAATATGAAGCCAAAAATTGTAATGAATTGGAAAAGTGGAGAGGAAGGAGAAATCTACGAAGAATAGTTTTGTTATTGAGATGGGCTCGTACTCAATATTTCATTCCAGTAAGTGAGACAATTCCACCAAAAATACAAGAAAGATATATGGTTCTAGTAGGAGAGGGTATGTACATGATGATCATTAGATGAAATTAAATTATTAAGGTGGTGTTGGTAAAACGGCAATCGCCAATCAATTAATTCATGGTTATTTTGTTGATGATTGTTGGTATGGATGTTCCATTGAGGATACATTCAGAAAAAAGTTTAATGAAAGGACTATGATTGAATTGTTGAAATTGTATACTCATGATGAATATACTGCCCTCATTGAACATGCATTTAAAAGATACAACTCAATTATTTATCTATTTTCCACAACCTATGCTCTCGATGAAAAGAGAATGGAATATACGAAACGTATATTTAACATTTTAGTTAGAGCTAAAGATAGAGAAATTAATGATTTTCCAGTTTTATTTGCCATTAATAAGATTGATATTCCAGAAAAAGAAAGAATAGAAAGTGTGGAAAGTATAATTTCATTTATTGGAACAATTATCAAGGAATTTGAGTTGAAAAATACTGCAATATTCGAAACAAGTGCTAAACAAACAATTAACATGAATCAAATATTTGAACATGTTCTGAAAATGGAGGATTGGTCTCAATTTCCATTTCTTAATGCAATTAAAGAAATAGATGAAAGAGATGGAGCTTCTATAGAGGATATGAAAACATGGAAAGATAAGAAACAAAGAAAGAAGTGTATTCTTTGTTAATATCTCTACAACAAATTGATTTGAATTTCTGTAACTGCTAATGAGCAGTAGTTTTTGAAAACATTCTCCAATTAATTGGAGCAAATTTGGCTTCATTTTCTGAGGTTGTGAATTTTCAAGGTATGGACCTACTTGTAAATTGCCTTTCATTTCTAGAAACTTTTTAGCCAATCCAAAATCTGCAATTACAATTTCAATTTTAAAATGGAGTGTTATTAGCTTAGTGATTGTTCTTCTTGAAGATGTAGACATGGCTTGTTGTTCTTTCAAAAGGAAGCCCAATTTTTTTAAGATAGGTTTCAAGTTAAGTAGTTGATTGCACCTGTTCTTTGCTTGTGACTATTACGAAAAGTTGAGATAGATTTATAAAAGATATTGCGCCTCTTTATTCTTTATTACTGACAATGATGTCCTAAAAATGCCTTAATATATAAATTGGACGAATTTGCTCTTTGCATCTGGGCCGTTAAGATGTTCTGATAAGTTTGTTTTTTTACGTAAAAAGACCTTTGTTTGGACGAGGCTTTAATTTAGATGCACGCAACACATCCTACGGTATAATATTTGATTAAGGAATGTATATTTTCTATAAAGACACTGGACGGTATTCCCGCCAACAACGCTAGTTTTATTCATCACACCAAGAGACACTTAATGACAACCCTTACCAAATTCTCACCTCAAAAAAACCTATCAAATCAAATCTCCTAAATATCGATTTGTTGAGCCTTCCTTTCACTAGTCCTAAAGTTGCTTAACAAAATCATCATCATACTCATAAACAAAAGCTCCTCCACCAACTCAAACATAATGACAACTACTCCAAATGATCAATTACATCCAAACTGGAAGAAGTCGACCATAGTGCCTGTTCAAACCACAGGAAGTCAGAATGGAGAAAACTCTATGGAAATAATATCGACTGGAACGAGTGAAGATGAATTGGTCTTGAAATCAAGGTTCACAATCTCCATCAAATCTTGTTCAATAACCATCTTTTTAACAGTGATATTGTTATGTGTTTTATTCCTTACAGCTATTTGGGTAGCCTTTTTTGCTGATACCACCCGAACTTTGTCTCGATCACTCACAGAGGCTCAATTCTCAAAAATTACACAATACACTGAAAACACATTTAGAGAAATTGCTGTTGGTTCAGACACAATGAAGAACCAACTGATAGTGGCCATGTCAAATAATCACTCTGATGTTTTCCAACCAAAGGTTATGAAGCACATGCAAAACATTTACTTTAACGAAATCAAGTACCATGCAGGATTTGTTAATGCTGCAAGTTTGTACGGAAGAGGAAATCCCCACCAAGGTATTTTGATGGTGAAAACACTTCCAGTTTCACAAACTTTGCAAAATGATACTGGTCTGTACAGATATCCATGTGTAACCCTTAATGTAAATCAAGGATGCATTCCTGCCAACTTTTCATACTCTGTTAAAACAACAAAACCATACGATACAAGATCCTCATATTCAGTTATCAAAACCAATCCTGGAAAACCTGTATATACACTCACCTATAAATCTCCAGGTATTGATGCTGTGTTGATAGCTTTGGTTAATTCATTTACAGCACCTAATAATACTCAAGCCACAAGTGACAAACCATTTGATTGGTTTCTCCACTTGGATATGAGTGTGGACAATATGAGTAAATTCTTAAAAACAGCAACAGCAGATTATGTTATTGGATCAATAGGTTTGATCATTGAATCAAGCACCAATTTTATTATTGCCAGTAAGTAGTTCAGTGAGTTTTATTGTAACACATTATTTCAATAATTCAACTTGTAAACATCAAGCGAGTAAACCTGAAATTTCAATCACTGGTAGAATAACCCCAGATCAACACTCAGATCCAGAAATTACAAAAATGTATGCAGAACTCGTTTCCAGCTATACAAATCCTCTCAATGAAACCTTAAAGTGCAACACAATGAGCACAAACATGTTCACCTCTCGTGTCACTAGTGCTTATAGAATGTGTACTCAATTTAATATGGATTGGATAATAATCTTCTCTGTACCTCAGTGGATATATATTGGACCAATGATTATTGCAATTTGCATTGCCTTAGGTATCAGTGTGCTTATTACTATTGGTGGAGTTATTGCTGGTATTGTTTACTCTGTAAAGATAACAAAACCTTTCCAAAATCTTATTGAACTTTTCGAGAGCGTCTCGAGAATGGAACTTGATTTTTTAAATATCAAACCAAGTAGATTTAAGGAAGTTTCTAAATTGCAAGACCAATTCTTAATGATGACCCAACGAATTAAGCAATATAGAGCCTTCATTCCTTCTCACTTGTTGCACCAGCTTGAAAATCAAGATCAACCTGTCGAAGAAATTAATAATTCCACTATGAAGCATAGCACTGGCAATAACTTTTTGGCAGTACCTTCAGGATCAAAGAGAAGAGCTTCTCTCAACAGTGCCACAGGTTTAGATACATCCATGAATAATTCATCTTCAATGAAGAAGAGTATGGGAGCTTCTTCAAACGTACTATTCAAGATTGGTTTTGAAAAGAGAAGAGTTTCATCCATGGTGATCTATCTTGATGGATTTAACTTGTGGGTTCAAAATTTGAGTTTTAATGAAATTACTCATCTCTTGACAGATATTTATGAAGTTTTACAAAAGGCTTCTCTTACAAATGGTGCTCAAATTGGTAACTTTGAGAATGAAAGTGTCTTTTTGAGTTGGAATTCCACTGAGCGAATTAAATTCCACGAATTGAAAGCTGCTCACACTGCTGCAACACTGAGAGAGAGAATGAACCAAATACGCTCCACAAAATGGGAACAAAAGGACATTTTCAATCAATCTCCAAAGATGTTAGAGCAATTCAAGGTTAGGTTTGGTATTTTGTCTCAACATGCTCATTGTGGTAATGTTGGTACTAAAAACTCCAAGTCTTTTACCATTATTGGTAGTGCCAACAATAATTTACAATTATTGATGAAGAAGGCTAAAAAGTTTAACTTGGGAATAGTAATAACAAATGATGCTAATGTTGAAATTAGTAATGATTTCCATACAAGATATGTTGCTAGTACACATCTTTTGAATGAGGATAGCACCACCTCTCCCTTAATAGAAATTAGAAGAACAGAAAAGGTAAAATTATATGAAGTTGGTGAATCCAAGTCAGTTGAAATGGATGAATGGATGTATGAATTACAATCCACAGAACAAAAGAATAAGTGGAAAATGTACAATGAAGCATGTTCAAGATTTTTCTGTGACGAATGTGAAGAAGCACTTCCATTATTTAGAGAGTATCTTCAACAAAACAATCAAGATTTACCAACACTTCGTATGATTGAAAAATGCAAAAAGAGAAGATAGATTCCATCTCTAATTTGCACACAATTAAACTTTTGTATTCGTTTGTTGTAGTTCATCAAAGTTTGTTTTCTAATTTTACAATAAAAAAAATGTCATCACCATCTTCATCATCATCGGAAGGATTAGATCAAGTTGTAGAATTGTGTAACAAGGGCTTGAGTGGCACTGTTACTTTCAATATCCACACTTGTTTATCAGAACCAATTCCATTGGCATACAACACTTTGGAAAATGTTAAAATTAAACAATTTATTGATGATTTGACAACAAAATTAAATCAAGCAACACAAGATGTATCACCAAGCATAATTGATTTTTACTTGAAAAATATAAACATTAATCAAGTAGATTCCGATGAAAATATTTCCGAATTTCTATTGGAAACCTTGTTAAAAATTGAACAAACTTGTTTGAGTAGTCAAGTGTTCCACATGGATCATCCTTCATCTGAAAGTTTGGAATTACCAATTTATATCTTGAATGAAAAAACAGGTTCAATTTTGAAAATTATTACCAACTTTATTGAAGATGAAAATCAAAAGAATTATACATTCCCTACTGAATTTACAAATGTTGATCGTAAATTTATTCACGCCATCTCATCTCTTTATGGAATTTATCACAAAAGTGAAGGAAATAGCAAGCAACGATCAATTAAAATTTCCAAAGATGAGTTAATTGTCAAATTATCAAAAAAGAAGAGAGAACCAAACTTTCCGAGTGGCATGTCAACCATTATTGAAGATGTTCTCTTCTTGGGAAGTGGAATGGATGCCAATGATGAAATTCAATTGACCAAGAATGGTGTTGAATACATCCTCAATGTGACACAAGAGTGGCCACTTGGTAAACATGTTCCAAAGCAGATTAAATTCAAGAGAATTGCACTCAAAGATGAAAGGGAACAAGATATTCTCACCTTCTTACAAGAAGGTATCGATTATATCAACGTTGCTCTCCAAGAAAAGAAGAAAATCCTAGTTCATTGTGTTATTGGAAAATCAAGAAGTGCCAGCTTTGTGATTGCATTTGTAATGTCTCACTTTAAATATAATTTGAAACAGGCACTTGAATATGTTAAAGAAAGAAGAGATATTATTCGACCAAATGATGGATTTATCAAACAATTAATGCTCTTTGAAAACAAATTATTTAATGGACAATTTACTGATTCTGAAACTCAACTATCCACTTCCTTAATTTGGGAATTTGGAGAAACCAAACAAGAAAAAATCAAGAGAGAAAAAGAAGAGAAAAAATCCAAGTTCAATGAACAAGATGAAAAGGAAATCGAAGAATATTTATTGACAAAATTACCTTCCCTCTTACAAGAGTGTTTCCCAGATGCTGTATTTTCCAAAAAGGATACTCAAAAGTTTCTCAAATTTATTCAAGAACACGAATCCATCCAGTCCCATCCATTAGCAAAGAATATCAATTTTGCCAAGCATGTGCATGATACATCAGCAAAATGGTTTATTTCTAAATTTGAAAAATAAAGTTTTTATTAGAGAAATTCATCATTTAAATAATGCTCATCTTCTTCTAGACACGCAATTATTTCATCTGTTAACAGAGGATCTTGATAAAATGACATTATGAAGTCGTTATTTTCGAAAGCATTGGGAGAATTGGTTGTTTGTGGCTTGGCTTGATCAGTTGATCGACTTGGTGAAAGTTCTGTAGCAAATGTAACATGAGGTTTAGGGGTGAGCATGTTTTGCTCAATTAGTGGATGAACAAAAGGAAGGAAGAACCCCTTAATTTCTGAATCAAATTCCACAAGTCTAGATATTTTTGATTTAGTTTGAGGAATAGTTGCTGGAATGCTATAATCTATATATGTCTCAGAGTTTTGGAATCTATTAGATAAAAGAGTATTCAATTGCTGTAAAACATCAGAGTATGATAAAGAGATGGACCTGTATCTCTTTGCTAAAATGTTGAGTGCTCTATTACATTTAGAGAGTAAACTGTAGTAATCGATACCATTAGTATTCAACTCTCCTGTAGCGATAACCTTTTCCATCTCCAATAATATTTTGGCAGAAACGATCATGTAGGGTATTACAATAGGTGGTGAGAATGAAAAGTATTCATTATCTGAAATATTAAACATCTTGACAATAAGGTCGAATATAGTTTGCCTAAAATGAATTAAATCCACAAAAGAATAAATAGAAATACTCAATCCTGTTTTCAACACACCATAAATTACATCATAAATAATAGATGATATAAGTGACCCTCTTCTCATCTTTTGCATTGAATCTGTAATGCAATGAAAAATAGCCAACCTTTCTTCACAATTTGAAATATTAGTACCAGCAAAATCAAAGAGTGCATTCTTCCATTCAGTAGGCATATCCTTATCTACTACAGAGTTGAAAAATCCTATTAAATCAACAGGAGAAAGATAGGGAAATCTAGGATTTCCCAAATAGTCAACCAAAAGCTTAATCCATCTAAGGTTTTGCTGGTAAATATTTGCAAATTCATCCAATTCTTTCAAATAAAATTCTACAAAATGATTGTAGAATCTTGATTTCTTTGTATCGCCTTCACCTAAAAAATAATATGCAAAATTTGAATAAGTTGCAGCTGTATAAAAATCAGAGTATCCATCAAAACAGTCTTTCAGAACTAGAGCAGATTTTTCAATACTATCAGTGGCAAGATCTGAATATCCAAACCTTTGTTGGCACAATCCCTGTATAGACAAGACAAATGCAAGAATTTCCTTTCTATCATTGAGTTGATCCTGGCTAAACATGTATCGCTCCAATTCTGATCTCTCAATAAGAGGATAGCCCAAAGATACTATTTCATAGTAAGCATCAATAAGGTTCATCCTCATTGTTCTTAAAAACGAAGGAGTTTGACTCAACATATTTTCCACACTTGTTATCGGATTCATCACATTATTGACGAGATTATTTGAAATATTTACAAGATTGGTTCCGTATGGTGTTTTTACATTACTATTTTGTGAAGATGACTGACATTGAGGAATATTTTCTACTACTACACTTGGTGGTGATGAAGAATTTTCATTGGAATTATCATCTCGATTCAAGGGGGATGGAGTGTTTTCTCCACTATTTGATTGTTGATTTTTAGAATTACCTTCAGTACTAGTGACATGATTTTTAGATCCCTTTGTTCTACCCTTCTTTTTTGGTTCTTGATACTTTTACTAATTATCCCAACACAACTATGAATCGATTAAACCTACCGTACAGGTCAACCCCTTTGAAACGCATTTCGAACATGATGGTAATTTCTTATCTATTAGAGAGAGAATATTAAAGTTCCTCCGAACATGTATCACTTACCACTATTATTATTTCATTATCATCACAACAAATTCCAATCACAAAATAACATACCAACGCTTATGTAGCTTTCTGCATTGTCCACAGGCAATGGGAAACAATTCTTCATTAGTTGATGTTGTATATTTGTGCGTGGCTGTATTCATACCCTGTCCAACATTCACAAATTGGGCTTCACTCCACACTTCGTGACTTTTCGGCATTTTTTAAAACTGTTTTTGTAAAAATAGTGGGTATCTATTCCACAGACTGATTTTCCTTCTTATTTTTTGGGAATTTGTGTTCCACAGCAAATTTGGCTCTACCGCTCCACAAACCACTTCCAAAGCTTAATCGTATGTAGTAAATTAATCCTATTGTTGAGGTTCTTCCTTATTTGTGATCAATCTAGAATTCTTTGCCTTTTTAGAGATGTTTCTTTTGGTGTTACTTTATTTCGAATATTTCATTTCGCCATTTTCAAAGAATCCACTCAAAACTCTTGGTTTTTCTTTTGGTGGCACAACTATTGTACCAAATCCATTAAACTTATCATCTTTGAAATCTCCATAGTAAGCCGATTGAAAGTCTGGTTTGACGGCAATACCCTTTCCATCACCTTTAAATTCTTTGATTTCACCCAAATAATAACGATAATCAGTATTAATTTCCACTATTCTTCTCTGTTGATGATGTTCTTGTTTGCTCAACGCTCTGATAACTCCATATCCAAAGTATGAGCTCATAGCATTTGAAAATAAGTTAATCTTGAAGCCATTCATAGCAAGAATAAATTGGAACAGCAAAATACCGTTCATTAGTTGTGAATTGCTAGGCACAAAATATTCTTCAAATAAATCAAATTGTTCAGTATTAAATCCAAGTAATGCACAAAGTAATGCATAATAAGTAGCATCAAATCCAAACTTTCCTGTATGAATCAATTGTACTCTCATCATCATGTTTCTTCTGAAATAGTTCACCAAAAATACACCATACATTGAGGCTGCCAACACACCTAGAATTGCTGATCCAAAATAAATGCTTAACAATGTTGAATCACTCAAAAACTCCTTTAAAGAACAGCCAACAAAATTGATAGCAAGTACGCTTGTTGCCAAGGAGAGAGCATTCTTGTGAGCAAAAATACTGGTAATTAGAGTGTGAAATCTTTTTTCGTAAAGGTTATTGAGTGAGACTGTCATGTGTCTTTCAAAGAAACGAGCATATCGTCTTGGACTCTTTAATTGAAGAGCTACCAGGGCTGTATAGGATGCAATATGTATAGCAGATAATCCCCATAATACAGGAGCTCTATAATAATCCTTGATCAACCTTGTCAAATATGAATCATCTGTATGATTTAACAGTGATGCTAATTTCAAATCGCCACCCTTATTATCCTCAAGGTAATATGTTTTCCCATCCATAAATTTTGTTTTAAATAATTCTTCCAAATTCAAATTCTTCAAATCCTCATACGTCATCTTATCTATACTTATTGTCGTTACGAAGAGCAAAACAGCAAGAGAAGGAAAAGCCACCATCAATTTCCATAATTTTCCATTTTGTTTATCCACTTTTTGATGGTATTCCTCCTCTGATTTATACTCTTCGGAGCCTCCAAAGTGAACATGATTATGAATATTCATCTTTACTTCCTCCTCCACTAACTTTCGAATTTTAAAATCACGAACACTATTTCGTGGAAAATTATAATGTACATTATTTGTTTTAAATTTTAGGAGTGATACAATCCTCCTTGAAAGTAAGCCGCTACTTTTGCTCAGCATTGTTGCAATTTTTAAATTTTTTAAATATTAAAATTTTATTAGATTAAAAAATGTTGCGTTATTGTTCTGCTGCTTCTTCATCGACTTGCTCGATGATTAATAAATTTTCAATGAATCCTCGGAGGTTGTTTAATTCATCCTCTCAAAAATTGATGAATAGTAATACGAGATTGGTCAAAAATTTACAAACCACATTAAGAACATCAACTAGTAGTACGATCATTAGACAAGAATCTATCTATTCTTCAATTTTAAATAATTTATATCATGTAATATCAAGAAGATTTCCAAATTTAAATATGAAAAATGTATTTGATGAATGGATGGGAAAATTGAAAAATATGGGAAGATCATATCGACATGGAGGAGAAAGTTATTTCGGAGGTGATGGTGGTGGATTTAGATTGACTGGAATTCAAAAATTAATTGCTCTCAATGTTGCTGTGTTTGTCCTCTCTAATATTTTCCTAACAAGAGAAGAGATGGTCACTTATTTAGGAGTTTCAGTACATAATTTAAGAGAAGGAAGATTACATACACTTTTAACCAGCATGTTTACTCATTCCGATTTGCTACACATATTCATGAACATGTATGCATTGAGTCAAATTGGAAGAATGATGCCAATGACTAGAAGATTACTCTGGCCAGGTTATATATTCTGTGGATTGGTTGGCTCATCTGTTTACATTTTGGATAAGTGGATTGGAAGTACAATTTTAAATAGACCTCACGAATATTACAGTGTTGGTGTTGGAGCCAGTGGAGCCATATTTGGATTATTAGCTTTTGTGACACAAGTACATCCATTCATTCCAGTGGGAATTTTCTTCTTACCATTCCAATTTAAATTGAGAAGTGTATTTTACTCATTCATTGCATTTGAATGTTACCGTTGGTATACGAATAGGGATTCATCTGTGAGTGCCAGTGGCCATTTGGGTGGTGCCTTTGGAGGATTACTCTTCTTTTTACTCAATAGAAAACGTTTATTGTTCTAAACAATTAATTGTAAACTACTGTTCACTCAAACCTATGTTAAGCATATGAATTCCCAAATGTTGTAAACTTGGTTAATTGAGCCTTTGGCCTTTATAAACTCCAATCCTGTCAAACTTCGTGGTAAGAAGCCCGCTATTATATAATATTTACGCAATTTAAATCAATTGTTTCCAAATCTTGCTTCATGGATTTAATACCTGAACTAAACCGGATCATGTTACACAATTTCTGTTTCAATTTGGTTGCATGGTCAATTATTTTGCAACAAACACTCTTATCGTGAAAAGTCAGAGAGAGATTACATGCCGGTACCAATCATTCAACAACAAGTGCACCATTCAAATATCTAAGCATCGAAAAATGTCTCTCCTTCAAATGTTGTTATCTTCATCTACAAAAGTTGGAGTGTCATCTTCAACAATAGAAACCTCTTTCTCTTCTTCAAACGATAATAACAGTAGCAGTACAACTACCATACTGAATAATTCGAATAGAATTGCTTCAGAAATTTATCTACAACACTTGGACCCTTATACATTGAGTGGGATTTCTCTGGGTATTGAAGTTATTTTCATACCCATCTTTCTCGGATTGGTTACTTTCATTGCTGTTTTCATGACAAGAAAGGATATTCGAAAGGTAATGGCAAGAAATCAAAAGATTTTACTAACACTTGTTATTATCCTTCTGATAATTCAATGTGTTGGATTGACTTTCAGAGGAATATTCGATAGCTTGACCATTAATATTGTACACGACATATTGACAACCATTGAGAAGGAGGAAGGAATAGAAACAGCCAACCTAGCTTTGAGCTCAATGAATTCAACTACAAGTGCGGCCCAGGCAGGCGTCCAGGACTCGAAAGTAATAGCCCTCTACTTGATGGGATCATTTGAAATCATGACACAAGTTCAGAACATGACCCTCATTATATTCATCATCTTATTTATTTCCAATGTGTTTTTAAATACGGTAGGAATGGCTACTGGTATTATCTCTACAAGAAAGATGACCATACTTAGATATTTGGTAAATGTTTTGGGAGGTTCAGCTATTGTTATCTTGCTGTTGGTTATTACTGCCACTGCTATTAGTTATTTTATTATCAAGATTAGAATTGCGTTTGATTTTCAAACCTATCTCTATGTGGTTGTGTATATTATATTTGTGGTGACTGTTGTGTTTCATGGACTTATTTCAAATGTGAGTTTTTCAAAATAATTTCAACAATTTGTTTAACATTTTAATATGAATTTAAATTTTATTGGAATCTATGTAATATTGTTTATCTTGAACAGATAGTCGGATGTGCAGTTTTCAGTGTCATTCGTCGTAGAACAAGCAAGCACAACAAACAATCCAACCAACAATCCCTGAGAAAAGTTGTCATTCTCCAATTGGGTGTTAATATTAGTGCTCTCATTCAATTATTTGCTGGCATTTTCATTGCTCTCTCCAGTGAATATTTACATTTGAAATTGGTCTTTTACTTTTTTAATAATGTTGGAATTGTAATCTTTGCATGTCTTGTTTTCAGCTTGTATCATCCCTTATTCACAGGAGCAGTAAAGGAATTAAATGAGATGAAGGAGAAATCATCTCAGAGTGGAGGAGATAGCTCACGATATGATCAAGCAAAGGAATTATCTGATAAGAGTGTTATGGATACATGTGGAAGAAATGAAAAGAGAAAATCTAGAGTTCAACCACTTTCTCCTCGACCTCAACAACAAGTTGGTGTTAAATTATTGGAGGAAAAGAAAGTTGATTCAGAGGAAAATCAACCAATTATTGTTAATAATGATCATGTTCAGGTCATCTTGGAAGAAAATCAACCAATTGTTTGTAACAATGAAACAACTCCAACTGAACCTCCAATTGAAGATAAGGTGGAAGATTCAATCGTTGTCTAATATACCCATCCCGATCGAAATTTTTGAAACATTTAATGGATACCAAGCTTAACACACATTTGACCTTAAAATTATTTGTGACTCCCCTCAATAACTCTTTGAAGAATAAATTGTCTATTCTCAAATAATATTCTTAACATTCATGTCCATGCACATATGATGGATCTCCGTATCTTCCATCCTTTCTGAATCTTTGATTCTCAATTAAAAAAACCAAGGAAAAAACGAAACTCTAAAAAATGACCACAAACGACGATTTAGCAGCATTAACAACACAAGAAATTATTAGTGCAGTGGAGGGAAATGTCTCTGATCATGAGGAGAGTGTTTGGTCGATAGCTTGGCATCCAAAATATTCTAATTTATTGGCAACTTGTTCATCGGACAAGACTGTGAGGTTGTATTATGTGAGAGTGTTGAGTCCTTCGGGAAGATTATTTGCCAAGTGTATTGATGTGTTGGAAAATCAACATAATAGAACAATTAGGAGAGTAGATTGGTCTCTTCCGAGTGGAAATGCTCTTGCTTGTGCTAGTTTTGATGGTACAAGCTCTATTTGGATTCTTTTGCAAAACAAATTGCAAAATCATTTACAAGCCTTGGAAGAGGAATCACAAAATAGCAAAGAATCATCACCAACAACATCAGCAAATTTAGGACTATTGAAATGTGTATCTACTTTAGAAGGACATGAAAATGAAGTAAAATCCGTAGCTTGGAATTATAAATCAGCCTCATTGATGGATCAATCCGATGATCATGATGGAGAGGATGGTGATTGTGGACTCTTGGCTACGTGCGGACGTGACAAAACTGTTTGGGTTTGGGAAGCAATTGATAAGGTTGGATTCTCTGATTTTGATTGTAATTCTGTTTGCAGTGGTCACACTCAAGATGTTAAATTTGTTGCTTGGCATCCATTGACAAGATCAAATATGCCATCCTTATTATATAGTGCATCCTATGATAATACAATTCGTATATGGAAAGAAGGAGGATTTGAAGAAGATCACGATCGTCAAAGTGATGAATGGAAATGTGTTGGTATTTTGAGAGGCCATACCAGCACTGTTTGGGGACTTGCATTTGAACCTCAATTGAGTAGTGATGACCCTGAATATCCTCAATATATGGTTAGTGTTGGAGATGATAAGTCACTCATTCTCTGGCGTGAAGATGTAGTAGGCAATTATATTGATATGAATGTAACCCAAGTTCAAACAATTTCAGATGTACACACCAGAACGATTTATTATGTTGATTGGTGTGTTTACAAACATCCATCTACTGGTCAATCGATTTCTCTTGTTGCAACAGCTGGAGGTGATAACACTATTGCAATTTATCAATTTGATACCACCACAAGACAACTCAAATTATTAACCAAAATTGCTAATGCACACGATTCTGACATTAATTGTTGTATATGGAATAAGAATGAATTTGGTTTGTTATCATCATGTTCTGATGATGGTGCAGTCAAATTCTGGAAATTAAAAATGTAAATTATTATTCCAAAAAAGTGTTTTTTAATACAATAAAATTTAAAAAATTAATCTACCAAACTAATCTTCATATCCAAGTTACGAACGGTTTCCCAATAAGTATCAGGATTTGTCCTCTTCAAATATCTCATCATTCTCTTTCTTCTATTGACTATCACTTGCAATTTTCTTGATGAAGCATAATCCTTGTGGTTGGTTTTCAAATGTTCAGTGAGAGCCTTGATACGTTCAGTAAGGACAGCAATTTGAACTGGTGCACTTCCTGTATCACGTGGAGCCATTTGGAAACGCAAAATTTGAGTTTGCTTCTTTTGTTTGTTAATTTCTGGTTTTGAGGCAGTGTCCCAGTTGAAAATCTTCTTGACTTGTTCCAAAGCAGAATCGGAAACTGGTGAAAGAATACCAGCATCATTTCCTTCCATACCAATTGGTGTTTCAGTGGAGGACATTCCAGTAGCTAAAAAGTCATCAGACTTGATACCACAACGAAATTCCACAGTAGTTTTGTCATTATAATCTCTGACCTTCCATTCGTGTCTCTTTTTCTTTGGAATTGTGAGGAATGGTGATTCAATAGCTGGATATTTAGATTTATCAAAAGCTTTCATTTTAGTATAATCCCAAACTGGGTTACCGTGTCTATCGAGTTTAGGTGGTTGCATATATCTTTCCTTCATGTGTGATTTAGCGACTGGGAAGGTATCTTCAATATAACGTGGTGATGGAAGATTTTCTTCTCCTTCTTGTTGCTTTTCACTTGGTCGGATGGATGTATGGAAGTTTTGTTGTTGTGTTTTTAAGAAGAGAGAACCTGGTGATGGTTTAGAACCAAAGGCCAAAGCCTTGCAGGATGAATTAGAAATAAAGCTACGCATTTTTTTTTCAATTATTTACAATTTTTTATTTTTTATTTAAATAATCATTTTCATGTACCAAACACTATCGCCAGCACCACTTTTTTTAAACTCATTATCGGGACTTGCAATTTGTTTATTTCTACAAACAACATGTTATTATTATAATATCTAAATCATACATATTTAATTTTTGGAGGGAAAACAACAACCTTCAACATGATGGTGGAAGAGCCTCATGAATTATAAAACACAACTTCAAAAAAAAAATGCCAAAGGAGAAGAGGCAACACCTGAAAAACAGTCAAGCTACTGCAGGTAGAACACAAGGTATTCAATTTCAAAAAAGTTTTGGTCAGCACATTCTTATCAATCCGGGTGTGATTGATCATGTGATTGAAAAAGCTTGCATACAGCCAACCGATACAGTTTTGGAAATTGGTCCTGGTACTGGTAACATGACCGTTAAATTATTGCAAAAGGCAAAGAAAGTTATTGCTATTGAAGTTGATCCGAGAATGGTTGTTGAATTGAAAAAACGTGTTCAAGGAACTGCTTTAGAATCTAAATTACAAATTATTCACAAGGATGCATTGAAGGTGGAATTACCATATTTTGATTTGTGTATTGCTAACTTGCCTTATCAAATTTCCAGTCCTATCACATTTAAATTATTAGCTCATCAACCTTCATTCCGTGTAGCCTATCTCATGTACCAACGTGAATTTGCTCAAAGATTAGTTGCTAAACCAGGTGACAATTTATATTGTCGTTTATCTGTCAATACTCAATTATTAGCTAGATGTGACCACGTTGTCAAGGTTAGTAAGAACTCTTTCAGACCTCCACCAAAAGTTGAAAGTAGTATTGTCAGAATTGAACCAAAGAATCCACCTCCACCTATAAATTTCTTGGAATGGGATGGTCTGGCAAGAATTTTATTCCAAAGAAGAAATAAGCAATTGGGATCTGTTTTCAAGAATAAGAAATTGTTGAAACTTTTAGGAGAAAATTATAAACGTGTTCAAACATTGAAGGAAAACGGAACACAATCAACTCAAAGTGATATTAATTCTCAAATTTTGGCTGCTGCAGAAGGAATGACTGACGAAAATGAAAACGAGGAAAATGATATGGATGACGAAGAAACAGAAACAAAGAAGAAGGTAAATATGAATGAATATGAACAAAAAGTTAGAGATATCATTGCTGAAACTTTGGAAGAATTACAAATGACTGATAAGAGACCATGTAAAATGGATCAAGACGATATTTTGTCCTTATTGACAAGGTTGAACGAACAAGGTGTTCACTTTTCATAAATCATTTGTTTTATTCAAACTCATCTTCACCTCTACCCAAAACATTATTTCCAAAATTGTCAAAGGTTTCATCTTCTTCATTGCCTTCAACTTCCTCAAATTCATCCTGGTTATTATTAGCATTGGTTGCAGAGCTAGCCGTTGAAGATTGAGGCTTTGACACAGGTCTTTCGTATTTCTTTTCATCTTCTTCAGGATCATAATCATCGATATCAAATTCGTCTTCCTCAAACTCGTCATCAATTGCCTGCTCATAACTGGAGGTAGTCTTTGAGGAGCTTGTGACTTCTTTCCATTCATCTTCATTGTTTTCACTATTGGATGCACCTTCTGAGGTTGTTTTAGTGACCTTCTTTCTGGTAATACCTTGAATCTTATCTTTTTCCTTGCTCTTTTTTTGGAATAGTGTCATGTCTATTGGAGCTCTATTCTTGAGTGCAAATTCAATCTTTTTCTTATTCTTCTTTTCTTCATTCTTGTACTTTTGATGAATTTCTCTTCTCGTTCTCTTTGGGAACAATCGAGAAATCATTGAAAAATCTGTACCAAATTGTCTTAAACCATCGTAGAATAATTCCAAATCATCCTTTGTCCATCTTTCTCCCTTTCCCTTTCTGGCATAGGTGGCTTGAGTGACTGGTTTATTGGTATCAAGATTGGCCAATCTCATAGCTCTGGAATAGTTAAATTCCTGTCTTCCAGATTCCATGAAAGGGATTAAAGCTTCATCAGTTTCAGTTGGTTTCATTAAAATGTTACCATCACTATCGAATGAGAAAACTGATGGACCACCTGCTGGTTTCTCCAAATCTCCAAATTCTGAATCCAAATCCTGTTCATAATCATCATCAAATTCACTATTATTATCTGCAGGTTTATATGGATTAGGAGGAATAATTGATGGAGCTTTCACTTCCACAAAATTCTTGTAGGAAGATTTTCCACTCACAGCAGAAATATTATCCGAATTAACATTCTCATCATCCTTCTCATCATCCTCCATTTCAATTTGATGTACTCTATCCTTATATTGATCATCATTTTCAATTTCAAATTCATCCTCTTCATTAATAAATTCATCAGCACTAATTCCATTCTGTTGTGCTGAAGAATTATTATTCATATTAGATCTATTATTGTTATTATTAATATTGGTATTTTCTGATTCATAGTCATTCAAGATGGCATCCCGAATGAAATCCGAAATTGTTTTAAAATCACCTGTTGGTTTTTTGAGTCTTTTAGTCTTTGAACTGGTTGCTGATTTGGAGGAGGTGGCTGTCATGGCAGAGGTGGTTGAAATGGCATCCTCTTCATTGTCATCTTGAGGAGGTTCCACATATTCATCATCTTCATCATCAGAATAAATGATTTTTCTCCTTCTCTTCTTTTCTCGTGATGATGTTTTGGTTTTCCTTTTATCCTTCTTTGTGTTGTTATCATCGGATGATGATGGTGCAGTTATTGCATTATTATTATTATCATCGCCACCAACAATTGTAGAATTGGATGTTGTACCTCTCTCTTGTATTATTGAGGTGGATGAAGTTGTACTCAACAGGGATTGATCCAATGGATTATCTTGAGTGGGATTGAAACTCAGAGACAAAGTTGGTGGTACAGAGAGGAGTGCACTTCCAGAGCCAATCGCCGATGCTTCATTATGGGCTTCCGTTTGTCCAGTGGTATTATTATTATTGTTGTTGTTATTATTATTGGTATTATTACTTTTGGAGGGGGTTGATGAAGCAGCTCCACCTCCAATATTTGGTTTTTTAAAGTTCGGAGCAAACGCTGAGGCCGAACGTAGTTTTTGTTGCTTGGTCTTTTCCAATAATTGATCGGCGAGGGACATAATGTTGATGATATTGTTCCAAGACGAATAGTTATTGTGTGTTGGTGCTGTTTTTTACCGTTAAAAAGTTTTGTTATTTTTATTTTAAAATTGCAAATTAAATTTTGCACACTGTCAAATTTCCAAAATACAGATGACTGAATCAATTAAAAATTGAAACAAATCTCAATTAAAGAAAGGTGCATGTTTGAATATAAATTAAAATGTATTGTAAAAGATTTAGAGTTCTTCACCAACAAGAGACAAGCTGAGTCTTGGAGCTTGCTTACCATACTTGGTAACCAATTTGGTGGCCTTTTCAGCAACATTGTCTGAGGTAATCTTGAGGAGTTTGTAAACTTCTTCAGCAGCAGCACTAGCACCGAAAGTAGTCATACCAACAGCATAGTGAGCAAAGCTTGTCCAACCAAAGGTTGATGAAGCTTCGGCACTGACAACTGGAATACCATCTGGGAAGACAGTCTTCCTGTATTCTTCTGATTGACGAACAAACAATTCCCAACTTGGCATGGAAACAACGTTAACCTTAAGGTTAGCCTTCAACTTTTCAGCAGCTTCAACCATGAGGGAAACTTCAGAACCAGTACCAACAAGGACAACATCAGGAGTAGCATCACCTTGAATAACATAGGCACCCAAAGCAACCTTTGAAATATCAGTACCAGTCAATTGTGGCAAATCTTGACGAGAAAGAATCATTGAGGATGGAGTCTTCTTTGATTGAACAGCCCACAAATAAGCACCACTGGTTTCTCTACCATCAGCAGGTCTGAAAACAATGTGATTTGGAATGGCTCTCAACATTGGTAAAACTTCAACAGGTTGGTGAGTTGGACCATCTTGACCAAGACCAATACTGTCATGAGTGAAAACATAAATATTTGGAAGACCAGACAAGGCACTCAATCTGATAGCACCCAAAGCATATGAAGCAAAGTTCAAGAATGTACCAACATAGGTTCTAAGAACACCATGATAGAGAATACCATTGGCAATAGCAACCATGGCATGTTCACGGACACCAAATCTGATATATCTACCAACTCTATTGTTTGGTTGGAAATCTTGACATCCAGTTACATCAGTCAAGTTGGATGGAGTCAAGTCAGCTGAACCACCAACGAGAGAAGGAATGAGTGGATAGATGGCATTCAAAACTTGTTGAGATGTAGATCTGGTAGCAATCTTCTTTTGTTCGAGGTATTTTGGCAACTTTTCCATAACATCACCTTCCAATTCGTGATTAATCATTCTTTGGAGGAGTTGGGATTCAGTAGCATGAGTGGTATCATAGGCAGATTTAACTTGCTTCCATTGAGAGAGCTTTTCACTATTTCTATTAATGACAGTAGCAAAGTCCTTTCTGACAATTTCTGGAACATGGAAGAAATCATTACCAGTGAAACCACAAGTTTCCTTCAAATTCTTCAATCCATCAGCACCCAATGGAGAACCGTGAACCTTAGCAGTACCTTGAACCTTTGAGGAATAACCAATTGTAGTCTTACAAACGATCATGATTGGCTTGTCAGTAACAGTGTGAGCTTCCAAAATAGCTTCCTTAATACCAACCAAGTCATTATCAGCCTTGTCGACAACAATTACGTGCCATCCAAAACCTCTCATGACTTCTGGAGTATTTTGAGTAAAGGTCAATTCAGTCTTACCATCAATAGTAATACTATTGTCATCATAGAAAACAATCAACTTGTTCAACTTTTGGTGACCAGCAAATGAGAGACCTTCCATAGCAACACCTTCCATCAAACAACCATCACCAAGGAAAACATAGGTGTGGTGATCAAAGATATTTTGTCCATCCTTATTGAAACGAGCAGCCAAGTGAGCTTCAGAGAGAGCCATACCAATAGCATTACAAACACCTTGACCCAATGGACCAGTAGTAGCATCAACACCTTCAGTGTGACCATATTCTGGGTGACCAGGAGTCTTGGAATGCAAACTTCTGAAATTCTTGAGATCATCCAAACTCAAGTTACAATCAGTGAGGTGCAACATGGCATAAAGCAATGTACAACCGTGACCATTACTCAAAACAAATCTATCTCTGTTCAACCAATTGACATCATCCTTAGATGATTTGAAGAAGAACTTCCACAAAACATAGGCAATTGGTGACATACCAATTGGCATACCAGGGTGACCACTCTTAGCCTTTTCGACAGTGTCAGCAGTCAAACAACGCAAAGTAGCAACAGCAATATGTTGAAGGAATGGTCTCAAGACACCAGCACAATTCTTAACTTCCTTGTTAGCAAAGTCAACACATCTCAAAACTCTAACTTCACTTTCCTTGGCATCGAATTGTTGGCTCAATTGAGCATAAAAGTTTGATGATTTAGCCAAATGAGCAATACCATTCTTGTTGGCTGGGAGAGTTAATCCGAGACCCAACAAGTCCAAAACTAAAGTATTAGTCAATAAATTCTTGATAACTTCAACAGCAACCTTTTGCTTTTCATCACACAAATTGGAATTCAAAGCCAAAACATCAGTATAAACGTATGGCTTATCAGAGGTACCAATGAGTTGAACATTGTATTGTTGATCTCTGATGATATCCTTAATTTCACACATACTTTCACTATATCCGACATAGTAGTTTGAAATTGGTTTACCTTGCTTTACAGAGTTAATATATTCTCTTTGAGAGGCAACAACTGTTGAATCCAAAATGGTTCTATATTTTTGAGTGATATCCTTGTTGACTTGGTCACCAGATTGTGGAAGATCAGAGGCCTTGATATCAACTGCAGCTGATGATGATGATTGGAGTAATTGTTGATACAATCCGAAAACTGTGAAAGAACTAGAAGAGGCAACATCTGGATAAACAATTTGTTCATAACCAACCTTTTGAGCCAATTCTAAAAGGGAAGATGCTTGTTGAGTAGCATTTGGTGAGGACAATAAAAAGTTTGAGCACAAGTATTGTGGGAAACCATAAACGGAACCATTGACAGAGGCACTTGAGGAAACAAAACTATGCAAATCACCAGTAACACCACGAACCAATGATTCATCCAAACTCTTGACACCACCCAAAGAAACAAGATATGGAAGGAAAATGCTATCAGTTGAGAAAACATCTGGAAGACTTTGAAGACTAGCATCACTGTAACAATCAAATTCGGTATATTCGATATTATATCCGGAAACCTGAGTTGGCAAAACATCCTTGATCAAATTGATCAATTTAACTTCGTTGCCATTTTCATTCCAAGAAGGAAGATATGGGAAGAGACCAACAGTGAGTGTCTTTGGTTGAGTGGACATTGTTGCAATATTTTTTTCTATTGTTATTATATTTTTAATGCATTGATGTTTCTTCATGTAGATTCAATAAGAGAGCATATGGTCCAAAAATGTTGTTATTAGCGGCTTTTTATCATTTGTATTGATAGTAGGAGAAATGGTAGGGTGGATTAATTGTGTGTTTAATGCTTTCTCTATTCTCTCATTTAGTCCTTCTTGAAAACTTTTAGTTCACAATAATTAACATGTTAATATTTAAATAATAATGAAATTAGTTTTTATAATATCATCTTTTTGCCTTCCAAGAATCTCATGACTCTTCGAAATTTTATTATCATCTCCGATAATTAATTTAAATTAATAAATTAATCAAACATATTCTTTAAAGTTTGTTTCCTTTCTTCACTTCTTGCTAATGTCTTGTTGGTGAGCGAAATAATTGATGGTTGTTTTTCGGAAACAACTTTTCTAATTTCATATGGTAAATATCCAAGAAGAACAAATCCCGAAATAAATGCAACTTTAAATCCGAATGATGATCTCAATCTCCTCTCCAATTCTTGGAGGGAATTCTTAGACTCGTGTAAAAACTTTACAGTTTCCCACATAAACTTGTGTTTGGCAGTTTTAGTCATTTTTTCCAATAATTATTGACTTCTGAATAATTTGATTATTTTATTGAGATATTAACTTTGTAATTTGCAAATGTTTTTTAAATTGTTCATGAAATTAAATAATTCCATAACCTTTGTAAAAACAACTTTGGAAATATGAACTTTAAACCAAGTTGAAAAAAATATCATACCATGCCTCTGCTTTCGTTTCTTAAAAAGTCTACCCGATCCCATAGTACCCATAGCCATACTGATTTGCCAGATGATATTTGTTTCTCAATCATGGCATTTCTTGATTCAAAGGATGTTCTTTCATCGTGTATTCTAATTTCAAAGCAGTGGCAAAGGGAGGCAACAAATATTAAATTGACTTGGATAAAAAAGCGATTGATCAAGGGAAGGGATTTGGTTAAATCAATATCAGAATCAAATTCAAAATATTTAAATAATTTGACGTTTCTAAGTTTTAGATATGCTGCTCCAAGTGCCAAATTAGATAATGCAGGATTGATCGAATTAGCCAAATGTTCAAACTTGCAAAATTTGAAAACTTTGATATTATTTTGTAACAAGATAGGAGATGAAGGAATTGAAGGCTTCACTCAATCTGATATATTTCAAAATTTAACACATTTGGATTTGTATGGGAATTATTTAACTGATAAAGGAGTTTCAAAATTGGCTAATTGTAAATATTTAAGCAAATTGACCCATCTGGATATTTATAATAATGAGTTTGGAGATGAAGCAATTAGATCAATAGCCAATAGCCCCTTTCTGTCCGGCCTTACCTATTTGGACATTTCAAAGAACAATGTGACTCAAGCTGGAGCAAAATCCCTATCTGAGAGCTTATATATTAAGAATCTGACAGAATTGAATTGTTATCGAACATTTTTTAGGACCGAGGGTCTAACATCACTAGCCAATAGTGAAAATATGAGCAATCTGACCAACATCTCTCTTGACATTAATGAAATTGGAGGGATAGGAGTTACTGCACTAGCTCACAGTCCTTACATTAAGAATCTGAAAACCTTGGCTCTCTATGGGAATAATGCAGGTGATGCAGCAATAATAGATTTAGTACAAAGTCCGAACATGTCAAATTTAAGAGTACTAGACGTTTCAAAAACTGGAATTAGTGATAAAGCTGCTGTGGAAATTTCACAAAGCGAATATTTGAGAAACCTTACTGTATTAGATATCAGTACTAATAATGTTCAAAAGGAGGGTTTTGAAAGGGTTGTTTCCAGCACTATTCTATCGAAGGTGACAGATTTAAATTGTAGTTGTAGATATTTCACCGCGGAACATGCAAATATTGTATTTAATGGACTCAATATGAAAAATATCAAACTGTTAAACATGACCCTGAAAGGGGTGGAAGGTATTAATATGATTTCTGAATTGCCATACCTCATCAATATTCACACTCTCAATTGGAGTCACAACTTTATTGGAGACAAGGGATGCCAAGTATTAAGTCAGAGCCCTTACTTGAAAAGTATTACAAAAATTCATTTGGGATCGAATCATATTGGTGAAGAGGGAGCAAAAGCGCTAGCCAACTCTCCAAATTTTAAAAATCTTAAAATACTTGAATTGACTTGCAATAATTTGGAAAATTCTGGAGTGCAATACATTTGCAAAGGTCAATATTTTGGAAAATTAGAAGAATTAGTTATTGCTGATAACAAGATTGGAGAGGAATCAATTATTTCAATAAGCAGATCTCGATCTCAACTTTTCAGTTTGAAAAAATTGGACATTTCTGACAATAAGCTTTCTGAATCGATTGTAAAAATGGCACAATCAATCCCTTGGCTGGAAATTGTTTTGGTCTGATATGGCACAATAAATTAATTGTATCAATAACAACCATTCATTTCAATCTTGAAACGAAAATCAAAAAAATACTTGAAAAAAAATGGCCAAAAAGAAACAAGCAGTAGCATCGTCAACAAAAACCTCTCGAGCCTTTGAACAATTAAAACAAAAGATTGAAAAATCGAAAAAGGTGGAAAATGGAAAGTCCAAGAAGGAACAATCATCACTTCAAATACCCATCTTGGAAATTAATGATGATAGTAGTGAATCATCTTCGGAAGAAAATAACAATACACCAACCGATGAAAATTTGAGAATGGATTTAACTCTTCAGTGCGGATCAAAGAGTGAATATGAATTTGTATGTAAAACTTGTGGAGGTGACCACGATGAAACTAGGTGTACGAGTAATTATTGCCCAATTTGTTTGAACAAGCATAAAGTTGATAATTGTCCTCACAAGGCTGCTACTGCAATTGTTTGTGAATGGTGCTCGAAGAAAGGACACTTGCAATCCAAATGTCCAATGAAACAATATATTATCACAAAAGATGACATTCCTGCCGATGTTACTTGTTTCGTTTGTGGGGAGAAGGGACATTTGGTAAGTTTTATCAAATTTTAATATTTAATTGTAATTTATCTAACTGTTGCTAACAATAATCCGATATATAGAATTGTTCATCGAGTTACAAATCATTTTCGAACAAGAAGTTTTGTTTTAATTGTGGTCAACAAGGTCACTCTGGCTTGGATTGTGAAGATATTAAATTTGATGACATTATTTCAACATGTCTCAAGGATAGTAATTACTATTTAACATCTAGTGACTCTGCAATTGCCAAACTCATGGTTGAAAAGTACAGATACAATTAAAAAGGTGAATTGAATTTAATTCAGATTGAATTTCAAAAGAAGAACTCTTTGGAATTTATCCTTATCTTATGAATTCCTTGTAAATCATTAGGACAACCATCCTACAATCATTTACATGATTGAACAACAACTAACAACTCAAATCGGAGACGAAATTAGCAATGGGCTAATCGATTTATGGGATTATCCAATTATTCATTGGTAAATTCCCAAATAAAATTGTAATTCCATTCATTTCTCTATTAGCACCAATCACTTGGCAATGTTGTTGTAAATTGTGCAATTTCAATATTAAACTTTAATTTAACGTTATTTTTGAATTTTATAAATTCAAATAAAAAATGAAAGTGTACGTAGCAGCACCAGAGAGGAATAAAATAATAACAATAATTTCGGAACATAAATAAATAACAGATTAAAAGTCGAAGAATATCCATTGACAAATTTTGAAGTGAAAGAAATTGTTGAACAACATTTTGAAAATAGAAAAGAAAAACTAGGAGTTCGGGAATCAAATTTTAAAAGATTTAGGGATCCACTGCTAGATTTTCAATGTAGATTATTATATTATTTTGATAAACAAACTAAAGTTAACAATCAAAATGAGGAATCTATTAGGAATTTATTAAAGGATTTGGGACCATTCTCATTGACACGATCGGAAAAGATGTTAGTAATTAATAGTCCACCATCATCACTTGTGGAAATTCACTCTGTGAGTTATCTTCTAATACTAAAATATATTTAATATTTATCAAAGATTATTGAAAATTGTGAATCTAGATATTCTGAAGATCAAATTTTAGAAATTCTTGAAATTATACAAAACAATATTGCATCAGTGACACCTAAAGAGAAGAAAGAAGAAAGGAAGAGGGAATCTAAAACAGCAGATGATATGAGTACATGGTATGAATTTACATCAAAAGTAGATGAAGCTAGAAGAAAGCAAATTGAAAAGAAAAAACAAGAAAAAACCAAGTTGAAACCTGGTGATATTGTTATGCTTTAAAGATTTTTACAATTTTAAACATTTATACAATAAATTATGAGATAATGTAAAATTATGGTGCCTTCTTGAGGGTCGAGTTCAAATTTGTCATGTATTTATCTAAATGTTCATCAAATAGAGAACATTTGATTGGCATTTCCAATTCATAAAAAGGATTCTTCATTACATAATCTACATAACATTGGTAAACCCATTTACAACAATCTTCCATGGTACTGACACCATCATTGGAGAATTTCTTGGCATCAAATAAATAAAAGAATTTAGTTCCTGTTGTTGCAGCATGGCAAAATAATTTGTAAGTTCCACAATCAAGTACTTCAATACCACCATTTTCCTCTTCTGGATTAACACGTGCATGTGGTGGAATTAATTCTTTTGAAATGGCATGAAGCCCGTGAAATGTTGATGCCAATGTCAAATATTGATTTCCGAAAGGTTTAATAAATTTTCCATCATATTTGTTTTGTGGAATCACACCTGTTGGATTTGTTTTTAATAATTCAACATTCTCCTTTTCAATTTTTACAAACTCTGAGAATTTTCCAAAATCCTATTAAAATTTAATATTTAAATCCGCAACATCACATCGTGATCACGTCATTCCGATCCAATTAATTATAATTTTTCTTGATCAACATGTTGATCATCACCACTTACCCTTTGATAAATCAAACCACCAGCCTTGTTCAGCACGTATATCGAGTGAACTACCATTTTTTATTGTTTGATATTTTAAATGGTCAGTTTAAAATACAGAAAAAGAATTGAAAACAAAAAATCCAAACAGTACTCGAGTTTTATAATTAATATCCTAGTAGTTGCTATTTAGTAGTGCATTTCGAAAATATTAATGGTACAATCACTGCTACAGGTTGCCAACAGATTGGAGATGCCATTCTCATTCATGTGAGTAATCCATTTGAGACCTTCAATTGAACCTTGATGTCCCTTACCAAAACTCACTAATTTTCTAAATCTCAAATCCCAAACAAAGACATATCCATTTTGAGTGGAAACACTGAGACGAGTACCTCTTGGTTCAATTTGGAGATAGGTCAGAGTGTGCCAATCTAATCCGTACTGATCATCAGTTCTAAAGACATGATACAGACCCCATCTATCCATGGAGTGACGTTCCTGTTTATCAAAGTCATCTTCTTGTTCCTCTAAAGCTTTTTGTCCTTGTTGCTTTTCCAATTCGTATAATTGGTGGTAGTGATGGTAATGTTTATCCTTATCTGCATATTGAGTATTCAATCGCCACACCATGACAGTTCTATCGTCTGCACATGTCACTATCAACTCACCAATTCCCTTAATATATTTCCACTCTACTGATGTAACAGCAGTTGTGTGACCAGTGAGGGAATGAAGTTGTGTTCCATATAGATCGAAAATTCTTGTTGTTTGATCTTCACTGCAAGTGACAACATATTGATTGCAAGGTGAAAAGCAAACGGACCAAATTTCACTGAATTTCGATATTGATCCAAACCTAGTGTCCTTATTTCCAAATATTGGTTTGTGTGCAATGATTGCCAATTTAATCTTTAGAATTGGAGATTCTCTCGAGTTGTCTTCCATAACACATAGCATACCATTACTACTGCCACATGCCAAAAGTCTTGGACATTTTCCATTACACCATCTCAAACAAACAATATCGGATGTGAGAGAAAATTTGATATTGTTATAAGGATCATCAATGGTCTCCATCTTATCCAAATCAATATTCCAACAATGTACATTCTTATCTAGAGATCCAATGAATACAGATAAAATTCTAGAATTCATATTCTCATCAATTTCAGAATCGTTCCAACTATTTTCATGCCACTTGCAACAAATTGCTCTCACAGATCCAGGAACAAAACTAGACATTATTGGTATGTGTGAATTTCCATTGGTTTTCCATAACATGACTTGACCTACAAAGTCACCAGTCACTAAAAACTCACCATCAGGTGAAAAGTCAATACCACAACATGTTAAATCGTGATATCTTATGGAAGTCACTTTCTTTCCAGGTTTGATTGCTAGTTCAGACTCTTGTCTCTTAACCTTTACGAGTGAGAATTCAGAATCAATGTAAGTCCATATTAAACTATCACCCAACCATTTGAAAAAGTAAAGGGAAATTGCAGAAGAATTCAATGAGTGTTGAGAAATTAATTTGGATTCGAAAAAGTCTTCTCCTGAATTCACCCTCTGTATCTGATAAATATCAATTGTCTTTTTCTCACAATTGTGGAAACTCAATTCGTCACGTGAATTGAATTGCATCATGAAAATAGTGCCTCTACCAATGGCCGTGAATGAACAAAACTCCTTAATATCCATCTTGTCATCAATTCCATAAATTTTTACACTTCTATCTTGGAAAGCTACTGCTAGTAAATTTTCATTACTATTGCATTCGAGTGTTGTACTCAATGGTCCACTGGAATTGAGTGGTTTTGTATCTATGTGATTCAATCTGGTACCATTTTCAATTTCGAAAAGTGAGAGAGAAACTCCGCATTCCTTCTTTTGTTTAACTTGTTCAAGTGCAAAGATGAAATATCTACCAGCACTATCTCCATTCAGTGGTCGAATGAATGAGGCCATCTGATAGAACCCAGCTGATTGGTCGATTATACTCATATTTAGGGTTTTTGGATTAAAATCAAAGACTGTAATTCTACCTCCGTATCCCTCTGTACATATTACAAATTTAGAGCCGTCTGCACTCCAAAATCCACATTGGCATCTGAAAGAGTTTGGAATTTGAATTGTTTGCATGCATTCAAAAGGATTTTCATTCGCTTCCATATTGAGAACATTGAATGATTCATTGAATTTCCAAATTTTCAACTCTCCTGAGTAACATGCACTGGCAATAAAATTACTATATTTTGGATTTTGCTGCAAAACTGTAATTAAATTGGAATGTGCAGTAAAATTCAAAAATCTATTATTGAAATCACTTCCACACTTGACATTTTCCATTACCATTTGGTCCAATTCATTCAATGACCAATTAGAATCCAACAAATTCCAGCCACAAATATTAGGACCAATAGGAGTGTACAATTCATGCAATCCTCTCAACATGTATGCACAAAAACGAGGTGTTGGAACACCTAGCAAATTCTTTACCTTTGGCAAACGACTTTCTTCATTGGGAAAGGTCGGAAATATTGAATCCATATTATTTGCAATATCAAATGGAGATTGGTTTCCTCCATTGGTTGCATAATTACTACCACTACTAGCACTATTCATTGTATATCCAATAGGTGAGAGTGGAGAAAAACATCTACTCCCTCCTCCATTATTATTATTATTGCTGGCATTCTTTCGGAATGCATTATTTATACCAGACTGAAGAGTAGAACTACTAGAATTTGTTCCGAGTTGTAACATTTCTTGGTGTGTTTTTCCACCACTTGTTGTTGACATTGTAATTGAATTGTTATTATCTTGTTGTTGAGTGGTTGGTTGTGGATAGTGAGGCAACTGTTGAAAGGGATTCAACATTTTTTTCTTCAATTTTTTCTTGAAAAGTTATAACTTGGGTGTTGATGATAATGAGGGTGATTTTCAATGTTGTGTTGATGTTGAGATGATTATGTTAGATTTGAGAATGAATTCATGTGGTTGGGAGTGTTGTATTTTTTTTGATTGTTTGGAAGAGTTTGATTTTAAATTCTTCCAGGTTGATTGAAATGTGGTTCATATCAGTGGATGAACAAGTTTTGTAAAAATACATCAGAGTTCATTCGAATGGTTCAAGTTGTTTGAAATCTCACACTGTTTATTGTATTACAATATTTCAAATGGTTTAAGGTGGACAAGTTACAATAGTTTCATTCTTAATTTGATAAGTGTTTGAGTTGAGTGGTTTGAAAATTTTAACTTCCTCACAAACTACTTCCAAATTGGCAGGATTGACTGTACCACATTGAGCAGTTGTATATCCACTTCCTGGTTTGATTCTGGAAACTTGGATAGTCATATAGTACATGGTTCCAGCTACAATTTGTTGTTGAGGATTAATAACACGTTGCACTGAACAAATTTGATTGAGTGAAGAATTGGAAACTATAAAATTGGATAATTCTTCAATGAGAGTTTGATTTGTCATTGGAAACTTTCCTCCTGGTCTAACCAATTGATTGTCCACACTTTGACCCAAATCCAAGGCCCTGGAAGCTTGTAACCATGCAAAGATAATCAATACTGCTGCTATAATGGTTGTAAGTAGTAGTGGTTGTTGCTGTTTTGAATGATAACGACGATGACGGTTGCAATTCATTGTTTTTTATATTAAAGATGTGGAGGTGATTGAGAATTTTCAATTAGAATCAAATTACTATTATATTGAAAAGGTAATTGTCTTTATATGAACATGATACTTTCCATTGTAAAAAGACACTCTAATATTTCCAATTTGATATTTTAAAAAAGGAAGAAATTCAATGTTGAACAATGATTTGGTCAACTATTTAAACAATTGCCACTCACATAGTCAGGCACTCATCAATCCAACTTGAAATTATTTTACTATTTCTTTAAATCAAATAAATCAATTATTACTCAAATATAATTTGTTGTGGTCCATCACTCATTGATGCATAAGATAATGGAAAATTCTTCTCTTGTGTTGAACTCCTGAAAAAAAATTAATGCTAAAGATGTTTGAAGTTTTTAAAAATTTATTCAATTCAAAAAAAAATGACTCACAAGAGAAAAAAGGGTGATCAACGTGCATTCGCCGATCTTACAAGAAGCGAGAAGAGAACAAAAGTCGACAACAAATCAAAGGAACACTTTAGTGATGAAATTAGAAAGAGTGCTAAACAAAAGAAGGAGGAATTGAAGGAAGCCGAAATTGCTTCTGTGCCACGTTCAATTATTGTTGTTAGAGGTAAATATAAACCAGAGCCTTTGAGAAATTTGTGTGCCGATATGAGAAAAATTATGCTTCCATACACAGCCAAGGATTTGAATGATTCTGGAAAGGCTAAAGTTGTGGATTATGTTGAATTTTCAAAGCAAGCACACGTTACTCATCTCGTAACACTGACGTCAAGTGTTAGTTTAACAAGTTTGAATATTTGTAGACTTCCTAATGGACCAACACTTACATTTGAAATTCAAAATTATTGCACAATGAAAACTTTGAGAAGCTTCTTTTTAAAGGAACTGAACCATCAAATTTCTTGTGATGAAGCAACCTTCTTTAAAGATCCTGCCATCTGTATTCTTAACAATTTTACTTCCAGTGAGAGTCACATTCAATTGATGTCACTCACATTCCAAAATATGTTCCCTCCTGTAGATGTTAAATCCTTCAAACTTGCTCATGTGAAGAGAGTTGTTTTGTTTAACTATGACGAAGATGATGAAACAATAGAAATGAGACATTATGGTATCAAAAAGACATCTGATGTCATTACTCCATTCAGATTAAATACATTGAAGAAGAATGCTGCCAAGAAAGTGAGCGAATTTAAAAAGAAATTGGATAAAGTTAAGGAAGAACTTCAAGAACTTTACAAACAAAGAAAGGATATGAAACAAAAACTTGGTAGCAAAGCTGAAGAAAAAATCAAAAAGGCTGAAAAGATTGAAGATCTTTCAGATCCATATGTTTCTCTTGAAGCTGATATTGCTCTCAAAGAAAAGTCCCTCTTATATTATAAAGAAAAGGAAGCTGCTGCAAATAAGGAATTCATGGCTCTCAACTCTAGGAATGAAGTAGTTGCTGCTAAGGCTGCCAACTCTGACAACAAATTCCAAGCTGAAGCTGTTGAAGTAGATGATAACTTTGAAGCCAACTCTAGATCTAAAGTCAAGGTTCGTTTAGAAGAAATTGGACCTAGATTGACACTTAAATTGAGAAAGGTAGTTGAAGGTGTTTTCACAGGAGAAACTATTTATCACGCTCTCTTTGAAGATAAACCAGCTGATATTAAGGAAGCTGAAAAGAAGGAAAGAGATGAAAAGAAGAAACTTAAGGAAGAACGTAGGAAGCAACAAGAAGAAAATGTCCAAAGAAAGAAGAAGGAAAAGGAGGATAAAGTTGAAAAACAAAAGAATGACTTTTTACAAAAATTCCAAGAAACCCTCGAAAAGGATAGTGAACTCTTAGTGGACGATGATGAACAAGTTGACGAAGATGTAGATGAAGATGCCGATGAAAATGATGAAATGTTTGAAGGAGATTTGGATTTGAATGAAATGATTGACGATGATGAAGAAGGTGATGATATTGAAGTTGATGAGGACTATGAAAAAGATATTGACGATCAAGACGATGATGAAGATGAAGAATAAATCATCTTCTGAAACTTTAATTTACTTTCACTTTCTCTTATTAAATTGTTTCACCAAGTGGAAGTGAATCAACGTAAGTTCATTGAAAAACAATGGAAGTCCTGAAACCAACAAATAAAAATGGCCCAAACCTGCAAGAGTATTTTGGTATTTATTGAAGGAGCTTGTGATGGTAACCTTTTGGAAGAATCAAAACATGAAGAAATGGATCGTATAGCATCCATTGGTGGAACCACTCTTGTTCACGGTAGAAAATTATTTCCATCCTCCATACCAAATTCAACCATGATTAATAATGATTGTGGCTATTTGATGCAATTATTTGATTATTTGGATCCGATTCATCCTGTTGATGAAGAAGAGGCAAATTTGTGGAAGGAAAACCCAGAACTTGAATTAGAAAAACAAAGTTTATTCTGTAAATTTAAAAAGCTTAAAGTAGAGATGTGGACAACTAATAATAATGTGTTGAATATTTTCAAAAGCAAGAAGGATAATGCCAAGTTTTTGAATTTTATTGTAAATAACAAGGAGGAAGAGGATGCAATTTGTGAAAATGCTGTTCAAGCAATGCTTTCCAATGATATTTTAATACTCCACGATAATATTACCAAATTACAAACAATTGAGGAAAAGAGAAATCATATTCAACAAATTGATCACTTATTGAAACAAGTTAATAATTTATTTACACAAAAGCAGAACCAATTCAAGATTTACAATGTCATTCTTGTGAGTACACCTTTCAATTCTGTCCTTCCATCATTCAATAAGAAATCATCACCTTTCCGTCCACTCCAAAGCTATGAACAAAAGAATGGAACAATACTCACAGATATTGTTCACCATGAACCATCTTTAATCTGTGTACAACATTGTGAAGGAGAAACTAGAAGTGACACAAATACTCAATTAACTGAAAAATCAAGTATTGAACTGAATGGAAATTGTGCAATTTTAATTGATTTTGTAATTTCTGAAATGGCTTACAAACTCAGAAAGAGTCCAAAATATGGAGCTTAACCCAATATTCAAATTCTCATATTAACCATCTAATCATTTAATAAATTATTTTAATAATAAAAAATGATATCAAACAAAACCAGAAAACTCATTTTCGGAACGATCACATCATTCCAACTTAAATTATCAGCAAACAATTCTTCTTCAATATTGTTATTTACAAAATATAATAATATAACTAATAGGAATTTTAATACATCAACATGGTATAATTTTTCTCAATGTTTATCTTCAAAACAAGAGGAAAATTCCGATAATGATTCATTTGTACAAAAAACAAAATGGAATGAAGAGGATTTGGATCCAGATAGACCAATATTTGATGGATATATACCAAAGGAAAAATTGATTGCAACCTTTTCTAGAAGTAGTGGACCTGGAGGACAAAACGTAAATAAAGTAAATACCAAGGTAGATATCAGACTACATGTTGACTCTGCAGATTGGATTCCAGATATTGTTAAAGAAAGACTGAAAGAATTATATGCCAACAAAATCAACAAGGAAGGAGAATTTATCATTCAAGCTTCAAGTTTTAGAACTCAGGATCAGAATATGAAGGATGCCATTCACCGTCTCAAGGGATATATTGCAGAAGCTTACAATATTCCAAAAGAGTGGGTTCCAAGAGAAGGAAGAACTGAAAAGGGAGATGCTATTCGAATGAAAGACAAAAAGAAACACTCTGAAAAGAAACAGAGAAGACAAGAAGGAAAGAGAATTAAAAATGTCTATGATTATTAAAACCCACTTTCTAAACGCAGTTGCAGTAATCATCAATTAAAATGAAGAATGAAATATTTTGTTTAATATTTAAGATTTGTCCTCTGCACGTACTCTCTGAGGATTTGAGATTTTTCCTTTCTTTCAGAATTGGCCCTCAATTCGGCAGCAGTGTACTTCATTCTAAACATGTTAAGATACTTTAAAAGGAAATAGGAAACAATAACAAAGAAGACTACCAAAGAACCCAAAGTTATCTTGTGACCAGCATAGAATAAGATATTTTCCCAATTTAAGGCTGCATTCTCATCTTGATAAAATGTGAATGCAAGACTTAAGGCAGTAAGGGCAGCTTCAATTGGCATTTGTTGAGATGCTAAAGCAGAAGCTCTGAATGGACCACAGTTACTTCCTGAGGCTTGGAACAAGAAGAAACCAAGTGGAACCAGACAAAAGACAAAAGTGAGGAGCAACATGTTCAAATTGAAAGGACTGCTCTTACCTCTTTCATATGGATTGTCTGGGAATTTGGCAGTAACTCTCATTATCAAATATTTACAAAAGTATAAAACAAGGTTTGAAAACAAACCAGCAATTGGAATCATTGGAGACATAATCATACCGACGAATATTAAGGACTGTCTGTAAAGCAATTCGATAACGTTTTCAGGAACATCAAACTCAACTTTTCCTCTTCTTTTTGATTCCCAGTCGTCATCAGTTTTCTTTTTTGTTATGCATCTCATTAAATTGTACCTAACAGGAAGGAAAATTAATGTTTTGAAAATGCTCACAGCAAATTCGATCCAAATCATTTGCCAAAAGACTAAACCTGCCTCAGTTTGTCTGCATTTACCATCACTTTCGTCCAAGAACAAGACTCTCACCATCAAAGCAACGGTGGTTGACATTTTGATAACATATGTTCTAATGATAATATTCCATTCTGTTGTAGCTCTTTCAGCATAACCTTCTAAGTGGACCATGTATGAAATAATAATTGGGAAGAGCAAGGAAATTGTTGATGACAGCACTGAAGTTGTAAAAGGGAAAGCAGAATTAATAATTTCATAATATTGGACAATAAAGTAGACAGCCACTGGTGTACCTACTAAAAAGAAGCCGCTCACTGCAATACCAATGGCTCTTTTAAAAACCAAGAATACAAGTTCTTTTGGAGATTTTTGAGCAGCTGACTTTTCTTTAGCAAAGTCTGCATTTCTGTACTCTGCCAATTTGGTGGCCAAATATCTTTGAAGATCTTGGACACCTTCCTTGGATTGTACACCAAAACTATAACTGTTAAAGACTGCCTCAAGGTATCTAGTGTTTTTTTCGTCAATATGTGACACACTTGTAACCTTAGCACCTATACTCATACAAATAGAAACTATACAAATCGAAAAGTTCAAAATCACCACAAACACATAAACAAAAGCGAATGGCCAAATAACTGTTGAAAACAATACAAGTCTATCCTCATAACCACCAAAGAAGAACCATGTCAGTCCAATTATGTTTGACTTGACACCAAATAGACCCATGAGGAAATCCAACTTCCAAACATCTGGCCAATTATCAAGTGGTCTCAATAACCATGGTAGAATTAATAATAGGAATGAAGAAACAGCAACAAAGAAATTCATCTTGATTACCGAATAGAAAAAGTCATAATACGTAGCAACACCACTACCAAATCTCTTCTCAATGACTTGCAATGAATTTACAAAAGGGTTTAAATGGGAAATGATTCTTGTTGCTCTGTGGCTTCCCCACCACAATTTTAATCTTCTAAAAGCTCTGGAAAATTTGTTTCTATTCCTTTCTTCCTCTTTGAAGGCTTTTGCCATTTGTCTCAATCTTTCTCTCATGTTCGTAAGATCGTCATGTTCCAACTCTTCTTTTACAAGGGAAAGAATTTCAGGACGTTGTTGTTCTATCCATTCCTTATTTGTTTTGGTCATGATTTTCTTCAATTGACTAGGATGGTGGTCGTATTGAAAACTATTACTGAATTTAACATTGGAATCATGGTGACCCAATGTTGGTATATCGGTTACATCCGTTTGATCTGTTTGATTTGTATCAGTTGGGAATATATTAATGGCTCTTGGGGATGAATGATTGGATGCTTTAGGGGTCATTTGAGGTGGAAGTACTTCTCTTGGGGTAACCTGTTGAGGTTCTCGGGGTGTCTTTTGCATTTTAGCATTAAAATACATTTCTGTCTTTGATGAAGCTCTTGAAACACTTCGTGAGTGGTAAGGAGAGCGAGCAATTTCGATGTTCACATTAGAGGCGTTAATCTCTCGGTCGCCATAGTTTGCAGAATGTGTATTAGGTCTAATTTGCATTGGCATTTCCACTTCGAGAGGTAATTCATCTTCCTCATCAGAAATATTCTTAATTACCATGCCCCAGTTTTTGTCTAAATGATTGCGGTTCATTTTAAAGCTGTTGTTGAAGAATGAGGACAATGGTTTTCTGTTGCTAACTTATTGCTGATGATATTATTGATGATGATAATATAATGTTGGTGAAAATAATTGTCTTAACTGTTTGCTTAACAAGCAGAAAGGAAATTTTGAGGGAATAAGGTGTTCAAATTTTTTTAAGGTGTTGAGAATAATAACTGCCAACAACCAAGAGGGAACGATTTGGAATAAACCGAAGAGTGGTGAATGAAAAATAGAAAATGCAAATAGAAAGAGGATGATTGTTCCTATTTCCACAACTTTTTTGGACATGCTGTACCTCAACGTTTATTAAGAACTTGAACTCTGGAGAATTTCCTTGAATTAAAGCGTATATAACAGGCCATACTTGCTTTTATTCAATAAACATTTGAATTATTTAAATTTTAAATATTTCAATCTAATTTTTAATTTTACTCATTGATGTTCTTCAGATTGCCAAAAATGTGCAAAAACCAACAAGCAAAAAATGACAAGAAAATCACTGCAGGATATTATTCAAGAACAAAACGCCAAAAACCCGATTTCAAGACAAGCACCAAAAAGAGGATGGATTTCTCGTATGTTGTATGCGGATAGAGCAAGTAGATCAACTCCAACAAGACAATTATCAATCTTTGTTCCTACTCTTTTTGTTTGTATGATGGCGACTGTTATGATGATGAAAAACAAGCTCTCCGTTAAATTTGAAGATATTGATGACAATACTAAACAACAATTAGCTGGTACGTGACAATTTTACGTAAATTATTAAACACATTTAAATTAGATCACAGAGAGAAGGTTAATGAATTGTTCCGAGAAAAGAGGGACGCTGACATGGATGAAGTCTTGTTGGACTATGAAGTCAGATTGTGGTCCAATGGTTACCAAAACAAGCCAGTTCCAAGATCTATTGAAGAGAATGATTCTAACGATGAAGATGATGATGCTGGAGATGATTAATTTCAAAATTTTCAATTTGCCTGAAGTTGAAAGAATTATTCGGAGTAATTTGCATGAATGAAAAAGGCCTTTGTGATGGAAATTGGATTTCAAAATGTGTGGTGGAATAAAATTGCCTTGCTGATGAATTGGACTTTATTTGTGGTAGCAAAAGTGACCACATCATCTTGTGGATTTACAGCCTTGCCATATTTTAGTGATATTATTATTTACAATTATCAATGTTGAATACTGTACACTCTGGATTGATTAGTGGATAAAAAGATTGGATAGAACCCATTGCCCTAATTTTACAAAACCTCAAAATTGAAAATATCATCAAAGGCTATTGGTGAGAGAGGTTGAGGCGATGGAGAGGATGGTGTTGTTGTGATTGAATCCAGCACATCAAAAGACAGGAATGATCCTGGTTTGCAAGTTGGTGGTTTGGTAATTTCCTTCATCCTCTCATCGGAGAGTGTGACAAAGATATCCTCAGTTTGTCCAGTTTGCAAGTTGAATTCGCTAAAGACTGGAGTTGGATGTTCGAAAACTTCATCACTCTGAGGACAATACTCAATCTCATTATCATCAAAGGTTAATTTGAGAGGATTGGACTTGAGAGTGGAGACAATCTTCTTACCCAATTGTTGGGAGAGTATATTCTTTGGTTTGATTGGTTGTGGGAGAGCTTGTTGGGACTTGTTAGAGTTTGGATTATCATTAAAGACTTGGATAGGATTGGATTTAATCTTCTTCTTGGCTGGTTGGAGTGGATTGTTTTGCTGAAGGTTGGCACCTTTCTGGGTGTTTGTGATGTCGACCAAGGCCTTTCTCTTCAGATTTGAAGCAGCTGAGGAATCATTGCCTCCCTTTTTTAATTGTTGTTGCTGTTGTTGTGGTTGAAGAATGTTCGGTTTGATTGGACCAGTGCTATTCCCCATCAATTGTTGCTTTTGAAAGAGAGGTGTGGTATTCTCCAGGTCTGCTGGTCTAGTGCTAGGAGCGAATGGGGTTGGATGCTGGTTGTGTCTATTGTTCATTTTTTTTTGAAATTTTTAATGTAACGGTTACGCTGGGCGGCAACATTTGGCCTTCAACCACTACTATTGATATTCTTTCCTTATTTCGTTTGAGTTTAAATATTTGTTATTGAAATTTTATTCTATCGAAGGGCACCGATAATTGTTGAAGATAGGCTGATACATCTTTTACCATTGGGAGAGGCCCACATAGATAATAACATGCATTTTTCAATTCTTCACTCGTTAATGATTTTTGCAAGAAATTAGAGTCAATTCTATCATGTTTCAAAATTGATTCCAAATGTTTGGGTATTTCCTCAGTTGGGGAGGTCAGTAAATGGCACTCAATATTAGAATGTTCTTTCATAATTTCCAAAATGTCATTGATAAAGCAAAAATCTCCCACCGTATTAGCTGAATAAATTAATTTAACATTTACAAAATATAATCCATTCTGGGCAATATATTTCAAAATACTCACTAGTGGCGTCACGCCCAATCCACCAGCAATCAAAACTAAATTCTTAATATCCATAAATTGTTCATCTATCATGTTGAAATAGAATTTTCCTAGAGGTCCTGAAACCTTAATATATTCTCCTTCTTTCATATCATGTAGTGCCCTAATATATTTGAAAAAATGTAAATAAAATTGAAAAATAATGAATACCTACTGAGAAATGGGATGATTACTCAACTGTACAGTTATTTCAATAATATTGGAATTTAACATTGGTGGACTCGATATTGAGATGGATGTTGTCATGTCTCCCAAATGAATATTTACATATTGTCCTGCAAAAAACACAAAGAATGAATGTGAGGTCTTTAAACTTTCAACATTAAGTAAAAATCGTTTAGTTTTTGGTGTTTCTTGTGTAATTTTCAAAATTTTTGCAGGAACTTGTTGAAATTCTACTGGTAACACTTGATGTGCATTATTACTATGAAAATTAGACGTATGAAGTGTTGGTATGACAGAAGTATTGACTCTCTTTACAAATAAACTCTGCAATAGTGATTCCCTTGTATTGTAGACTGTCATTTTGAAATTTCTATTTCCGATTAAACTACTAATTGACCATATAATTGTCTGGCTCTTCTTGTTGCCAAATGATAATAAATTATTATTCAATAATAGGTAACGATGATGATGAAGTACTGAAAGTTTTTTCATTAATAATATTTGATGGCGACAGACGGAAAAAGATGATAAATTGAAAAAGTGCTACAATAGATGCGAGGAGATAACAGGAATAATGATTCCGAAGTTGGTTGCGAAAAAACTTCTTGATGTAATAATAATTGAACTTAATGTGTTTTCCTTTCCTCTCTCAGGTAAACAATTATTGTTTCACAACAAGTAAGATTTGAGGATTCTTTTTTTTTCAGTGTGTGGAAAAGCACAATCAATACTTGAGGATTCTTTGCAACTCGTATTATTGATTGAATAATAGAGGAACAATCATTTTCAAATTCCTTTACAATTGTTTGTAACATTTTAGTAGAAAACAAAGAAACAGGCAAACATTTGTAAAAACATGTACGAACGTGCGTCACGTTTATTATTTTTAGAATTAAAAAATGTCAATAGAGAATGTTGCTGTTCATCTGTGGCTAACATACAGAGAGAAGAAATATGAGGCAGAGTTTTCATCGGATGGCTCTACTCTTAAATACAATAATTTATCGGTGCATAGTATAACTGAATTTTGTGATCAAGTCACGGGAAGAAAATCGAATGGTCAAACTCTTGATAAAGTGGTCATTGTTTTAAACGGAAAACCAATTGCAAAATATGGTGATATAAAATTAAAATTAACGGAAAAGAGAGAGAAAAGACTGAGGGAATTGTATTATAAAATCATAGATCCAAATTCTTTGAAACAACTTTTGGAAAAATCGACTTTTAAACCATCACAAATGGTTCCTCCACCAAAATCATCATCAGAGCCAGTAGAAATTGTAAATATTGAGGAGGTTCACGTTGAATTAGTTTTAGAATTGGAAAAATTGTGTGAGAGTTTGCAGACAACTGCCATGTTGCTCACCTATATGGGAACGACAGAGGACAGTGAGGACGTAAGACAGGAAATTAAAAACCAAAGAAAAATAACGAACGGAATCATTTCGAGTATTGAGGAAAAATTGGAGCTCTTACAAAATCATCCACAATATCCAAAATTAAATAATGATTTTATTAAACTCAAAAGTTTGAGAGAAGAATATTTCAAAGTTAAACTGAAACAATTATTGGAAAAGTATCCATCTTCAAGAAGTTTGACAGATAAGAATATAAATAGTACAACTAGAAAGGCTGTAAAGGTTGAAAAGGATCAATTATTTGAACTTTTACAAAAACCATCAGAGGGTAACTCATATTCTCAAGAGGAGCAACAGTTACTCCTACAACAAGATGACTTGGTATTTGTACCATATCAGGAAGATGAAGAAGAATTGAAAGAATTGCAAAAGCTCCATAAAGACTTGAGGGATTTGTATGGAATTTCACAAGATCTTCACGAGGAGGTTGCTGTTCAAGGTGAAAAAATAATTCAAGTTCAAAGCAATGTGGATAAGGCAGAGCTCTCTGTAAAACAAGGTACCAGATACTTGCAAGAAGCCAAAAAGATTGGAGCTATTTCTGCAATTGTTGTTGGAGGAACAGTTGGTGGACTCATTTTGGGAGGTCCAATAGGAGCAATTGTTGGACTCAAGGCTGGTGTAGCTCTAGGAGTATCTGCTGGTGTTGGAGGATTGGCTGTTGGAGCTACTGCAGGAGGGTTACTTGCCAAATTTACCTCTAGTGTGAGTAATAGTATTTCAGGTGCTTATTCAAAAGTGACAGCTCCATTCATGGCTAAAAAACAGCAACAACTTGCTAGCTCACCTCCTCAATCAAATGTAAATTTAATGTAAAGTAGAAAATGTAAAATAATTAGGTTTAATGAATTCCAAAATAAAAATTGAACAAATAATGGAACACCTTCTTTTCAAATTTAAAATGTTGAAGCAAAATAAATTATGCCACAACAACTAATAGAGTCTAATAATTTTGGCGCCAATTATTTCTGTTTAATATTAAAAACAACACAAAAAAATAAGTAAAAACTCAACATTTTTTACTTGCATCAATATGATGTCTTTCCAACCGCCACAACACAAATACTTCATCCCGACACAACAAGGTAGCATGCAAACACAACCATTGCACACAAGGAATGTAGTACAAAATTCAAACTATCAACCATATCAGAATCATCAACAACAACAATATTATTACAATAACTATCCACAGCAACAACAATTTCATCCTCGTCAGCAAATCACATCACCATCACAACAAATTCACCAACAGCAAACCATACCACAAAAGCAACTCCCTCCTACAAACAATTATCAAACACCATACCAAAGCAGCAGTTCAACAGTAAGATATCAAACTCTTGCTGCTCGTCCTCAGCAGGTTTCTAACTATCAGACACCATCATCACAATCATACTATCCTAATGTTGAAACCAATTTTCAACATCAAACACCCCACCAACCCTTCTCTAGTTCGATTACTACTTATACTGCAGTTGGTGGAGTTAGGACACCTAATTTTCTCTCTTCACACAGTTACAATCCTTCACAACAGTATGGCTTTACATCTTCCTCAACTGTTGTAAATAGGATTACTAGAAATAATAATGAAGACGATGTTAATACTCAGAGATCACTGTCACAACTTTCAAGGATACGGTCACAATTCTCAAAGCCTGTGAACAAACCTGCTGAGAATGAGAAAGATGTTGCTGATGCTATCAATAAGGCATTTAGACAACGATTTTCCTCTGTTGCTCAATCAAACAATAACAATATGAAATTCCCTACCCAAACTGCAAAATTACTCAAACACATGAAAGTAGAAGAAATCAAACCATCTAGTACAAGCTCATCTCAACAAATGTTTTGTCAGAGTACTCAAACATCAATTCTTCAAGCTCCACAATCTACCTTTACTGGATCTCAATATTGCCAAACAGAGCAATATGTTGATCCAATTAAGACAACCAATCAACCAATTCCTCAAACCCACCAATCTCAGTTGATACAACCTACATCACTCAGAGGAAATATTTCCTCAGATGATCGCTTAATGCCACCTCCTTCAAACTTTGTGAACACATCGATGAACAGCTCTCGAATTTCAACTTCCTTCCACTCATCAAATATTGCTACACCTCCATTACTTCAACCCCCACCAGCTCAACAAACAAATATCTCCCAATTTTCCCCTCAAAGAACTCCATCCAATCCTCCTGTAGTTTTGTCCTCTTCGTTCAACATGTCTACTCCTAAATCACAAACTATACATATTTCTGACCAACAACACCAACAACCAGTTTTGGATCCATGCAGTCAACTCTCACCCTCACTTAATCCACCAAGTCAAATCCATAATACTCCCCCAACATATAATCTTGTAGGTCACCATGTAAATCAAAACATGTCTGCACAGATTAACACTAGTTCAATTGAGCAAGCTTGGGGTACACCTCTCGTTACTGTACCAGTGATGATTCCTCCTCCCGCTATCACTACAACCTCAAACACTAATAACAATGGCAGCTTTATGCGTAATCGTTTCGATTCAGATATCCAAAATGATATTAGTGGCACTAATTTCCCACCTCAATATTGTGTGCCTCCACAATGCTATCCTAGTGATCCAATGCCTGTTAATGTCACAAATGAGGTATTACTACAAAAATTCCCACCACAATATCCTGAGCCTGTCAATGTTACAAATGAAGTATTAATGCCAAACCATTCTCAAATTCATCATAATGTATCTCACCAAAGCAACTTGGAAGAGGAGAAAAAAAGACAAGACTCGATAATTGCTGATATTAATATGAGCAAAGTGCAAAGTCCAGAGGGTAAAGAGGTAACAGTGGTGAGTGATTCCAAGTCATTATCAGAAGAGACAGATGAGGACGATGAATCCAATAATGTAGAATCATCAAACAAATCAGAAATGCAACCAGAAAGCAACGAAATATCAAAAGCAGCATTGGAAAAGGCAATAAGGGATGCTTTAAGGAAGGCTCGTGGATTTGTGCATGACATTAGGGAGAATAACACAGTATTGCTAGGTTGTAAAAAAACCAGAGAATTTTATGATTACTCTGAAAGAAAAAATTGGAAGAATAGAGTGACAAAATCAAGACCTAGTATTTTCCGCAGAAGGAGATATAACCTCAAATCCATTTCTAAATCTGCAACTAATGGAGACATTGTTCAAATTATTGAGGAAAGAATGAAAAAACCAAGCGAGATGAGTCCAACAAAAACTACCACCTCAACACCAAAGAGTAAAACCACCACACCAAAGTCTACGACGATCACTAAGAAACAAACACCCGACCTAAATATCCTAAGCACACCATTGATAAGTCCAATACCTAAGAATGTTTATAGTCACAAACTTAACATTGTCCCAAATGAATCTGATATTCATGAAGATTTCTATCTTATGAAAAAGCTCAATTCTGTAAAGAATTTATATGCTGATGAGGATGATTGGACCAATTATGAATTTATTACAAATAGCTCTCAACCATCAGAATTCTCTGGCCTAATAAACGAGTTTATGTAAGTTTAACAAACTTACTTTGAACCGTCTTTTGGCGCCAAAATTCATTTCAAACTACAAAAAAAATGCCTAACCAAGACTTTATCAGCAGTGAGATGATGTAAGTGCAATAATTTATTATCTATCATCAGTCTAACTTGGAGCGTACTTTAATACAACAAGATCTTCCTACGGTTACGATGGAAGGAAGATTCACTCAGTGGACGATCAAAGGATTGCATTTATTTGTGGAAGGGGAGTGAGATTTATTAATATTGAAACAAAGGAGGAACACTACTTTGTTCCCGATATCTATATTAGTGAGGATAAATCTGTACAAGACTCATTTGATTTGAGACAATCTGTGGCAACTACAAAACAGTTATACCTCACAGCAGGAATTAGTGCAATTGCCTTCAACAAGAAAAGAAGAGTCTTTGCAGTTGCAGATACGTATTCCCATCCAAAAATTAGAGTTTATGATTTGAATACTTTTGAGGTTTTAAAAGTTTTATCTGGTGGATCAGTAATTGACTATTTGGATTTGGATTTCTCTAGGGATGGTAGTTTTCTTTTGTCATTAAGTGGAGTTCCTGACCATCAACTCACAGTTTGGGATTGGGCCTCTAGTAGGATGTAGGTTTCTTCAAATTATTCTGAGCTAACATATACTTTCAAGTCTGATTCAAACCCAAGTACCAAATACTACAAAGTATGCCAGTTTCAATCCAAGAAACAAGTTACAAATATGTTCGAGTGGATTTGCTCATCTTGCATTCTGGCTGGTAAATCCAATAGTTGATGGATATGATATCATACCAGTGTATGTTTCTTCTAAAATATTTCAATTGTTTTAACCTTTATTTTCCAGAGAACCGAAGGTTTCAGAAAACATTTACGAAAAAATCAAAACAACAGAATTATATAGGCATGAATGGGGAGTCAATAATGACATTTTATGTGTGACGAATGATGGAGACTTTTTAAGATTTGAAAATATTCACTCAAATGGTATTATTTTGGATTTAGACGATTCTAGAGATGCAATGTATAATATAGCAGTTTGTAGACACTCATGTATTGCTGGATTACATCAAGGATGTTTGAAAGTTTATCGTATGTCAACAATTAATAATGCTGGACAAAAATTTGATGATGAGGAAAGAATATCATCCAGAGTTGTAACATTGAACAACAAACTGGGTGATATTTCTTCTGTTTGTATTTCAGGAAATTTCAAATATATAATAGCTGGCACTGTGGATGGATCCATTTTTAGAGTGTATATTAAGGGATTCGAAACAGATACAATCACTGATATGGAATTGATGAAGAACGAAATATCCATGAGTTACGTAAGTATATTATGGAATTTATTCTTGACAATTTATTTAGGTTTACGATTCTCATATTGGAGCTGTTACAGGTGTTTACCAATTGGAACCACAAGACTCTGGAGAGACAAACAAATCCATTGTTGTGAGTCATGGTATGGATGGAACTATTAGAGTGTGGAATTACAAAACCAATACATTGATTGCCAAGAGAAAGTTCAATGCACTATTCTCATGTGGTCAATACTCTAATGGTCTGCTATTTGTTGGTTCTTCCATTGGTTTTTTGAGAGTCTTTGAATTTGATGAAAAACACCAACCTATTGCAATTTATTCACACAGATTAAGGACATCTGCTATTACGAGCATTAAAATTGGAGGCAAAAATGGAACACTTGTTGCCGTCTCATTTGCCGATTCCACTCTTGGATTCCTCCGTTTGGGTAATGCAGAGATTGAGAATAATAATGAGGATATTGTCGTTGACTTGGCAATGGAAGATGATGATGAATTTTTGTCCTTGATTGGATTCTGTAAATTTAACCACAACATTTCAACCCTCGCTTGGTCTAATGAAACATCTCTGTATGTGGCCACTGAGGTTGGTGATTTGTATCTTGTAGAGCCTCCTGTAACATATGAAGAAGTTATCTTACTAACAAATATTACTAAAGATATGTGGAAACTGGATTACCCATGTTACGGAATGGCTCCTTTCAAAGAGTAAGTTTTTAGTATCATTTGAGTAATTGACAATCATTGCAGCGATCCAAATCATATTTACACCTTGTCACAAGACAAAACAATCAAAATTTACGATCTCAACGTTGAAGATAGACAATCTGGAATGAGTAACAATGTAGTAACTCCAAGTAGTGAAACTTTGTGCCACTATAAAACTGGTGCTTGGGTAGTTTTGAGTTCTTGTGGAAGATACCTATGTACTGGAGCAAAGGATGGTGTAGTTTCAATCAGAATAGCACATACTAACTTCTTTGAGCAGAACGAAGAAGAAGGAGCCTCAGAATCATACTATTTACACAATTCTATGAATGGTGGTGTTTCAAGTATTTCATTTTCATACGATTCCACTACGATTTTCTCGTCAGGCTATGACGGAAGTATATGTGTTTATTCCTTAGATCCTTCCGAAAACATGAACACTAACAGTTTTGTTATGGCCATTCCAAAAGTTCAACCAAAAGATAAGTGTTCGACAACATCAGAGTCTCCAGATTTTAAAACAATTTTGGAAATTAAGACTGACAATCAAAATAAGGTTGAACAAATGATGAAAGAAACCAAGAAGGAGCAAGCTTTCTCTCAAATAGACGAGTTGAGAAAACTATTTTTTGAAATTAAGGCTGAAAATGATAATGCTCCAGAGGATGAAAGATTATCTGAAAGCGAATTTATAATTGATGAAGATTACAAAAAGATGCTGGAGAGAGAAGGTGAAAAGGAATGTGAGAAACTAAAGGAAGTTATGCGTGTAGAAAATGTAAAGAAGGACATCTTGGCAAAGAAAATCAAAAAGGAATGTTGGGACTCTATGGAAGAACATGCAACCACTATTATTGCTTTCAAGATGGCTTCCGAATACCAAAAGGAAGGAATTCTTCTGGAAGTTCCAAATTATGTGATTAGAAAGAGAGATCCAAAGAGAGAAGTTATTCTTGAAAAGATTGCATTCATGAGAAGAATGGAAGAAATATCATTGGTAAACAGAAGAAAGGAATACATTACCAACGATATCGAAGGTGGTGTTCCAGATGAGGAAGAATATGAAGAAAAATCGAACAAGAGAACCAACTCGAGAACAAGTGAAATTTCAGAGAACAGAAGTGAGGATGAATCTGAATTAAGAAAAACAAAGGAAAATATCAGAAAGAACCTTATTCTCGATCTTGATGGTCTTTTATATCCATATACCGATCTATACACAAGACAAAGAAAAGTTACCCAAATTTTCCTTCTTCAAGAAAAAGTGGACAAGATGAAAAGACAATTTAATGGAGAATTTAAGACGGTGAGAGAAGAAAAGACTCAAATTATCAGAAAGATTGAAAGTATGAACGAGAAAATTCTAGACATTTCTAAAGATTTGAACAGATGTTCAGGTACACCAATCCCTGTTGAAATATTCGATGTAAAACTCAAACCTCAAGAGAAGCCAGAACAATACATTCTCCAAGTAAGCGAAGATGAGCTTCCAAAGACTAAATTTGTGAGATCAGACGACAAGTCTAAAAAGCAAGATAATCAAAAGGCATCAGATCCATCAAAAATGCAAGATAAGGACACAGCACAAAGAGCCTTGCAAATGATGATGGATGGTAAATTAGATCTTGACACTCACGAAACTAAAGAAGAAGAAATACCTGTCCCAGCTGCAATGGGAAAGGAAAGATCTGAGTTAACAGAGCAAGAAATGAAAGAACTCAAGGAATATGAAGCTTTAATGAAACAAAAGGAAGAAGAGCGTATTAAGAAGGTTAAACAATTGGAGGCCAAGCTCAACAATGCCAAACAACAAATAGCTGATCTTTGTCAAGAATTCGATACAAACTTGAAGATTCTATTCTTGAAAAAGCAATCAACAGACCAATCACTTTTTGAAATTGAACTCCAAATGGTAAAACTTTCTCAATCAATCATCCAACACGAAGAATTTGAAAAGGCAGAAAAGCAATTAGAAAAGATTTTAGAAGAATTGAAGAATAAGAAGGCTCAATCTTCTAGTGCTGTCCAGGAATACCACAAAAGGTTTGAACTTGAAAAGGTTGAACATGAAAAGATAATACTAGAAGATCGTCAAATGGAAAGATCGTTCAAAACTCAATTCCAAAGAGATATTCTTCAAGTATTCTATCCAGCGAATCAACAGGCTCTCTCACAAATGTGTAAAAAGATGATGCAACAAAAAACTCAATCAAGTATGAATATGGAATTCCAAAAGTTGCAACATGCAGCAAATATGAAAATTGGTGAAATGTTCGAAAAACTTTACAAGATTTTCAGAACAAGATCTAAACCTCAAACAAATCAAGATAATATTGACCTAGCTTTGAATTCTGTAGATCCATTTGCTGATGTAGACGCAACAGAAGAAGCAAAGAATGCTCCTCCAGAAGATCCTCTCGATGAAGAAAAATCAAGACCAATCTACATTGCTGATGATGAATTATGGGCAAGATTTTGGGAAATAAGAGAGGCAAAGGTAGTAATGGACAATAGTGTAAGAGATTCTCAACAAAGACTTGACGAAATGAGAGTCCGTCTCGACAAGTTGACCAAAGAAGATAAGGATTTGGATGCAATAATGAGTTTGGAAATGACTGAACTGACAAAGTTCAGAGATAAGATTGTAACCGAGTCTTACAATATGGATAAGATTTTCAGATTCAAGCAAGGTCAAGTGGAAGTTGAACAAGCAGCTGTAGTTACTGACTATTCTGATGCCATTCTTATATTTAGATCAACTGTTGAAGATCATAACTCTAATATTAGACAACAGGGTCAAGAAATTGTTAAACAATTGACAAAGATGAAAGATTTAAAGAAGAAGATTAGAAAGATTCAATGGGAAAATGACCTCATTGCTTTTGATACTGAAGAAATGATAATTAAATTCAAGAGGCTTCAAATGCTTAAAGTAAAGAAGGAAATGCAAGAAATTATCAAGAGTGGAGGAGGAACAGAGGAGAAGAAAAAGATGGAAAGAGCTAAACTCCAAAAACAAATTGAAAATGTTAAGGCTGCTCTTGAAACTGCCCTCGAAGAAAAGAAGAGAATCCTTAAAAAGATGGAAGATTTAATGCATGTTAGATATGAAGAAAATACTAACCTCATTCGACAAATCAAGATTTTCGAACAAGTTGTTGAAGAAAGAGCTCAACTCAACCAAATTCAATCAGCCACCAAAGAAAAAGAAGCTGCTGATAAGCGTATGACCGAAATTAGATGGGAAAGAAAACTTCAAGATTTGTCACGTGATCAAAAACGAGAACTCGACATTCTCACAGAAGAATTGGAACGTTTAAAGAAGAGATCATTCCCAAGTTTTGCAGTGGTTGAAAGAAGAAAAATGTAAATTCGTTTTAGTTTCCTAAGCTGAATTGGTTGCTTTTAATTTGATTTTGAAAAATGTAAATAAAAAATGAAATTACTTACTTACATTGACTCTTTCGCCGTTCGTCAATTCCAACAAGGATACAAAGGAGGCACCCAAATTCCAATTTCTGTCCAATCTTTTGAAGAACAAATCAACAAAATTTGGAGCTCTGGAGATTATCAATTGAAGGATGGTTATGCACCATTTTGTAAACATTTATTTGTTCCTAATTTTGCAGGATGTAAACAAAGTTTCTTGGAAATTACCAAAGATAATGAACATTTGCTCCGAACAGAATATCAACAAAGAAAAGAATCGGAATTACCAGTCCTCTGTAGATATTTCCCTTACGATTTAGTAAAGGATCAAATCAAGGACTCTAAATATTTGGATATTATTCTCTACTCTAAAGAACAAATATTGAAGGAATCTGAAGCAATGCAAGAAGTTTCCGATTATGAAAAGAGACCTGAAATTACTGATTGTGAATGGGGAATCATTTCTGTTAAGTCACAAGACGTTGATTATGAACTTCCAATGACTCCAATCACAATGATGAGAAATGCTTTAGGAAAAGAAGAAGGAGGTAGTGGAGTACCATTAGAAAGAACCAAATATATGGATTCTGTTGAATTTTGGAAGAATTATGCCACCATTGCTTAATTATTTAATACAATTATTTAATTATTTTATTTATTAATTATAACAATGATGAGCTATTCTCTATTATTGGAATATTTCGAAATTAAATTATTTGATCATTAAATAAATATTTCAATTTGTTTTCCCGCCAAATATTTGCACTTCAAGAAAATACAAAAAACAAAAAAAATGATTCCATCAACTGTTGATACAACAAATTCCGATGATACATCACTGAATCAAGATAACACTACACCAAGTTTAAATTATATACAAGAAGCCAAGAGGAAGCAATTCCTTGAGAGGATGGAAAAGAGAAATGAAGAAATGAAAAATAAGAGAAATCAAGAGGTTAAGGAAAATCCAACAGTCTTTTGGAATGCTTTTAATGAATTAATTAGTCAACAAAAACAAGCCTCTGAATTGCAACAATTTTTAAACCAACATGTGCACTATCTGCCAAACTATGACGTCCGAAAGGCAGATGAAAAGATTAAAAAAATCCAGGAAGAATTAAAGAAGGATAAAAAGGTATTTTCATTCAAAAAGAAGGCACCAAGTTCTGAATCACTTCAAAAGAAGGAAACTCAAAACGTAGTAGTTGAGGAAACTCCATCTATCAAGTTGGAGACTAACAAGACAGTTGTTGATCTGAGTAGGGTACCTTCAGGTTATATCCATGAAGTTGCCCCAACTAAGGAAAATGAAAGCTTTGCCATTTGTAATGGAAATCAAAATCATGTCAGAATAAGGCATATTATTGGCGCTGTGTATATATCAAATCTTGTGGATTGTACTATTGAATTAGGACCTGTGAATGGTGCCATCTTCCTTTCCAAATGTCAAAATTGTAAATTCCAGCTTGCTTGTTGGCAATTGAGAATACATGACAGTACTGGATGTGAATTCCTTATTTGTCCAAAGAATAATCCAATTATTGAAAATTGTTCTGGCTTACAATTTGGAAGATATTCCCTCGAATATGAAGGATTGGATACTCAACTCAAATCTTGTGATATGGTTGTGGAGGATGATAACAAGAATAAGTGGAATAGAGTTCATGATTTCAATTGGTTAAAGACCAATGAGCCAAGTCCTAACTTTATTTACCTTTAAAATTATTTATTTCTTCTAACAACTCGCCTCTTCTTTTTTTCTTGTACGATTGGCTTTTCTTCCTCCTCTTCTGCTGATGATTCCTCATTAGAATCCTTATCCTCATCATCACTTTCTTCCTCTTTGGTAATGAGTGTTTCTCTAACATCAGCCGGAATACGAGTTTTGAATTGAGATAATTGGCTTCCATATAGAATAAGTTGCGCCAATCCAGCATATTCTCCAAATATATTTACAAACTCTTTCATAACTTTTTGAATTTCCTTTTCAGTGAGTGATTTCTTCTTTTTCGAAATGATAGTTTTCATTGATGGATAGCAATTTCTGGCAATTCTAAGAATGTGGACATCTGTTGGAACGCAATCATGACAATCCATGCTATATAATGCAACGCAGGAAGCAACCTTCATACCAACCCCAGAAAATTGTTTCAACTCATTCAATACGTCCAAGCTGGTTGGATACTTTTCTTTATCTCTGAGAGTGTAGAGGTATTTTTCTGGTTTCTCCTTTAATTTCTCAACAGTTTGAACAATGTACTTGGCTCTATATCCAAAATTATGCTTTCTGAATATTTCATTAATATTATTTCACTAACCTGAAATTTAAAACATACTTTAACTCCTTTTCAGTGCATTCCTCTAATTGTTCCAATGTTGGAAACTTGTACATTGGAAATGTTGTCACACCATCATCAATAGTAAATTCTCCCAAACACTCTCCATACTCTTCACACAATACCTGAACCATTTTGGTAATTCTTGAAACATTATTATTCGAACTACAAATAAAGGAAAACAAAGTCTCCAGTGGTTCCATTTTCAATAATCTCCATCCACAATAATATTTTACAATTTTCCCAAACAAGTCTGGGTCAACTTTGGCAAAATGTTCATGCAACTCTTCAATATCATAATTATCAATTTGAAAATAATCGGAAATTAATTGTTCCACTTCCTTTTCATCAAATGAATCACTTGCTGATGAAGAACCATTCGATTCATCAGTACTGCTACTGCTGCTAGCTTTAATATTGATGGGATTTAATTTTCTATAATAAATAAAATTATCATTCTCCTGATGATTACTTGTCAACTCGATAACATTATTTCCAAAAACTCCGACAAATGAATTGCTCGGTTTGAAATGTTTAAAAGTAAATGTTTGACCACACAAAAGTGTTGTTTCTTATATATTCAATAAATTATAAAACAACTCTCTTCTCTCCTTACCTAGATCTAAAATTCTACTTGTTACCGAACCCAATCGTTTACGCATTTTTTTATGAAATGTTTATTTGTAATAAACAATCAAGTATAGAGATTCAATAATAATGGTGCTTTAAAGTATTTATTATTTCATTTTCAGTGGTGAAAGATACGTGTTTTTCTAATAGTAATACTTTTCAATAGAGAAAGTTTGAAATAATTAAGGATTGAGAGTTGAGTAGGGAATTTTGATTACAATATTACCTGTTGTGGTGGATCGTTGGGCTGATGCGTTGGAAGAGTTGACCTCCCTATCAAATCTCAATTGTAAAACTTTACCCTTGATGGTAACACGAACAAAGGTTGGTTGAACATCAATGTCAACATAGCTCAGTGACATGTATTTTCCAGCTGGAATATCCAACACATAATGATCCTTCTCCTGCAATAATTTAAATGCCCATTTTCCTTCATTCTTTTGCATGACTTTGCCATACTTTTCAATCTCTTCTTCTGGAGTGAGAGAAACTCTCTTTCCAAGTCCTAATCCATCCACTTCATTGATTCCATCCAAGTTCTTTTCTTGAGCCTTCTCCTTTGCATTCTTATGTTCGGCCATTTCCTTCTTGTCTTGGTCACGTTGCTCAATATTTTCCTGAATATCTGCCACATTGATTCTTGATTGTTCCTCCTCAATAGATTTCTTGATTTGTTCCTTTAATTGCTCAGCAAGAATTCTCTCACTCTTTGCCACTCGCTCACCATCAAGAATTTGCAAACTAGGAACAGCACCAATAACAAAGAGTCTATAATTCTCAAAGGTAGTGCACGGATTTCCCAACAAGTGCATCTCCCTTAACTTATAATTCTCTCTCAATGATTCAACACTCAACAAGTCCCAAACAAAGTTAGCTGTCAAATCTAATTTTTCCAAATGTTCATTCGATCCCAATCCACTAATTGATGTTATATTATTTACAGCTAAATTCAAATACCTCAAATCTTTGAGGTGATGTAAATTTTGTATAACTCTTATTAAGTTATTTTGCAAGTAGAGAATTTGTAATTCCCTACAATATATCCCTAATACTTCATTGATGGATTCAATTTCAAATTGGTGGAGTGTTATTTCCTTTAGGTTTGATAATTGCCCTTCATTGTGTTCCGATCTCTTCCTGAGTAATAATTCTGTAATTTCAACCATTTTTTTGTTGTTTTTAACTTTTTCCTCCATACAACAATCACTTTAGTTTAACACATTTTAAAAACGATCAATGTAAATATTTTGGAGGGAAATTTCCTTAGTCAACCAAAATGTCACCAATAAAAATAAAGAAATATTATTTAATTTAAGCACTAGTTTGTTTGTGTCTAATCTTTTGAATAATAGCACCAATGGCAAAGATACAAGCCAAAATAAAGCTTAATCCACCAACAACCAAATAAGCAATAGCCAAGAACATATTACGTCCACCAATCCAACTGTTGTTTGTAATGACAACATACTTCTTTCCTTCAAATGTAGAAACATTGAAACGTTGTTGAATCTTGAATGAATAAGTACCAGCCTCAAGAGGAACATTAATGATACGATATAATTTACGGAATGTTGGGAGAGCAGCAGTTCTCATCCAAACAATGAAATCTTCATCAGTGACAGAAGGTAACAAGTGACCTGGTTCACCATAATATTCAGTTGGAGTAATTCTGTTAAAAACTGGACTCTTTGGTGGTCTGAATTTAATGTCAACATCAGAAGACCAAGCAATACCCTTCTTGGTACAATTTGAAACTTCAGAGTGACGAAGACCATCACAAACCAAAGAATTATTTGGACCATACAAACTGATAGTATCGTTGAACATACTCCAAGCAATCAAACCACAAGGACTATAAGTCATGTTGGCATTTGTAGAAAGACCAGTCAAGTTAGCTTGATCTGGACCATAAAAGACAATAGGATAACAATCAGAGTTGGCACTTGTTGGTGTTATCGTATTGTCACCAGCTAATTGAGAATCCGAACGTGATTGAGTATAACGACGATGGTTTTGATAAAAGTTTTCCAAACTATAATACATATAAATTGGTGGTTCCATTCTCTTAGTAACAGTGATAGATGTTACACTTTCACAATATGGTCCTCTACCTGGAAGATTTGATGGTGTATAGTCAAGAGTACAATCTTGGTCGTATCTTTCTCTATATTCTTGTACGTTTTGTGTAGTTACGAGAATTGCCACACCTATTGGAATAAAAACAATAGTAATGACAACAAAACACATAATCACCCAAGGAGGTGAAAGGATTGGTTGCCAAGCTGGTAACTTTTGTTGAGTAAAAGCCAAATCTATTGTTTTTCGATAATTTGTTGTTGTAGTAAGTAATTAATTGTATCAATAATTTGATAAGAAGTAATTGATGGGCAAACATTGGTGTAGATTTTCCGCAAAATAATAATCAAAATTCCATCCAAATTAATAATAATATTATGATGTGGTCATCAATTTCAGCAGCGTATTAACGATTTAAATATTCTCTTTAGAATCATCACAACAATATAAATAAAACAAACCTCTTGGCTTTTTAGACTTTTTAACTTCTTCTGGCATTATATATATTCTTCAAAAACTCTTCCCTATTATTAAAATTTCTTGTCAATACCAAAATCAAAAATCGTTTTTCTTGTTGTGGTGGCAAAGAAAGAGGCGCGGTAGAATAGGATGATGAATTTTTTAAAAATGAATTAGAAGACGGCAACAGAAAAACGAAGAAAAATCAGTTCGGCCCTTTAAAAATAACGTCTCCTCTTAGAACGTTCCAATTCATACATTTGAGGACGATTGTCAAGACTTTAGATAAAAGGAACGACATTTGAATGCGATCTATTGAGAAAGGTTTTGGTAACTGGATAATAGAATGTGTATTTGTGAGAAAGAATGGATAATTCATAAACTATTGAAATGGATCTAATAAAGAAGAATACTGTTCGAAAGAAATTTTGAGAAAGTGAGCTAATCTCAATAACTGTTCAACTTTTAATTATTTGAAATCGTTCAGTAGGACAGATTCAATGTTTAGAAAATAGTGTATTCTTGTAAAGAACTGTCTGCAGCGCATGCTAAATAACACTTATTTTACTAATTTATATTTATTAAGTGTTGCAATGATTATTGGAAAAGGTTTAGCGATACTATGCAGCATAAAAATCCATTCCAACTAGTAAACTTACTCCTGGTCTGTAAAATTACCAGGGTTACTCATTAACAAGGTCGACCCAAGTCCATAACCAAGATCATCTTATACATTGTATAAATCCATCAGCACACTGCATAAGCAGCATTATAGTATATGTCCTTTTTAGGTACGTAGTAGAGACCACATAACAATGTCGCTGAAACTGGCTGTTTGGTCATGAACATGACTCAAAATTTTTGGAATAAGCATCCTTAGTTTACCAAAGGACCATTGTAAGAATTGGTAAACCTTGCCCAAATAGGATAACAGTAAAGATGATTACCTTCATCATTCCATTCATACAGGTCCTTAATATCGTCTTCCTCAATATTCCTCAATGTTTTCAGATTTTTGATGACAATGATCAAAGTATCAACGGTATTTTCTGAGGACAATTGTATTTTCACTTGTTCATCTTATTCTTAACACTCTGATCTCCTTAACAAATGGCATATTTAAACAACCTAAAATGGATTTCTGTTTGTTCAAAGTATTTAATAAGGCACCCAAACAACAGGCATCGATATCATGCCTCAAACTTTGTTGCGTGGTGAGCGATGTTGAGCGGACGATTGAAAAACTTTTGATTACAGTACAGTAAAACCCAACATTTTTATTTGGGAAGATACAGCTATCCAAGAGGAGAAAAAACAAAAAGATTGCAACAACATTGATTGGCAAGATAACACTGCCCCACCTAATACTAGCTCACGACAATCACATACTGTGCGACCATTAGCAACAGTCACTAAGGCAATTAACCTAACCACTGAATGGCTGATCTATTTTGGTAGGAAACGGAGCTTTGTTTAAGATTGATATCAATACTAATTATTTGTGTGTTTCACATTCATAACTCTACACATACATGTTATAACATTATTTCACAACTGCTACTACGCTACTAAATAATACCTTCTCAACAATCCTTAAGAAATATGGGCGGCTCAAATTCTGTAATGAACAAAGGGTCATCCCAAGCAGATAAATACCAAATGTCATCGACTAATTCCCAATCAACAATGGTTTCCCAACAATCCTCTCCAAAATCATCCAATAATTCTTTAAGGAAATCATTTACACCTCTTCCTCCTCCTAATAGTACAGTGCCCGATGAAGAGGATGATAATGCAGATGAGGTTCTCTATACGAGCAGCGAATACATGTTCGATAGGGAGCTTCCTGTGTGGTTCTACTCGAGCAATTATAATGGATCTTTGGGAAGTAGGAGAGGTTCTCTCAAAAAGACTCGATCCTTAGTGATGGATAGCACATCATCCAACAACCGGGAAGAGGCTAACACCAATTCACCACCTCCTAAAAAAAGCACCAGCTATCAAAAATTGCACAGGCAAGATTCCCCACCCTCACCAACACATTCCAATTCATCTCCACTATTATTTTCAACACCTCCTCGACAAAGACCAAGCTTACTGACTAGTGTACTGAAAAATTCATCAGCACAAACCACTCCACCACCTCCAAAAGGAAATCAAGTATCTCCTTCTCATCACTGTACATCTACAACTGATTTTTCTTCATTCAATCCAGTACCTTCTCCATCTATACCAATACGAAGAGTTGAGAGTGTGGAAAATTTTAGATCTAGGTCACAATCTGTCCCAATTGATTCAATCAATTCTGATACTAGACAAGTTTCTAAACGAAACTCCATTACATGTTTTGTGAGTGAATCAAAAGACATGGATGAATTGCAAATTCTTGTGACACCTCCAGCTTCCCCTCATGAATATATGAGTCCATCAAACTCTCTCACCATTCGATCAATAGATAGTGAAATGAGATTGGCTAAAAGAGAAAAGAGAGAGAAAAAGAAAAAGACTTTGGAATTGAAAAAGAAACAGGCAGCATCGAGTGCTGCCATCATGATGTCACAGGCCAGTTTACCTCCTCTCTTCCAAAAAATACAAATGCATTCTACTCCAAATCGTCTCAAGTCTAAGGAATTGGATGAACCATCCAAGCAAATGATTCGAGTGAAATAAACATGCAAGTTCTCATTAAAGAAAAGCCTCCAAATATTGATAATTAACATAAGATACCGACTGTAAAAAAGTGGTCTGTTAATAGGAACAAAATTTACATAGGCAAATATTGCAGCGTAATAGCAATTTGTTATTTCAGTGTTAAATGAGGATATTTTAACGCATATGGCCAATTATAGCTGTGTATAAGATCACATATGTATGAGTAGGGTTTAGAGTTGGTGTATAGCCCAAATCAATCCAATTTGAGAAATACCATATGCAAGATATCTGATATTGTACCTAATAGCCTCTGGCCAACTTTTAGAATTATCTACACCAATAAATGCAACACAAGAAAATCCAAATATTATAATATTCTTAATGGAAAGTAAACTCAAAACTTGTACAATCAAGAGTAATGGCAGTAAAGTTGTCAAAATTAATGTTGATTTTAGTGGTGATTCTTTGCAATTCTCCTTATATTCAACATCCACATAAATAAACTTGGAAATCTCGTCCGATTTGTATTGAAGATAGAGGACCGATCTTGAAAACTGTTGCACATCATAAAATCCCACGATAGATGCAATTAGAAATACAATCATCCTTAATAGGCTTCCACTTTCCACTGGCATCGCCAACAAACAGTAGAATATCCAAAATGGACGAAGAAAAATTTGTATAATTGTCCTTGGGTATTGAAAACTCAAAAATTGATTCGTGTTTACAATGTTGCTCTTCAAATTTCTGAATGTATGCTCAGCAAGTGTAAACCTTAATAGAGTGGGCATTAAACAATTCAATAAACTTTCAATCAGTACATGAAAAATTATGACCCATTCGAAAGATTTTCTGAGAAGCAATTTTGTCTCTTCTTCCTCTGTTGTGTGTTCTAAATTAGATTCTTTCGAATTTTCATATCCTCTCATAGAGGATGGAAATAAAATCCAATCAACTATCAACCATGCTGAAACTAATCCAAACATGGCTTGAATAATAAACGAAGACCATGATGAAACCTCTCTAAAAACTGGAGGAATTAATGGACTAAATACTCTCGATTGATGGTGTAAATTTCTCGTCTTGGAATCTATTCTAAAGTGATGCTCCTGAGGTATCCGTTTTGGTTGTAGATCTTCAGGAGAGTGTAAATGATTAACATCAAATTCACCTCCAATATTACCACTTGCATTATTAGAATTTTGATTATTATTATTATTGGAGGAATTGGAACGATTCAAAATATTATTATAGGCCGCAGCAGCAGTGTTAGGTGAGGGAGGTGTGGTTGAAATTCGAATGAAAGGAGGAGATTCATCCCTTCTGTGATGAGAATTTTTCAATTCCGATGCAGACATTCAGAATTTGATTTTAATTCAATTTTTTAATATCCATTCCTTGAAGGTGTGCGATCTGCTGAAAGTTTGATAGATGGCCACCAATATTCTTATTTCATGACAAACACTAATTTTAGTTTTTGGCGCCAAGCAAAACTACAAAAAAATGTCTCAATCAGCTAAGAGTACCCGATCGAGCGTAACATCCTTGCTATCGCCTACTAAGAATATTGCACCACATACAGTGAGAGGAAATAGTCAACAAAATGTGGCAATGGGAGGGTTTACAAGTCGAGAGGAGATGATTTCTCACTTTGAAAAGGATATTGTCATACCTAATTTTGTACCACTATCAGATTACATGTTTATTAATGGTTGTTTGGAAATGAATGAAGTGGATTTGTTGGAACATTTTAGTAAAGCGTTGGGAGTTACGGATTATCTTGTAAAATTAAGATCATCAATATTGTTGGATTGGTTTTGTAATATTATTGCATTTTGTAAGGAGCATTCATTTTCAACAAGACAAACATTGGAGCTTGTAAAATTATTGGAAATATTAAGGAAAGGAATACTCCAATCTGAAAATAATTCTCCTCAATTTCCAACAGAAGTTGAAATGCAAGAATTTGCAAGGACAACATTATTTGAAATGAGCAAGCCTCTTTCAGAAGAGACATTGGTCGAAATTGAAAAGCAAATTATAGATGAAGAAAAAAGGTTGGAAGAGGAAAAATCCAAACAAGAAAAGGATAAGAAAAAGAAACCTTCCTCATCAGCCTCAACAAAGAAAAAACAACTCTCAAAAGAAGAGGAAGAAGAAGAAAAGAGAAGACAAGAGGAGGAGCAACAACAAGCCATTGAAAGAGCTAGAGTTGAAAAACAAAGAAAAGATGAATATAGAAGCAAGATCCCTTTATTCAATATTGATGACGTTGCAGTCATTATTGATTTCATTTTAAAAACTGTTGTTCAACACTACAACCTGTATAGATATATATTCGAGGAGGAACAACCATTAAGGGAATCACTTTATCAAGTGGATGTGGATACAATCATGCTTGAATGTGTCTATCCTCTTTCATCCATGCTTCAAGAAGCTGCCTATACGCAAAAGAAAGAAGACGAAAAGAAAGCAAAGGAAGAGGCTGAGCAAAAGAAACGCGAGGAAGAAGAACAGGAACGTATTCGTCTCGAACATGAAGCTCGTGAAAGGTATGAGAGAGAAAAGGCTGAAAGAAACGCTCCCAAATTGACTGATGAAAATTTGAAGGAAATTGCCGAATATTTGAAACATGAGGTAATGACCAAAATTGAAGAGAAGGTTTCAGTAGTGGAAAGTAAGGTTAAGGCAACTGAAGACATTACTCTAAATTCACCTAAATTACCTGTCAATAATCCTCCAAGTAGACCTCAATCAAGAAGTAAATAAATATTTATTGCATTTCACTTTGTAATTGCATCATCCACTGATTTATATCTATATTGGCTGTTTCTCCACACAGGTGAAAATAGCAAAATTTGAGCCATTGACCTGATCCAACACATTGAGCATTCATTTCTTTCAGTCTCTTTCTCAATCCACGATCACTAGTAACAAACAAACAACTCTCCGCATTCCCAGCAATATTCTGTTTGTTTGCCAAATCAGCAAGCATATCATCTGCAATTTCAAATCCAAAATCCTGTGCTGACGACACAACAAATGTGTCATCTCCATTCAACATTCCATTGTTTGTTGTGGAGGAATCAAAGCAAATGTGGAAACGAATATTGGGTCTACCTAGCATTACTTGTAAATGACCTTGGAAAAGTTTGGCAATGTAAATTAAGAGATTTTCTCCCTTAGCCTTGTCCTTATTGAATAATACTATTGTTCTCAATGCATATGTAATGTACAACATGTTATTGGCATCGATGTAAATGTACTGTATGTGCTGAGGCAAATTATGTTGAAATTCTTGTGTGGTAGCATCGTATAGTTCAATATCATCTCGTGCAAGCTTTTCATTTTCATCTTTGAGTATATTTTTGTGCTCTGTTTGAGCTTTCTGTTTCATTTCTCTCTTTACCATTTTGGCTTGTTTGTCTTCTAGCCGTTCTTGTATCTTATCCATCTTTTTGGCAAGTTTTTCCACTTTCCTAGTAAGCTTTGGAGGAAGAGGTGGTGCACTTGGTTCAGAACCACTTGTCAACTGTATTGGACTTGCTACCATAACAGAAGGAGGTGTACCTTCAAGAGCAATTGGTGATGATCCTCCAAAACCTTCCATAACATGATGTTTACTAATCTTGTCCATAATTTTTCTTTCTTTTCTTTCCAATTTGTGCTGAATCTTTTCCAGTTTTTTCGTTTGTTTTTCTTTTAATTTTTCTTGTCTCTTATTTTCCTTTTCCATTCGTCTTTCATCATCGGATTTTACTCGAGTAATCATTACAAGTTCAAATTTGTTATTTCCACATGTTGTTGAGGTTTCTAGAGCAAGAGCCCATTCTTCATCACTGGAAACAGTGATTGTATCTTTATCATTATCCACATAGGTTACTCCGATGCATGCCAATCTTTTTAATTCGAAAGCAATATTCAAATATTTGGCAAGATCCGAGAAGGTTGCATGTTGATTTGGATCGTATTCAAATGCTATATTTTTGGGAGGTTTAACAAGAGCAACCGCGAGCAACAGTTGTTTCATTTTTTAATCTAATTATAATTTTATTAGGTATTTACAAAATCTTTATTTCCTCACTAACCCTCTGGAGGCAGGGAAAGGTTGACCAGAATCTGATTTATCTGTTTTTGGCCTGCTTGTTTTAGCTGGATTAGATGAAGAAGGTCTCGATTTTCTCATTGATGCGTTAGAGTCTTGGGATTCATAGCTTGTGTGGACTTGTGGTTGTTCGTTTGCGAAACGGTAGTCTTCTGTTGTTCTTTCTGGCATTTCCATTGAGAGGTCTATAACATTTTCACTCTTATATCTTGGATTAGAGTTTCCAATAACAGAGTAAGCTACAGCTCTCTTTAGTCCTGAAGCTGAAATAGGTCTTCCTTTTCGTTGATGATTACCAGCCAAAAAAACTGATTGAATCTTCCATTCATCTTCTTCATCAACCCAGACAGCCCTCTCCTCAATCTTCTTGACCTCTTCAGGAGGAATGAAATGTTCCATAATCTTCATTCTCAACTTTAGATCTCTTTCAAGTTGTCTGATAGTATACAGGTAATCTTCTCTTTCTTGTTGGAATTCTTTTTGGAGATCCGAAATTTCAGCTTTTGCTGCTTCAAACTTGGACCACAATTTTTTGAGCTTTTTAGTCTTAACCTGAACTTCTTCTTGAATACTGCTGTATCTTTCTTCCATCATGATATTCTTTTCTTGTTGTTCTTCCATTTCTCTCTTTAATTGCATAGCTACACGTTCCTTATCTTCAATTTCTTGTTTTTGCTTTAAAATTTGTTCTCTTTGTTCAGCATTGACTTGTTCTAGCTGACCACCATGCACCAATTTGGATTGGAGCTCCATAAGCTTGTTTTGAATCTTTTCCTTATTCTTTCGTTCTTGCTCAAGAGCATCATGACGAATTTTAAGTTCATGTTCGATTTTAGCTTTTTCTTCTTCAATTCTCTTTTGTTGCTCAACCAAACCCTTCTTTTCTTCGTCTGATTTTTGCTTCATAGCCTCGATAATTTGTTGTTTCTCCTTTTCCTTTTCTTCTTTGAGTTTGTGTAATTGCTCTTCGTTAACAGCTGCCGAAGATAAGTTGATTTGTTTGTCATTTGCATCGTTAACAATAACAGTGGTAGTTGAGCTTCCCACCACCATTGAAGATGCAGAGACAGCTTGTGATTGTGTTAATTGAGCTCTCAAAGCCTCAATTTGTTCTTGTAATTGTCTAAGAAGAGCATCCTTTGGATCTTCATTGATTCTTGGTTTGTTTTGGATATGTTTGGCTCTGTCAGCATATCTCAATGTGGACAAAGTTTCTTCATAGTTGAAATCTGCTGGTGAAAAGTTTGCAACCATTACAGTTTTTGTATTACCACCAAGTGAATCTTGTAAAAGTCTTGTAAGTTTGGAATCTCTGTATGGAACGTGTTTTCCTTTACCTTCAACGAGAGCTGAAATAACGTTACCAAGAGCACTGAGAGACAAGTTAATTTTACAACCTTCCTTCAATCTGTCACCAGTGGCACCTGTTTTTTCAGCTCTTTCAGAACCAGCAAGATCTACCAAGTTCAATTTACCTTGTTTCAATTTACCTTTCTTCTCTTGTTTGGTGTCGTCCAACATATCAATTGTGATCATGAAAATAGAGTGAGATCTACTTGAGTCCTTATTCATATTAGTTTCTCCCTTAACTCTATTTTTAGAACCGATAGCTAAAATCTTATTGACCTCCTTTAATTCTTTTACCAACACTGAGGAGGCATTGAGTGTAATACCGTCCTTTGTTTCTTTCAAATCGAGCTTTTTTCCAACTTCAGATTTAGGAACTAGCAAATCTCTGATTTCTTCATTGTAAATTTCGATCATTGATATATTTACAAGGTATGTGATATTCTTTGGTGCATCATCAATAAGTTCAAATACTCTACAAACTGAGTTAAAAATAAGACCTCTCAATTCCAATGGTTCAGGTTTACCTTCCATACTATTGTTTTCATTTAAATCCTCAATTCACTATTAGAAACTTACGTGTGTGTCTTACCTGTAATATTAAATTAGTAAATTAGTGTATTAAATTAAATAGTACGTACCACTTCCTGTTTGACCATAACAAAATACTGTTCCATTATAACCATCCATGACGCTCTCAACGATCGGTTTTGCAGTTGCTTGAAAGACTTCACCCTGTGTTGCACTATTTTAATTAAGTATTCTGCCAATTTCAATTACTACTTACTCCATGTCAAAAACAGCATCAAAGGTGAATGGAGGTTTTGGAGGTTCATTTTCATTCTTTGTTAAAATAACCTGGTTTGCGTTTTTATCTATTTCCACACATTTTTTGGATTTCCTTTCCGTTTCTCTTGTGTTGAATGGCCTACATCTGACACAGACCCTCACAGATTCTGTTTTTGCTGAAACAGCTGTTGCTGGAGGCATTTTGATATCAATTATACAAAGCCGAAGAGGTTATTTAGATAAGTAATACAAAAGCTTTCTCACGGCTTTTTAATATTTTTTTTTAAAGTTGAGAAACACCTCAACCACAAAATCGTAATGCTTTCAGTACATTGAGCGGGAAAGTTGGTTGTTATAGAATATCAGAATCTCTGTTATATTAATAACTCAAATCAGAAAAATGAATAATCCAATTGTGATAATAGTTCCTTTATTTTAATGTGTTTTACCGTGGTTGTGTATGGTTTATTTGTGTTCTGGTGGATGTGGCCTATTGTAACCCAAAATTGGGGTAACAAAAGCATTAAAGTAAGTACCTTGAATTGGAGCACCTTCCTTCAACAGAATATTTTCCATGTCATTGACCTTTTCTTCTCTCTTCAAAGTTTCTCTAATGAATGATCCTTCTTCCTTCATATTTTCTGGAATTGAATCATAAAAGTTCTTCAACAAATCGAACGAGGCTCTCATTTCCTTCAAATTCTTAAGTAAAGAGATATAAACCAAAGAGTCCTTGCTGACGTGTTCCAAAATTTGATTCATGTTATCCTTTTGACCCAATTTAGCATAGGTTTGTAAGAGTATGGTACCAAATGCTTGTGGATCATGTAATTGCTTGTATGTGTTATTGACACCAATACGAGTACTAATATCTTTGGAATAGGCCTTAGCCATCAATGAAAAATCAGCTGCTGTTGGCTTTTCAATTGAAAGGAAAGTTGATTCAACATCTTCAAGCTTGGCTTGTTCGGTTCTCAATAATTGCACCATTTTACTGGTTTCCTTCGACAATGTATCGACACGTTCACTTGAAACTCTTTGGAGAGCTTTAGAAATTAATTTAACTTGACCTTCAACAAAAACTTCAAATGTAATAGGATCTTCATGAACAACTTTTTGTCCCAAATAATAGGACTCTTGAGATTGTTTAGAAGCTCCAGTTTGTGTGGCTGATTGAAGAGTCAAGGTATCCATCTTGGTATCACCAAACAAGAATGTATCAAAAGCAAACTTGGAGGCATCGGTAGTGGTAGGTGTTGCTTTTTGTGATGATGTGTTAGAGTCAGTGCTCTTCAATTCTTCGAAAATACTTCTCATGAGAACAGATGATGAATCCTTTTGTGGTTGTTGTTGTTGTTTCTTATTTGGGCGCTTGTTGTTGTTGTTATTGTCCTCTTCAAAGGCTTGAGTAAGAGATTTGAAAATATCATTGTCGTTGGAGTCCTTAACATCGAATATGGAACCAATGTTGTTATTCAAAGAGACATGATAACCGGATGCTGGTTGAATAAACTTGAGGTGTGTTGATGATGGACGAACAAGTAATTGACGGGTAGCGCGTTTGAGCATTTTTTATAATAATAATATTTTGCAAATAATTTTTTTGCTATTCATTTTTATAAAGGCTTTTAATTTTTACGAATTTTTCAATGTTGTGTTAAAAGTTTGATCTTGTAAGGGTACATGTAGCATATTGAACTAGTTTGAAATAAAAATTTGTTTTAATAAACTCGAATAAATTAAAATCTTAGAAGCAACTTTACCAACTAGTTAGCTGCTTAAACGTTAATGTTTTGTTTGATTGGAACGACAATATTAGCAACTGTGAAACCAAAGAAGAGAGCCAAACCAACCCAGAAAATTTCAAATAACAAATTCAAACCCTCTGTTGTTTCCTTGAAAACAAAGGCAGCAATACCTCTGAAAGACATTGAACCAGGACCTAAAAGAAGAGCACCAATACCAACGACCATAATGGACGGCTTTTTGGAAATGAGTGTGAAAATATTACCCATAATACCAATCAAGATACCACCAATAATTGTACCTGCTTCAGTGTTGTGCATGACACTCGAAAGATAGAAGGCAACAATGTGGGCACTAACAGTAGACAAGGTAATGTAAATGATTGAGAATGCATGTTTTGGAACTCTTCTGGTAAATACAATATTAAGGGCCAATCCAATCATGATAATGAATCTGAACCACAGTGGAATGGCTTCTCTTTCTGGCGGGTTGATTTCACTTTCTCCCAAATGAGGAATGTTAGTAACAATGACATTAGTAATGAGGAAGCCAAAACCTAATTTTAGGATAACCACAAAAGAGACAACAAAACGACAAATACCACTCAATAAAGCACCAGTAGCAATTTCGTAACAAGCAACAGCCATAGGTTGACCAGGTAAAAATTGCCACGTTGCAGCCAATGCAACCAAAGAAACAGAAACTTCAAATTTTCCATAAAATATAGCTTTCATAATTATACCAACAATACCAGCAGTAACTGTAGCCATAATTTGTTGGACATTCCTATAAAATGCAAACCTCTGGAAGAACATTTGCATTAATGCAATAGCCAAACCAGATGAAAGACAAGTTAATAGCTCAGCCACGTTACCACTCCACAATAGGCCAAAAAGACCTGGACATATAAAGTGCATGAAAATGTGGAAAACTGGATGTTCATATACATTTGGAGCAGAAACAATTCTAGCAATTTCTTTTCTTGCTTCGTCAACTCCCAAACGACCACGAGCAATATTCATGGCAACATTATCTAACTTGGAAAGTTTGTCCAAGTTCAACATTTGTGTTTCAACCTTAACATAAAATGTTCTATTTTCTGCTTCTCTCATCTTTTGACCAAAAGCAAACCAAATACCAACTGGTGTAATATTGAAATAAGCATCTATACCAAAATAGGTACAGACAAGTGTCAAGTGATATTCAGTTCTGTTAGCACTGATACCATAAAGAGTCAGAGCATACCCTAAATCCAAAATTAAAGATTGTACCTTCATCTTGTCTTCTTCACTCAATTCAGTATATAAAACTCTGCTTTCAGATCTTTCAGATCTAAAACAACTAATAATTTTTTCTATTATTCCTTTATCAGATGGTTTCTTTTCTTCCTCCTCCTCTTCTTCTTCTTCTTCTTCAAGAGCAGCCTCCTTTTTTCTTGCTCTCTTGTACTTTTTCATAAACCATCCTCTGAGTTTTCTTTTTTGTGATGGTAGAAGAACTGGTTGATCCTTTTGCATGATTCTTGTTTTGGCAGCAGAGAATAAATCTACTACCTTTTCTTTGAATGAAGAAGCTGCAGAAACAAGTCCCATTTTTTCCTCACCCTTATTACTTGGTTCAATTGGTTGTTGATCGTATTGATTCATCATTTCATGGTGATGTCCTTGTGGATTTTTTACATTGAGAGCTGGACGAAGATGTGAATGACTATGTTTGATACTATCTACTATTGTTTGTTTTTCTCCGATTGGTACTAATTGTTCGGCAACAAAACCTTTAATATCTTCGTCATTCAAAATTGCTAAAGCATCCAAATCTGTAGAACTGGCAAAACTTGCTATCGAATCTATTGAAGATGCAGAAGTATTACCTGCTGACATGTAGAGACCGTGTTGAGGCCTATAATCATCCTCTCTTGCAAAGAATGAACCATTGTGATCAACTACCATTTCACTAACATCATCATTGCCTCCAATTGTGATTACATGAGAATCACCTTGTGTGGCTGTATATTCATAGTCGTCAGTACCATGATGAATATGTCTTTGTTTTTCAAAGGATGTATTATTGTCACCCAATTCAACATCACCCTCATCCAATTGTTGTACACCAGCAAATTCGTGAAGTTTTAGTTTTCTTCCTGGTTTGTTAAAGGAAGGGCTTGGTGATTCATGTCCATAAACACTTCTAAATTGTTGATTTCCTTCCGAGGTTGGTGTTCCATAATTTGGAACTGTATGAGATGTTGCTGATGCTGATGGTGAGGAAACGTTTATTACTCATTGTTGTTTCCCTCTGGATTGGGTGAACGTTTCATTTTTTTTAAAAATAATTTATTTTCTCTTCTGTTTTTGTTTCTGTATCCTGATTTGAGAAGGTGATCCATATTACCTATGCTGTGATGAAAATCAACGATATCTCCTATTTTATGACAATTAGTTTTAACTTATTGTAATTTATTAATAATTATTTAAAAAATGAAAGAAAAGAATTGAATTCAATAAATAAATGATTTTATTTTTATTCAATATTAATTTTAAAAAAATGTTAAAACATCAAGGGCTTATTTCTAGGTCGACTAAATCATTTAATATTCAATTCGGAAATGTTTTAAACCTTCGGAAATTAATCCCTCAACAAAATCCAATCAAAAATAATATAAATAGCATTACGGAACGAAGATATTCACTTTTGAGAGGAGAGTATGTTTTTAAAATTAGTAAATAGTTGAAGAATATATTAATTACACACAATAATAGTAAAGAGCAAGAGGAATTATCAAGAGCTGAAAAGGCAGAATCCATTCGTAAAAGAGTCAATGCCATGAACAAACCTGATGATGAATCCGATTCCTTGAAGGAAAAGAAAAAGGACTCCATCCAGTATGCCAACAAGTCATTCACAGAAATTTTGGCAAATATCTTGCGAGGTTCCATGAGATTTTTCGCTCAAAATTATTATTTAGGTTTTGGTTTAGTCTTGACATTGGCTATTGTTTATACGCTGGATGTTTTTAATTTGAGATCGGAAAGTTTACTCTCAGAAAGAGCAAAACTAGAAGAACGTGAGTGGAAATAGGAAAAATCAATACTGCTTATCCAATTCATCGACTCTACATTGAAAGCTAATGAATATCTCATAGAAAATATTCGTAGGAATAACATTATTTCTTAAAACTTTGAAAACTTCCCGCCATTTTGAGTACAAAAAAAAATTAATGGTTATTAAAACAACAATACTTGTAATTCATCATCAAAGTTTATAGAATATATATTTGAAGAATACACCACTGCTCATCTGAATAATTCTTCAATGTTGGGTGTGGCAGATAGTGAAGCTGGTGTAAGACTGCTTCGGATTCAAGATAGAAGACCTTTTCAAAGACCTACTCAACAACAATTACCACCTTATTATCCTCACCAACCACAATTACCAAATATTTATCCACCTCATCATCATGTAAATAATCCATACATTAATCGACCTCCACCCCCTCCTAGACAATCCAGATATGATGAAAGTGTTCTTCTCAACCCTAACCGTACAATCACTGATCGTGAAGTACCTTCCGATGAGTATTTAGATAGGGATACTCATCGTTTACATCAAGATTTGTACTATCATACTAATAATCAGATCCCCTTCCATCCAGTCCCTTTCCCATTCCCTCAACATCAACAAGTTCCTTATCATCCCTATCATCCTTACGTACCTCCACCACAACCTAAGTTATTGAACCCAGATGGAAAACTCAAAAAGAAGGAAAAGAAATCAAAAAACAGAGAAAAACTATTATTGGATCCATTCAATCCTTCACATAATATTATTCAAACAGAAGATCTCAAAAAAGATCAAAAGAAAAAGCAAAGGCTACTCTACAAACGATTCGATTCGAAAGAAAACTCTGTTGCTGACAATATTTCTATTCAACTTTTGAAATCAAACTTTCCACAGTACAATCAAAAGCAAATATTACCAACATATGTTGAGGAGTCAACAGTTGAGGAATCTTCAATAATTGACACCAGTGATAAGGGTGTTCAAATTGATTTAAAAACACAAGAAAAACCAATCCAAACAAAACAAACATCCCCACCTGTAAAAATTGAACCAAAGAAGGAGGAACCAAAGGATTGTAAGGATCACCTATTCGATGCCTTTAGACATTCGGGGCATTTGCATTCTAGGATTATTGACCTGGAAACATATTTTCAAATTCTTGAAAAGCAAGAGCGCGAGGGGAATGATAACTCTCTTCTAGACATTGCCATTTTAAACAATACAAATCTATTTCCAGAAAAGCCACCACAAGCTGCTTCTTCCCAAATTCCTGCTTTTCAGGCTGATATTCCAATTCATAACGTAAGCAACATTCCTCTCTTCAATTCCAATGAGCAGAAAATACCCAAATCCAATGAAGTTCATATTGTCTATGAATTGGAAGATTACATGCCAACTACCCTTTCAAATTCATTGAGAAAATCAGTAACAATTTCAGACAAACCAACAATTTTGACCTATTCCAACACTAAAATTCAACCAGTTCAACAATCCATTGCCAATATGCCTATCCATTCTGTTACTGAACAATCATATCCAATACAGAAAGAATCTATTGCCAAGGAATTAATACCACAACTTGAGAAACCAGTCGAGCCAGCCATCCCAAAAAGAATAATTGAAGAAACTCCTAAAAAAGCAGAACCAAAGAAACCCGTCGAGATTTTACCTGCAAAGATAGAAACTGTTGTGAAATCAGAGCCGGTTATTGAGGATGAAGAACCAAAACCACCACCATTCGAAGAGAGGGTGATAATTCTAGGAGAAGAAAAGAAAGAAGAACAACCAGAAGAAACTCTTCACAAACCTTACGTCCCTCCCGTGTACTTGGATAAAATTATTTATATTGATGATTTGAGGAAGAAGGATAGTCCAAAACAACCAGAATCAACCATTGATATGACACCAGTTGAAATACCTTACTATGAAGAACGAGTGATACATATTGGGAGAGAGGATCCAAAAGAAGAAGACATTCATCAGGTTGACTATGATGATAATATTAGTGTATCCACAATTGGAAGCCAAGAAACCTACCAAGACTATCTGCAACGAATTGGTATTGATATTGATAATATGCCATTTTCTTCTGAGGCTGTTAGAAGAAAATTGGAAATGCAACTTGCCATCTCCACAAGGAATTCTCTCAACTTTTCCAGAGGAAGCTTATTATTGCCAAGTGATTTTGATGACAATTTAATGAGTACTCTTGCTTCCACATTAATGAGAGACACTATAAAATCAACCAAAGTTGATACAGAAAATTCAGACAAGGTCAATAGAGAAGAAGATGTTGGTCCCTCCCAAACAGAAACAATTGAAAAGGCACTAAGAAACATTCTTAAAAACTCCAAGATCAAATCAAAACTGGAAAAGTTGAAAGAAGCAAATGTTGACACTGCATTGCTTAATAAGAAAAATATCCACATTGCAGAAATTGAAGAATATAAGAAATTGACTTCCCTTGTAGAAACAGAGTATATGAAAAATGCAGACTATTTGCTTGCTCAAACAGAACAATTAAAGAAAGAAACCAAGGAGGCAATAGAAAAGATTGATACGCAACTTGGACGAAATGCAAGAGAACGATTTAACGAAACTATTGAAACTATTTACAATCAGAGAAGATAATAAATAAGATCTTTATTCAAGTAAATTCAATTTCCAAGATAACTTGTCCAAATCACCACCAATAATTTCAGCAACTTTTCTTGGATATCTTGTTGGAGGAACTGGTTCATTTTCAATTTGTGGAGGTTGGAATGGTTCTTCAATCAATTCGGCATTGTCACGACAAGTCTTGATAAGGGTTTCGAGACCAACTTGTAAAGCTTTAGCCTCCTCGAATTTGTCAAAGTAAATAAGAACTTCCAAAAGTGAAGAAACGGAAGAAATAGACACTGATGATGGTATAAGGGATTCAATTCTTGAAACCAAAGTACCTTCTTCAAATGGTGAACCCTTCTTCAGTTTTTCTCTATTCTTCTTCTTTCTTGAAATTGTTCTCTTTGAAACGACTGATGAAACAGATGATCTTGTAGATAAAACTGAGACACCAGAATAACCACTGATACCACTTTGCATACTACTAGCCTCTGAGAGAGCATCAAAATTGTGTGGCATATCTTCACCAAATTCTCCATCATTATGTTGTTGTAATAATAATTGTTCTCTCAATATTCTTTCCTTTTCCTCTCTCAATTCCTTAAGACGACTAATATATTTGGACAATTTAGTCTCATTTTCGGCCAAGTCATTGGTAATTTCCTTAGCAGAATCAAAAACTCCTTGTTTGATGTGGGTTTCAATAAGATCGCTTCTTCCAGTTGAAATGGCAACTCTGATTGCTTCCTTCCATTCCTTACCAGCAACCAATCTAAGAACAGCCTCTTCATTATCATTGAGGTAATCACGACAAATATTTGAGGAGGCAATATAGTTCTTCTTAGCTTCCATGATAATCATAGCACTCTTAGCAATCTTCTTAATGTCTTGAGCTTGTTGATTCAAAGTTTTGGTAAGTGAGAATACAAATTCATATTCACCAGCTTCCAAGAATGATTGTTGAGCCTTTTCGAACTTTTTGCATTTGAGGAAAGAGAAGGCAGCTTGTTTGTGATTGCCAACAGAAACCAAATAATCACCATAAGCTTCAAAAATAACTAAAAGCTTATCCTTGTCACTTTCATATAATTGCATACCCAATTTAAAGAGACCCTTTTCTCTAATGAGAGCAACAGCTTCAGGGAAATGTTCAGCACCTGCCTTGGAAATATTTTCCAAAGCCTTTTCAAATCTTGACAGATGCATATCTATACTGTATTGTCTATAATATTGTTCCATTTTCTTGAGATTAGCCAAGAATGGAAGGTACTCTTTTGGATCCTTTTGAGATTTTTGAGCAACCATCAAAACTAAATCAAAGTCGTACATTCCCAAAGCAATATCATAAAGAATATTGACATCAATCAAGAATACCAAATAACTCAAAGCTTCATCAGCTTCTGAATGCTTTCTTTCATTAGCAGCTTTGAGCTCTCTAATTAATTGCAAAGCTTCTTCTAACATTGGTGCTTGATATTTAGCATAGGTTGTCAGAATAGAGGAAATAAACTTCTTCTTATCAACTTCATTAAGGACTTCTCTGAGCTTGTCGCAAATTCTGTTAATCTTGTTAACTTCAGTGATTGTGGTTTGATGTTCGCCCTTTACTGTTTTACCATCAGAATGATAACCAGCAAATTTAGTCTTGGTAATGTCTTCATTGGTCAAGGTTGAAATGAACAAGTTGATATAGTCTGCATTATCAACATCTTCAACGAACTTCTTTGCATTGTTAATGAATGATTCTGGGTTGTGGTCATAAATAATATTCATATCAATTCTGTACTTTCTAGTTGCAACAACAGCCTTTCCATATTCAAAGTTATTCAATAATGATCTAACTCTAGAGAGTACAAGAGCCTTAGGGGTAATACCTTCCAAGTTACCTCTTGGCATTTGAAGAATAACGTTAAGATCTGATGGAACTGCACAAACTAATCTGGCACCTCTTTCAATTTCTCTAAAGGTTTCATCGTACTTTGAAGTTGGGCCACTAGCAGCAATATCAACAGCATCATAAACTGAAAGATGGAGATTGATAATTCTCAACTTGTGTGACATGGTTGTGAAAAGTAAGAATTGATCAGTGAGAGAGAATGAGGAACAATTGGAAACAACATTGTGTGAACCAATAAATAAAATACCTCTATGATTCAAACCAACAACAACTTCTTCCTCGCCCATCATGGTTGGAGCAATAATTTGACATGGATATTCGAATCTTTCTTCTAATTCTTCTGGAATATCTTCATTAATCTTTTGTTTAAAGAGAGCACCAGATTCTCCTTCAATGAACAAATTACCGGTATATGAATGGTAAGCAATTCTGAGAATGGATTCAGGATAGGAGACTTCTCTTGTTTCACACGTGAAATCTTCATTAATAGTACAAATAACCAAGGCATCTGATTTACCTGGAATTGTAAGTGGAACAAAACAGAAAGTATTCTCATTAATCATGGTCAAAAGTCTAACTGGATTATTTGAAAGTGGTTTGATAGATCCTAGTTTGCTTGGTGGTAAACCAAATTTTGGTGGTTTGTTAGAGGTGGAAAATTGATAGAGGTGGAATGATCCATCAGATAACTGAGCAAGACATCTTGAAGAATCACTGAATGAAACACAATTAATTGGTAAATCAAATGTAATACTTTCAGCACACATTGGAGGAGGAATGACAGCATATCTGAGTGGTGTCAAATTCAATTTCAATCCATTAATCACGGCCATGAAACATGGATTTTCTGATGTCATTCCATGTGACATGTTGTGATCCCAGCATAAATCATAACAATAATAATTAGCATTCTTACAGAAAATGTGAAGTCTATATGCTGATTCTGAATCCCAAGTAATATGAGTTGGAGCTTGTTCACTTTCATTGAATGAATATTCTTGTTTGAGATACCAATGATAATTTCCTCTGTACCACAATTGAACAAGGACTGTATTTTCTCTACTAGCTGATTTGAATGTGACACACAAAACATCTGAAGTGGAATTCCATTGAAGTGAATAAATATCACTCATTCCCTTTTCTAAAACAAAATCATAATGTTGCAAACCATTTCTTTCAAAGAAAGCAATAGTAGTTTCCTTTTTACCAGGATGGTATTGGTGTGTACCAATAATACTACCATCAGGTCTATAATGAACAACATTACCCAATAAACCATCAATTGGTTCCGACTTTGAAACTAAATTTCCATTTCTTTCCCAAACTCTTAACCATCTCTTTCCATCGGATGGATCCATACTATTTAAAACAAAGTATTGACCATCATTTCTCCAACTAATTTCAACTGGTAAAGGTCTATTTATGAAACGAGAGGAAACTTCCTCTGTAAGTTTTGCTTGTTGTTTAACAGCAGTATTTGTACTAGTATTGGATTTTGTTGGTATTAAATCGGAAGGAGCTTCTGTGAGAGTTTCAAAATGTTTGGACATGGTAAGTAAATTTCCATTACCTGTTGAGAAGATGACAATTTCTTGATCAGGACTCCAAGACATTGCGTTGATACCCTCTTCAATAGAAGCTGTAATTTCACTAGTATCATTAGAAATATTAAAAGTAATAATATCAAATTGAGAAATAATAATAAGTGATTCCAATTCTGCAACATATTGAATATCAATCATTTCTGCTTGTGGTGTAATTCCATCAATATCTCCAAGATTAACCGTCTTTACTATAGCACCCTCTTTAATATCCACTTGAAAGAGAATACCATTCTTTGATAATCCGAACAAGACATCACTGTCGGTGGAGGTACAAGAAACAACTTCATCATTGTTGGCAATCAGAGCTTCAACAAGAGAAATTTCTTGATGATGAATTAATTGGAGGTTTCTCATTTTTTTTGCAAAGTATTATGCATTTTCCGTTGTGCATTTTCAAGTTTGTTTTGAATCAACGAAGATAATAATTATTGAGATCATTGTGCAATTTGGAGAATAAAGTAAATTTAATTATATATTTAATTGTTTGGATAGTATTGACAAGAGTTTGGAAATGATTGGCTTGTTGACTTTAATTCCAGTTTGAAGGAAGAAACTTGTCAACACTATGAAACTCGTTCCAAAGGCCCACATTAAATATTTACCTCCCCCGTTTGACTTTTTCTGTTGTTGTTGTTGCAGTATTTCTCTGTATTGGTGCATGTTTTCATTATCATCAATTGAGATATTACTAGCAGTAGAAGATACTGAGAGTGATCTTTCTCTGTCCTCAGTTTGGTTGGTTAGAGAATTAGCTCTGAGTGGAGAATTTGTAATAACAGACCTATACATTACATTAACAGCCAATAAATAAACATTCTCTGTTCCATGATTTTCAACCACTTCAAATAATTGTGTGTTATTACTGAAAAGGCAGCTCTTGCCAACGTGGTCTAAAACAATGAAATGTTCTGGTCTTTCCTTAGACATGTCATAGAAATTTACACCAAATAACTGTTGTCCGTTAGGTTGTTTTGGCTCATTGTAGTCAACAACTCCTTTCAAGCAAATTAAACATGTCAAAAAACTCTTTTCATGGTATTGCTCATTAGTGAGCTTATTGTTTAAATTATCAGATTCCACTTCTATTATTCTACACTTGTCTTCACCTTTGGATTTTTCAATTTTTTCACCAGGCCTTAGTTCATAAACTGTGAATTTTTCATAAATTCCACTCAATTCGAATGTTTTGCCAACTTTTTCACCATACAACTTGGATTGGTCTGGTGGTAGAACATCCTTTAATTGTTCAAATATAAAGTTGGCAAACTCGTCATTTGTATAATCTATATGTTGAATTCTGTCTGATATTGTGTTGTGTTGGGAGGAAGAAATAACTGAAGGAGTACCTAGCATTTCATCACCATAAGTAGAGTAGGTTCCTCTTCTCATGGACTTGACAGACATGGCATTTCGTCGTTGTTGTTGGAGAATTTGTTGTTGTATTAAGGCTTCTTGAGTTCTTCTTGAAATATCTTGATAGATATCGATTAATTGTTCTGCTTCTTCAATAGTTACTAAATTATCAATCATCCAAATATGATCATCCTTTACTGTACAAATATCAACAGAAGAGTCTGTTTCCAAGGAGGAGTAAGTTTGATGAGTGATATGATTTGTTGCATTAGCAAATGAGAGAGGTGGTATTTGTTGTTGTTGTACATAGTTTGTTTGTGGTGGTGGTATTACTTGTTGAAGGTTGTTAGGTTTACTATAATTTATGTTTGTGGTGTTGTAATTATAATTATTATTATTATTACTATAGCTATTATTATTATTACTAGTTGGAAACTGATAATTATTGTGATAATTATTATTATAATTTTGGTTAGAGATGGAAGCAATTGGGCTTGCTCTTGTGTTATTTACAAATTGTGCCTGTTGTTGTATTTGGGCTGTTGTTGGTTGTGGTTGCCTTGATGATCTTACCGAAGATGCCACAGAGGCTGTGGACATGACAGAGGAATCATGTGAAGGTTGTCTGTTGTGTCTTTGTCTGGAAAGATTTGCTTGTTGAGTAGTTGTAGCAACATAATGTACTTGTTTTGCTACTATGTTGTGAGGTATTGTCTCTCTCCAAGTCCTCTTCATTATAATAGTCAATGGAGATGAAAGAATTATAATCGGAAGATATAGCTGTGTGTTGTTGTTGTGTATGATGTGATGGTTGAGAGTTTTGATGATACCGATCAGAAACTACACCACCATATTGATTCATCATCCACTGCTGTGGAGAACCACGATTAGTATTGTTTTCATAGTATTGATTACCATAAGAAGATGGATAAGCTTGTGTTTGATATGAATAATAATTATTTGAAGGAGGATAAACCAAGTAGGCAGACATATCTTATCAAGCAAGTAGGATGATTACCTTGAGTAAAATTTTTTTGATGTGCAAAATCTTCTCTGCTTGGTTGGAAACTTTGACGAGATCAATGTTGTGATGAACACTCTTACAATCAGTTCTAATGATGGATTATTGATGATGAAAATTTGTCACCAAGCTAATCAAATTCGAATACTCTACGTTTATTTTAAGAATGATATTGATTTGTTGTGAGGTGTTGAGAGCGGGAAAGCAAGTCAATATTTCATCAACCAATCAAATACTCAACTTAATGTTAAACAACAATACAAATTTCATCAAATGGCCAATGTTCTTGAAATTAATCTCTTTCTATGTTGTTGTAATATAGTCAATTTCCAATATTATTCAATCATAATAATTTCATCTATCTGATGAGAATATCCAAAATATTAGCCAGAGCAGATTGCGTCGATTCAAAGAATTGTGTATGCCCACAAGTTGAACAAGTCACAGTGATGAATCTTCTATTTTGTACATTGAATATTTTGGCCATCAGAGAACCACAACTTCTAACCTCTCCCAATCTATATTCCGATCCTTTACACTTTTCACAGACAAATCTAACTTTTTGTTTTTCCAATTCGTAAATATCATTGCTAATAGGAATGACAGCAGTCATATCACTTGATTTATCAAAACCACTTCCTGTAGTGACCAACCACGGCGACGATGAATTATTTGAGGAAGAAGATGGAACGATTTGAGACATTTTTTCTATTAATTCTCTCTTTCATTCCCAATAGTAAGTGTCAAACAAACAACTTATTTGCAAATGTAAAGAAAGCAAATATATTGGGAATTAAGCGATGGGCATTGACTTCATTAAAAGTTCATTGGTATGGAAAGTAAGACTGGCATAAAAGGAAAAAAACGAGCTCATGCAAATTGCTGCTCTTTTTCCCTCCTTGAGCATCATCTACAAAAAAATGAGCCAAAGTGTTGCTCAAAGTCTATCAAACAATTCCGCCAATTTCCTTACAACTTCATCAGTTCGACCATTCAGCAATAACCTCAATAGCAATATGATGAACAATAATCAACAAGGACCTCTGGGTATTCTCGGAGGAACTTCTCTATTGCCTAGTACATCATCGGGAAATAATTCAAATACTTTTGTCACTGCTGGAAATTCGAATACAAGACCATACTTTTCAGTTTCAAATAATACTAATAATAATAATGGAAAAGCAGCATTGAATTCGTTGGGAGTAAGTTGTTTTATAGATTTGTATTTAAAAATGTTTGATTTTGATTCCTTCAAATACAAAATAGAGAGAGTTTTTCAATCAACACAGACGATTCAAAAGCATACATTCAACACCTACATCCAATTTTACTTCAAATATAACGCCTCAAAATCAAACAAATTCAAATACTGTGACAGCAAAGAGGTCAACACTTGTTGCTTCCTCTAAAAGGACAACAACTACAACATCAAGCGTGGGAGGCAAAAGACCTCAAAGTGCCACTACTCCCCGATTACAAAATGGTCCCAATGCCGTCTCTGCCTCTCCTTCAAATAATTCTTCCAACATAATGTACTTTAAATATTCATCAACACCTCAAGAAGGTCAAAATTCAGCCGTGATGAATGGAAATAATCAACCAGATGAAAGAGTTCCTAATAGATTTACAAGAGGAAACTCTCCAAAAATTAATTATCTAATGTCTCAAAATACTCCACAGGTGAAGGAAAAGACTGTGGAATCAAAAATTGAGGAAACAGTGAGTAACGAGAGGCTGAATCTTGATCGAAGAAATCTAACAAAATGCCCAATCATTACAGGTGATACAAATCTTAAATTATTGAATTTACAATATAACGAAATCAGAAGTATAAGCAATTTAAATAATCTGACGAGCTTGGTATTTTTGGATTTATATGGAAATAAGATTAAGAAAATATCAAATTTGGATTCTTTATTATCTCTCAGAGTTTTAATGTTGGGGAAAAACATGATCGAGAAAATTGAAGGGTTGGAATATTTACACAAATTGGATGTATTGGATCTTCATGGAAATAAGATTAGGGAAATATCCAATCTTTCATCCTTGAAGGAGGTTCGAGTATTAAATTTAGCTGGAAATTTAATATCCAATGTTTCAAATGTTAGAGGATTACAATCCTTGAATGAATTGAACCTTAGGAAAAATATGGTATGTTAATTTTTACTGGACTCATAAACTAAAATTTAAAAGATTGAAAAAGTAGAAGAAATAGATGAGCTTCCCAATTTAAAACGTCTATTCTTATCTTCGAATAATATTCAACTGTTTGCCTCTGTTGAAAGTGTGCTCAGAAGTACATCTCTAACAGAACTGTCTATGGATGATAACCCTCTACAACAAAATCTAGGACAAAAATATAGAGTCATAACTTTGGCATCAATGAGAAAATTAGTAATACTGGACTCGACTAAAGTTGTTGAATCCGAACGAGATGTATCTCTCAAATATCTTGCCAATGTTAATGTTTCCTCAATATTCCCTTTCACTGACCTAATACCAAGTCCTTTGGAGTACGGGCAAGATCTAAACATAGAAATTAATCTGGCAAGCTCTCATCCTCCAGATGCTCAAGATATTTCACCTACACCTCCAACTCCTAACTTGGACATAATAACAGCATTTGCTAAGGAAAAGGAAGAAAACCACATGCCAGAAGTTGCAATATCATCATACACACAAATTGAAGGAGAAATGCTTCATATTTACGGAGAACCTTTCATTACACCAATTAATTATGGAGACTATAATGTTCATTTTCATAATTTGGGACTTGAAAAGATTTGTGAAACATTCTTATTCACAAAAAAGATAATGGCCTCAAGCTTGACATTCAGTAATAATAACATTTCGAGTCTGAAACAATTATCACTACTCTCCAAGTTAGATTTTGTAGTGACCAAGATTTCATTCAAAGACAACCCTGTCTGCTCTTCCCTAAAAAGAATTTTAAAACCCTACTGTATATATGTTCTCCCACAATTAGTTGAAATGAACGGAAAACCCATTTCATCCACTGATAAATCCAATTCAGAAAAGATTTTTGGTAAAAGACAAGCCGTAGCCAAGCAAATACCGATACCTGTAGCAAATAACGTTTTGGATAGATATTCTGGAATTATCAATCCATACATCAAATCAGTACTCAACCATACATACATTGTTCAAGAAAAGATGAAACTTGTGGACGAAGTGTGGGATAGTGTAATGTTTGATTTTATCATGCATTCACTTAATTCGCTCGACAAGGGTTCATCAAAACAAAACTCTGACATGCTGTTTAAAAAAGCAAAATCTGGTGATTAAAAATAATTTATTAATTGATATTTGTAGCTAATGTTGAAACTACATTGGTTTGTATGGTAATCTCTGGCACAACTCCTTTTTGGGCAGCTTTTTTGGCATTCTTTCTCTTTTTCTTTTCTTCCTTAATAGCATCATGTAAAAACATTTCTGGTTGCCTAATGTAACTCTGCCATAACTCCAAAGCAATAGCTCCAATTGAAATAATTCCAATAGCCCCACCAACATCTGTGAAAAACGCGAGAATAGTATAATCGGATTGAATAAATACTTGATAACTTTGAGGTAAATCAAAGGAAATAGCAAAGTTCAGGATGCACTTTTGTCTATCTAAGAAATCTAACGCATATTCAGTAACAGATGTACTCTGAATTAAAATCTTAACTTGAGTAATTTCTGAATTTCCCAAAGTATCTGTTGAATAGAGGGTTGTAATCTTGAGGGAGGCAAAAAAGTTATATTGATGACCTGGTGTTAAAGTGAGCTTATTATTGTTAGAACCTTTTGCTAAAGAAGAAAGATCCCAAACAACCTTGATGTCATCAAAGATTGTATCTCCAAATTCTTGGATTGCTTCAATTGTTTTGTTTTTTAGCTTTTTCCAAGTACCTGATTCGTAGACAATATTCCATCCATAATTGACTGTCAAATCATCATAATGATTAAGTACATCAATAATAAAGTTTGGAGATAATTCAATGGATGCATCCATGTCAAGTATAGGTGAATTGGCTGGAAGGAAAACATCCTTTGATCTACCTTGATAATTCAATTTACCATTATAATAAATAGAGGACATATTTTGTGTAAAGTCTCCAGTCTTTGGAGCTCCTGTAGAAAAACTAGAATCTACCTCATCTGCATACTTGTCATGTTGGAATGTATAGACATGTTTGAAAGTGTACTTGAATTCTGGTAGACTAGCTCCTCCTGTTGAAACTTCAGCCGCATCACTGTCAGTAAGGTTTGACCACTTATTGTTCAATTGAATAACGTGATCATACTTGAGAGAGTACGTTGGAGGCATTTGCTTGATACAATTCTTGTTAAATTGATTCTTTGGTAAGTTCTTTACATCTGAACATGCTTGATTGACAAAGGATGTTGTCCACTTGGATATTTTGCATGATTCAACATTGTGACCTCTTGAAGGATCAATAGAAAAATGTTTCCACATATCACCATCATATGGAATTGAAACCTTATCAACCCCATATTCACGAGGACATAGATTAAGGAAATTTTGAGATTGGTAATCTGGTTGATTACTCTTTGTTTCAGAATAATCCAAATTTGGGAATTTCTTCTTGTTTGGTACAATAAACATGGCATATTGAACTCTGAGACTACTAGGTGTTGGAATACCAACTGTTTGTGCACTATTTACTGGAAGGAATTCCTTTCTGTCATAGGAAGATGATAACGTTATTGGAATACTGATAGAACCAATTGTCATATCAGCAGTATATTCAACCACTGATCCAACATCAAACACTTCTGTAACCTTGGAATTCAAAGAAACTCTGTATTTGAGTGGTATTACAGAAATTTCGGTGATATCTGTAATTAAAACATATTGAAGGTAGGTATAATCATCGATAGATTTTCTGATCAACAATCTTGGTTGCTTAAATTTGGACGGTTGAGACTTCCAATCGTTCACTCTCTTAATCAAGTTAGAATTGGAGAGATCGGTGGTGAGTTTGAATTGTTCAATATTAACAATAGTTCTTCCAGAATCAACATATTGTAAAACGTTGAAGGCTAAACCAATAGAGTAAGAAGGAGCAGCTTTCAATTGTAATATTTGATATCCATTAACATCAGTTACACCCAGAACATCAACAGAGATTGGTTGATGAGTTACTGTATCAGTAATCCCTTCAGAGTAACCATCTCCAGAATAAAAAGTTGCCTTGAAAGCGCCTGCTGTAGGGAAACGACCAATAAAACTCAAAGTATTGTTAGGATCAGGTGAATTAATAGTTACTGGATCAACAATGATAATATTTGAATAGGCAGACACAGAAGAAATGACTTGACCAAAACCAGCCATTTCAAGGAAACTCAAAGATGGTTCTGTTGTTGAGACACACACTGTTTGAAAGTCGTATTGAGATTCACCAATTAAATCTCCTTTTGGAGAAATCTTTTTGATTGATCGAGATGTTGGTCCAACACTAGCCAAATATGCTGTTTGTGAGTATTGATTGGATGAAGCGTCACCCACTTGAAGAGTGTAATATTCACCAGGATTGATAGTTGGAAACATTAGCTCACCAACCTTAACTCTAATTGGAATATTGAGACATTTTCCATACAAGTGTCCTGGAGCTTCTTTCCAAACACTAATTAAACCAGTACTATTCATTGAAAAGAAATCCTTTCCAAATATGTATCCAATAGGTGTGATTTGACACATGTATTTACTCTTTGAAATGGATAAGGATGATTTCTCTGAAAGGAATGTATCGCCAAGACAAGAAACACATTTCTTAGATGCTCCAGAGTTGTTATAATCTGAATTACTTCCAAAATATCCAATAATTTGTGAATCTCCCAAAACTGATGCTCTATGATAACATGGCTTACTTGATTTCAAATAATTTGCCTCTAAACACGTTCCTTGTGAGGAGCAAAATTGTCCCTTGCTGGCACATGAGGTTTTGTGGAATTTTGTCATTAAGTTATTACCACTAAAGAGAGTTGGTAACATATTGTTACAATCAATATCTCTTACTGTGAGCGTATCGTTGACAAAGCCACATTCACAATCACAAAAACCATCACCATACTTGGATGTTGGGCAATTCCACAATCCTTGACTTATCCACTTTTGAGGAAGAGTATTTGGAAGTTGAACCGCACTATAATTAATAACTGTAGAGGCAAATATTGTGTCTTGAGGTTCTACATTTTTAAAGTTGACTGGTCTATTACCTGATCGTTTCATGCTCATCTTGATGTAGTTGTATCTATTTGTTCCTACACCAGTGGCAAGCTGAAAACTATTCACTCTGACAGTTTCTGCCCTACCAGTAATACCAAAGAGAAGAAGGTAAAAATCTGAAGACTTTGGTGAGAATGAATCAGTTGGAACTCTAGCATACATTGTCTCGGTTGTTCCATCGACAAGATCAGCAATTACTCTAATTTCTTGTGGGAATAAATCTTTAACACTCATGGTAGTCTTATCATATAGAGTTGAAATATCTGTAACGGTAGTTTCAAAATCATCACATAAAAGAGTATTTTCAGTGTACAAAAAGTTATTGACATAGCTGATCAAGAAAGACCAATCCATGAAGGAAGAGGCTGTCATGTTTCTTGAGACAAATAATTTTGAAACATCTCTTGACAGACCCCCAATATCTTTCTTATTTAAGAAAGAGTATAATTCATTTGTTGTGAATTCGTTTGACAGGTAGAGAACGTTATAAGGTAAACCATTAGTCGAAATTGAAGATGTGGTTCCCTCCCCTTGTGTTTTTGTCAAATTAATATCCCACAATGAATCCTCAGTTGTCATGTAAATTTCATCCACACTTTGTAACTCCTTCTTAATATAACTCTTTCCTTCAGTAGTGGTATCTTGAATCAATTTGAAAACTCCAGAGTTGACCAATCCAACATGCAGTTGACAAGGTTTAATATGAGTCATGTCATCAACAAATCTCAAATATAAATGAACAGTGTGATTAACAAAATCCAAACTCCCATAACTAGTATCAAAAACTCCATTCATCAAATAAATAATCTTGAGAGGGTCATCAATCATACTGGCGAGAACTGAAATTGTATTTTGTTCAGTTCCAAACAATGTTGCAGATGAATTGGCAGCTCTTTCCACTTCAACAGCTTGATAAGGTGGTGAAGTTGAAGGATAAAAGCTATTCAAATTAACAGTACTAGATCCAAAAATTGACTTGGTAACTGGAACAGGCACTTGCACATCTTTGATGTCTCTTCTTGTTGAATATGTCTTTTCATAACCATAATTATCAAAGATATCAATTCTTTGAAGAGATGGCCCATCCTCCTCATTCTCATAAAATGTAATATTATTTGATAATCTCAACTGCAATGTTGGAACATCCATATATCTCACATTTGATGTCTTGGCATAATTTATATTAATAATAGATCCAGTTGATTGAGATTTGTTATCAATGATTAACACATACAATCTGTATGCTATTAAAATTATACATGCAATTCTCATTATTGTTGTAAGGAATGCACCCATGAAAGTCTTCTTTCTTAAACCCTACATGATGCACGATCATTCTTGTATTAGTATAATACTAATTATTACTACTTACTGGTCCATCAACACTTTCTCCAAAACCATCCAAAAAACCAATCATGAATTCATAACCCTTAGCAACCTTCTTTCTTAGTTTCTTCTTTTTCTTTTTTGCTGCCTTTTTATCGGATTTACTGGATTTTGAGTCTTCAGAAGAATCTGATCCACTCTCGCTTTCCTTTTTCTTGTCTTTCTTTTTTTCCTTCTTTTTAAAATCAACAACTTGTTCTTCCCTTAAATCATCCGATGAGGGAATATTGTTATTTACAAAAGTATGGGAAGCGACACTGTCATTTCGATCTCTTGGAGATTTGCTTGGATTATTGGAGGGTGTGTACACATGTTGGAGTTCAATTTCTTCACCTCCAGGTAAATATTGTTGTTGTGATTGGATCATTTCTGGTTTTACGGACGAAGGCATGGCAATGGATTGACTATCAGTTAGTGAGACCCCAGATGATGAGGCTTCCGATGGATTCTTACTCTTCACTTTTAAAGAGGAGTGGTCGTATAATGTTGTGAAAACAGTTATAGATTCTTAATAAAATGTTGTTTTGAGACAGTTGTTAGTTCAAATGCTGCCTAGACTCGAATTAAATTAAGGATGCGTTATTGGTTGTTTTTTTTGTTGAAATTACAGTAAGGTTCAGATGATTTGAACTTGCGGGTTTTTTGCACAACCTCATGAGTCATACAAGTTCACAGTCTTCTGTGGCTTTGCAGCGTGTTGGTCATATTGTCAAGGATACAGATTGTAAAATAGTAGCAAAGTGTTTATAAGTTAATTCCAACAGATGAGAGGGCGTTAACAATCCATTCTGGGTATTTTTGTTTTGGGAAATAGTTGAACATAAAGTCCTTGACAAACTTTTCGAATGAACCATCAACAATGGACTCTCTCACATGTTTCATCAAGTGCATTTGGAATGCAATATTGTGATAGGTAAGAAGTTGAGAACCAGTTTGTTCAACCTTGCACAAATTGTGTAAGAATGATCTCGTATAGCATTCATCAACCATGCATGACTCTTCCAATTGAGGATCAAGAGAGGTAAAGTCATCTCTGTATGCATTTGATTTAACTTTCATAGTACCACCATCATGAACTAGGGCTGTACCAAATCTTGCAGTTCTACTTGGGTAGACACAATCAAACATGTCAACACCCAATGCAACACAAACAACTAAATCTTCTGGATAACCAACACCCATACAATAACGTGGCTTATTTTCAGGTAAATAATCTGTACAAAGTGAAACCACACGCCAAAATTTATCCTTTTCCTCACCTCCACTCAATCCACCAATAGCATAACCAGGTAAATTTCTTTTAATCAAACCATCCAAACAAATCTTTCTCAATCTCTCATCCAATCCTCCTTGAACAATACCAAACAAATTTTGTTGAGTTGGTCTTTTGTGACTTTTGATACATCTGTCAATCCATCTTAGAGTTCTCCATGTGGCTTCTTCAAATCGTTGCATATCTGTCGAAACAGTACTAATAACATCATCAAGTGCCATCATAATATCACCTCCAATATTATTTTGAATAGACATGGATTGTTCAGGTGTTAATAACATTTGTGAACCATCATGAGGAGATTGGAAAGTGACACCTTCTTCTGTAATATCGGCCAAATCCAACAAGGAAACCATTTGAAAACCTCCACTATCAGTAAGAATATTCCTCTTCCAATTCATAAATTTGTGAAGACCTCCAGCATCTTCTAAAATTTGTGGTCCAGGTCTTAAACCCAAGTGATATGTATTTCCGAGAATAATTTCACATCCTAGGTCTTCTAATTGTTTGCAAGTTAATCCTTTCACTGTTCCTTGAGTACCGACAGGCATGAAAATTGGTGTATTTGCCATGTGATGTGGTAATTTTAATTTACCAACACGAGCCTTTGGACCACATTTTGCCACAACTTCAAATTCCAAAGCAGAAATATCATTTACTTCATAATTTGAAAGTTCTGGGTGTGCCAAATCCTCATCGGAAAGAATTATGGGTTTTGATGGCATTTTTTTATGACAAATTTTTTAAATATTATTAATAATTTATATTAAAATTTTGAATAATAATAATGGAATTAAATTAATTATTCAATATATTATTATTCTTTCATTCAATTAATTATTTATTTTAATATTTTTATTTGACTTTGTTAAGTTGAATATTTAGTTGGTGTTTTTGATTAATTGTTGATATTGTAATCTGAAGCAATTGGTCCATCATAGTTTTGAAGAATATGTATGGAGATTTCGTACTACAGTGTTGATTGAAGCTTTGGATTTTGGAAGCCTCTTCATGGGATTGCTATGCTATAAGTTCAGCAACATTATCGTAAAGTTTCTTCCTTTGAGTTGTTCCAAACTATTATATATTTCTGAGGACTTTTTGTAGTTGATGAGGTTGGCTGTTTTGATTCTAATAATGTTTGGTATGTCAAAACCATAAGTTAATGGTAATGTGTTTATGACTGTAAGCCAATACCAATTCCGAGCACTGTGTAACGGCTATTTCATTTTTAATTTTGTAATTTATCGGAAGAAATGGAATTTACGAAATTCCGTCATTTATTTGCAAGCCAAAGTGCTTTTATGTACCTTGTTACCCATTCATTAAAATATTAATGATCAATAAACATTTTACTTCCACTCTTGCATTACTAACAAATATTAACAATGCAATTAAATTAATTATCGGAATCGTTTCGCCATGGTTGAGTTTATCGGATTTAAAACAATTTTCATTCCTTGCTTGCTTGGGTGACTTCAAATTTTGATTGAACAACAACGCATTCCACAAGCTTTTTATCAATCAATTGAAAAACGCAAAAAACCACACAAAAAATAACACAACAACAAACACATACATCCTCACAATGTTGAATAGAAGAATCAATCATAGAGCAGTCATTCAATTGTTGAACAACCAACAAAGAAATGTTAGCAAGGATATTTTCTACGCTGATGCTGGTAGAAGAAAGCTCTTGGCTGGTGTTGAAAAACTCTACAAGGCTGTTGCTACCACTCTCGGTCCAAAGGGTAGAAATGTTGTCTTGCAACAATCATATGGTTCACCAAAGATCACCAAGGATGGTGTTACTGTTGCTAAACACATTGAATTGGAAGATAATATGGAAAATCTCGGTGCTCAACTCATTAAAGATGTTGCCTCAAAGGCCAACGATGCTGCTGGTGATGGTACTACCACTGCTACTGTTCTTACTTATGGTATCTTCTCTGAAGGTTGTAAGGCTGCTGCTTCTGGTATGAATCCAATGGATTTGAAGAGAGGTATTGATTTGGCTGTCAAGCAAGTTATTGAAAGTTTAAAGAAACAAACCAAGGAAATTACATCAAAGGAAGAAATTACTCAAGTTGCTACTATTTCTGCTAACGGTGATAGAGATATTGGTGAATTGATTGCCAATGCTATGGAAAAAGTTGGTCAAGAAGGTGTCATCACTGTTGAAGATGGTCATACTATGGATAACGTTTTGGAAGTTGTTGAAGGTATGAGATTTGATAGAGGATACATTTCTCCATACTTTATGACTGAAACAAAGACTCAAACTTGTGTTTTGGAAAAGCCAGTTATTTTGGTTTATGATTCAAAGATTTCATCAATTGTTGATATTATCAAGCCATTGCAATATGCCCTCAACAATAAGAGACCATTGTTGATTATTGCTGAAGATGTTGAAGGTGAAGCTTTGAACACTTTGATTTTGAACAGAATCAAGGCTGGTTCTCAAGTTTGTGCTGTCAAGGCTCCAGGTTTCGGTGACAATAGAAAGAACAATTTGCAAGATATTGCTGTTTTGACTGGTGCTACTTTGGTCAGCAAGGATTTGGGTATGAAGATTGAAAATCCAGAAATTGAATGGTATGGTAGTGCTGAAAAGATTACCATCACTAAGGATGAAACTGTCATTATGAATGGTTCTGGTGCTAAGGAAGCTATTGCTGAAAGATGTGACGCTATTCGTGAACAATTGCAAAGAGCTGATGTTTCTTCATTCGAAGCTGAAAAGTTCAGAGAAAGATTAGGTAAATTGTCTGGTGGTGTTGCCTTGTTGAAGATTGGTGGTTCCTCAGAAGTTGAAGTTGGTGAAAAGAAGGATCGTGTTACTGATGCTTTGAACGCCACTAAGGCTGCTGTTGCTGAAGGTATTGTCGCTGGTGGTGGTACTGCTTTGACTTTTGCCTCCAAGACTTTGGACAAGTTGATTTCCGAATTGACTGTTGAAGATCAAAAGGTTGGTGTCAAGATTGTTCAAAATGCTATCCGTATGCCACTCAAGATGATTGCTCAAAATGCTGGTTTGGAAGGTGCTGTCATTTCTGAACGTGTTTTGGGTTATACTGAACCAACCCAAGGTTTCGATGCTTCTAAGGGAGTCTTTGTTAACATGTTCGAACAAGGTATTATTGATCCAACTAAGGTCGTCAAGACTGCTTTGGTCGATGCTGCCTCTGTTGCTTCCCTCATGACCACCACTGAAGCTATGGTTGTTTTGACTCCAAAGAAGGACTCTGATATGCCACCAATGGGCGGTATGGGAGGTATGGGAGGAATGGGAGGTGGAATGTTCTAAATGAATTAAATTCTCAAACTCACAACCTAGATTTAAAACCCTATAGACCCCTTAATGCGAATTCCCTCTAATTTTTGATTGTTCTTACGAACTTGCCTACCCAATAAAATTTTGAAAACTTTCTGAACACGATTTGATTGTTGGTGTACCTGAATTGCATACCTTCATTTAACAATAATCTTGGTTTATTTCAATTCATTTTGCTGTCACTCACAGTCTCTGTGGACTGAGTCTTGTTGACAAGTGGTTGTTTTTGATAAGATTAAGATTTGAAATGAAAATAAATTAATTTACTTGGTTGATGCAACTCGTTTGTTTGTCAAATTTTTTGAAGGAGAGAATGGAGATTGGGAAACATTAGTGTTGGTATTCATGAATTGAGAAAAATCAATCTTTCCATTTTCTGTCCTGGTAGGCTCAATCTTTTTGGTAGGCTCTTGAGATGTAGTAGTGGTCTTGGTATTTGTAGATGGTGATGATTTCTCTGGAGTGGTGGCAGATCGACCAACTCTATTGAATTTTCTTGGGGTTGTTTTCTTTTCTTCCTCTTCTTCCTCACTTTTTTCATTTACTACTGGTTCCTCTTCCTGTTTCTTCTTTGGTGCTGCCTTAAAGAATGAATCAATAGTTTTTGTTGAAGCTGTTGTTGTCTTTCCTGTTGGTTTGGAAATAGTTTTGGTTTCGGTTTTTGTCTTGGATTTGGTTTCGGTTTTATTCAAAGAGGATGATTCTGAGCTCTTTGATTTAGTGGGCTTTTCTTCTTTGGATTCTGAACTCTTTGATCCAGTGCTCGTTGTTGTTGGTTTACTTGTTGCAGCTGTTGTGGTGGTAGCAGCACCTTTTCTACTTCTGGTATTGTAAACTTTTGGTTTTACTTCTTCATCTTCGTCACTATCCTCTAAAATAATATCCTCCTCACTCGAATCGTCACTCTCATAATCAATTTCTTCTTCAGATTCTTCCTTCTTTTTCTTTTTTGATGATTTTGATGATGATTTAGTGGCTGGAGCCTTTCTCTTGGTTGTTGTCGATGACGAAGATTTTGAAGATGATGATTTTGATGATGATTTTTGTGAACTCTTCGAATTGCTCGTGGCACCAATATTTAAAGTTGATTGACTAGATGACAATTTGACAATTTCATCAATAGATGCACTCTCTACAAATTGACTCTTATTATACACATGTTTTTTAGAATTGAGACGATCACTCTCCACTAATTTCCACGAATTTTCTTCCAAAAGTTTAGCAAGCCTTTTACTCTTTCTCAGATAACTCGAATTTGGAGGTAATTTAACTTCTCCTTTCTCATTTGGTTTAAAATTAATAAATTTTACAAGATAGTCTTCTGCTGGTAGGTGATTATCTGATGGTAGGGCATCAGCTTCACTCTTTTCTGCCTTCTTCTTGCTCGCTGATTTATTGGCCATGATCATCAAATTTTAATTTTCTTTTTTTTCTTTTTCAAATTTTGGCGCGGTCGAACTATAAATTCATTTTCAACTTGTGAAAGAAGAAATTCCTCTTTTCCTACCTGATGATGATGTATATTGAATGGAAAGAGAATTTATAATAGTACTACAATAGCAAGCATAGTCAGACGTATGAAAGTTCAAAGAGCCAAATACGTGGCATTACGTTATTGTACTTTTTGCAGCTTATTTATTTTAAAAAAAAATTATTTAATCGGAGGACAAGAAGATGAATATTTTCCGTTTATTTGGTGATTTTCTTCACCTTGGATCAATTTGCTTACTTCTCTACAAGATGATCATGTTGAAAAATTGTGCTGGAGTGTCTTTAAGAACACAATTTTTATATGTTATTGTTTTTATTTGTAGATACGGAATTGATTTATTTACTTCCTTCATTTCTCTTTATAATACTCTTATGAAGATTTTCTTCCTTGCTTCATCTATTGCTATTGTTTACTTGATGAGAACTAAATATCGTGCAACCTATGATACACAAAGTGATACATTCCCACTTTATTTCCTCATTGTTCCTTCTATTATTTTGGGTATTATCTTTACTGATGATTATTCTGTATTCGAATTATTGTGGACTTTTAGTATCTTTTTAGAAAGTCTTGCCATCATGCCACAATTATTCTTATTGACAAAGAAAGGAGGAGCTGAAGCTATTACTTCACATTATGTTTTCACTTTGGGAGGATATCGTGTCTTTTACATTTTGAATTGGGTTTATAGATATTTTGGTGAAGGTTATTCACCTTATAATGCTTGGTTAGCCGGATTGATTCAAACTGTATTGTATGCTGACTTTTTCTACATGTACATTAAGAAAGTATGGTTAGAAAAGAAGTGGGAATTGCCTGGTGTTGCAACAATTTTAGACAGAAAGTAAATCTCATTCCTATTGAATACTCATTAATAGCTCATATTGTTAGTGAGAAGAAGATTATGATTGTCAGGAAATTAAGCCTTGACTCTCAAGGAATGATTCATTTACACTTTTTTTTCAACGATACTTGAGAAAGAGTAGGAATCTACAATAAATCACAAAACCTAAAATATTATTCAAATACGAAAGCCATTACATTCTTAAGGGGATAGTGGAAATCAAAAATATTTCTCCAACCTGTCAGCACATTATAGAATCCAAATTCCAACTTGTGTATTGCAACAAGAAAGATTGTGTTTCAATACAAGTAAATTAATACGTTTGTTCTCCATTGTTGTGTCTCGATTTTGATCAAGTAGGAATATGTTGATTATATAAGCAATTTGAAAATGTAACAGTTTAGTGATCTTAGTAGACTCCGAGTTGGCAACAAGCTTACATATCTTTCCAGGTATTGTTAAAATAAACGTTATTAAATTAAATATTCAAAAATCCAAATTTAATTGTTCTAATCCACATATAATTTTCCAATTATTTTCCTAAATTTTGTTAAAGACGTTCATTCCAATCACAATCCGAAAATAGCCCATTAATTATTAAATGATGATGAACTAATGAAAGAATCAGATAGAGCATTTTCCTTCCGAAAATTGAATTCAAGTGACTTTCAGTATTTCAGCAAGCCACAATTATTCTTATATCTATGCTCATACTACTATGATAATTATTGCCAAATTCCAACTTGTGTATTGCAACAAGAAAGGTTGTGTTTCAACACAAGTAAACTAATATGTTTGTTCTCCGAATCAAATCAACAAGAAAAAATGGCCAATTATAGTGAGACTTTTTATCAGTTGTTGGTTGATGACAGTGGAGACAATAGACCGCTCACTCTAACCGCAGAAAATCTTGCACAACTGAATGAACAAGTCATTACCAAATCAAAGAGTAAAATAACATCGGATGAAGTACATGGCACAATTGTAAAATTAAAAACAATTCTTGATGGCTTTCTCCAACAGCACAATGTATTAAACCCTAAAGATAGAAATACAATAGAATGTAGATTGAGTGCAACCAATTTTTCCCGAAAGGCTTTTTTGATTGATGGAATTGATGGTACCAATTATCCTGGCATTTATTCGTTTGCTTTCTTTGATAAGATGAGAAAAGTCACAACCATGTCCAAGTTGGAGAAGAAGGGAACTTGCTATCAGTCCCAATGTTTTTGTCAGAAGAGTTACTTGTGTGATGGTGAGGAGAGAACAGGCGATTTTAAAATCCTATTAGCTTTCACAAATTATAGCGATACCAAGGTTGATCTCTACATGTCAATGAAGGGATTTCCAGTGTTGAGTAATGTGAAGGGTAGCTCTTCATCTAAAGAGAATAGCACAGAAAGTGTCGACGGAAAGAAGAAGAGGAAACGAAAGGAAGAGGATCAACAAGAATCTACGAAAAAAACTCAAGCTAGCCCAAGTGGATTGGCATCGTCTTCGTTTGGTGAAATCAGTTCTTTTGAGAGGGAAAGTTATCAAGCTCTTGCAAATGATTTAGAAAAAACAACATCATTTGCTACTGCTGCTGCTGCAAGCACAACAGACGAAGATATGGAAGCAGCTCTGCCATTTGCAACCAGTGAGGCATATACCACAGATGACCCATCTGCACTTTCACAGGAATCAATGATTGCCCTTTTGAATCAACAAACTCCACTTACAAGCTCGAATGTTGAAAGTTTAATACCTCCACCAATTACTACAGATAACACCCAAATACCTGTAAACTTTCAACACCAGCTTTGGGATCCATCCTTCTATTACTCCAATCTAATGTTTCAAGGATTGTATCGTCAATTGGAGGATCAGGTCAAACAAAATAATCTATTAAAGACTGAGGGAAAGAAATTAATAGAAATCAACTCTAAACTGAGAAAGATAAACCATGAATTTACTCGAGAAAATGAAACATTAAAACATGAGGTGGAAGAATTGAGAAGGAATGATAATTCAAAGCAAATCAAAAGTCAAAAGATTCCAGAGCATGAGGAAGAATTAGTAATAGATGATGAATATCAAAGTAAAGAGAAGCAGCCCTTACTGGTGGAAAACATTTTCCGTCTTGATAGTGATGATACCTACCAGGAATCAATCTTCAGTGGAAAACCAGAGCAAGAAGATGGAGATATGGATTTCTTCAATGTCGAAGAAGAGTTTTACGATTCCTTCAAATAAAATTCGTATTGTTACATTTTGTGTTATTTCCATTCTAATATCTTTTCTTTTTGAAACCACAAAAATGAAAAAAGTATTATTGAAAAATCACTCAACCACTCTCCATTACAAAATGCCTGGATTTCATTTCGGAACCTTTCTTCCCCATCTTTCTCTTGGTAATTCTAAAAATTTATCAGTACTTCCATCTACAAGATCTCGTTCAACCTCTCAATTAGAATCATCTTATCATTCGCAAGATACTGAAAATATTGAAAGCGTTGTGGATAAACATGCTTCCAAATCCCTTCGATTTTTGAAATGGATTCCTTCATTGCTTGGAGATCACAATATTATCAAAGCTAATATTCACCCAAAAATAAAATCTTCACACCACAAGAGATCCTCAATAGAAGAGAGAAGTAATATCGAACAAACAATAGAAAAAATGAGTTCACCACCAAAAGTTCCTCTCGTAAATGAGAATAGCAACGATCATGATGGTAAATTAATAACGGATCAATCATCTATGGTAGAACAATTTGCCAATACTTCATCTTCGTCACCTTCTTCCTACTTTGATACCGATAATGTGCAAAATGTTGATTTTTCTAAATTTTCTCAAGTCGATCAAGAAGAACCAATTTTAAAATATCAACCCGAAAATCAAGATTTGTATGGTTTGGACATTTTCTATCATCAGAATAGTTTATTTTCTATTGAAGGACCTGAAGATAGATTTACATTGATTGATAATACTTTGGAAATAGTCATGTCATCAAAGAGCCTATTCCTTTCAGAAGCAAAGAAATATGAAAATAATTTATCCAATGGCAATATTTATTTATTGTTGAAATGCATTTTAGAACTTTCAAAGGAAATTGAAGGATATTTAAAACAATTGAAAAACAAGCTAGTCCAACTAGAATTATTGAAAAATGATAGGTATCCAAATCAATCGAAATTGGAAGAAACTTATTGTACCTCTCATTCTAAAAATATGGCCTCATTTGATCTTAATTTTATAGATTCTGCATTCCATTTCAGAGGATGTTTTCTAGTTATAATTTACACTTTCAAGGAATGTATCAATGATATCAATAAGGTAATCAAAAATAGAGGATCATTCTTCTTCTCTGTCAGTGATGGAAAGTATGAAAAGTGGCTTGATATTTATCAACAAAAATTCCAAGTTTTAAAAACTATGGTTACTGTTTCAAATACTCTTCTACAGGAAAGAATTGACAAGATTGATACCAATAACTCTTCATTCATTCCATTCTCTCAAAGTATTAAAATTGGGGACATGGAAGAATTGAAAAATGTAAAACCATCTGCATTTATGGAGCATATTGGATCATTCTATGATTCTGAAGTTGCCTGGTTCTTGGCATTGATTGTAAAAGCAACTGCTAGTTTCGGTCATACTCAAGATATTCCAAGCAAGTTGAAAAAAGATTTGATATTCTATGCAGCTAGTGCTTACTATTTGGTGAATCCAAAGACTGCAGCCGAAAATTGTGTAGATTTATTTAATAAGAATCCAATTGCCAGTAGTGAGTTTTGGAATATTCAAGATAACAACAAATTCATCAAGACTTTTACTTATTTAGGATATCCTTACATTGAAACAAGTCAAAAGTTTAATATACCATTCCCAAATAGAAAAATTGTTGATAGTGTTGGATTAGATATTGATGGTGATGAATTTGAATATGTTAGTGTCTCTAAGGAGGCTCCACAAAACAGTTCCATCATTCTATTTGGTAATAATAACGAAAACGATCAAACTGAAAAGTTACAAGTCTACTACTCTGAGGATGAAGATGAATTGTCTGAAGAGGAAAAAACAGATACTACCAAGACACCAATTGAGTTTAACAGTTCTACTACAAATATGTACCCAAATATGGAAGGATTTGAGGATGTTAAAGAGGGAAGTTCAGCCATGGAATTCTACTATGGTGCGATGGAGGAATCCATGAAGAATCACAACTTCCAAGAAATTGGGCTCAGACTCTTATCAACTAAACCACTCAGCGAAGCTCCAGAGTACATCACAAGCCAGCAACAAGAGTTCCCATACCTTTCACAAATTATGAAAGCCATTAATTCCATTAAAACCAAACAGGAAGAAGCAGGAAAGAATACATTCGATGGTTCTATCATTTTACACATTCATGGTGGTGGTTTTATTGCCATGGAAAGTTTCAGTCATGAAATTTACTTGAGAAGATGGTGCTCTGAAATGCACATTCCAATAATTTCTGTAGATTATAGAAGATCTCCTCAAGAGAAATTCCCGGTTCAAATTGAGGAATGTTATGCAGCCTATCAATGGCTATTAGCCAATTGCGAGAAGGTATTAGGAGCACCTCTGAAACGAATTGTTATAGCAGGTGATAGTGCTGGAGGTAATTTGACTTTGGCTGTTGCTCAAAGAGCAATCAGAGACGGTATCAGATTACCAGATGCTTTGGTTTTGAGTTATCCAGTGACATATCTTGATTTTTCACCTTCACCTTCACGTCAAATCTCTGTTATTGAACCACTTGTAAATATTAACTTTTTGAGATTGTGTGGAGAGCTTTACTGTAAGGATTCTGATAATGCCTTTGAAAATCCATTCGTTTCTCCTGCTATGATTGACGAGGAAGTGTTGAAAAAGTTCCCTCCAACCTATTTTGATATGGGTGCTTTGGATCCTCTCTTTGATGATGGAATTTATATGGCCAAACGTATTGCCAAAAACAATGGAGGTAGAGTCAAGATCCAATTATATGATGCTCTTGGTCATGGTTATCTGAATATGATTGATTATTCTAAAGAAGCCAGGTTAGCCTCTGCCAATATTTGTCAATGGATTTCTCAATTTTTACAATAAAATATTAGTGAAGTCATATTTCCAATACAATTAAATTTTCCATTCTTCAGCCTACAATTTAAAAATAATAAAATTCATCAAACAAAAAATATTGCCATACAGCCAAAACCCTGTTGTCAAGGATACTCAAATTTTTAAACAATCTGTGTGTTGATGGAAACGAACGAAGAAGAAGGTGGAAAAACAACATCATCAGAGGATTATAATTCTTCATCACTTATAGAGTCCAAGTCTGGAAGTGCTCTATATGATGAGGATTTATCACTCGACAATGTGCGTACACTAGTGTACATTACGAAAACAAAGAGTGTTATTAAAACCATCACAAATAATGAAATTAATATTCATAAACGATCTAGAAATGCAACTAGGGTGAAGATTACCAATCAAAGTCTGATCGGAAGATTAACACTAGATGCCTATGATATTGATGCTAGAGGAAAGAATAGTCTTCGATACAAAGTCATCAAGTATCTAATTAGAAATCCAACCAATGTAGATAATTTTAACAAACAAATTGCAGATAATACACTCAATCCACTTCAGAAAAAATTGGTGTTCAGTATCGTGTCTGACAGGTTGTTGCAATTGTTGAGCGATGATGTTTTACGTAAAATTGCCAATTCTCATGAAGTTGTTAGAGGAAGAAATAACAAGGATTTGACGATCAATTTATTTAGAACTTTTTACTTTGGAAATCCAAGAGAATATGTACAAATCAATTTTGATACACAAACTATTGGACAAGTGAGTGTTACTGTAAATGGAGAGTCAGTGAATGATTATACGAGAACATTGACTAAGCTTTCAATTCCACTTAGGCTTCCTACCCAATCCCTAAATCCATATTTTGAAAAAAAGCAAATAGAAATATCTTTTTCTGGAGAACAGTACCAAACCACTGTATATTTAATTTCTGCCGACATGAACAAAATTTTAAGTAATCTTTTAAAGATGGAATTAGTTGGAATTAATGGAGTGAGAAGAGATCACTCTGAGTCACTCCTTTCATGCAAACCAGTGTGGAACATTGATGAGCATGGTACCTTTAGGTATTATTATGAATACTTTTTAGAGTGGTCAGCTGCTTGGGATGTTTGTGAAGAGAATGAGAGTCTCTTTGAATTTCTTCTACAGACCAATGCTTTTTATGTTCCTTTAGGTTGTTTGGCGGCCAATTTTACTCATACCAATTGCTTTGCATTCTTAATGAAGAGTATGATCGATATATTTACCTTCCTCAATGAAGAACTCTCATGCAAAAACCCAGTAATCACTCCCACAACAAGGGAAAATAATTAGTTTTCCGATACCAGGTTGGGTTGGTTGCTTGAGTTGCTTCCTTAAATTACTTTCAACTACAAAAAAAAATGATTGGCGCCAAAACTAGTACAACAACAGGTGCAAAAACAACAAAAACTACAACCTCTTCGGCTAGTAACAAATCCTTATCGGAAAGAACACCAAACACTGTACAACCACAACGTAATAATAATACTACAAAAAGTGCAGTAGTAACATCTCAACAACCAAAGGTGGCAAAAAAGACTGAATCAAAATCTTCTACTCCCTCCAAGCAACAACAAGAACAGGAGAAACAAGAAGTGGAGATCAATGATACATCAAGCACTCTATCGGAAAATATTGACCTGAATAATGATGAATCTGATGGTCTTGGTGAAGGATTTTATTCAATAAAGGACATGGAAAATGACTTGAAAAAGGAACGTACTCAATCTACAGTAGTCAAAAAACCAACAAAGATAACACCCAAGTTAGTGGCAGACAAGTGTCTCACTGAGATTCCAACTGATGAGGACGAGTTGTACACTTCATTATTCGAGCTTAAAAAGTTAAATTTGGATCGTAGTAATATTCATGTAATTGAAAATTTGGATTTGTATGGCCATTTGACTCATATTTATCTGCAATGTGTAAGTTTTAGTGAATGAAATTTATTGACCATAGAATAGAATTTTATTACAGAGTTATCTGATGAGTTTAGATATTTGCCACACCTTGTATTTTTAGCATTATTTGATAACAAGATTAAACGTGTGGAAAATGAATTGGCAGATAACCACAAACTTCAATACCTTGACTTATCCAATAATGTAATTGAATATTGTGATTTGGAAAACTTACCAAAGAGCCTTATCATATTCAACATTGACCAAAACCCTCTAGTATTAGAAGAAGATTCCGTTAAGGAGCAACTTCCAAACCTAGTGCAATACAACATGAGGGAATACCTTAATGAAGAGTTTGTAACGGAAGAAAAGCTTCCTTTTGACAGGTCAACCTTAACTAAAATGAGATCATCTCAGTCAGGAATGGAACTCCTTAACAAATCTGCTACCTCTGATGACTCGAATGATAGTGTAAATGAGGTACATATTGAAAATGAACTGCAAGTTCAAAAACATACCAGACAAGAATACTCCAATGCAAACAATGAAATTGTTGAAAATTACAAAAAGGCACTCATGGAAGAAATGGAAAGAATTAAAACTGAATTCTCGCTTAAAAAGGACAAGCTCTTGGGAGAAATCAAAGAAAGAAGAGAAAATAAATAGTAATAATTTTCAACAACAATTAAAAAGTGTCAGTTTAAAGTTTCCACAACATTAAAAAAATGATAAGCCAACAAGAATACCAACTGTGGCGACAACGAAACAGTCAACAAGAAGATGGAACAAACAATACACCACCCCATTCGGAAGTAGTAGTAGTTAATCAGGAACAACAAGAAAATAATTTTAATAATAATAATAATAATCATGAAACTAATAACAGCAATGTTGGAGTCATGATGATAGTGGACAATGATGACAATAATTCATCCTTCTCCTCCTCCTATCAACCAACACAAATACAGAATGAAGAAGGAGGAACACAACCAGTCACAATTAACAATTCCGAAGTACCATTAATACCACCACCATCAATACATTTGGGTTCAGCAATTCCTATCTATGATGCAACATCTCCTTCCATGATGGTTGGACAACCTGTCCCTGTAGTAACACCTCAGCAAGCTTCTATCATTTCATATCTGGCACCAGCTATGAATTATGAAAAGGCTCCAATTTATTCAATACCAGAAACTAAATATACAATGGTATTATTTCCTGGAAGAGTGAAAAATGTTTCGAATGCCATTCAAATGCTCGGAGGAATGAAAAGTATTCAGAAATTACACAAAAAGTCACCACCTCCACCATCTCAAACAATAGCAAATGGTAAAAATTCGAAAGAACAAGAAGCACCAAATTCTGATTCTAAATTTTTGGAATGTAGATTTAGACCTGGCAATTTTATGAGTTGTCATCCAGTTTATGGTGATGCCACTTCAACAAATAATTTACTCGTTCGAATCAGAAGAAAGAAAGTTAAAAAAGTTATTGGAGATAAGGTAGTCACGAGGTATGACTCATCAAATTCGGAAATTAGTGTTATTGGAACTATTTCAAAAACTGTGAATTTTAAAGGAATGTCTGATTTTCAATATATTCAACCAAAATATGTCGATTTGGATCAATCTATGGATGATGATCAAAATGGAACTGAAAATGCTGCTAGCAATAATTTTTCGAATATTGGAGATGAAGGAGATGAAATGCACACAGATGATGTCAATTCTAACAAGTCATCGACAGCTTTAAACCAAGATGCACGTAACTCACAACAAAGAAGTATTTATTATTCTGATGAATTGTCAGAAGCCACCTCGACGGTTTTTCTTTCTAGAGCATCATTGGAGCATCCTCATACAGGAAAGAATACCAAACATCATAAGGCAATGCTAGATTTACCTCCACCAATATTCTCACGTTTTGACATGCCAATGGATTATGCCTTTAAGCAAAATCCACTTTCAGAGGTCGTACCAATCGTTTCTCACGATGGTAGCTCCAATTTTAAGAGATTAATTAAGAAAAATAAGCAATACGTTCCTCATTGTGTTGAAATTAACTTTGAAGATGAAGTTCCAACAGGTCCACCTCCAGATATTGTCAATGCTAAAGATAAGGAATTGTACACTGATATGGAAAAGAAATTGAGAAAATTATTTGGTTATCCTGACAATGAAAATGAAGAATCAGCAATTGACAATTTATCTGATTCAAAGAGTAGAAAAATCAGACCAATGTGGTCCAGAAGTGCCATTACAAGTAAGTTTGAAGGTAGAAAGGATAGATGGAAACTCAGAATGGTACTTCCAAGAATTGCCTATCACTACAAGAGTGGTCCTTGGAGAATGTTATGGGTGCGATATGGTTACGACCCTAAAAAAGATGTGGGTGCTGCCTATTATCAAATGTTAGATTTTAGAATTCCTCAAGAGTTGAGACCAAAAATCAATGCATTGGCAGGTAAAAAGAAGGATGACGAAATGGAAACAAACAAATTCAGACGTCTTCCAAAGAGAAGAACTGATTTACACATTGACTTGCATGATTACTTGTATTCAGGACAAAATAAGGACCAGCCAAACAATGAAAATGAAAACGTGGCACCAAATGCAACCTCTTCAGTTTTGAGTACCAATGCAAACACGAATCAAGGTGAAAATGATGACAATGCTTCATATGAATTTAATTCAGTACCAACACAAATTCAAGTGTTTTATCAATTGTGTGATATTAGATTATCATCTGCACAAAATATTATTATGGCAGAAAAGGACGAAAAGATACCAATAACCTATGGTGTACTTTTGGGCATCAAATCAGGTGAAGAACTAGGATTGAGAGAGTATGTGTGGAATCAAAATGCAGAATGTGATCCAAAATCAGGTTGGTACTCCCATCATGCACTTGAACAAGTTCGTCACATTATGAAGAAGAAGATTGAGGAATGGCTTGAGATTGGTGAAGAGAATGATAATGAAATTCTCTCAGATACCGAAGATGAGAATGAGCCAGAAAGACAAGAAGTAACTCAAACAGAAAATAGAGAAGCTACTCAAACAGAAGCCACCTTAACTGATGATGAAATGAGAGACGAAGAAGAAGATTTATTTATTGGAGCTACAACTCAGTAACATATTGATCTAATTTATTAAAAAATCAATCTAGGAAATATGTTTTTTTCTCTTCTTTTGCTTTTTTCTTTTTAAAAATAATGTAAAGAAATAAGGCATTGAACAATTGACTTACTTTTTCTTATTGGACTGTCTCATGTTTTGAGCACACTGATGAAGGAGAGGAATATTAAGATTAAGCATTCATGGAATTAGACAAAACTTACATTTTGAGAGACTCTAAATTCTTCGGAAACACATGAGTGGACATTTTGAATGTTGGATAGAATTAGAAATTTGTAATACTTGTGCTTTGATTTCCATCCAAAATTATTTGAAGTGCTAACTTGACAACCAATTTCCCATCCTTCTTCAACCTTTTTCTGATGTACAATTGTTAGTAGGTCTTCTTCTTCTGGGTCTTTTATCAATTTTTTCACAAGCATTTCCTTATCATTCAACTGATCCCTCACTTTTAATTCCTCTCCATGGAAACTATCATCCACAATGATGCAAATTTCAAAATCATGTCTATTTAAATTCCCAAATGGATTACTAATTGTTAGCAGCAGTGTCTTGTCGGTTTGTTTGATGGTGGTTCTCTTATTTACATAGGCATTTGGTTTGACTGCTTTTGCTCCTGTTTTAGTTCTGCACGGAGCATAAATAGTGGAGGATAGGTATCTTCCTTCCTCAATCTTATCTGCAAAGAAGTGAACAAGTATTGTATCTGATGTTGATGAAACTCTATGTACAGTGGAGGATGAGTTTTCTGCGGAGGAGGAAGATGAAGCAATTTGGGATGATAAAGATGAAACTCTATTTTCTTTTGAGGATGAAGCTCTTGTTCTTTTAGGTTTCACAGGTTTGGGTTTTTCTATTTCTTCCTCTGCTACATCCTCTTCTTCAAAATCCACATATTCTTCATATTCTTTATAGTCTGCTGATTCGTCTGATTCTGCCTCATCAACATACAGGTCACACTCACTATCAATCGATTCTTCTTCATCATCGGAAGTTGCAAATGTTCGCCTTCTCTTTACAGAATAATTATCATCTTTTGGATTGAGAGTAAGGTCAGCCTTATCAATGCATACCAAGCGATCCAATTCGTCGTTCTCCTCGTCCATCACTGCAAAGAAATAATCTCTGTTGAACATGAGCAGTCGGGTGTTGGCAAATTTTTCTTGCTCCTCTTTGGGAAGTTTCTTTCTGATAAAGCTAGGAAGAGAGGTTCCAATGAGAAGAGCCTTGTCTAATGTTGTTGTTGGTGGCTCTTGCTTAATACCTAGAAGAAGATTATCTTGAAGATGGTATTGAGAAGAGTCAAGGCTAGGTGATACATTATCCAATGTTGGAGAGAGTTGATTTGATTGCTGATTATTCTGGAAATCATTCCATTCACCTTGGTCAATGTAATATAGTTGATGAAGATGAACCGAATCTCTTTCGCTAGATTTTGGTTGAGGTGAAACATTCTCAAAGAGAGGTGTGGTATCTTCTTCTTGCTCCTGTGTATCAGGGATTGTCCAGTTTTGCTGATCATCTTCACTGTCGTAGTCACTTCTGTCCATTGTTGATGAGTTTCATTTAGTATGTGAGGATAGTTGACTTTGAATGTTTTTTTAAGAGTGTTATTTTAATAACAATGAAAAAGCCTTAACAGGTGTGAAAGAGTGGAATGAAATTTGGCGCTAAAAAACTACAATTTTCATTCCTTAGAAAAATAGATGAGTCACTCAACTGCGTACTATTTGAATAAATATGGTATTTAGAGAGAATAAAGCGATGTTATCGAAAGGATTTATTTTCATAATTAATAGTTAAAACAATAGAAGATTATTCTATTTATCAATTTGTCAGAAATAGAATAGGCTTCGTTTGATTCAAGGTAAGTAAAAGGTGATGGAAGATGATTTCCCGCCATTTAATTTACTGGTCAAACAACTTGAAAAAAATGTCTGTAGGAACAAATAGACCTAAAATCTTCTTAGAACTCTCTCCCGATATTGTGATGGAGAGTTTCTTTCAAGCCAGAAGGTACGATCATTATATAAATTGGATTGAATAATTAATTGACAAATTTTAAAGGGAGGCGGAATCAAATAGAGATAAGGAAAACAAGGCTGCGCTCTCAATTCAAAAAACATACAGAAGATGGATTGTAAGAAGTGCATTCCTTAAATTCAGACATAAAGTAATTACAATTCAGAGAGTATTTAGAGGACATCTTTATGGAAGGAAATTGAAAAGACTTCTGCAAGAGGAACGAGAAAAACAGGAGCGAATTCAACTCTATCACTATTGTGCAGCTCAAATTCAAAGGATATTCAGAGGATTTTGGGTGAGAAAATATGTACATAATTATTATAAGAGAAAGGAGTATTTGGCCTTTGTTGAACATCAAAGTTCTCTCACAAACGAATATGTACAACAATACAAGCAACAAAGAACTGAGGAAATGCAAGATGAAAAGGAAAAGAAAGACTACGAAAAATTTCAAGAATATTCAAAGTCCCTTCATCACCTTGTCAGTACAAAGGCCATTCCTGGTGTTTACAAACCAAATCATAGATATATTTCCGAGGATACTGTATATGGAATTCCAGTAGAAGACCAATTGAGATACGTTGCAAAAACTGAATATATTAACAGTCTTCAAAATAAGAAGGTTGTTCCTGTAAATTCAACTCTGATGAGATCCAACAATTCGGAACTGAAAACACATCCATCCCTTGCCTACCTGTATCCAGATCAAATTAAAGGAAATCTTCAAGAAAGGGATAAACCTCTACCACCGATTAATGATAAGGACAAAATGAGATATAAGGATAAAAGACATGGCCCTTTCAAACCACCAGAAGAGGTTGTATCAATCAAAGAAAAGACTTATGAAAGATCAATTCAAAACTCTTGTAAATACGATACAGATAAGGAAGTCATTAGGTTTGAGAATATGATTGAAAAAGATACAAGAAGTAAGTAATGCTTAATTAACCTAATGAATAACAATAACAACATTGAAACTAATTACTCTAGTCTCCAAAAAGAATTATGTACCATGTAAGAAAAAGAAGGATGTTATTCCTGTAGAGACTATTCTTGCCTCTGAGAAGTTTATTGATCCAGTTAGATCCATCACAAGAAAAGATGCAAAGGAAAAACAATTAAGTTACCCTTTCAAACCTACCGAATCAAGGTCGGGTGTTTTTGATAATTCTACTATTCCGTTTGTATCCAGCAAAACGCTGAATATTCAAAAGTAGTAACTGAACTTTACCAGTGGAAGACATTTGCCAAACTAAATATCTGGACTCTGATTCTTCTTTTACCTTGTTTTAAAAAAAGTTTCTTTATTCTGAATAAAACAGATAACAGTTTTATTTTCAATTCTACGAATTAATAATTGAATGTGATGCATTACAATCTGAATGACACGTGCCAATTACGTGGTTGGTAAGAAGATTCACTTAAAAAAAATGAGCGCATCTTCATCTAGTGGCTCTCTCACACCAAAAAATCAAATCTCCTCTTTACAACAAATAACTAGCACTAATGGATCATCGGGAGTGTTCCGAGAGAAGTATATAGCCATGATCGAGACAATCTTTAACTATCGGGATGAAACTAACAAACCTTTCGAAAAGCCAGATTCTTATTGGGATGAACTGTTCTTGTTGAAAATTAATATAGGATTTTTGGAAAATACCATTGTACTACAAACTGAGGAGGAATTGATGAATATAGAACAAACGATATTGAATCCATTTTGTTTGAAGTGCCTATTTTACTTGAATGATGATTCACAAATTAGAAGGGCCAATGCCATTCAAACACTTTGTATAATATTTAAAGGATTATTTTCGAAAAAGTGGAATAATTTTAGTGTGAGAATAATGAGTTTGGTTTGTGGATTCCAAAGTGCTGATGAATTTTTTAAAATCCTCCTTTCCAAGAGTTGTCAATTACTGTTAAAAGATGTTAAAAAGGTTAAACAAATGACTCTTGCTTTATTTATTATTTTACTAACAGGAGCAGATAATGCCAATCAAAATGCTATTATAGATTACTTTACTCTAGTTGATGTGTTTGAGCCACTACTCTTTGTTATTGAAGACCCTTCATTTTCAGGAAAGATGAAAAAGAATGCCATTATTTGTCTTTCACTACTTTGCAACTATAGAAAATACGAAACTGATAACAAGTATATTGCTCACATTGGCTCTATTCAAAAACCATCTTCAATGATAGCACTTGCAGATGTTATTACCAAATTTTTATTGGTTTGGAATGAGGATTTTGAAAAATCAATAGAACAACCAGGAATTGTAAATTATGTATGGTCTAGTATATTTGGCTCCTCAACTGAACAAGTTAGTAAGAAAGCAAGAAGTGTTAATGAAATCTCAGGATCCCTACTCTTGCTCTATGAACTTGCCAATCATAATAAGGATTTTGTAGGCTCAATGACAAGATCACTTGCTCAAATATCTGATGAAAAAACCGACTCTCCAAAGAGAAATATCAAGGATCAACTCGATGAATTGCAAAAAACCAAAACAACTAAATTGTGCCCTCTCATTTTCCAAGAATTTTTGAAATTTACCTCAATTCTATTCCAAGAACCATTCTATACCACCAAACATGTCAATAACAATAGCACACTCTCAAAGACTTCAGAAGATATTACCAGCCAGTACTATACACATTTTTGTTTATTAGTGATATTATGTTTAATTGAAAAGAAAGTTTTTAGAAAGTACATTTTTGATATTAATACGAAACTTGATTTTTTCCTATTCAAAAAGGAAAAGGCAGTCTTTGTTAAGAATCAATATAATGGATACGGCACACTTGCCAAGGTACTTATGGAATTACTAATTGATTTCATATTCCATCACCTTCAGAGAAAACATTTTCCAGTCGATTTAGCAATGAGAGCCCTCTCTGCAATCCATTTACTGATTTGTCAAAGTAGAAAGTATCGTGTCAGATTTGCTGTTGATTGGGATACACTATGGAAGGCTCTCACAATGATTTGTGATATTATTGCCAAGGATAATTGTAGTAAGGATAAGGAAAAGGCATCTCAACTATTGGAAAAGGTTTTGAAATTGTTTAATCTTGGTATTCTTAAAGGAGAGGCCTTCTTACCAACAAGAAAACATCATGAACAAATGATTTATCATTTTGTAAGACAAAGTGCTGTATTTGATGAGCTATTGGATTGGATGGAGAGAAATTTGAAAAAGGTCAATACTAATAGACAATTACTTACAAACGTTTCAATGATTATTAGTGAAATAGGAGAGGAAATTTACTCTAAGTACGGAAATTACCCATCAGAGGACCAAGTTTTTACTATTATTAGAGAATCATATCCAAAACTGAAACTCAATGATTTCCAAACACTTGAAGAGGTTGACGAATATGTGGAAAATCCAAACGAAGTGACATTCTTTTCTCAATTATTACGTGTATTTATTTTTGATTGTAAACAATTGGTAAATAGCTCATTCCAAAAGAATAAAAATACAAATTAAACCTTTTTTGATTATTTAATTTTAATAATAATTTATTTTAAAAATGACCAACAAGACCAACGAATCAACATCATCCAATGAAGTAGACATGAACGATATTGATAATATTGTTGCAGGTCTCGGACCTTGTGCTAAACAATACTGGGATATGGATCAATGTTTGGAATCTAACAATCATCGTTGGGTAGCTTGTCAAAAGGAAGTTTACGGCCTCAAAATGTGCTACAATAAATTGGAGGAACAAGGATTGCGTACTGTTCAAAGTGATAGAGCAGTGCAAACAGAAATTCAAAGATTGAAATTGATAAAAAAGCAACATGAAGCTGAACAACAAAAATCATCAAAGACCGATTAAGTTTAATTACATTGTATGAATTAATAATAATTGAATGATCAATACAGATTGGGAAAGGAGAAAACAAGTTAGGAAGCTAATAGAAATTTTGAATTGAAAATAATTTGCATCACCATCACAAAGTGGCGGATTAAATCTTGTGGTGAATAATAAATAATAATTAACAATATTTACAAGACTCTTAGAGTATAGAGATGATTAATCTTGACTCTTTCTCTTTTTTGTCTTTTTCGTTGTTGTTGTAGTTCCTTCACAAGCCACAACCTTGACAAAATCTAATGTATCAAGTTTTGTATTTCCCATCTTTAAATTCACATCATTTAGCATCCATACATAGACATTATTGTTGAAATTAAAAGTTGTACATCCGGCTTTGAAGGAAACCTTGTTGCTCAATTTATTGCTGAGGGCATTACAGACACATTTATCATATACCTTCATCACCCTTTCAATAACGTCTTCCGAGATTTTATCTTGTTCTTTCAAGTCTTGTAAACTTTCATTCAATTTTAATCCTAAAGTACAATGACGATATAAATTTATGAGTCTTGCATTGTTATTTGCATTATTCTTTGATGTGTCTTTGGACATTTTTTTGTTGTTTGATTCTAAATTTAACTCAACATTTTATGCTTTTATTTGATTTTTGAGTTTCACAAATTTCATTCACAAGTTTATCAATATTAAATTAAAATGGTCACCTTGGGCATAAACAAGCAGTATCATGCTGTCCAGTCAGCAATGGTAATCCATGACCCAAGGTCTTTAGCTGCTGATATTAAATGTTGAACCAGCTTATTTCAAATTGCCTCAAGGATTTTTTTAAAGGAAAAACCAGATCCTAATCTGAGAGTATTTTCTCAATGGATTCAATATTTTAAAATAAAATAATAGAGAATCAGCTATATTACACATATTAGTATCAGTATTAAAAAAATTAGACTCAACAATAAAGAAATAAAAAAGTTGTGACTCGAGTGCCTATTGGAAAGGTCTCAACAACTTCTCGCTTAATGTGACCAGTGAACAAAAATAGAGAATTGTTATAAATAGAATTAGATTAAGATCGTGATTTATAATTGTGCAGATTGGTAATACTGCCCATTGTCACGTTTCAATTTCACGTTTTGAAAAAAGAAAGTCATGAGCAGCTCAAACACTCAGACAAAGATATTCAACATATCAGGAATTAATACCACTCTCACAGTTACCTTTGCTACACCTTTCCACAATTTGCGAATGAATACACTCATTATTGAAATTTCTCATTTTCGATTGCACTATCATGGTGCATACAGTTGTTGTTGTTGTGATGAGCAAGTCAGTGATCGAGGACCTATCATTCCAGAAGGATTACCTGTTAATGTTCTACAAAAACTATCGACTAAATCTTGCAAATCTGTTGGAACAGCCATCAAACAACAGAAACAACTCAATCTCAAATACAAGAATATTGGAAAGAATATGGGAAAGAAAGCAAAGTTTGTGGCTATTCTAATAAAAATCCTTAACGAGGAGGATGACACTGAATTAGGAGAATTTTACCTTACCTTGAGAATTGTGAAAAAGTTGAAATTTGAAGGAAAAGAACAACGAGGATACACATCAAGAGATTTGTGTCATGTTTCAGATTTATTCAATGTGGATTCCAATAGATTCATTGCTCTTTGCCTTGTAGAATTGGAATTAAATTAATTGAGCTTCCATCAAGCTTTTAAACTGATGAAAGAGTACTCAATTCAAAAAAACTAGTATTAATCTATGGCCAACACATATAATTTTGATAAAATAAAAACATATTTGATTAAAAAAAAATGAAAGACACCTCTCCACCACTTATCCCTCTCGAATTTATTAAAAATGAAACTCCATCACGGAAAGATCAACTCTCGGAAAATGATGAAACCAATTTGCAGTTATATGCATGCCAACTAATTCAAGATGCCGGAATATTGTTGGAATTACCTCAAACAACCATTTCTCATGCACAAATAATTTTTCATCGATTTTATATGAAAAAGTCAATGAAGGAATTTTGTGTGAGACATGTTGCTATGGCTAGTCTTTTTATTAGTTGTAAAATTCAAGAAACACACCGATCAATTTTTCACTTTTTACAAGTTTTTATCGATATTATCTATCCGGAATTGTATTACATTTCACCAGATATTGTGGAACTTTTAAAATCACATTTAATAAGAACGGAGAGATACATTCTCATTGAATTAGGATTTACATTCTATAATATTGAATTGCCTCATCAATACATTTTGTTTGTCATGCACATCCTTGAAGGACATGAGGATTTAACACAAACTGCTTGGAATTATTGTAATGATGCTTTGAGATGTTCTGTTTTAAGTCTGAGTGCAAAACCTCAAGTGATTGCTTGTGGAGCTGTTTACATGTCAGCAAAGGAACATTCCCGAGTCTTACCTGAGAATCCTGCTTGGTGGCTCTTATTCAATACAACAAGAGATGAATTGGAATTTGTTGAAAAACACATTAAGGAAATGTACAAACGACCAAAGGCAGTTTATCTCAATGTTCTCAATGATAATTCATCTTCACTGGTTGGATTGAGTGACATTGAGAATACCATTAGAAAAAACAAACAGCAACGTTCCAATGAAGAATCCAGAGAATCTAGACGAAATGTTGGGGGATCAAATGAACATTCTAATAATTCCTATTCCAATACTAGCAATAATCGTAATTATTCTAATAACAATAGTGGAGGAGCCCAAAAGAGGTATTATAACAATAACAGTAATTATCAACCTCCTCACAATAAAAGAAGATATTAATCATTTACCCCACAACAAAAGTCGTAACAATAGAATATCAATATGAGTTATGATTTGAATATTTAACAAGACGATCAATGAGGTCAAAAATTCAAACAACAAAATTGTTGAACATTTTGCTTTGAAAAAAAAACAGCAACCTAAACATGCCTGCTCACATCAAATTTAACAAGAATGGTACCAAGACATTGAAGGATGCCAGTGGTAACGTCTCAACACTTGATGCTTCTGAAAATGTTCAACTCAGAAAGAAGCAATCTGTTGAAACTATCGTGCTTCCAGTCACTGAAGATGCCGAAGGTAATGCTGTTGCTTCTAAAATGAAATTTGAAGAAGTCGAAGGAATTCATCCACAATTATTAAAATCTTTAAAGAAGGAGTTCGGATTTGAATACATGACTGCTATCCAACATTTAACAATTCCAAATGCTCTCGGAGAAAAGGGTAAGGGAAAGGATATTATTGCTCAAGCAGCTACAGGTCAAGGTAAAACTCTTGCCTTCTTGGTTCCATCATTGTCCTGTATGATGGAAAATGAAAAGAATGTTCATGGTATTTATATTATGGTTTTGGCTCCAACAAGAGAATTGGCTTTGCAAATTCAAACTGTTGCTGACAAGTTGTTAAAACATACTAATTATAAGGCTGCTTGTGTTATCGGAGGTAACAAGGTTTCTGTTGAACAAGCTCAATTAGCTGATCCAACTGTTAGAGTTTTAATTGCCTCACCAGGTAAATGTTTGGATCACATTCAAAGAGAAAGTCTTGATTGCACTCATCTTAAATTCTTTATTTTGGATGAAGCTGATCGTTTGTTGGATTCTGGTTTTGAAGAAACTTTGAAAAAGATTGTTATGCAATTACCAAAACAACGTCAAACCTATCTCTTCTCTGCCACAATGACTGATAAGGTTGATGATTTGGCTCATATTTCTTTAAAGAATGATATTATGAAACTTGGTCTTGATAATGGAGGTTCAAAGAGAGTTTCTACTTTGGAACAAAGATATTATGAAGTTCCAAATGATAAAAAGATGGCTGCTCTCGTTTCAGTTTTGAGAAATAATGTAGATAAGAAGATTATTACTTTCGTCAGTACAAAATTGTCAGTAGAATTTGCAACAACTGTTTTACAAAATGCATCAGGAGTTGGAAATGTTGTTCAATTGAGCGGAAATATGACACAAGAAAAGAGAAGTGAAATTTTCTTCCAATTTATGGAAGATAGAAATCCTGGTATTTTGGTTGCTACTAACGTTGCTGCCAGAGGTCTCGATTTCCCTAATGTCGATTTGATTGTTCAATTTGATATTCCAGAACAACCTGCCGATTATTTCCACAGAGCAGGTAGAACTGCTAGAGCTGGTAAGAAGGGTCTCTCAGTTCTCTTCTTGACTCCAAGAGAAAAGGAAGTTGCTCTCCAATACTTTAACATGATGTTGAATAGTGATAAGGAAGATGAAAAAGATTGGGAAAAGCTTGGTGAACTTGATAATAAGGTTACTGATAGAGAATTGGATGAAATTCAAAGAGAAGTTTGTTCAATTGTCCAAAATAATCAATTGAATAGAGATGCTTTCAAACTTGTTAATACTTATGGTAGTGTTTTCAATATGTTTGCTAGAAAGTTGGGTTTCAAGATGAATGATTTTGATGAAGAAGGTTTGAAATCATCATTTGGTTTGAAGAGCAGAGGTGGCTTCCAAAATAATAATAATGGAGGTGGTTTCAAGAAGAACTTTGACAAGTACAATGACAACAAACCATCATTCAATAACGATAAGAAATTCAACAGATTTAATAAGGAAGAAGAAACTCCACAAGCAGAAGAATCGAATCAAGAAGAATCCACTGAAGATGCCAATCCAAAGAAGAGAGGCTTGATGGAATTCTTAGATGCCAATACTGAAAAGGATGACTTTAGAGGAGGTCGTGGTGGTAGAGGTGGAAGAGGCGGAAGAGGTGGCTTCAGAGGAGGTCGTGGTGGTAGAGGTGGTGGCCGTGGTGGTTACAATAATAACTGGAATAATGATAATAACAATGGTGGATCATCGTCATGGAATAATGATAACAATGGTGGTGAAAGCAAACCATTTGTTAAAAAGCATAAGAAATTCTAAGTTTATTGTATAATTTTGATCATTCCTTAATCCAATCTCCTTCCCAATTTACCAAAAAAACAAACTAAATTAAATCTAAATTAATCTTATTCAATTTTTGATATTGTTCCTTTTCTATTGAAGAACAACTTGTGTTTTGTTTTTAAAATCATTTTGTTTTATTAAGAGATGCTGATGATATTTTAATCAAGTATCGAATAAGCTAAAAAAAATTCTTCATGACCTCACTCAAAAAACCCCCAAGAAAGGCTACAAGAACAAAAGAAGGTATTCTTGTTAAATTCAAATCAGAGACTCCAATAGTTCCAAAGGTATCCAAGCTCTCAAGACTATCAATCCTAGTGGATGACTCTGGTTTGGTATCTAGCAAACCTCCTTCGTGGGAAGAAAATCTTACTCTTCTGCTTCCCAGAGTTTCAACAGTTTCCCGAACACCTATTATGCTTGAGAATAGAAATGATAATACACTTGTACATGTAAAGTCTAGCTTTGATTTTACAGCCTATATTGGAACAACTGCTCGAATAGCTGGAGATTTAGAAGGAAATGTTAACTTTATCACTACTTGCTTTGGTTTATCAGCTGATCATATTGTTGGAAGAGCACAAAAAGTTGACTTTCAAACTGGTTTGTTCAGGTCTAGGCAAATACTCACTCGTGAAACAAGAGATTTAAATAAGGAGTATTCGCAGGTTGATTTAGCACTGGTTTGTGTGCCTCCTGAATTGGTAGGAAACATTGTTGTGCCCAAGTTGCCAAAGAAACTTGCAACATGTCCATATAATTGTGCTGTAATTGGAGGTGTACCTTCTTGTGTCATGGACTTGTTTGTTACTGAAAGTGTTGTCAAAAGAATTATGGAAAATGGAGAAGTTGTATTGATTGAAGATGAGAAGGAAGCTGTAATCAGTGAAGTGTCTAGTAAGCTCCAAGGTGTATTGTCTGGTCATAGTGAAATGATAGCCTCTTTTGGAGAAACAACTCTCTCGAATACAGGAAAACAGCAACATGGCTGTGCAACAGTTGGCCTTTCTGGAAGTATGGTTAGATTTGTTGAGGAAGGAGAAATACTATCGCTTCCTGGAGATGATCAGTATAGTAACATTTCTGAGAGTTTGTTGAGTAAGGAAAAAACTGGGTATTTTCATGGAATTCATGTTGATTGTTTGAAAAATGGTAGTAATTTAGAGATTAGTTGCCACACGACAAGGTGTGCAAAGTTCATTTATTTATATTGCTATGCAATTATTCATACAGTGAGAAATAATAGATCCTTGTTCTTCACCTCAAATCAGTATGAAGCCTCTCTAGCATATCTCAATGACGCAAAGCAAATAGTAGAACTTGAAATTAAAGAATTAAGAGAACTTGTAGAGAAGACACTCTTGGTTGTAAATAAGCAATTGTTAGAATTTAATACTAAGCCCATAAATGTTCAAAACCAAGATGCACAATATTAATTTCTTGGAAGATCTGAAACATCTAATCCAATAAGTTTACTCTTATTCTGCTAACAATCAATTCATTTAATCACCATTTGTTAAAAAGCATAAGAAATTCTAAGTTTATTGTATAATTTTGATCTTTATCCTTAATCCAATTTCTTTCATAATTTACCAAAAATAAACTAAATAAATCTAAATTTTAGCTTATTCAATTTTTAGCCTTGCTCCTTTTCTGTTGAAGAACAGCCTGCCTTTTGCTTTGTAGTTTTTTAAATTCTCAAATACTCCTGGAAACTCAGTTATTAGTTTTGACATTTCAGCATTTGTGTTAGTAAACAAGCTTGGGGATATAAATGCTACGTAATCTAAATTATTACAATTACAAGCCTGGAAGAATCTTACTTGTCGTTCCAATTGGAGCATCTTAACAATAAGAGCATTTCCTGTCAAGTTGTTAGTGGATGCCTCAACAACTAGGGTTGTAACTCTTTCATTATCTCTAACAATAAAGTTAAACTCAATTGATGGAGAGTAGAAAGAAAGGGAATACCTTTGAGTTGTAGAAATTCTCTTTTGTTGTTCTAAATTGCGCAAACAATTATTCCAGGTATTTTTTAAAGTCTTGGCTTTCTTTAACTTGTCAAATTGAGGGCCAAATTTTTTCTCGTCATAAACAACGTTGCATTCGACCTCAAAGCCTTCATCTTTTAACATCTGCTCTAAACTCATTTCATAAAGCATACCAATTGCAGAAGAGATTCTATTTTCCATTGTATCAAATCTTTTTTCTAATACATCAAATTTTTCTTCTAATACATCAAATCTTTCTTCTAATACATCAAATCTTTCTTCTAAAACACCAAATCTTTCTTCTAAAGCACCAAATCTTTTTTCTAATTCATCAAACCCAGTTTTGAAGGCACCAAATTCTCCTTCAATAGCATCAAATCTTCTATTCATGACTTTTAATATTAGTTGAGTATCAATGGAAGTTGTAGCAAGAGGTAAAGGATTACCTTCTTGTTCATTGGTATGTAAAGACCCTGTTATTTCCTTTCTAACACTGTCGGTTTTGGGAATACTTTCATTCTCTCTCACTGGAACAATTGTTGTTGAGACATTTGGTTTCGAACACTCTTTTTCCTTTTTCTCTTTGGAGTTAGACCTTGATTCCTTTGAGACATCTTCTCTTCTTTCTGGAGTAGCTAACTTTGAGTTGTCTGTTGAACTTGTTTTCTTCCTTTCCTTGCTAGTAAGTGAATTCTTCTTATTTTTGCCCGAGTTCTTTTGCTTGCTGTCTTCATTTTGCAAGAGCTCAGCCCTGGCTTTCTCACTTTCTTCTTCCATCAATTCTGTACAAATAACATTCTTAGTTAGCTTTGCATCTAAAATACACTCCTTCGAAGTAACAGTATAGACATCCAAAGGAATAACATTCTCGAATTTCCAGAATTTATACTGTTTGGTTCTTAATCGAAAATCTTTCAATTTTTCAACACCCATATACAGAGCGATATGAAGGTCATAACTAGTGGGATTTTCTACTATCTTCTCGACTTCACTCATAAAGAAAAGGAGGGATGAAATGTTCTTCTTCAAGTTCTCATCCTCAAAGAGTTTCGTCAATTCACTCATGATGAAAATAAGGTATTTTTTCTGCGAATTTTTCCATTTCTAAGCAGAGATTAAGGTGTTCAAACATTCCCGATAATTCTTTTGCAATGAACGTTAGTGTTGATTCAGTTAAGGGAACAAGTTGATTGAACCCTTCATCTTCAAAGGTATCTGACCGAGTACAGACTCAACCACTCTGAGTGGGTTTGATAGGAATATGATTATTTGAACCGACAATGGCTCTTTATCTAGTAGTTTCTGTAGCTACATGATTATTCTTTTGAATGACCCTTGAATTAATTCACTCCATTCATTGACCTTGTGTGGTTGTAACAAAGGCAAAACAAAAAAACTTAAAATAAAACCAACAACAAAAAAATGTTTGATCCAATGCAATCAATGTATGCACCATCACGTTCTAATCCTCTTGTCGACAATGATGAGGACGATGATGATCATCAAGAAGAAGATAATTCCATGTATGATAATTCCGGAGAAGAATCTAATTATCATCATGATATATTTTCTAACGATCCTGATTTTGAACGTGTTTCTGCAAAATCACACATTTCTAATCCATTTACTAGTATGGTCAAGAAGAATGCTTCACAAAAAGTATTGATGATGATGGAAAAGATGGGTTTTAAAGTTGGAGAAGGTTTAGGAAAGAATAATCAAGGAAGTGCAAGTGCTATTGAATTACAACAACAACAAGGAAGAGCAGGTTTAGGATCAAATACTTCTGCTCATTATTCATCAAATCTTCCTGAACATTTTACTATTCAAACACATGACCCTGATATGACAGATTATCCATACAAGGAAGATGTATCGTGGATGACTTGTATTGAACCATTAAGTGAAAATGCACCAGAGTTTTCCATTGTAAGACCTGATAATACAACATTGGATTTATCAGCTTCAATGAATAATAATGGACAAAAATATGTTGAAGGAAATTTATCTCCGTTTGTTAATGTTCAACAAGTTCAACAAATTTTTGATTTGAAATCACAATTCGATTCTGTAGATGAAAAAATATTTACTGATGCTAGATATAGATCGAATCCATATGAAAGAATTGGTAGATCTATTTTCCAAAATAGAGCTGCCATTAAATTGGCAAATATTGATAGAATTTCTGACTTGACAACTCTTGTCAGATTACCTGAAGAAAATGGTATTCTCTATTTTGCAGATATTTGTGCTGGACCTGGAGGTTTTACAGAATACCTCTATTATAGATTCAAGACAGATAAAGCTAAGGGTTGGGGATTTACTTTGAAAAATAAGAAAGATGACTGGAAATTAAATAGATTCAATCCAGAATCACCTCATGACAATTTTGAAGTCAACTATGGTGAAGATGGAACAGGTGATATAACTAAGAATGAAAATATTCGTGCTCTAAGTAAGGCTATTGACCAAGGAACTAATGGAAGAGGTGTTGCTCTTGTAACTGCAGATGGTGGTTTCTCTGTTCATGGTGTTGAAAATTCTCAAGAATACCTCACTCATCAATTGGTATTATGTCAAATTTTGACAGGATTGATGATTACTAGAAGAGGTGGTTCTTTTGTTTGTAAATTGTTTGACTTGAATACTTGGTTCTCTGCCTCTCTCATGTACATTCTTTACCAAAATTATGAAAAAGTAATGATTGTAAAGCCACTCTCATCTAGACCTGCCAACTCTGAAAGATACGTCATTTGTAAGGGATTAAGAAAACGTCAACCACAAATTGTAAATTATCTGTTTGACGTTAATATTAGATTATCCAACCGTGAAAATATCAAATCATTGGTCGATTGCAATGTCATTGAGAAGGATGAAATGTTTAACAAGTATTTGAGTGATACAAATACTGTGATTGCCAAATCTCAAATCAATTCACTCCAAAGAATTAAGAATGCTGTTGAAGATAAATATTTGGAAATACAAGAAAAGCAAAACAAGATTAGAGATCAATGTTTACAAGAATGGAGATTACCAAATACTCAAACTTCCAAACACTCTGGTTCACGATCAAATGATAAGAACAAACGAAAGAGACACGATGACGACAATTCAAGACCAAGTCAAATGCAAAAATCAAACACCTATGCTCCTCAATATTAAATTATTCTGATTTTTTTACTAATGTCATTCTATTTTTTGCAACTCCATGAATATCTGTATCCTTAAATCCTAAAGTTATATGGAAATCTCTAGTGTCAGCATTAACATTTTTCAAAAAGTGAGAAGCGCTTGGCCATTCCACAACAATATATACTGTTTCATTTGCTGCCTTCTTTTGTTTACCAACACCTAGTGCTGTAATTTCTGAAAAATCAATTTCCTTTGCCATTGCATCCAACAAGTGTTGAACAGTAACATTTTCAGCAGAAATATCAGCTGGTAACAAAGATGGATAAGAATCTTTAAGAGATTCAGTTGCCTTCTTGATATCTTGCTTTAACATGAGAGTAATGTGATGATGTGAAGTCTTGTCTCTGTCATCCTTCTTTTTCTTATATTCGCTTGGACAGTGTTCATTGATTTGATCCTGAAAATTGTCCAAACATCTTTCCACAAGATCACCCTTCAATCCGAGATATCCACCATTAAATACAAGTTCTCCTTGCACATTTCCGACAGTAATGGTCTTGTTTGAGACCTTGTTGAGAGAAGGATTGTTATTCTTCTTTGGTGGCATTGTTATGATGTTCAGTGTATTTTTTTGTTGTTATGATTCAGCAATTTTGATAATAATAGACTAGTGGAGCTGAATGTTCCTTTCCAGAAACGAAGTAGTGGCAAAATGTCATAGTGAATAATTACAAGTTACTGAATGAGAAATAATGATTTTACAAGTGTATGATGTATAAATAATTTAATTAAAATGTTACAAGTTGTGTCAGACAGGTGGTTGACACTAAATAATTTAGTAAGCTCCGAGATACTTCTTGGCAACAGCACGAGCACGAGCACTTGATTGCAACTTCATGTTGTTAATGTCCTTGTTAATGTCTTCAATGAATCCAATAATGAAATCAATCAACTTTTGCTTGAACATATCTTCAATGTGGAAGTTGGTAACAAGGAAACTGATATCATATCCTTCGACTGGCTTTCTTCTCATAACTAAGAATTGTTCAGCTCTTTGCATCAAAAAGTGCATAAAACGCTTATAGATAATTCTTTCAACATCGTCGTTCTTCTTGAATGAAAGACTGATTCTGACAGAGTTGACTGATCCTTCAATCATGCAACGATCAAATTTATCCTTGCTGATAATGATTGGGTTGAGCAACAATTCCCTGCTTGTACTGTTTAGTTGAATATCATTAAAATCCAAAGTGTATTACAATGAGCCATCATTAATCCACAAATTGACAATTTCACAACATATATTGTCAAATAACGAGTAGAATAGGTTTGTTAATAATGATTAGAAATACTCTTTAACACGTACCCAACTTCAACTTCTGGCTTGTTGTGTCTTTCAATGACTTGAGATGGGAAGTTTTCAAGACACAAAGCAGCTTCGAGGGATTTACGGATACAATCGTAGTATGGTTGAGCAGTTGTAGTCTATAATATAACAAATAGCAGAGAATGTTTAGCCACAGTAATATTATGGTAATCATCACGTCATCAAATAGTTGTTATTATTGTTGTTGTAAATCCATCATGAAATAAATAAAAAATATTAACATCAACATGATGATGATAGTATTATTGTTATTAATATTAGATTATCGCAATATATTGAATGTTGATGATCACCATCATTAGCATTAGATATTGTTTTAGATTGTCAAAATCTTGATGAGAAAACCTACCATTTTTTAGACAGAGAAAAAGAGGTGGTGGGATTTGGATATTTTTTAGAGTGATGTTAAAAATCAAGCCACGAAACATTTGATGGTGATTTGGGATGGGTTGTTTTGATGACAAGCAATCTCGTTGTCACTGTTTAATTATCAGATCGATTTTAATCATGCTGTATTCTGGTACAAGATTCACATGATAGTTGGAAAGAGGTTTAATCTTTAATGAGTTGTTCTATTTCATTAGCAAGTTGTTCGATTGTTTTTACTTCGCATTCACACAAATGAGAAACTGAGCCGTAGACAAACAAAATATTAAGAAAGTTGATTACAAATTACTTACGCCATGACAGGAGTGCCTCATTTCTCTTTGAGGTTATAATCTTGGAGGAAAGAAAGATCAATGTACTTGCAAACAAACATGGATCTCTTTGGAGAGACAAGAAACCTGGTTTAAATAACAAGTAATCGTAAAGCTTTGAAGCCATCGCTATAAACTTCTCCTTCACAAAGGGAATAACTTGAGGGCAAGACAAGTCGTACACACAACCAGTGAGCAACTCTACAAAATCAAACAATGATATTGTATTGATTTCATATTCTATTATTTCAAGAATTTGAACTTCATACTCTCTAACGCTCTCTTCAGTCAATTCATTCAAATTATGCTTTCTTCTATACTTATTGGTCGTATTTAAAATTGATTCCAAAGCTATTCCTTCCTCTCCAAATCTCTTACTCTGGACATTGATACATGTTGATCCGAGGAGGGTTGGATCATATTCTGTCAAATTTCTAAAGAAGAATGTGGCCATTTGAACAAATCGAAATTCTAGATGTACTCACTTTTTCAATACCTTAAACATCATCAATAATGAATGATAATGAATTAAGGGATTTTTACATTTAATATTCTTCCTGCACAACTGTAAAATGTATTCGGTGACTTTAGTATTCTTGGAAAGAAACACAGAGCAAAACTCAACCCACAGAGTATATTGTTTGTTCCATTGTTGAATCATTGTTTCCTTCACTTCGGAAAGTGATAAATCAGATACCGTTACTATTTCCATCAAGCCTTTATTCTCAATACTTAATAACTCACTCAACCTATTTTTTTCAACCTTAAAATTTGAAAATTTGGCGCTACTTTTCAAACATTAGGTGCTCACTTTTACACTCCTCTCTTTTGTTACTCGTCATCAATTGTTTTAAATTTATTAAATTAAATAATTCAGAGTTTCAAAATTTCAACCATTTCTAAAGATTGACGTCACTTTCAAAGAACAACTTATTTGAAGCTTTGAACACAAATAAAAAATAGATTAAAAAAAAATGGACGCAACACTTCTCACTGCAATTATCGGATTGTTGGTGATTGTAGCAATTGCTTTTATCTTTTTGAAGGGAAAGAGTACAAAGAAAGGAAATGCATTGATGATTACCGGATTGTGTCAGTCAGGAAAAACATGCTTGTTTTTTAAATTGAAGGATGGAAAAATTGTGCAAAGCCACACTAGCGTAAAGGAAAATTATGCCAAGTTTGTTCCAAAAATCAAGTTCGGAAATAAGAGCTTTGATAAGGAAATTGAGGTTGTTGATATTCCTGGTTCTACCAGAGTTAGAAAACAATTGATCAATGAATATTTACCAATTACCAAACAATTGATTTATGTTTTGGACTCTTCTGAATTGGATATTTCTGCAAATGCTGAGTAAGTTTAATATAACTAGAAATGAGATTATTTTCTTTCTGAAATATATAGATTTTTATATGATATTTTGACTGATAGAAAATTGACAGATGAAGTCAAACCAGCAATTACAATTATTTTCAACAAGTCCGATATTTCATTCTATGTAAAGAATCAAATTAAGAGAGATCTTGAAAAGGAATTAATTACTATTCACAATACTAAGAAACACCAACATCAATCTATTGATGAAGATGCAAGCTCAGCACCAAATCCATTGATTGAATCTAAGGAATTCACTTTTGAAGGATGGAGTACATTCAGAAACATTCCAGTTAATATTGAATTTTGTTCAATTGCTGCTGAAAGTGATGCTACTTTTGAAAAGGTTATTGATTCTGTCATCTCTAGTTTGTAAAATAAAATATCATATTCTTTAAAGATTCAAGTTACTAGTTCTGTATCTATACTCTGTCTGTTGAAGAACTAAATTGAATAAAAAATTCGAGAAACAAATACTATTTACATTAATTGTTTTACATTATTTACAAACTTTCTTTTGATATTTCATAAATGTGGACTGCCAATCGTCTCGTTGTTCAGGAGTATAAGTTAAGGGGAAATATAATTTGGGATTAATAGTGTGGCTTGCTGGAATAGCTGGATTGAGTCTCGATTGTATAACATTACTTGTTGGTAGGGAGTTTTTCCTCTTTGGTGATCTGTAGTTCTCTAGTTCTTCACTGTAGGTGGTTTTGTTATCGTCTATCACTTTATCAAAAAGTACCATTTGCTCTACTTCATGTAAGAGAAGTGAATATTCAAGATCGTTTGTAATATTCTCACATCTCGAACAGATATTATACAAATAAAAATAAGCCTTGCTTAATTGACCTAGCTTAAAGTGACATTTGGCTAATTGGAAACACAATTGATAATATAAATAGAGGTAATAGTTTTGTGATGTATCGGAAAGGTTTGCAAAAAAGTCCTCATTGATATGTTCAACAAGGCATGTACTACTCGAGTTGTCTAAGAGTTGATTTGAAAAGTATAGTGCTTTGGTATTGTCTTGTGGTTGATTTGTTTCCAATGTAGAATGGTTCAAATCTAATCCTTGTTTTGATAATTCCTTCTCAACCATAGATAAACACTCATTGAAACTTTGCAATGCATAATAATATTTTCCATGATTATACTTTAGTAGGCTTGAAGAGCACAATTCTTGAATTTTGTGATAGAATGGTTCCACTTGCTGTTGTTTATCACTACTTGCAACATCATTGTTACTCGAGGAAGTTGACGATGAGGAAGAACAAGAAGAAGTGACCGACACATTATCAACTGCTGTGCCATTATCAGAGTGATCACTGTTTGTCAGTGATGTACCGAGACATTGTTGCTCATCAAAACGAGTAGTCATAAAGTAGCACCCAAAACTACAGGTCAAACTTAATTGTCGTGATGTCATTCACAATAAAAAGGCTAGATGATCAAAAAAACGAATTTCCGTTTCCTCCTCTCAAAATATTAAATTTGTTAGTAGTATACTATTATTTACACTCTATCAATAATAACTATTGTCAATATAATTATAGGTGTTGTTGTTGTTGTTGTCTATATTGATGATGAAAATTTTTGAAGAGAGAAATCAACCACTTTTTTCAAGAAGACAGGACTTGTACGGAATGATGAAGAGAATCTTTTTTTTGCAAAGCTTTGGTGGCACTATTTTTATCGAGAAGAGAACTCAACGTGCTTTCCAGCGCTAGGGCAAAGTTCTTACTGATTGAGATTTTTTTTATTGAGGAGATTGAAGCAGATTGAGAAAAGAGTAAGGGTTCATGTAAAGAGAGTATTAATATTGTAAAAATTTCTGTACAGACAAATCTCATGTGAAATGGACTTTTTAGACGCACTTTAATTTATACATTGGCAAAATTGACCATTTCATCTAATTGGATTCCAGAGAGGATTGAGAAAGAAACTGGCCGATCATACTGACCTATAAATAATCAATGGTATGACTTATTGGAAAGACAATAACAAATCAAAAAGAATGAGCACAACACTAAACATTGGAGGAATCAAATACAGATACTTGGTAGAGGAACCAATCTTGAACTATGTGAGACAAGTTGGTATGAGGGAGCAGTCAGTATTAGAAGAATTGAGAAAAGTTACAATGGAAAAGCTTGGATTGACTGGATATATGCTGTCCTTTCCAGAACAAACTCAATTGTTACAAATGATCATCAAATTGATGGGAGCTTCAAATATTCTTGATATTGGTTGCTTTACAGGATATTCAGCTCTAAGCTTTGCATTAGCAAGTGAAAATGTTGGAGGAAAGGTAGTAACTTTAGATATTTCTCAAGAGTGGACCAGTATTGGAAAACCATACTGGGAAAAGGCTGGTGTTAGTGATAGAATTAATCTTCGTTTGCAACCTGCATTGGATTCTCTTAAGGAACTTGAAAAGGAAGGACAACTATTCGATTTCATATACATTGATGCTGATAAGGATAACCAACTTGAATATGTTGAGTATGCTTACAAGTTATTGAGACAGAATGGCTTGTTGGTTATTGACAATGTTATTTGGTCCACTAAAGTGATGGACAAGGATGATCATTCTCCTGGTACTGACATTATAAGACAAATGAACGAACAGTTACACACTGATGAAAGATGGGACATATCAATGCAGGTTATTGGAGATGGAGCAACCTTCCTTAGAAAGAAGTAAATTGTAAAATACTGAAATAATGGGTAAAAGTTAATTATTTTTACATATTCTTGAATAGTTGTTTGCTCGAGAGTTGGTTATTTGTTGTCAAGATTCCTGAAAGACTGCTTTCACTCTTTGTTGATCCAGCTGAAGGAACCCTTTGCTTTCCTGACATGAACATTCCTTGAAGTTTCTTTCTCGTATTACTTTCATTCATTGATTGAATTTCAACTTTTCGTTGCCAATTAGCTAATTCTTTTCTATACATATCCAACTCGGCTTTCAATTTAATATATGAAAGTATTTCAGGGACCTTAACTTGTTCATGTTGAGCAACCATCTTCTGGTTTCTATTCGATTCAATGTCCTTGTCCTTTAAAACAAACTCAATTTCCTCTTTCAGAGCATCTAGGTCATTCTTACTCTTTTCAATATCCTTGTTGAATAGTTTTGAGTCTTGATTCAGTAAATTTAACTTCTCTGTGAGGGCCGACAGCTTTTGTAAAAGGGCTCCAGTATTCAACTTTAAATCGACTAGTTCCTTGTTTCTTTCATCAATTTTCTTATTCATGAGACCATTTTCAATCTTGAGCTGGTCAAAATCAGTCTTGGTTAGTTGATCACCTGATTGTTCTCGACTTTCAAGTTGAGTCTTGGACTTGGCAACTTGTTTCCTCATTTCAGATATTTTCAATTTTAGTTTGTGAAGGAGTGTATCTTTTTGTTGTTGTTTGTTTTTGAAATATTGTACAATTTTCTCAGCAGCCAATGCAGATCCAAGCTGTACCTTGTCATTAGGATTTCTAGCCTCTTTTGGTTCAACTACTTCTTTTCTGAATTCCAAATGTTCCTTATCAACCTCCTCAATTTCTAAATCTGCTTCTTGAACTCTTGCTCTCATGCTCTCAATTTCCTTCTCGTAAATCTTATTTTCCTTTTCTATTGTGTTTCTTAAAATATCAATAGCTTTCAAACCAATTTCAATCTTATTTTCGTATGTTAGTTGATATTCTTGAACTGCTTGTCTTCTCTTCTTTTTCTTTTTACCTGTACCTGTTGTTCCACTACTGACCACAGAACTGGCGTCATCACTTCCATCATCGAATGATGAAACTGAAGCATTATCTATGGATTTTCTTCTTTGCATTCTATTGTCGCTAATTTCACTGATGGACTCTGAGGTCAGAACAGGCACTCCTGGTTGTTGCTGTTTTTGTTTTTCAACTTTATCCTTATGTGTTGGAGTTGCTAGTTGTGATCCTGGTTCGTTTTTAATAATAGCACTAGAGTTGAGCGTTAAATCTCTGTCTTGTGACTGTGCAACACCATTCCTTTCCGACATTTTCTTTAGAAATGCCTCGAAAATATACAACTCCTCTTCCACAAATTCATTCTCCTTAATAATTCTCTCCAACACTTCTTCCATTTCATCAAATTCATACATTTCAAAATTTGGCAAATCAGGATATTTAGAAATATTACTTTCTCTATTCCTTCCTCCAACAGTTATTATTGTTCCGTCTTCATTAAATCTTGGTGATCGTTGAGGAGCAACTACTGGTGATGGTTTTATGAATGATGAGCCCATATTAAGAGTCCTCTCCTCTTCTTCGTATTCCCTTACAGGGGTTTCCCTTGCCATCATGGAACTATCATCAATAAGTAGATTGGGCCTAGACATTTTTTTTCCTGAAAATCTGTAATTTTTTTGGCGCCAACCTTTGAAAAGAACCGATTTTTAACGTTTGTTTCCAGGAATGTGTCAAGAATTATTTGTATTATTACTTTCTGTTTCGATAACCATAGGATTGAATATCTAATTGGAACAATATGAATTTATGGACTGAAATCATTTACTGAAAATTGTTAAAGAAATCTTTTCCAACTAATTCCAATTCCTAATATCCATCTCAATAATTTACCGAACCTTCTCAAAAATATTGGAATGACCCTATTTAAAGGGTATCGACTGAAAAAACCATGATTGAGCAGAAATATAAACTGCTATAGCCAAAGCAATACCACCTACAATGAGGGTAGTTGCTGGTACTACTGAATGCTTTGATGCAGCCTTCCTCTTGGCTTCCTGTATCAATCTTTCCTCCTCCTCATCTCTCCAATAGTCTGGTGGAGAATTTTCTGTTAAATGTTCGCATTCTTTCATGTATGGGAATGGGAATGAATCGTTTGGAATTTCTGTAGCAAATAATGATCTATAGTCGTGCTCTTTCCACATTGAGAGAGCCCTTCCAATGACACGTTCAATCCACCTCAGAGTAACATTTTTAGGGAATCTGTTTAATAATCCAAATACTACAGTAAATTCCACATAGTTCAAATTTTCCTCATCTTCGTCTGCAGAGAACGGGAAGTCAACTTCAGTTCTACCTCCAGATGCTGCAGATAACTTTTCTCTCACACTTGCTACAGATCCTCCATTTCTTAGGATTAATAATTCTTCCTTTCTTTCAATTACAACACTGGCTGCTACATAAACTACAAACATTGGATTACCAACAGCAAGGAAGACATCAAACAGGGTCTGCACAATGAAAAGTGTTGGCATGATTGCTATTAATTTCAAAACATATCAAAATAAATAAATTAAAAAGAATATCTTGAATATATCTAAAGATGTAAAAATAAATACTTACAATTTTCGTTCAAAATTTTGCTGGAAGTGCTTACTGTTTCTGTTTCATCCTCCTTATCGTGGCAGTCTTGATCAATGACATGAGCAAACCATGTCAAGATCCAACTGAGTGCATAGTGTCCTTGATCCATATCACTCTTCCTCAATACTTGGCAAATATCGTCGTGCCCATCCTTTTCCAAAATTTTAATAATCATTCTACACTTTTTCATAATGGCATCCAAATGTAGAGAATGCATAGCATCATGAAAATGATTCATAGCAAGTCTATAACTACATCTAAAAGTTGTCTCTAGAGAATCTTGGAAGGTTAATAAGAGTACTGAGCAAATCTCGTGAAAGCCTTGAAAATAATATAATTGACCAACTTTTTCTGCCAACTTCTCCGGTGATTCCTCATCCAAAATTTCGTTTTGTTTTAATTTCTTTTCAGTTTGTAATATAGAGTTGACAACAAGACTAAGGTTTTTTCTCTTGTAATTGAGTTCGAGATTCATTGTTTTTGAACCCACATTTTTCGAAACTCCTCCAGAGAGATTACTAGTACTGCTTGCATTCGAGGTATTTACATAGACTATAGATTTGTTATATCTTCCAAAGAATGGAGCTAAGAACTTGAAAAGAGATCTCTCCACATCCTTTTCCACTTGTTCATACTGCTCGTGAGTCTTGTCAAGTTTCTTGGTCAAGTGAAATACTGTTTGTTTATCCTTACACAAGTGATCTGGATCATGAAGTAGAAGAGGCCATACGTGTTGCCTGAGTGAATCTTTAATGCAACCCAAAGTAGTTTCATTTTCTTCTAGTGATTCACGATCGGGTGATGAAAGAATCAATCTTCTCAATTTGTTCAACAAATCAGTAAATTGTTCCTTTTCATTTTCATTTAAAACTATTTCTTCACTTTGATCTTTCACAAATTTAATACGTTTAATATAATACTTGTTCTGATGAATTTGTTTTACCAATTGTTCCAATTTTACCACTTTGGCAAATATCTTTGAAGATTGATGATGATAATTCCCAACAATTATGTGATCATTATTAATCTCTTCGAGTACTATTCTTGGTGATGATGAGGTTGTGATTTGTTCCTGTTGGTTCGTAACATCAGAATATTCCGATGTGGTAGGTGATGAATCACCACGTTTTCTCATTTTTTTCAAAGAGTGACGTTTTCATCAAGTGTTCAATAGATTCAAAATAAGAACAAGTTATTTTGATTAGTTTTCATCGATCAATTTGTTTCAATTCTCTATTTACTAGCTTTACAACAATAATACTATAGTATTATTAATTATCTGGTAGATATTGAGAGGAAGACAATTTGATGAAAAAATGCCTCTTACACCACTAGTAATTAGTGCAACAACGAATAACAATAATAATTCAACATCGCCAAATCTTCCTCCCTCTTCAAATTCTACGATACCCTCTGCATCAGTGCTGATATCGGCAAGTAATCAAACTGGAGTAAGAAGAAATACAACAAATAATAATAATACTACTTATGGATCTGCTTCGGCAACAGTAATTGGAGTTGGAAGAAGTCTGCAATCAAGAGGAGGAAAACAAAATGTAATGATTCCACTCGGAACAATGGGAAATACACCAACAACTGTACATAATTATCAAACTCCAAGAAAGGACGATCCTGTTATTAATAATTCAAATTTTGAAAACTCTCCAATATCATCCAATCATTCAAATTCTCATAGTAAGGAGTATGAACAAGTGAATCAAGTTTTTGATGGTTTATCATCAAGTATTCATCAATTGTATCATCAATTAAAACAAACACAGGAAAGTATTAGGAAAATATCCGAGAGCCAACCTTCCTCTTTGAATAATTCTTTCAATACAAGTGTTGGAGAGGCTAGTATTATTGATCCTAATTCATATTCATCACCAAGTGTTGGACGTTACCACAATCAATATAATTCATCTATGGAAGAAGCATTAGAAAGTAGTGCTATTATTCGTAATGATGATTCTATTGTACTTTCCGATGCAGATGAAATTATTTCTCTCGAAAATACTTTGGGAAATACAACCACTACAAATACTACATCATCAATCAATACTGGATCAATGCTCAATTTGGAACCATTTCTTCATCAAACAGTTAGCACCTCCATGTTACAAGATTCTTCTGTTTTTCATGATTTGAAATCTGAATTGGATTTTAAAAATGAGGAAAATCTAACTCTCAAATTAAGAATTGAACAATTAACAAATCTAATTTCAACTCTCGAAGAACGAGCCAATTCAAGTATAAATCTTATTGAACCTGCTAAACAGACTAACTATATCCCAAAGAGTGAAGGTAGTGCAGAGCAGATCAAACAATTGAAAGAACAATTGGCTATTCAACAGGAAATTAATAGAATGCAAAATAGCAAGATTGAAAATTATGAATCTGCAATTCAAATCATTCTCACAAGATCTCATGATAAGATTCAAGATATTACTCAAGAAAATTCCAGAATGACTGAATTACTCCAACAAGAGAATGGTACTCTTCAAGCAATCAATAATAAGCTTTTATTGCAAAACACCATACTCAAGTCTAAGTTATTGGAAATGATACAAGTAATGAGAGATGCAGCTAGAGAAAGAGATTTGGAACTCATCAATTATGAGTCACTGTTAAATGCTAACATTAAGGAACGAGACGTACTCGTTGAGCTATTAAATATTGGAAAACAATATGGAAATATTCAAGAATAAATTGTACATTAGAGTTTTGTAAACAATTAACAATCCATTCAGATAATCATTTTAAAAGAATAGATAATCCACACAATGTTTACAATAATTTATTGACGATCAATTTGTGGAATTGGAATGGTAATTTTAACAGAAGAACTGCCTTCTTCATCTTTCTTTCGTTTCTTCTTTTCCTTCTTCTCCTTCTTTTCTTTCTTTTCTTTTTTATCCTTCTTTTCCTTCTTTTTTTCTTTCTTTTCCTTCTTCTCTTTCTTCTCCTTTTTTCTCTTTTTCTTTTCTGCACTATCTTCTCCATTTTCAGAAAATTGATCAATTGAACTCTCTACAGACTGAGGTGTCTGAGCAGAGTAACTTGATAATGGTGTTGAAACAACTGGTTGAATTGGTGTTCTTACTATAATCCTCTCAGCTTCTTGAGGTGTAGATGGATATGGTACATTATTTTCCATGTTTGGATTTTCTTTCTTAATTGAATCCATTCTGGTGTGAGATTGTACTTGTGTAGGATTGATTTGATTTTGTAATTGTTGAGAGGAAATTGATGTTGGAATATTTGCATTATTATATTGAGGTGGAATTGGTGGTGGTTGTACAATTGTTGATTGTTTCAAAACAAGCAAAGGTTGAATGATAGGAGTAGGAATAAATGGACCTTCTTGTAATGTGAAGGCATCTCTACTCTGCCCATCTCTTTTAAAATCAATTGGTTCATCCAATAATCTATTTGGGGTTGGATCTTTTCCATCAATTACTCGTATAAGAGAACTAGCTTCTCTCAGCAAGGGTATTATAGCATTAGGGTCAATTATTGAAGAGCCATTACTGTTATCATTTTGTGATTGAATTTGTTCTTCCAATTGGTCGAATGGAATATCACTTATATACTCCATAAATGTAGAATCACTTCCTCCCGATATTTTAGAATTAAATACAAATGCAATCATTTCATCATCATTTTGAAGATCAATTCCTAAATCAGCCACCGATGAAGCAGAAGATGCAGGTTGTCCAATTTGTTGAAAACTTGTTGCAATAAATCCTCTCGATAAAAATTCCTTGTTATTAATACTTCCAACTAGATAGGTTTCAGCTGCAGTTGTGTTTGACATTTTTTTATTCTAATAATTATTTGTATTATTATTCACCATTGGGCAAATATTAATTTTCTCTCCCTCGGATCATGTTGTTATATTTTGTTATTGTTGAAAATTAAAACTCATATGATGATAGATTAATAATAATAATAGATGTTATTGTAAGTGTATGATGTATGCAATAAACGTAATAATTTGGATATTAATTAACCGTCAAAGTAGGTAGAGCAAACATGCATGATTTGAGAGGTTTTCTCACCTAATTCACAAATCTTTGCTCTCTCTTTATGGGTGAGCACAATGGTTTTATCATCATGATGCACAATAGAGTCTCCCAATGCAAAGACATCTTGATACTCATCTAAACAGCTCACCATTTGATTAATCATTTCATTCATATTTCTGACTGCCTGTTTATATCTAGCCAATTCTTTCTTAATTCTTTCATTCTCATCAACTAAATCATTATAGTGTTTCAAAAATGCAGAATT